AACCGTGGCATGCGACCTCGACGTAGTAGGGACCTTAAATACCCAGCGTAATCTTAATCTTAATCCTTATTAAAAATAATCAAAAATCGTGGTATTAATTAAAATTTTCAATGCTTATTTTTATTTAATTAAGAAATAGGTAAGTCAAAATGGTGAAAATTAAAGATGGCGGAAGAAGAAGGACTTAAAAATGAGACCCTCCAAATCTCATTAAAAACTAAAATTACTCTAGATGAGAAATTTAAGAAAGTAAATCATTGGTTAGACTATTTGCAATTTTAAGTTTTCTTTATTTAGCTAAATTTCTTATCATATAAAAATTATAATGCATTAAGATTATATTGCTAAAAATATTTATTGAAATTAACTCCTCTTTATGCATTCAGTCTGTTATTAGTGTGGTTAAATATTGCACATAATAGCTGCCTATATATAAGTTATAAGCTTTATTTAAAGTTAACTGGCCCTCTCTTTGTTGCGAACCTGCCAAAGATATGACCAAAATCAAAATAAACGAACTCACTAATGATCTCTCGTCCAACAAACATAGCAAATTAAAAGCAGGCGAGGAAATAATATTCAATGGCTGAATTAAACAAAGATGAAGAGAAAATAGGAGGATTTTCTATTGAAGGGTATAACGAAAACGCTACTCCTCAGCTATTAACTCTTTTACAATCAAGAGATTCAGTCCTTGAAAGTCTTAATCATGCACTCTCCCTTACAACTGAAACTATTTATATAGCAGATTACGGATCCTCAGAAGGTAAAAACTCAATGATCCTTTTTAACGAAGCTATCAACACTTTTCGAGAGTCCTCCCTCAAGCCAATTCATATAATCCATAATGATCTTCCTACAAATAACTGAGAAAAAACCTTTAAAACCCTTCTTAATTCTCCTAACACTTATCTTAATTGCCCTAATACCACTTTTTCAGCTATTGGAAAATCATTTTACGAGAGAATTCTCCCTGATAATTTCATTCACCTAGCAATATCATCACGATCTTTTCAGTATTTATATCCTGAGCCTTCTTTTGCTTGGCTATCCCGATATCTCCTGGCGCCAATTAAGAAATTGGTTTTACCGACAAATGCTCGTAAAACCAATTCCTGATTGCTGTCTGAAACGTCGGGATAACCTGAGCCAAAAGGAGGCTCGAATTATATCTCAACCTTTAAGTACACCTGATAATATTGTTCTATCCGCATCTAATGACCCAGAATTTAAAGCAAGAGCTGCAGAAATTGCGCATCAAGATATGGTAAATTTTTTACTTTTGAGGCATAAAGAACTGGCTAGCCGAGGTAGGCTTATTTTCCAAGTGGCAGATGAAAAATCTCATATGGGGCAAATAGGCGCTTTGAATGGGGCAAGTGAAAGTATTTTTAGGAAAGGAATAATCACAGAGGAAGAATGAAAAGATTTAACGCTGTCACTATATGGGAGAAGTACAGAAGAAGTTGAAAGAGCATTAAATGAAACAAGCCATCTATATAAAGCCATTTCAATAGAAAAAGTAATACATAGGAAATCAGGGCTAAGCTTGATGAATGCAGAGAGAGTTAATTGGAGCTTAAAATGGAAATTATTTCAGCATTTGAAGTCGAGCTTCAGCTTTACGCTTCATGTGACGCTAAGCACTAAAGCTGCTATGGCCCTCTTCCTTCTGGATCACCAAAACTCGTGACGTCGTCAATCTCACCGAGCCTACTGGACCAAAATTTGTAGCAAAGGAATCTATTAACCCCTTGTAGTCCAGGGTTAAGGGTAACGGCCGATGCCTCCATCTAGAAATATCTCTGCCATTTGCAGGCAGTAGAATAATCCTTCAGAAGTGTCTGTTGATACTCCGCCGTCAGTCTCTTGCCTGTATGTCGAGAGGAAACCACTCAGCCCAGCTCTGCACCTTTCTCGGGAAGCTTCCTCACCTGTGAATCCTGCTCTGATTCCATAGAGTTGTGGACCTTCTCTTGACTCCATCTCTTATGAAGGAAGTACTATGAATGAATGCAGAAGAATTAAAAGAACATATAGTAAAATTCAAATCTTTGGCAGGAACTGTCATGGCAGGACCCTTTTCAAAATCGCTTAAAACGAGAGCTGAAGACGAAAAGCAAGAGATTTTAAAACTGTATATGGAAGAAATTGGAGAAGTGCAGGTGATTTTTGACAATGACTCTTATTTGCATTCAGTTGTGCTTGAAAAAATCGATTAATATATCTTAATTAACTGCATACTCTATTTCTTTGAAAAAACCAAAGCAATACCATCTGTAATGCTTGCCATCCCTACAAACTCCAACCCTTGGCTTCCAACCCCGATTTCTATTTTATTGGAAACATCCATAATGAACCCTGGCTGCCCAATTTCTTCATTAGAAAACACATTCACCACATAAGCCTTCTGTATCGTGTTTTTCGGCTCTTCCAATATCAGAAACGATTTCTCTTTGTATTTTATGCAGCCTTTAAACTTGATTCCTTTATAATCATTTAGCAGCTCTTTTAAATAGTCCCCAGTTAAAGGCTGGTCAATTAATTTTACTATAAATTTTGAATTTCCTTGGATTATATGGTTATGTTTAAAATAGCATAGAAAAATCCTTCCTGAACTGTCTGTGATTGCTCCTATAAAGGTTTTGTTTATTGAGTTAGCCACATTTATGCTGTTTTCTAACAAATTTGAAAGTCTCTGCCAGTTATTTTCATTTGCAGCGAATAATGAAACCATATAGTTTCCTTGTTTACTAGAAAAAGTTGCAAGATCGTCAGGGTGTTGTGAAACTATTATAACTTCTTCAAGGTTTCTAGGATTGCTTATTACTCAGCTAGGGATGTTATCTTTAGGGTGGATTTTTAAAATTCGTTCTATGCTTTCAGCTGGGACTATTATAGCTTGGGCTCGAATTATATTAAATTTCCCTGTAGCTGCTTTATTAATATCTGATTTTGGCTTTGCAGTAGTGACTTTGTATCTCCTTCTTTCTCTATCCCCACATGGCCAAGACCAATTAGATCCCATTTTAGATTAAATTTTAAAAAAACTGATCAGCTTAATATTTACTTAAAAATTATAAAATTTGTTGAATTTTTACTTGAGGTAGTTTTACTATTCTTCTGTGCTCGAGGATTCTGCCTATAGGAGGTTTTGATAAATTGAGATAGGAGTAGTACATTATTTGAGGCTGCTCTCCATGTCTAGATTTTATCATAAAAACTTCGTTTTCTTCTTTATATAAAACTTTTATTTTAATGGAAGATTCGGAAAGTAATGTTTCCTATTCTTCTTCCTTTTGTGAAGAAAACGGAGCTTTACAGGATGAATTTTTCGAACTTTTACTATTAAATGGACTTATTGATACAGGATTACTTGATAATTCTGAATCAGAGTATGAATGAAATGATAGTGATACAGAAAATGTTGATACAGATGACAAAATATTGGAGAGTTTTTAAGTCGTTTAGATGGAAAAATACTAGATGAAATAGATCCTATTCAGGAAACCTTCAAATATAGGAAGACTGAGGTGATCATTGATGATAAGAAGACAATCGATAAGAAAATCCTGAACACCAGAAAAATAAAAATTAGATCAGATTCAAATTTTATCAGAAAAATAAAATTGATATCAGAATCAAACATTATCAGGAAAATAAAATTTAGATCAGATTCAAATTTCATCAGAAATAGAAAATTCATATCAGACTCAGAAATCGAAAAAATCGCGGATTACGTGGGTTCAGAAAATTTTACTAAAAATTTTATCCAAAGATTTTAGGAAAAGAAGAAAGTTAAAAAAATTTTAATCGGGACATGGCCCTGAAATAAAGGCCTTTAAGTAATAAAGATTTCTCTCTCTCTCTTTATATAAAAAATTATTTGTTTTTGGCTAAATATTTACTAAAGCAAGACTTAATTTTAGTCAAAAATAGAAAAAATAATGTATATAATAAATGATATTTTTATTGTAAAATTTATATAAAAAAACTGGATAAACTGATTCGAATCCTTCAGGAAAGCTCTCAATTGTATATATTTTATAAACCTCGTCTTTTACATGTGTAGTATGATTATCCATCTCGTTTTCGCATAGCTCAAATATATAAATAGACTGAGAAAACCTTCCGCCAAATAACGCAAGTTTATTTACAGACACTGGGAATATCGCAGGATTAATCATAGGGAGCGGAAAAAGGATCTCAATAGCTTCCCAGTTGTCTTTCTCAAAGCAAAATCTCTCAAGAGTAGTCCCAACCATATCTTGTGGGTATCCTCCAATAACATACAAATACTCTTCGCAATGCATTAGTGCAGCAACAGGCTCAAACCTCCCATGGATCATTGGAGCGAAATGGTACCATCTATTTTCACTGATAGAATATTTCTCACAAGTATTATAACTAAACTTTCCACCCATTACATATATAAATTCCTGCCTATAAACAGCTGCTGGGCCTTCTCTTTTTTCAAGCATTGAGGATTTTCTAGTTATTTCTCGTGTGTCTGTATTAAAATGATACAAATCAGCTTTTGTGTCACTCAGCTCTTTTCCAACCCCTCCTATTATATAAAAACACCCATCTGGAGTATATGCTATTCTGCTTCCCCAATTAAAAGTTCAGGAAGGCGTTTCTACAGTAAAAAAATCATTAAGATTGTGGATTTTTATATATGACCATTTGTTCAAGGCAATATCATATCGATAAATATTTGTTTTATACCAGTCAATTCAGTATAAACATTTGCCAATTTCATAAGACCCATAAGTATTTTTATGCAGACCAGCTATTTTTTCTGAGTATTCAGACATTACAGTCATTAATTCTGGGTGCGAGGTCGCATATTTTATGCTAGATAGCGTTTTTAAGGTAGAGTCAATACGAGATGCTTGGCAAAACCGATAAAAATGTGTCTGGGTATGGTGAATACCTTGCAGTTTCCAATCGATGGTAAATATTGGCATTCCAGGCAAGATATTTATGCCAGCTGAATAGGTAAAATTATTATTGTTGACGCAAATTAAATATGGTGTCCTTGAACACATCGTCAAGTTTTTGCCAATCCAGAAATGGACAGCAATATCAGGTAAGCAATTCCGGCAGCATGTGGAGCCTAACTCAGTCTCTTTTCAGAATTGAATTTTACCTTATGGGAAGGGAAGACTGAGAGTTGGAAAGGGAAAGCCCAGCATTGTCTTTTGGCTCTGAGTTGGAACTTTTGCCGACAGTCGGCCAGAAATTTCATTTTTGGAATTATGTGCAGGCAAACCATACAAGGCCAAAGAGCTGAAAGGACAGCCGTCGAAATCAGAATGCCCAAACCGAGGGATCATGCAGTCTTTATACCGACGTTGTGTACGACGCGCTCAGAGGAGTGGGGAGCCCCTAAGCCCGCTGGTAATGTGGTAGTGGACATTAAACGGAAGAATTAAACCCTTAAATTAATTACTGCGTTACTGTCGACACCAATAACAGTCCTTATGTCTGATCCAGAGTTCAAATAAGCGATGCCATCCCCTTCGCTCAAAATAAAAGGCTGCACTATATCAATTGGCAATCTCTGCTTCAGGCTTTCTGGGTTCAGCATAAAGCCACATATGGTAAAATTTGACTCTCTATTTGTATAAAAATAAGCTTTAGGGTCAAAATGATGAGTCTCAAATAAGTTATCAGTAAAGCGAGCAAAGCACCTGGAAGCCACTTCATCATCAGGGAAAACTAGATTTGACGTCATAATCAGGTGCTTTGTTATCAGAAACCCCATTCCTATAGGATTTCCATATGCCATTTTATATACAGCTTTCCTGGTGATGGCGCGCAATGCGCCATCACCAGGCCATGCCGGGAGAGATTCCTCGTGGAGGAATGGTTCCACGTGTGGAACCCTCTTTTTTGGCTCGTGGAAAAAGAGGGTTCCACACGTGGAACCATTCCTCCACGAGGAACCTCTCCCGGCATGGCCTGGTGATGGCGCATTGCGCGCCATCACCAGGAAAGCTGTATATGAATTCCCTACTGGATAAATTTCAAAAACTGAGTCGATTGCATACCCTGGCTTCCTTGGAGACAGGTTTTCTAATGATTTTACATTGTGTAAATAATAGCTTTCTTTGGTGACTGTTTTAATTTCAGGGAGTTTTGTTGCACTTTTGGTTGTTTCATTGTAACGAACAGGAGAGGCCATTCCAGAAAAATAGATAGGCCGATTTGTCTGTAAAGGCGAATTATTTTCATAAAATTCTTTGGGATAAGGATTTCGATAGATCTTTTGATACCTATTAGGAGGAGATGAAGAATATAGATTTGAGGTCCCATTTAAATGGGATCTAAAAATATTGGATTCTTTAGGAGGATCAGAAATCCGGGCTTTTGCTCTTTCATCGAGAATATAATATTGTTTGTAAGAAGGGCTTGAGTTTTTATAGTTAGGACGGAGAAATCCTCTATTTGAGCACATTCTTTATTATCATATTCCATTTATGTATAATTCCTTTTTATTTTGAGAACTCTTTATGTTTCATATGCCAAAGAATTATTTTAAAGTATTGATTTTTTGCGTATTAACCTAGAAGTTTATTTATTTTTTGACTTTTAATAACTAAGGAGCCATAAGGAATTATTTTCATTCAAATTTTTTCAAAACATTTATAAAATGGATCAAGCTACTAACTCTTTATATAACTTGACTCGTGATAGAATTCTTGAAGGCATTCTTGGAGAAATGAAAAAAACTGCATCATATCTGATACTTGTGGTTGATCAGACATCTCTAAGCATCCTTAATAGCATAGCTACTGTTTTAGATGTGACTGAAAGAGGCATATCTGTGATAGAGCAGCTAGAAAAAAGCCGAAAGCCTATGCCAGATATTGAAGCGATTTATTTTGTAATACCATCCACACATACAGTTAAACTACTTGTAGAGGATTATTCACATGAGCCAATGTACAGATCTGCTCATTTATTTTTCACTTCCGATGTAAACGACTCTCTTATGAGATTCATGGCTAACTCTTCATTGTACAACTATGTAAAAACATTCAAAGAAGTAAACTGCGAATTTTCCTTGTGCGGCCAAGATGCTTTTAGCTTAGAAAGGCCAGGAATTTTAGGGAATTTATATATGTCGAATCCAGACGAAAGGTCAGATCTCATCATAAGCATGGCAAAACAAGTTTCTCACATTTGCAGCGTCCTCAAAGAGCTTCCATCAGTCTGCTACCAAAGCTCTAGTCCCCAAGCTCGAGAACTTGGCCTAGAAATTGAGCAGCAAATAGAGCTTCTCTATAGAAAACTCCCAGAATTTGAAATAAACGACAATAGAGCCACTTTAATAGTTTTGGATAGAAAATTTGACATGACGACTCCAATAGCCCACGATGTTCATTATGAAGCCATGCTTAAAGACTTATTAAATGTGTCACACGATGGAAAAGTAAAATATGAATCTTCTGATAATTCGAATGTTAAGACAGTTAAAGATGCTGTATTAAATGAAATAGACCCTTTATGAGTAAAATATAGATATGAAGAAGTTGATGATGCCCAAAAAATTTTAGGGACAGATTTACAAGAATTTAGAGCCCAAAATCAAGAAATTGAAGTAGCACAGCAGCAGCAAGAAATTGATGACATGAAAGTGGCTGCAAAAGTAGTTAGCAACTTGTCGGAGTACAATGACATGGTATCTCGGTTTGCACTGCACAGCTTTTTGATTGATAAATGCCTCCAGCAGTTTATAAACGCCGGGATTAAAGAAATAACTGAAATTGAACAGATTTTAATGACAGGGATCGATACACAAAAAAATGAAGTAAAAGAAGACAAAATAATTGAAAGAATTGTCAGACTTATTTCCACCCTCTCAAATCCTAAAGAAAAGCTTAGACTGTCCATTTTGGCTACCATTGCTATGGATTTAAAAGAAAGAGACAGAAAAGCGATCACTGAGCATTTGAGTGCCAACCAAATAATGATTTTGACTAAGCTGCAACATCTAGGAATTGACTTGCAAAACCAATTGACGAATAAGACTATGAAAAGGATCGATAAAGAGTCTGTAAAATTATTGAAAAGTAAAATTACCGAAATTCAGAAAATCTTTTGTTATGCGGTGCCAAAACTTTCAGAAATTTTGGATTTAGGGTTAAATGGGCAGCTGGATCCGAATATTTTTGAGTTTGGGAGAAAAGGAGGGCCAAGCTTTATTGAACAGCGTGAAGCAGCTGTGGGGTCTTTAAGAAGGAAATCGGCCTTACCAAGAAACTCTGTTCATAGCAAAAGGGTTATCATTTTTATATTAGGAGGAGTAAGTTTAGCTGAGCTTAGATTTGTAAAAAGCCATCCTGAAGCCCACATCATTATTGGTGGAAGTCGAGTTATGACCCCAGACGAGTTCATCGATGATATCTCTAATATTGACAAAAAGTCAAAACCTGAAGAAGAAAAACTTGACCATGACGAGATACACATCGATTTAGACTTTAGGTAAATTTGCTAGCTCCCCCTTTGGCTAGCGAGCAAGAATTTCTTCTTCACTAGAAGTTAAGTGTTATCAGGCCATAAGTGGATAGATAAATTAACCTGCCTATCTGGTGTAAACTTTACTAAACTAAGGACTAGCTCCCTAGGTTGGAGTCACCTCTTTCTGATGCCCTGTTAGTCCTGATAAGCAAAGACTAAATGGAGATAAAACCTTCTAGCCCAATTGAATAGGGCAGGGAAAGCCTTCAGAGGAGAAACAAAGGTTCCCTCTTAGGCAGTTATCCTCAAACCAAAAGGCCTACTTTTAAAATCGGCAGAGGCACTATTTCAGCTTCATTGAGATGGATTCTACATACTCCATAGGGAGTATCTTCCATTGAAATCACCATTTTATTTCTTCGCTAAATAAAATATTTTTTACAATTACACTTTTATAAATAATTGAAATGAAGAAGTGAATTAATATAAAAATTATTTTTAAAAGAATCCTTCTAAAATTAAATCAAATTATATTGATTTTTTATTACAATCAGCCATATATATCAAATAATTATTTGTAAAAAATATTATTTTAGAAATATTTTTTGCTTGCTGAGATTAATTTTCCCATAAATAATTACTTCTAACATTTTTGCTCACTGACTAAGGGAGAAAGTAAGTTTAAATATAAATGTGGCATTATTTTTTGATACTTGCTGAAGTAACAGCTTTTTCTCTGCCTGGAGTCGCTCCAAAAGACTACGAAGAAGGCTCAAAAATAGAACTTTCAGTTAATAAGCTAGATTCCTCAGAAACACAACTACCATTTGACTATTATTACCTGAATTTCTGCAAGCCAGCCCATCTTGAAAAGAAAAATGAAAATTTAGGCCAGATTTTGTCTGGAGACAGGCAAGAAAGTTCCCCATACGAAATTTATATGAAAATTAACCAAAACTGCAAGTATCTAGGTACCATGAAAAATAATCATGACCAGGTAGAAAATTTCAAATGGATGATTGACAATCAGTACAGAGCCTCCTGGATGATGGACAATCTTCCATCAGGTCTGAGGCTGACAGCTAGTTTTGAGAACACTGAGCCTAAGCGGCTCTCATTTTATCAAGATGGGTTTCCAATAGGCTTCAAAAAGGACGGGAAATATTTTGTGAATAACCATGCACACATTATAGTAAAAGTTTATAACACATACCAAGGAAACGACCAGAGCCCTGATACCTGAAGAGTTGTAGGCTTTTTAGTTGAGCCTTTAAGCTTCTATAATAAAAGTCCAGAAAACTTAAAATGCTCTGAACAAGACTTTATTGACTATTTAGAGTACTCTAGAGAGCTAGAAGAACAGTTCGTGAATCCTGAAGAAATAATAGAAAACGGATTTGATGGATATATGACTGGAATTTTATATCAGATCCTAGAAAAAGACAAAAATATTACTTATACTTATTCAGTGACCTTTGAAAAAAGTGATGTGCAATGGGCACATAGGTGGGAAATGTATTTGTATTCTGGAATGAATAAAGAAGTCCATTGGCTGTCAGTGATCAATTCTTTTGCGATGGTGCTGCTTTTATCTGGAATGGTAGCTAATATCCTGAGGAGAACTATAAATAAAGATATATCAAGATATAATGAAAATCTGGACTCTGAAGAGGAATCAGGATGGAAACAAGTCAGTGGGGATATTTTTAGACCGCCAAGCCATCCTATGTTCTTATCTGTATTAATTGGGTCTGGAATCCAAGTAATTGGCATGGCCATTCTTACACTAGTTTTTGCCTGCTTAGGGTTCCTTTCTCCAGCCTATAGAGGAAGCTTATTGACAACTGCGATTGTCCTATTTGCTTTTATGGGCGTTTTCGGAGGATACACAGCTTCAAGGTTTTATAAGATGTTTGATGGGGTAAATTGGAAAAGCTGTGCAATGGGCACTGCTTTTTTCTTCCCAGGTTTGTGCTTTATTATGTTCTTTGTTATAAACTTATTGATAAGAAGTGAAGAAAGCTCAGGGGCTGTCCCATTTTTTACTCTTATAACACTTTTAGTGCTATGGTTTGGGATTTCTGTGCCTTTAGTATTTTTAGGCAGCGCAATGGGATATAGAAAACCTACAATTCAGGTGCCCTGGAAAATAAATAAAATTCCTAGGCCTTTGAAGAAATAAAATGTAACGTTGACAGAAATTGGATTCCGAGCCCAATCCATCGGGCTGAATCCTGGTGGCTGCATTGCTTTTCAGTAATCCTTTTGGTTTGGGCATCCCTTACTGAACAGGGAAGTTTTGTTTCTCCCTCGAAAGTTTTCCTGTGCCTGCCTGATGGGGTTAAGTAGGTTTTGCTAACCAAATGGATTATCCTCATTGTGACTATCGGGACACTCCGAGATGGTAGCTCTTCCTTAGGGAGCTATTCCTTTGGTCTGCGGCTCAGGTCGAAATCCAAAAGGGGTTCTTTTAAAACCAAATGAGCAACAGCTAGTGGTCTACCCACTTATAACCTATTAAACTTTTAACTTTTAGACCTTTGAGCACTATGGCAGGATCCTGAAAAATTAGCTTGATTGGCTTATTAGCAGGTTCATTGCCATTCGGGTGTATGTTTATTGAAATTAGTTATATAATGAAAAGCTTATGACACCACACACTATTTTATTATTTATTCGGATTTTTATTATTGTGCTGTATCGTTTTAGTTATTACATCCGCAGAAGTATCAATTTTATTAGTATATTTATTACTTTGCAAAGAAGACTACCGATGGTGGTGGCTTTCAGCATGAGTCTCTGGGTCATCAGGGATATATTTATTTCTCTATGCAATTATCTACTACTCAACTGAGCTGAATATATCTCGATTTTCTTCTTCAGTTATTTATTTTGGCTATATGTTTCTTGGCAGTATAGCGTTCGGGATTGTGACAAGCACTATTGGCTTTCTAGCAGCCTACATATTTGTGAGGAGGATATATTCATTAATAAAACTTGATTAGCCTACATAATAAATTTATTTATATAAAAATCGTATTATTTTTAACCTTCTTAATTTCAAACTTTTTCCTCAAATAGTAATTTTTATTAACAGTTATGACAAAGGTGATAAGTCCTAAAGAACGAGAAAAGCAGATGGAAGAGACCCGCAAAAAGTTCTTCGAAGAATCAAAATTTGACCCTTATAATCAGCGACTAGGGCTTTTTTCATTTGTTGGGACTACTGCGATTTCAGATGACACTTATTCAAAAGGTAAAGTCCCATTAAGAAATGAAGATGGCTCAGTTAAAACAGCCCCGAAAAATTTTTTGACTACCAGAGGTAAGCGTGGGAAAACTCCTGACTGTTATTTTTCGTCATATGAGTATATAGAAGATCGATATGACTCTAAAAAGCGAAATCAAAGTGTCAAGGCAAAATCTGAACAAATCAAGAAGATTCATGAAAACCCGTGGAAACCTGATGGTCCTGTAAAGACTGTTTACTCAGTCTACCCTAGTATGCCTACGATGAACTTTAAACAAATTAAAAGAAAACTCCCAGATGGAGGTGTTTATACAGAACCCAAAAATTTTCTTACGAGTCCTCCAAAAAAAGGAGAACCTAACTGCACACCTGGCGTATTATTAGGGGATTATCCACATGAGCCAGATCCGTATGATAGAAAAGACCAAATGGCTAGAGAACAAGCAAGAAAAGATAAAGCAAAAATGCAGGAGCAGCCGTTTAAATCAACAGTTTTTGGGGAAAGGCCTTTTTTTGATGATAAAACTACTTATGGAGGTGAAAACCCTAAGCCAAGAGATAAGCGACCTGCCACTTTTAATGGGGTGCAGCATGACAAGCCATTCATCCCTCCTAACCCAATAAGAGAAGGAAGCACTCTCTCTCCATTCCCTGAACACATGCCAGACCCTTATGATCCTGCAAAGAAAAAAGACAAAAAAGAAATAACCCCATGGAAAACTACATATAGAGAAGTGACAAAACCATGTGTCTCAGTCTCAAGTATGATTGTTAATCTTAGAAGTGAGTATCCTTCCCTAAGACATAGATAAATAATATAATAAAAATTTTCTACCGAGCTTATACTCAGCTTAAATTATATGATAAAGAACTTAAAAGTTACTTTATGATTGCTTTATAGGAGGCTTATCATGTTTCCCTAAAGTTTCTAGTAGATAAAGATGAGCCTTTATAGCTGCCCAGAACGTAGGGTACTGAACATATTTCAACCCATTTTCTTTGCAAGCAGCCTGCACAATCTTCGCAATTTCAGGATAATTGGTATGCACATAACCAGGGAATAAGTGATGCTCAATCTGATGATTTAGCCCTCCAGATAGATTAGTCCACAGAAAAGAATCCAATGCAAAATTAACAGAGTTAACTACTTGTAAGACTCCCCAGTTGCTATTCCCAATAGTAGAGTTATCTACAAATCCTGCATCAAGTGTCCAATGGTTAACTGCAAAGAAAAGAGCATATCCCAAGCTAAAAGATCCCATATAAAGCGACATAATTGGAACCACATTAAGATACCCATGGATATAGCTTGGTATCAAAATCGCATAAAACAGCCAACAGACTTTTACTAAGTTTTGCAATAAAAAGTCTTTGAATAGAGCTGAGCCTCTTCTATTAGGGAAATTTGACATCCAAAAGAAGTCGTCAAAGGTACCAAAAAGGTCGCCAAGATTAGTGGCAGAATATAAGGCAAGGGCGTATAAGTGCTGATATCTATGATACCAATATCTTGGCTGGTTCATATGCAAGCGTAGCCATGGGAACGACGTGTCAAAAGCTCTATCAAGCTCATAATGGTTTACACAAGAGTGATGGCCGTAGTTATGGGATCGTCTGTAAACTACGCTTGAAGAGCCTACTATGTCTAGTGAGTATCCAGCAGCCCATGTCATTTGCTTATTGCTTGTCCAAGCCCCATGGTTTCCATCATGCATAATATTGACTCCAACTTGGCTTGCAAAAAATCCTAAAATTATAGCAGACCACCAAGTACAGAAATAAATGTAATTAAAAAGGGCGAAAAAGTAGCCGAAAAATATGAAGCAGCCTTTAAAAGTCATCCATAAGCTGTTCCTTCTTTTTTCATAAGGAATGGCTGCTTCTACCTTTTGCTTCAAATTTTTATAAAAGTCGCCATCCCACTTATAGAAGTCTTGGTAATCTCTAACTTCACCAATGCAATATTTTTGAGGGATCCCTTGAGCAAGAGTGCTAAGAGGGTGATAACTTTCCCATACGCCAGTGCAGTCGCCACCTGCGCCATCGTATATCATTTTTCCTCCGGGGTGGTAAGGCACCCATTTGGTGACGTCGTATACTTTTTCGTGAACTACGATTCAGCAGTCGTCTTCTTTATCATGCTTAACGATTTCTTCCCAAGTGTATTGTCGATAGCCTGTTTTTTTATGAACTACAAAATCACGAACTCCTGTATATCTTCGGCACCAATCGTACCAGCACTCACCTGAATTATCAAGAGTTGCTTTAGCAATCGCAATATACATTAAAATGGCTAGGTGTTGATCTACTCTATTGGCGCAACAGTCCAAAACTTATGGCCACGGCAAGCTGGGACGGATTCTAAGTCAAGAATCATGTGCAGGCTCAAGAGATGTGTATCCAGGTAGGTTTTGGCTGCTTTCCTGTAGTTGGAAATGAGATGTTCGGCAACATACTTTGGATTGAGGGCCCATGGTCATCCGTCTGCCGAGAAAATTGGGGTTTTGGCCCAGGCCACAGTAATCTTTTTCCTGCAGCTGTCGAAGGAAAAACTTTGGAACCCGACAGACCCAAAGGATTTGATCTTAGGATCAAGCTCCTCCAATCGCCCGTAGCAGGACCACAGAAATCCATAATCCGCCTACTCAAGAAGCCGCAAGGCAAGGAGGAGACAGAAGTGCCGGAAGTTGCATCCACCTTCGAGGGACAGATCCTCTGGGCTAGAGTCGAAAAGCAGTTGAACTTCCCGTGCGGGAGGACACTAGAGACTTCGTCACCAATATAGCTAACGCCTGACTTTAATAGGCTAACCTAAACTTATTTAGCAGTCGCCATAATTTTATACGAAACTTATGAATTGGCTGTGGATTCTGTTTTGATAAATTAGCTGCTAATAAATATCATAAATATTCGGAAATATAAATCTCTGCTCTATGTAAAGCTTTAGTATGGTTTATTACTTTTATTAATTATTCTTATTTCAATATTAAATAAAAATATGTTTTGTTCATCAACAATTGAGCGATGAGACTATTTATCAGAAATAGGATTATAATATCAAGCTCATACCTAAAATCGTTTGTTAGGAATCTCATAAATCTAACAAGCCTCTCAATTTATAGCTACAATAATTAACTCCAGTGAATATAAGCATATAAATAATAATTTAAGCACAGCGCTATAGTAATAGAACATTAATCTCAGAATCTACTTACCCACACGAAAATGTGATAAAGCTATATATAAGAATATAAACTCTCTCTGCCTAAGCTTGCAAAAAATTTTTCGGAGCAAAATATTTGCTACTTTAATTAATATTTATTATGATTAAACTTAGTAATAAAAAAAATATTTTATAAAATATATGCAAATGCAATTTTTCTTTCACAAATTGTGGGAAGAGCCTGAGAAGTTGAGTCATTCATTGATATAAGGCACATCAAATAATCTGTGAAGCGAAAAAATTCTTGCATATAATTTTAAATAAAAATATATTTGTGAATACTTTCCTGAAATTCGATCAAAATTTTGAAAAGAGTTAGCATTTAAATTGAAAATAAAATTATGCTTAGCATATCATATTAATCTAGAATAATTATTTCTATTTTCTAATTATCAAGTAAAATTTTATGGAAATCTAATGAATCTCGCTAAATCGAAAATAAATTCATCCCGATTACTCTTAATTATTCTAAAATCAGCCAATCATATTTTTAATGCTCGGTTAAAACTTTGTTGACCAAAAATAATCTTTTATAATTTTTTATAGACTTATAGTTCATTATTAATAGATTATTTAATTAATTAAATAGATTTTTTTAGTGATTTTATATTTTCCCCTAAAACTTAAATGTCCTAATAACAATCTCCAATAAAATAAAATCGCTATCAATCGTCAAAAACAAAACCCATGAAGCAACCCGAGCAGCTAATCTTGACCCCTGGCCAAGTTCCTACAGATTCCGCTAATGAAGCCAGCCTAACAGAAGTGCAATCACCGAGAACGCTACTGAGGAAGAAATTACGGAAATTATCTCAAAAAACAATTTTTCCACCTAAAACGCCTCACAATACAACACAATATCTAATTGGGATTAAGCCATTAGTATTGAGTGACACACAGGCGTTGCTGGGAACAATGCTTTCCTTTAATGTCAACCTTATTTTTAAGTAATCAAAACTTTTTGAAACTTAAAGAGTAATAATTTGTTTCTCTTTAAGCCATTTTCCTCTTACTCCCCCCCCCATCCTTGATCGAACGATTGACTGTAAAAATTCCTAAAAATTGGGGAAATTAACCCCCATCCTTGATCGAACGATTTTCATATCATGCAACTTTTTATATATATAAAAATATATTAGTTATCAAAAGCTTGGGAAGATGCACCTAATGAAGTTGTTTTCAGGGACTTTGAGACGACAGAAAGCTTCGAAATCAACTATCCGAAGTGATTTAGTCATCAATCTAGGCTTAAAAAATTAATAATCTAATAAAATAGAGATCTTTAAAATTTAAAAAAAAATTTAATTTAATAAGGAACAAAATTAAAATTTATACAGTTTAAAGGGGTAACTAATAAATCAAAATATTAAAAATTGGTATTTTTATTATGAAATTAATTAAATTTTTTGCTCTAAAAATAATTATTAAATACCCTTAACCCTCTTATTTAAAAGTAAATAAAAAAAATATATATATATTTTTTTTTTATATATAAAATTTTTTTTAAGCCCATGGCGAGTCGTTCGATCAAGGATGGGGGGGGAGTTAAGATTAACGTGATAAAATATACTTATAGCCCTATATGCCATTTTTACACTAAAATTTATATCCTGCTTACTATAAAAAATAAGCCAAACACTTAAAGCCTAATATTATAGATAAATTTATAAGATCGGCTCAGCCCTATCATTGAGCATCCATATGAGTCATGAAGCAAAGCGTCATCACGGCCATCTTAATTTTATAATCTAGCCATTAATAACAAGTACTTAAAATAATAAAAATAGTTCGCTGACAAATTTAAGGATAATTATTTCATTTTTATTCACAAGTCTCAATAATTTAAACTTTTATTTCTCCTTTCCTGATCCCTTCTCTTTTAAATTCCAGAAAAATGATTTAAAAGTAACATTAATAAGAAAGAATGATAGGAGACCGATACGAAGTGAGTGTATTAACTGTAGAATTATTATGTAAAGAAAATTCGGCTTTAAGCTGTCATATATCGGTGGGTGATCATATAAGTGGCGTAATTTCTCCCATTAATTCAGATAGCGACCAAAGTGCTGTGAAATTGCGGAGGGACAAACTTATAAAATTTTGTGTAGTTAATATAGAAACCGCAGAAGAAATCGGTAGCATAGAAATACAAGGCTCTCTTTTGCCAACTGAAGGCTTCCAATGGCTGCCTTTATTTAAAGATCAATGTAGAGAAATTTTATCTCTCCCTTTAAAAGTGCCCGCCCCTCGTTTACTCGTTTTACTGAACACCCACACAGGATTACTCCCAGTCCACGAAGCAACAGAACACTCAGAATCTGATTCTCAAAGCGAGTCTATATCTTCTGGAGAAAATGACTTCATGCCTGAACTCAAGTTGATTCAAACATCCTATACCCTTCCTCCTGACCAATTTCAAGAATATGACTTAGAATCCTGCTATTCTGCATTAGAAAACGAAAATGATTTATTAACTTCTTGGTTCGAGAAAGGGAAATTGAGCCTACAGTAAAACACAAAAATTTTTAAATATGATTTATTTTATAAATATTGAGATAGATATTTGATAGCTATAATAGAGAGATCTTTAGTTAATTATATTAAATTTTAGACAACTAGCATTCTAAAACATAAATTTTTATCAAATATTTACAATTATTTTCTTTTTTTTTTTAAAAAATCATTGAAAAAAAGAAAAATTTGATCACTAGTTATGGGAGATTAAGGCAAGAAATCGAGAGAAACCAAAGGAATTATTTTTCCAGCATTATGTCACTTAATTATGAAATTGAGGATGCTAGATTACGATAGGATTTATAGTCCCAACTTCCTAAAGCGCCGTACATTCAGTAGGTGAACACCTGCGGGGTGGGCTCCCTCAAGGCAATTTGAGTCCGGGCTGAAATCCCTGGCTTCTCAAATAGAGGAATTTCCAATCTGATATGGTCAAAGTCAGATTTTTTTCGGAGCCTTCATTTCCAACCTAAAAGTCAAAATTGTCCAACCTTGCGTAACTTAGGCCAGATTGTCCCATTAGGGACCCCTTTTAGACTTGATAGACTAGCCCTGAGATCTTTGTCTAGTTTATCTTCCTTTTTTCCTTTTGATCACCTCCGAGAAAAAACTCACATTCTTACACAGATTTGGGGAAGGCCACAAAAGCAACTTAGGCAGGTAAGTCGCCCTACCTCTATAGGACATGCGTTTTGAGCCAGGACGCTGCTGGGAAAAAAGCAAAAAACTGCCACTCAAGCCAGACTATAAATTTGAGGAAATGGTGCTTGGCCTCTCACTTCGAGGCTAACCTACCATTGGGCAGCTCTTCGCACCAAAAATGAGTCTGGGTATACATAAGGACACCCACCACGGACAGGTTGCTGATCACCAGCCATTTTATGTATATAAAATTGAGGAGGTTAAAAAGAAAGAAAAGAAGACTAATGTGATGAATAAAATATTGCAGGAAGAAATCGGGGAAATTAACGAAAAACTAAAGGATGAAATTAAGGAAAAAGAAAAAGTAGTGAAGGAAAAAGAAGAAATTAAAGAAAATTTTGAAAAAGTGAAAGCTGATGCAAAAGCCAAGGAGGATTCATTGCTAATGATATTGGAAAGCAAGGATAGCGTTATTTATAAAAAGCAATGCGAAATTGATAACTTAAAAAAAGAGGTGCAAGGGTTAAAAGAAAAAAGCGAGAGCCTAAAGGAAAATGGAAAAGAAATCGAGATGCTTAAACAGCAAATTGAAGAGCTAAAAACAAAGCTAAATCAAACAGAAAATGAAACTAAAGCTGAAAATGAGCATGAAGAACTGCATGCAGCAGTTCAAAAATACTTAAACGAAAAGAATATCCCTGGCCTCTTCAAGCTGATACAAAACAATAAATACTCGTGCGGAACAGATATTTACATTTTGACACTGAAAAACGGAAAAATTTTTTGCACTAAAGAAATCCCGATCGAACGTATCGTGGCATCGAATTTAAGAATAAATCCTTCAGCTACCTACAATAAAACACCTGAGACATATAAAACTCCAGTTAGAGGGCATATGAATCAGACAAGAAATTATAACCCAGATGGCGCTGAAACAGAAAATTCTGAAGAAATATTCAGCAGGTCATCTTTCAGCTCAGAAAAAACTGTCTCAAACACCCCAGAATTAGCCCACAAGCGTGTATCAAAAAGGATTGTGAATGTCTCAAATTTTACTAAAAGCAGTGTTTCTCCTTTGAGAGAAATTACAAAAAAAGATTCCAAATCTTTTAAAAGAGCTTCATTTAAATAACTTAAATAAATTAGCTCAAAATTTTCTATATAAATTTATTATAAATACCTTGAAACTCTTATAACTTTCTCCAATCCTCTGCATTTATAAGCTAGAATAATCATTTATTTTTGGATTTTCTGAGTTTAAAGTACTTGAATCGTCAATCTTGATTTGTGTATTCGGAATTTTGTAAGAAATAATAAAAAATATCCCAAAACTCACAGAAGTCAAAATCCCAATCATCCATAAAGCAGATAGATTTGATAGCTCATAAAAAGATATAATAGGGTATGTATAAATAAGACCAAATAAGGTAGCTAAAAAGAAGATCATATTAGACGGTATTGATTCTTCTAGTTTTGAGTTTTGTTGAAGTGCTGCTCTAATTCCTAAAGGGATGTGGCCAATTAATCCAAAGCCAACTATCATGCTTCCAAAGATAGAAACTATATAGTCACCATCTAGCGAAGCCCATACCATTATAGATGCTATAGACATTATCAAAAATACCCTTAAAGATCAAAGGACTGAGTTGTATCTCATTGCAATGTAAGATGCAATTAGTCCTCCTGTCAGCCCAGAAAAAGACATAATAAATCCTAATCAGCCTACTTGTATCATGGTAATTCCATTATGCTCTAATATTAAAGATAAAACTCCAATTAAAGCATAGCTTATTCCTATTCCTGAGCCTGAGCAAAAAACAATGCACATCATCATAGGATCCTTAATCAGTGTAATTGCTCCTCTTAGCATATCCGATTCCTTTCTTTTTAAAGGATCTTTACTAGAGCACAAAATATTTAGTGATGTAACAATAGTAGAAAATACAGCATGAGACAAATTTAATATCGGTATATTTTTCACATACGGTCCTAATATAAACGAAGTCCCCATCCCAATAAAATTGCTAATACTTCCTACAGCAATTGCAATGCCCTGATCTTCTTGTTGAAATCATAAGAAAGCTAACGTTAAGCATCCGCATAAAATTAGCATATTTGTTGAAGCAAAAATAAACTGCCCAAACAAAGCTATATAATAATCATGCCCAGCCAAATATTTAACTCAACACCCAACAAAAGCAGAAATTCAAGATGCCATCATGGTTCAATGATAAGACTTGCTTAAAATCCAAGGTGTGATTGGTGCAGAAGCAATCGAGGTGATCATGAAGCTTGTTATAAACATAGTAATTTGGTCTTCGTTCGCATTATAATATTTTTCAGCTTCTTCTGATATAGAACTAAAAGCGCAAAAAACAGCACCATTGATAAAATTTAGACAAAAATATAGGAAAAGCATGATCCAATTTTTTCCTAATATAGTAATTTATATATATGATTACTTTTTAAATGATTTTTTGCTTATTTTTCTATAAGAAATAGGGCATTTATTATAGTTTTCATATAGTTTATCTATTTTATATTGCATATATTCATGATTTTATTATTAAATACCTGTTGAAAATAAATGGAATTCTGTCCATTTCTAATTCATTTGAAAATAGATGTTTAAATTATTATTTTCGGGTGGTCTTTATATGCTATATCATCAGGGATTGTAACGAGTGATTGATTATTGTCATGAGCTTCGCAGTTTGTATTATTTTCAAAAGTCAGAAGAACGTTGGATTCTTCTAAAGAGCAGTCTCTTTTGCATAAGCAGCAAGTCTAGATAATTATTACTTTGCTAGTAAGAAATCACTCTTCTATACATAAAGTATGAAATAAATGATTACAGGGCAGCATTCTCACTGTGGAATTCCCTTGGAATTGCTCAAAGCAGATCGCACAAGTCAAATTTGAATTATGAGTCAGGCTAATCGTAGAAAATTGTAGCGCCGGGTACTTTTTGTTTATAAACGACGCTGAAAGCCCAGGGGACCCTTCTTGCTCCTTCATTGTTTCATTAAAAAGCCAGCACTTCTTCCATTTGCAATATAATGTTACAGCAATAACAAAAGCGATGAATCCAATGACCACGCTGATGCTATAAAAAAGGACCGGTTTATCTCTTATAGAGGAGTCTGACTCTTTGTATCTAATATACAGATCCAATGAGCTATTCGGGTTCATTTTATTGTACAGCAAAAAATACAGTCGTCCTTTGATCTTTGTGACATCAATGTCAAGCGACCTTGAATTATCTGACCCTTGGAGAATCACTGATAAATAATAATTATAAAGCGATGGCAGACTTGACGGCCTAACTCCCCCCCCTCCGTGAGTGAACAAAACCATAAGAAAAATCCCTATTTTTTGCCCAAAAACCCACCCTCCGTAAGTGAACAAAAATTTTTTTAATAGAAAAATTTTTTATGGAAGAAAAATTTGATATATAAATGATAATTAGTATAATGAAATCTAGAGCTAATTCTGTTTTAATTTTAAACGAATTGCTTTTTAAAACATAAATTTTGCAAATTGAATTAATATTTGCTTTCCAATTTTTGCGAAATTAGGATTTTTTTAAATTTCAAAAAAAATATTTTTCTATAAAATTTATATATAAATTTTGTTTAAAAAAAAAAATTTAACCCCCCTCAGTGAGTGAACAAAATTTTTTTGTTCACTCACGGAGGGGGGGAGTAAGTAGAAATTACGAGTTTCCATCATAATTCAGCAACAAAATCCCAGCATTTCCTTCTCACTCCATTTCTAGCTTTATTTCGTTGGATTTTATAGGGCTCATATTGATATACCCATAAGTTTTCCCATATACAGGAGCTCTAATAACAGATTCTGATTCCTTTAGCTCGACTGCTGGGATTCTGCAGCTTTGGCCTATAAACCCGCTAAAACAATTACATTTATTTAAAGAAACACAATTTCCATTGCCGCTGCAATCGTTTGGGCATAGAATCCGTTCTTTTGAGTCCAGCCCTATTTTATATTTCATAGAGCTGGATTCAAAATTGGCGTTTCCAACTCCGACATATATTTCTGGCCAGCTTGATATCTCTGAGCTCAGCAATATAAGGGAATGATGATTTGATTCGGAGTAAAATTCATCGAAATCAACAAAATCTGCTATAACTGATGACTGGCTGCTCCCAAAAACAGGTTTTTTGCTGCTTAGGGCAAGAACTGGTCTTGCGTTTCCTTGACTTGAAGTTATTTCTAACCATATCCTTAGATATGTTTTTAGAAATAAAGGTCTTGGGAGAGTATAATAAGTCCATTGGTTTGAATTGCTCGTTTCTATCACGTCTTCGGGATTAAGGCTGATGTTTTTTTGGCTTTTGATTGTCAATATTGACAAAGACAACAGGATTGAAGTCATAATCATCTTAAAATAATATTTTATTATCCTTTTTATAAAATTGTGTGTTAGAAGATATGATAATCGATTTTGTATCAAATTAAGAAACTATGTGAATTCTTTGAAAATGAGGTAATGAAGATTTACCAGACCACATATTTTCATAAGAAATGGATTTAGGAGATATTAAATTTGAATTATTTTTAGCTGTTTAGATTAAAGATAAAATCTATTCGTTAATGATTAATAAAATTTAGTAGGAACTTCTAATCAGTTAATTATTCCTAAGTTTATTTACTTTTTCGATTTATGTAAACATGGAACATTCTTGAATTATAATGCCAAATGCAATGCTATTTTAGCGATTTCAAAGAGAAAAGTGACGAAATACATAAAAAATTCTTGTGAGGCTTAATTGAAATTCCTTTTAATTTTTTCACCATGTTAGCAGTAAAGATGAGAGAGAAATTTAGTGAAAATAGAATGCTTTCTTTACCAAATTTAATGCCAGTATGCTCAATGAAAATTAGTAATCCTTAAAAACTTTTCCTTATAAGTGTAAGAATTGTTTTTTGATTTTCAGTGAGTATGAATTAATCATTTTATAATTTTTCAAAAAACGAATAATTCAGAGTTTGATACCTTAAATATTTCACATTGCTATTAAAAAATAAAGCTATCATTGATTTCAATTAAATACAACATTTGGCTTTAAATAACTGCTTAACCCTTTTTATGAAAATATTCTCATGTTTTGCTTATATAAAATTCTATCGGATATAATTTGATAAGCGTTTTATATGAAACAAGTATTCCACTAATTTTACGTTTTTAGATAATTAGCTTAAATTAATAATTGTGTGTATTTTTTACAAGTTAGGTGTTATGCATATTTTATTGAACTTTAATTATTTGATTTCTTGGTTTGCGGCTACGGTAATTGTGCAGCATTTTTCAAAACTTTCGAAAGCAATGATATTTAGATTAGCTGAATATATAAGGTACACATCTTTTTTTCGAAGCCAGTGAGTGATGTTATCAAATTAGGTAGCTTCGCCTCTGGCTACTTTGTGTTTATGCCAAAATTCCTATTCTTGATACCAATATACTCTATTGGGAAATCAGGCAACTCTTCTTGGGTATCACCATTTCCATCTCAGTCACCTCACCCATTACTACTTTATCTCTGCATCCTACTCCTAGTCATATCGCTCACTAAAGAGAGGAGCATCCAACTAATTCTCCTCCTAGAGTGCTCCCTTTTTTCAGATCGTCCTGGAAAAGTGCTCAACTGTTTGAGTCGCAAGTAATAACCAAAGAATTAAGTCACAACCAGGAGATTTGGAACGAATGCTCCTGAAGCTGTTGGGCTTAAAATCCATGCCTAGATATGTGCAGAAAATCGTCTTGAGAGGATAAGTCGGCTATTCTAACTATTTTATTTATATTCAAAAAGCGATGATAATTGCTGTAAGATTATCATTACTTCTTTTTTTCATGCTTTGTGAGATTATTGCTTCGACTGCATTCCTGCAAGAATTTGAAGCTAAATCCTCAGATTTTTTATTGCTTTCTCACACAGTTGTCACTACATCTTTCGAGCTCATTACATCAAAAATTCCATCACATCCCATCACAATGAAATCATGCTGCTTTTTGATTTTAAATGATTTTATCTCTGGAATAGCAATAAGGACATTTGGATTTCCTCCGAAATCAGCATTTTTAGCATCAATGTCTCCAAAAGTTCTGCTAACAGAAAGTCTTCCAGGTAATACTCTGTAAATCTTGTTCGGTGAGCTCGAGTTAAAGTAAATTTTTCCGCCTTGTAATTGAATTCTAGCTTGCTCATCTGGGTCATTTGGTTTATGGTCCCTTGTAATTGTGAAAACCTGCTGGCCCTGAGATCCACTCATGACTGCTCTTGAATCCCCGAGATTGGCCACATAGCAAATTTTTCCTATAATGAGGACTACAAGGGCACAAGATCCTGATTTTTCACCAGTGTCCCTTGCTACATTTAAGAAATCTATCTCAGCCTGTGCAAATCCTCTTAATATAGCTTGCTTTGGAGATTCAGGAAAAAAATGATCATTTATTATATAATGGTGCAAATTATCTCTTAAGAAGTTAGAGCAAGCTTTGCCACCATGCCCATCGTAAAGCCCGAAAAAAGAGCAATCTGTTCATATCTTTTTTGCGGGGTGTGATGTATTTTTAATTTTGAGAATAATCATTGCTTTGTCTTCATTATAAATTCGAGTTAGTCCTTGATGAGTATTGGCTGCGTATGCTTTAATTTTTCCAAATGATGAATTTGAGACTGTTGATGGGTTTAAGCGAGGTATAGCTCGGTCTGTGAGAAGAATATTTGGCAAAGTTTGAGTAGTTTCTAGTCTCCTACCGTTGAATGGTTTAATTTCAGGCAACTTGCTTAAATTTGGAGTCGAGCAATTAAGGTGCTCCACTCATTTACTAAAGTTGTTTTTTGAAGTCTTTAAAGTAGGTGTTTCAGACATCCCAAAATTTTTAATCTCTGGTAAATTGGTATACGATTGATTTTTTAAGCCTTTGAATGTGAAATTCATTACTCTAAGTCTATTTAATAAAAAACACTGACATTTATGATAAAAAAAAATTAAGAATCTTTAAAAGAAATAAATTTGGATTTGAATTTTGGACTCTTTTTAATTTTTTTAATTTCCATTATTATGATTTTAATAAGAAAATTATATTGACTCTAAAATTCAAAGAATAAAATAACTACTTTCAAAAATTAAATTTTTTTATAATAAAAATTAAAACATCTAGAGAAACCCGGCGAACAGTCTAAAATCTATAAAGAAATATTTAATTTAACTATACAATAAAATTAATAAGAGTTTAAAATATTTTATAATTCCACAATTATCAAGAATATTTTTATTGCTTTCATTTAATTACTATAAAAAATCATTTTTGAACAAAAATATTTATTTTAAATCAAAAAGTAATAACAATATTTAAATTAAATACATCACCATTTAAGTGCATTAGAACTGACTCTATAATCGTCTTCATGAACAAAAGCAGCCATAATTGCTGTAAAATTATCTGTGCTTGCTCTTCTCATACTTTGTCTGATAATTGCCCCAACTGCATTTCTACAAGAGCTTGGAGTAAGCTAATTATGTGTCATTACATTAATTAATTATAGCTCTTCTTCCTTTAAATCCACTGCCGTTTTACATTCCAGAACTTCTGCTCCTAGTTCGGGATACCTCGCCTTTTAATGTCTATCAGTATTTGCTTCGATCAGTTGGTTTTAGATTTATTTATTATAAAAAAATTAATTAAATTGAATTAAGAAAAATTAAAATGCTTAAAGAATTATTATGTTAAATTTATTCTTTTAATATAAATTATAATAATAAAGTCATTTTGGATAATTGTCTATTGATTATAGCTATTCTGGCTGACAATTTAAATGATTTTCATTAGCCTTAAATAATTAAAATCTTTATTCTAAAGCAAAATATTTTTTAATTAATAATTCCTCAAAATTATTACAAAATTAAGTTATTAAGCACATTTCGATTTGGATCTAAATTGATCTCCGTGCTCAAAAGCAATCATAATAGCTGTAAGATTGTCTGAGCTTCTTCTTTTCATACTTTCAATAACAATCCCTTCAACTGCATTTCTACAAAAGCTCGGCGTTAAGTCATTAGATAATGGATTGCTATTCCAAGCTGTCGATACTACATCTTGTGTGCTCATAACATCGAAAATTCCGTCGCACCCCATCATAATAAAATCATAATGTTTTTTAATTTTGAAATATTTTACTTCAGGGGTTGCAATTAAAACGTCTGGATTGCCTCCATAGATGGGATCCTTAGCATCTATATCACCAATAGTTCTACTTACTGAAAGTTGACCTGGTGATACTCTATAAATACTATTAACAGAGTTTACATTGCAATAAATTGATCCTCCGTTTTGTTTAATTCTTGCTTGCTCTTCAGGGTCGTTTGGTTTATGATCTCTCGTTATAGAAATTGCTTGCTGGCCTTTAGATCCACTAATAATAGCCCTTGAGTCTCCAACATTTGCCACATAGCATATCTTCCCTACAATTAATACTACAAGGGCACAAGAGCCTGCTCTTTCATTATTTTCTTTTGCCAACTTCAAAAAATCAGACTCAGCTCGAGAAAAACCTCTTAAAATGGCTTGTTTGGGGCAATCTGGGAAAAGAGGATCATTGATAATGTAATGGTGTAAATTGTCTCTTAAAAAGTTAGAACAAGCTTTGCCACCGTGCCCATCATAAAGTCCAAAAAACGAGCAATTTGGCCAAAGAGCTCTATTTTGATTCGTTGGATTTTTGACTCTTAGCTTTATTACAGCTTTATCTTCGTTATAGAGGCGTGTTAGGCCTTGATGAGTGTTTGCTGCATACGCCCTTATTTTACCGTTGGACGAGTTTGAAGTTGTAGATGGCTGTAATTGAGGCAATCCTCTTTCAGTAAACGTAATCTGATGATACAAAGGTGTTGCATCTAAATTTCTAAAGCAGCGAAGCTTTATGTCTGGGAGAGCATCAATATTCAACTCAGACCTTGACTTTAGAAATTGTTTTCCAAAAAAATTTTTACTTATACATACAGGTGATGGTGGCTGTGTGCTCCGAGGACCTCTGATATTCGGTAAAGTTTCAGAGGAAGGCGATCTTATGCTTTTTAAAAGAGCACTCATGGTTATTTTATTTGAATTATCATCAATTAAATTTGGCTGGTGAAAATATGGAGTTTTCTTTTGTATAAAAAGCTACATTTTGTCTATTTAAATTAAAAAATTTCTAAAAATTTTAATGAGTTTATTTGTTGTTTTATTTATATATCATTGACTTGTCCAGGAATTATTTTTTTTTATTTGTATAATAAATAAATTGGTTTATGAATCAAAGGCGTCTTAGTGAGTCTGTTATTAATTCCAGGGGGTATTTTAGCTCTAGAGCAAATAAATAAAGCTCGGAAAATTGATAAAATTGAATTATTTAAAATGTAGAGTTTTTGATTTAATCAGTTAAATGATGGAATAATGATATTTATTTGAATTTCTCAGACTTAATTCAAATAAAAAATGCATTAAGGATGGTATTTGAAATTTTTAGCTTTTTTAAAAGAATTCTACTGTTATTTAGACTTTTTTTTCGAAAAATTTTATCAATTAGTAGAAGCTTAACTATTAAAACGATTAAATACCTTATAATTAATAGTTATGTCTTTTCCAATGCAATCTCCTGCTTCTTAAAGAGCAATTCACTCATTTCAAATTACTAGATGGGCTAAGAGCGTTAAATTGAATTCCACAAATTAGATTGCCCAGAAATTTTTATTAATGATACTTCTTAATTTTTGAATTCTTTTCTCGGCAGTTTCTATCTTAAATATTAAATAGGCTGAATCCTTTTGCATCATTTGGCAGCTAAAGAGTGTCTTGGTCCATCTATGCATCTAGAAAGTTAGATATCCCTTAATTGACAATTTATTGGAATAAAATAATAACTTTTTTGAATAATTAATTTAAATTCATCAATGATAAAAAATGATATTTATTAATAAATAATGTGTTTAAACAATAAGCTAAAATTTACAAGAACTTAAATTATTTATAATAATAAAATTCTTTTATTTTTGACTTTGCTATTTTCATTAATCATTATAATTATTTTCATTTAATTAGACAATAAAAATTCACATTAAAAAATCCATTTATTTAAATTAAAAAATAATAAAAATATTTACAATTATATAAGTTATTAACTAAGCACACTTAGATTTTGCTCTGTAGTGGTTCTCATGGCTAAAAGAAATAATAATCGCGGTGAGATTATCTGAACTTGCTCTCCTCATACTTTGAGTAATAATTGCTTCGACCCCATTCCTACAAAAGCTCGCTGTTAAGTCATCAAATACTAAACTATTATTCCAAGCTGCTGAGACTACATCTTTTGAACTCATGACGTCAAAAATTCCATCACAGCCCATCATGATAAAATCATGACCTTTTTTTATTTTGAAAGATTTTACCTCTGGTATAGCACTTAAAACATATGGATTTCCTCCATATGCTGGATCTTTAGCATCTATATCACCAATAGTTCTACTTACTGAAAGTCGTCCTGGTGATACTCTATACCTTGTTTAACTAAATTTACAAATAAAATTTAAATATGATTTAATATAGAAACTTAAATAAAAAAGGCATATAAATAATGTGTTTGCTATTTGGGTTGTAATAAATTGATCCACCATTTTGATAAATTCTTGCTTGCTCTTCAGGATCATCTGGCTTGTGATCTCTCGTTATAGAAATTGCTTGCTGACCTTTATACGCACTAATAACAGCTCTTGAATCGCCCAAATTTGCGATATAGCACATTTTCCCTACAATTAATACTACTAGGGCACAAGAGCCAGCTTTTTCGTTAGTTTCTTTTGCTAACTTCAAAAATTCAGTCTCTGCTTGAGAAAAGCCTCTTAATATGGCTTGTTTTGGGAATTCTGGGAAAAGAGGATCATTGATAATGTAATGGTGCAAATTTTCTCTTATTCCCCCTTGATAGGTGAGCAAAACTACTAGGGGATATTTCACTATTTTAACAAATTAACCCATTAGCTGAGGGAGAGTTAAAAAATTTGAACAAGCTTTACCACCATGTCCATCATAAAGCCCAAAAAAAGAACAATTTGGCCATTGGACTTTGTTTTCTGCTGCTGGACTTTTGATTTTTATCCTCTCAAAAAAGAACTTGCATCCAGCCGAATAATTGTGTCATTATTTTTGCTAAATTACAGCATCTGAGCTAATATAAATAGATAACAATTTCTAAAAAATGATATAGAATAATTACAGCTTTATCTTCATTATAGAGACGAGTGAGACCTTGATGAGTATTTGCTGCATATGCCCTTATTTTGCCATTGGAAGAATTTGAAATTGTTGAAGGTTGCAAGTGTGGCAAAATTCTTTCACAAATCTTAATTTGTGGATATGTAGGTGTAGGGTCTATGTTTCTAAGGCAGCGAAGTTTGATATCAGGAAGAGCATCGAAGTTCGATACTGAACATGATGGCATAATTGATTTTCCAGAAAAATTTTTTCTTGTATATTATTCTGATAAAATTCCTAATGGTAATATATCAAGAAGGTCTATATTTTTTTAATTTTAATGGTATATATAATGTATGCATGTTGAGAAGATTCAATATATAGTAATATATGTTTAGGAGATGGAGGTTCTGAGTTTCTAGGACCCCTGAGAGTTGGCAAGGTTTCAGAGGAAGGCGCTTTTATACCTTTCAAATTAAATTGCTGCAGAATAAGGTAAATTATGAATTCTTCTAGAGTTAAAATAGCTTTGTTTCAATTTAATCTAGTACTTTATGTGCTTTTAAAAAAAACATCCATGATGCAGCTTTATTTTAATGACTAACAATATATTAGGTTCAACTTTTTATTTTCATTAATTACCATACAAAATGACCTATTAACATACCAAGATTAAACATCTTTAAAGACTGAAATTGTAATTGAACCTTAATAATGCCAAATAATATATTAAAACATTTCTAGAAGCATAAAATTTGCTGGTGAAAATGGAGGCTTTTATTTAATTTACCAGGCAGATTTTTGGTATAACTATCTTCGCTTGCAGATATAGGTTGTATTTTTTTATATTTGATATAATTTTAACTTTAAAGTGTGAGTTGTTTAAAATTAAATAGAAATAGCTCAATATTTCATTAAATAATTATCACGTATATCTCAAAATTTACAACTTTTGCACGATCATGGAGGATTGTTTATTAAGAAAGGTGAATTTTTCCAATGCTTGCACAATCGGAAGGAGTAAGTAAATTAACAAAAAATATAAAATTATGCAAATGCACTTGCTGTTTAAATTCTATATATCATAAACTCAGCCTATGATATATTTCTTTCTTTTTAGTAAAATCTATAAAATTGGTTTACGAAGTAAACTTACCTTGGCGTGCATTTTCTTGGTTTCTGGTCGTAGTATATTTCTAGAATTAATGCAAAAGGCTCTAAAATTGAGAAAGCAAAATTATCTCGCCATTAAAATGTTTTTATTTTAATCACTTTTAATAATAAAATTACTACAAAATAATCGAATATCACAATTAATTCAAAGTTAGCGATGCATTAAGGTTAATCTTTTAATCCTAGGATCATTTAACTAGAATTTCACAATTCTATTGCTAGCTTTTTGGGAAAGCTCTCTATTATAATAGAGTTTTAGTTATGAAAATGACTTGATGCTTCATGCAAATGCTGATAGCTTAAGCCAGAAGACTCAAAGCTATCATTGTAACTTGCTAAATCCTTTCAGCTTTTAGTTACATATTGTGGCTGATACCTTTAAATGTCACTTTTAAGATGAGGGATTGAGGTCTTGTTGCATGACGTGATTTATCTGAATTTTCTGTTTGGATCTAAAAAAATAGCCTTGAGATTGCAGTATGAAGCTTGCTTTAAGGTGTTTTAACATCTGAATTATTATGTCTCTTGATTCATAAAATGGATGCTGGTAGCTTTAAATTTACTGACTATTTACATTTATCAATATATTGATATTTACATTTCGCTGATGTGCAGATCTAAAAACTGCTATTTTTGAGCTGCTTTTAACACAAAAGATATTTTAAGTGCATTATTAGCGATTCTCGAGGTTCAAAATTGGATCTTCCATATAGAGATTTTATTATGATATTAAAAATTCTTATTGCCCTAAAACCTTTTAGCTCATCTATATATATAATTTTTATTTTTAGCGCTCTAATGGAGGTCTTTATATATTAAATTTATAAATACTAAAGAAGTTTAATAAGAATATACTTTAAAAGTTGATATTAGAATTAGGATTTTTATAATAGTAATAATCTAGCCTAAAACCAATAATCAGTTTTAATTTTAGATTTATAATTTTCTTTATCAATAATTAATAACAATAAACAATAATTCTTAAAAAATTATTACAATTGTATTCATCTTTAACTAAGCGCACTTCGATTTGGCTCTATATTGGTCTTCATGACCAAACGCAATTACAATAGCTGTGAGGTTGTCTGAGCTTCCTCTTTTCATGCTTTGTGTGACAATTTCTTCGACCGCATTCCTACAAAAGCTCGCTGTTAAATCATCAGATATTAAATTACTATTCCACGCTGTCGACACTACATCTTTTGTGCTCATAACGTCAAAAACTCCATCACAGCCCATCATGATAAAATCATGCTGTTTTTTTATTTTGAACGATTTTATTTCAGGTGTTGCGATTAAAACATTCTGGTTGCCTCCATATGCAGGATCCTTGGCATCTATATCACCAATAGTGCGACTAACTGAAAGTCTGCCTGGCGATACTCTATAAATGATATTTTGTGAGCTTGGATTGTAATAAATTGACCCTCCGTTCTCCTGAATTCTCTTTTGCTCTTCAGGATCATTTGGTTTATGATCTCTCGTTATAGAAATTGCTTGCTGGCCTTTAGACGCACTAATAGCAGCCCTTGAGTCTCCAACATTTGCCACGTAGCACATTTTCCCTACAATTAATACTACAAGGGCGCAAGAGCCTGCTTTTTCATTGGTTTCTTTTGCCAGTTTCAAAAAATCAGATTCGGCTTGAGAAAAACCTCTTAATATGGCTTGTTTAGGGGAATCTGGGAAAAGAGGATCGTTGATAATGTAATGGTGTAAATTGTCTCTTAAAAAGTTAGAACAAGCTTTGCCACCGTGCCCATCATAAAGTCCAAAAAATGAGCAATTTGGCCATTGAGATCTATTTTGATTTAGTGGACTTTTGATTTTTAGTATAATTATGGCTTTGTCTTCGTTGTAGAGACGGGTTAAGCCTTGGTGGGTGTTAGCTGCATATGCCCTTATTTTACCACAGGAAGAGTTTGAAATTGTTGACGGTAGTAACCGTGGTAAGACACGATCAGAAAGGGAAATTTGAGGGAATGTCGGCGTAACTTCTACGTGCCTGAGGTTACGGAGTTTTATATCGGGAAGTGCGTCAAAGTTCGGCACTGAGCTTGATGGCACAATCGATTTTCCAGATAAATGCTTCTTTGTGTATCTAGGTGTTGGTGTTTCTGAGACCCGAGGACCTCTGATGCTTGGCAGGGTTTCAGAGGAAGGCGATTTTACACTTTTAAAAAAAACATTCATGATTATTTTATTTCAATACTTAGCAAAAATTCGCTGGTTAAAATGGTGTATTTCTTATAATTAACAAGGCAGCATCTCGTATTGCACAATTAAAAAAATTTCTAAATTTATTTGAATACTTTATACACTTGCATCTTATGTCTTATAAATTTTTCTTAAGTAACATTATCTTTATTTTATGGCGAAAAATATAAAATTGGCTTGGAAGCTAAAACTCTTTAATATGCATATTTTCTGCATTGGGCATCAGGATATTTCTAGAACTAATGCATATGCTCTAAATTCATCAGTAAATTATCCAATGGAGAATTTTTATTTTAATAATTAATTTATACAAATAATTGAAATATCATAATTAATTTAAAATAGACTATTCATTAGTTAAAATATAAATCTTTATCTTATTTAAATGATTTCACTATTATTCAGCTTTCCTTCTTGCAGAGCTTTCCCTTATAATCGAATTTTCGCTATGAAAATGATTTGAAACTTCATGCAATTGTTGATGGCCTAAATCAGAAGAATCGAAGCTTTCATTTTTACTTATATGAGATCTTGATACTCTATTAGCTACAGATTGTGACTGGTAATTTGTTAAGGTTTTTCTATGGCGAGGCATAGGTGGTCTTGAAGTATGGGTCGGATTTATCCCGATCTCTGCTTGGATTTGGCTAAACGGTGATGAAGCAACTGTAGGAGGCCTGCCTGAAGGTGTTTCAACAACAGAATTATTGTGCTCTCTTGAATCATGCAAATGGATGCTACTTATTTCGAATTCTCTAATTGTCTCACAATTATCCATATAGCTGTCTCTGCTTTGCGGTACATCTGCAGACCCAAAAACTGATACTTTTGTGCTGCTTTTGTTGAATATTGTCTTAAAATGCATTTTCAATGATTTCCGAGATTGAGCATTAGTCTCTTCCTCAAGAGATTTTACAATAGCATTTAAAGTTTCAAAGATTCCTTTACTCCCCCCCCCCTCCGTGAGTGAACAAAAAAATTTTTGTTCACTCACGGAGGGGGGTTTATTTTTTTTTTTAAAAAAATTTATATATAAATTTTATAAAAAATATTTTTTTCCGAAATTTAAAAAAAATCCTAATTCGCAAAAATTGGAAAGCAAATATTATTTTTAATTTATAAAAATTTATGTTTTAAAACGCAATTTGTTTAAAATTAAACAGAATTAGCTCTAGATTTCATTATGCTAATTATCACTTATTTTTTCCATAAAAAATTTTTCTATTAAAAAAATTTTTGTTCACTCACGGAGGGTGGGTTTTTGGGCAAAAAATGCCGATTTTTCTAATGGTTTTGTTCACTCACGGAGGGGGGGGAGTTAGATGAATTTCTACTTTCAAGCATCATAGAAGGGGTTAAGTCAAGTGAACATTTAATACTAGAAACACTTTGGAAGCTTAATTTAGACATACTTATCATGGTTTTCCGGCCCTGTTTCATGTTAGAAATTTGATCTTTGATTTTAGTTGACAAAGATTTAAGTTCAGAATAGCCTTTCTTAGCAGAATCGACTGCTTTGTCACTGTTCTCTACAAGTGTGTAGCAGAAAGCTCTGGACTGTTCTATGATACTTTGACAGATTACTGTAGGCGGAGTTGGTATCTTGCTGAAGTTTGCATCATAGGCTTGGGAAAGCTTGCTATGGATTTTTGAGGCTTCTTTTAAGAAAGATTTCAGTCCTCTAACAAAGGAAAGGGTTGTATTGAGTCTTTTTAAGAGTAAATCATAGTTGTCAGATGCCGTATCCATTTTGTTTAATTTTATTATATCTGAAATTAAGGAAGGTTATATTGTTTATTTGAGCAAATAATTGAATTTAAAATCAGTACTATTGCGCTCTATTCCTTTTAAAAGCGCTATTTCACATATACCTTCTTTTATATATAAAATTCATTAATAATTAAAACTCAGCACTGAGCTTTGGATTCATAGTCTATAAAATATCATTTCTTATATAATTTCTCAAAATTATTAAAAATATGATTTTGAACCGATAAAAGAAAAACTGTTAACTTAAAGATGGGTAAATTAATAAGTTTAAATAAAAACCCAAAAACCTTTTTTTATATATTTTAGCTAAGAATAGCTTGAAATCGATTTGCTTACCCTTATTAAAATAGCAATTTTTCAAAAACTAGCTCAATCTATTAGAAATGGAAAAAATCAAATGTTTTATATCACCTTTATTTACTTAATTCTAATTCAAATTAGTCTTCCTAGCACTTTACTCCAATATTTAAAAGTTTAACCGATTTCTAACTCCATTTTATTCGTTTATTATAATATGATCTTCCTACTTCTAATCTCATTTGCTTTAGGAGACCTGCCAGTTCATTGCACTTACAAACAAATAGTGGGAGACTGGACATTTACACTAAATTTAGACACTTTCCACGCCTATCTTGACGATTCTCAAACTTTTTGTGGACATGGCCAGCCAGACCATATTCTTGATATCGACATATCAGATACTTTTGATTTCTCAAATAAGCAGAATGTAGATGTTACTTTACAAGAACCAAACATAGCTTATAGCTCTGAGTATGGACAAGGCACTTGGACAATGATCTATGACGAAGGCTTTTTAATTGACTTTCAAGACATTTCATTTTTCACTTATTCTTTATATGTCCACTCCCAAAACAGCGTAGGAAAATACGACAGTGTCTGTGACAAGACCACTATTGGCTGGTATCGAGGCAGCGATCCTAAAGATCATAGGAACTGGGGCTGCTTCTTTGCTATGAAAAATGGAGAAGATGATTTAGAACTTAAAGAGGCCGAAACGGATACCTATAAGTGAATTCAGCCAACTGACACTGTAAGCTTCTTACAAGTAGATAAGCTTTATGACGACTTCGACTCAGAAGTAGCCAAAATAAACCAAGCCCAGTCATCGTGGACTGCAGAACTGAATCCTCAATTTAAAGGAATGACAATGATGCAGGTAAATCAACAGATGGGAAGGAGCTCTAGGACTATAAAGATTGAGCCAAGCTATACAAATGATAAAATATTAGACCAAGGGGTGTATGAAGATGAAGAAGATAGCGAAAATTTGGGAAATGATGATATTTTGTATTATTGGAATACTCCAAATAGCAAAATTAGTGAAGAGGAGTTACCTGAATCGTGGGATTGGACCAATATTAATGGAGTTAACTATGTCCCGAGCCCTAGAGAACAAAAAAACTGTGGGTCTTGTTATATTTTGTCAACTATAGAAATGATTGAATCTAGGCTGAGGATTTTGACAAATAATGATTTTCAGACGTCGCTTAGCATACAATATGCATTAAGCTGCAACTTCTATACAGAAGGCTGCAATGGAGGGTATCCAACACTAGTTAATAAATTATTTGTCCTATTATTATCTAGTTTCTATAATAAAAAGCATTATATTTTATTATTAAAATCAATATTTATTTATAAAAATATAATAAATTTATATAGCGCTTTCCCGAGGATGGCGCGGAATGGCGCCATCCTCGGGAAAGTCAACTAAGCATCCACACGGGAACTGGGAGTTCCACGTGTGGATGCCATTTTTTGACATGTGGGATCCAAACTTCCACATGTCAAAATGGCATCCACACGTGGAACTCCCAGTTCCCGTGTGGATGCCTTCCTGGCTTTCCCGAGGATGGCGCCATTCCGCGCCATCCTCGGGAAAGCGCTATATCAGAATTCAACCTGATCCCAGACTCTTGCGCTCACTACCAAGCCAAAAATACCGAATGTGTCACTGAATGTGACAGCCCTCTGAGAGTTTCTGTTTCGGATTACTACTATATAGGAGGCTACTATGGCGCTGCAGATGAAGAAAATATGATGAAAGAAATCCGGGCAAGAGGATATTAACTTAACTTAAATTACAGGTCTTGGCTTGTTCGCCTATTGGCAACGCAGTCATCAAGGATCTTTAGGGAGATTGACCCTTTTGTGACGACAGAGAAAACTTGTCTGAGTTTGGATGATTTAGCTGGCGAGTTGAAGGTTCGGACACCACCTTTCCTCTTTTTCGTTACCTGACGCAATGGCATCTGTGAAGTAGAGTTCTGTGTCTTCGTCTCCTTCTTGCATTGCCAACTACAGTGTTAAGTAGGAAGGCTATGCACTTCTGCGCCATGCTGCTTCGGTTGAGCGAAGGTTATCTGCAGTTGCCCCGAATGATCTAGGCATTATCTATAGACGCTGCTGGCTTTCCGTTTCCAACTCTGAATGCTACTTTTTTATTGAGGTAAAATCCAATCCCTTGAAGCGGACTAGGGCTAGTCTTTGTACAATACTAGAATTGCTTACCGAGCATTGTTGTCCATTCTGGGCTAGCAAAACCTTGCCTGATATAAATAAAATGTGCTTGAGGCAATATTGCCTCCTGGTAATTCCGACCGAAACGCCATTTTATTTATATAGGACAAGAGGACCAATTATTGCAAATTTAGAGCCGTCAAGGGATTTCTCATTCTATAAGAATGGAATATATGAAAGCGTTGCTAATAGAAAAGAAGACGGCGACATCTCATCAACAAATATGAGAGAAAGTGATATGGAGTGGGAAAAAGTAAAACCATTAGAATAAATAAAAATAAAAAAGTTAAAATTAATATGTTATTTAATAGGAAAATAGGATAACAATAGTAAAAAATTAAGAGATATTTAATCTTGTTAATATAGATCATAGCATTTTAATTGTAGGATGGGGAGTAGAAAACGGCACAAAATATTGGAAAGCTCTAAATAGCTGGGGCACTCAATGGGGAGAAAACGGTTTTTTTAGGATTAAAAGAGGAGTTGATGAGTGCGCTATAGAATCCATGGGAGAAGCAGCTATCCCTTATATTGTATAAGAATTACTAATTTAGGGTCATATTTAAGTGAAACTATTACTATATTAATTTAATTATTTTCCAAGCTTCTCTGATTAACAAAGATTCTAATATTTTGTTTCGAACCCACAGTAAAAATTACATGCTTAATTTCAAGCAAATCATTCTCAATGCCAGCTTGAACTAAATCCACTATTTTCCTCGGCGCAAATAAAGCATATTCCGTGCACCTTTTCTTTCTGGGGTAAAAACTTTCAAAAAAATTATTTTTCCCTGGCATTTCGCTTGATTTCATAGTATTTCAAATATAAATTCTGCCTTTTTCTGACCCACAAAGGAGGTATTCTCCGTCTTCAGATAAGCTTGATCTTATAGGGTATTTAATATTTTCCGTGCCTTTAAATTTTTGTAATAACAAATTTTCTTTATAGCGGTAAAGTCTGATATTAGAATCATTAGTAGTGACACACAAGTGGTCATTGTCGATGAATTCTAGCCCAGTGACTCTTTTCCCTCCAGATTTTAAGCCTCTGCGGTTTCTGCACAACAATGTAGCCCCAAGCCGGAGCTTATAATCAAACCTGCCTTGGTATAATAAGACTTGCCCTTTATCTGCGCCTACAGCTAAAAATTCTCCTGATGGAGAATAGCACAGGCAACTTATTTCTCCAGGGGCTTGATAAAATCCTTCTATAACTTTTTCCGGCAGCTTAAAAAGCCTGATAATCATATCTTTTGTCGCAGTCACAAAATAATTGGAATCCATAGGATTATAGCATACAGAATTTACCTCACAAGGATGCTGGACTGTTTCCATTGAGTTTAATCTGCCTTGCACCCACATTTTTACAGTTTTGTCAGCAGAAGACGATAATAGATTGTTCTCTTTTCCTCAACTTATGTCAGTAACTGGGCCTGCATGCTCAGTCAAAATATGTGAAGGGTCATTGCTTAGAATCCCATCTGCTGAAGAATTAATGTCAAAAATCATTATTTTACCATTACTCCCAGCAACTGCGAACATTCGTGAGTCAAGGCTGAATTTTGCGACACAAATTATATTGCTTTCTTTGTGGGGAAGATCGATTTCTTGTAAAAACTGGAGGTTATTGAATTCAAGAGAGTCTTTTTTTGTTGTCTATATGATTAATACTTTGTATTAAACTTTATAATAAATAGAATGGAATTTGGTTAGAGAGAAATTAGCATTGATGATTTTCTCTACCTCTGAATTGGTTTGGGTTTCCTGACTCCCCCCCCCCTTTAAATTGGAACTAAAAATTTTGTTCCAATTTTAAAGGGGGGTTAATTTTTATTTTTTAAAAAAAATATCAATATAAAATTTTTTATAAAAATATATAAAAATTTAAAAAAAAAAATTTCCAAAACTTATCGAATTAGATTAATAATTTTGTTTAATAAAACGCTATTTACTCTTTATCCTTTAAAAAAAAGCAAGATATAACTAAATTTTCATTTATTAGTTAATACGCCACTATTAATTGGTATCAAAATTATTTACACAAAAAATTATTATTTTGATTGATAAAAAAAATTAAAAAAAAATAATTTTAGAAAATTTATCGATCAAAGTGCTAATTTTGTTTAAATAAGATGTTTATTTATACTCTATTCTTTAAAATAAAGCAAGAAATAAGTAAATTTTAAAATTTTATAAAGAATTCCTATTGAATTTATATCAAAACTATTTAAATAAAAAATATCATTTTTATCAAAAAAAACAAAAATTTTTTTAAAATTTACAATCAAGGATAATAAATTTATTTAAATAAGATGCTCTTTATACTTTTATCTTTAAAAAAGAGCAAGATATAACTAAATTTTTAATTTTAGTTAATAAGAAACATTTAATTTATATTAAATCTTTTTAGATAAAAATTATATATAATTTTTTTATTATAAAATTAAATTTTGTTCCAATTTAAAGGGGGGTTAATTTACCAAAAAAGTGGAAATTTTACCCGATATTTTGTTCCAATTTAAAGGAGGGGGGAGTGAGAGAACTTCTGTACAACAACAGCGGTTTAAATCTGACCATAGAGGGCAAGAGGAATTGCTTCTCAGTAATCAAAATGCTCAAGGTTTTACTACTTAGCATATCTGAGGAGTGATCCATAGCGTAGGAGCTAAATCAAGGCAAGAACGACGGTAGCATGCGGGTGAGAAGTGCAGCCGCTGGCGGCTCGTTGTTTAGGAAAGTCTCCCCATATGGTTACCATTTTTGTGTGAAGAATGCACGTGACATCACTAGCTTTAGGCTTAGTCCCTTTTCATTAGGGAGAGGCATCATGCACCTCAAATGCCTAACTAATCTTAGCAATCATATTCAACATTATAATCAATTAGGACAATAGACTGAGGCTTTGGATTTTCGATAATTACTGGGAGCTCTTCAGTAGGAGAAGGATTTGAGATAGGGAAAATTGCTTCGGTATAAGATCGCAATAAATTACTTGGAGGATTTTCAACTGAAATTGTTATACTCTTTCTAAATAATAAGCTTTTTGGCTTTTTTATTAAAATATAACGCATATTTGCTATAAAAAAGCCTAAAAAATTTGATTTTAAAGGAATTGGCTCAGGGTTATATTGCATTGTGGCTGATCGTTGATAGAGAGCTATTTGGTCTTCGGTTTCGCAGGCATCATAAAACTCATCTTCACTACAACTTGCAGGCTCCATTTAAGATTAATAAGATTAATAAAGGAGGTTCAATTATATAATCCAAGCTACCAGTCTATAAATGGATCATCTGAAGTTCTTACTGGAGGCGATAAAGTGCCTGAGTCTGGGTAATGCGAAAAGTTTGACGTATCATCTGGTGCTCTGATTGTAGGTCTGTATGGCATATCTAGCTGCTTTTGGAGCAATCTTATCCAGTCAAGTCCTGCATTCCATCGATGGTTTTTGATATCATTCACCCCATTTTTCAAATTGCCATAACGCTTAGTAAGGTCTGCAACCAGTAAATGCTTGACTAACTCTTCATTAAAATTATAAATAATGATAATTTTACTGATTAAATTATTTTTTTTTAAAACAATATTCAGTCAAAAGGGCTAAGCTCTTTGAGTTTTTATCGAAATTTCGAGGGAATTTAACCTTCCCTTTGAGGATTTTTTGATAAATTGCCATCGGATCGTCATCACTAAAAGGGTCAATTCCAGCCTGCATTTCATAAATAATGATCCCCAGAGTCCACCAATCCACTGGCTTCCCATGGCCTTTATTTAATAAAATTTCTGGAGCTAAATACTCTGGTGTTCCACAAAGTGTATAAGTTCTCCCTTCAACTGTTTTTGCAAAGCCAAAATCAGTCAGCTTTAAATATCCGTCTGCTGAAATAAGTAAATTTTCTGGCTTTAAGTCTCTATAAACGATGTTTAGCGAATGCATATAGACCAGACTGAGCTAAATCTGCCTATAAAATAATTCAAAATAATCATTAAAAATTATTAAAATAAGACACAGTCATTTTATTATATTTATGTATTAATATAATTCTATATATTCAAACATCAAGGTAATCTGAGCTGCATAGAGACGACAATGGTCGTTTTCCAGCTTTCCCACGTTGCGTAGATAACTGAAAAGTTCGCCACCAGGCACATAATCAAGTGCCAAGTACAAGTATCGATCATCTTGAGTGTAACCAATTAAATTCACCAGAAAAGGGTGACGGATCACACGAAGGATAGAAAACTCTGAAATGACATGGTCGACTTGCTTCATTCTGAGGATCTCGTATTTCTTTAGGATTTTCAAAGCCACGTAGTCGCCTGAGCGCTTAACACGGGCAAGGCGGACTCTTCCGAACGAGCCTGTGCCTAATGTTTGGAGTATTTCTAAATCAGATAGAGCTAATCTTCTATCCATTTATATATCCAAAAATAAGCCAGGTTCTTGGAATTATTCACTATTATTTATCTAAAAATAAATTAAATGTATATTTTCCTGCATTTTTTATTAGGAATTACAATAAAAGATTTTTTAAAATATATCAGGAATGTTAGTAAAGGAGCCACTTGATCTTTCTTCCCAGTATCCTCCAAGATATTTCCACTCGTTGCCTTCTAGACTAAACCACCGAGGGAAGTATTCACCTCCAGATTCCTGCAGAACTCTTCTGGCTGCTCTTTGTTTTTCTTCAAGTCTGAACTTTTCACTTATCGCAGTTTCTTCATCACCGTTTTCTAAAGCTCGCTGGTCTGGCCTACATCTGCTATCAGTTGGGCAGAGCCCTGGTACAGATTCTGGTGGGTTATTAAGCTGTAATGCGTAATCTGTCAAATGATAATAATATCTATACTCCTCTGGAGAAGGCTCAACCTCATACCCTAAAATTTCTTCCCCTGATTTTTCATCTCTAATTATCAACCTTCTTGATCAAAGCCCAGAAATTGTATATCTTATGGTGCCATCAGGCTCTGTTATAGTCCCTTCTACTTCATGCTCTTTTTTGCTGAACCATCCTTTTTTCTTCATTTTTACAACTGCAGTGATACCATTATTTTTATTAACAATCGTCTTTACTCCATGATGATCCAGAAACAGCTTGCCTATGATTATATTATTAGCATCAGTATATACTTTATTTCAGGTATAGTGGTCTTTGCATTTGTGGAGCATTAGGTTCACCGCTCCAACTGGCTTAATTCTAAGAAAAGTGCCTTTGAAGCTGCTTTTGGCTTGTAAATCTCCATAATAAGTATAATTTTCGTGCTCACAGTATAGTGCAGCTACAGGAGGATGGTGGCTAACTTGTTCGGTAATTATTCGAAAGCCATCCCTTTGTAGCTCAAAGGTTTCACCAAGAAGAGGATTAAAAATTATATTAAATTGAGGATTTCAAAGGTATTCTCATTAATCTTCTTAGCTCCACATGCCTCCGACTAGAGCCAACCTGCTTGCAAGGAAGAAAATCAGCAACTATTTGGAGCATTTGGTCTCCCCGATTAGAGGGTCTTATACTGTGAATCTCAAGAGTTTATGGGCTAAAAAGACTTCTCTATCAGTCAGGTGCTAAAGAGTTAAAGGCTTGGCCATACATCCATTCGCCAACTTGATAGGAGGAAAAAGAGTTACGCTCTATCCTGTTGAAAGGCATTAAAAAGCCTAAACCCTGGTTAGACTATAAAGTGGCTTTTACTGGGGGTGGCGCATCGTCATCGAGGACATATTAGTCGCCACCTCCATATTAATTACTGAGGATTAAATGGCTTCATAGTCCTGCCTAATGTTGTAGCATACGGAGATACAGCGAAGCATGCTACTAAAGCAGCTCGAAGAGAAGGATCAGGACACTCAGAAGCTCTATTAATAATGCTACTATATGTTAAATCTTCACTATATCGTTGCAGCATAGATAAAGGCTCATTAAAATAGACAGGAACGGCCATTTTGCTTAAATCCTTGCCAATGCTGTCTTTTAAGACTTTTCATATATTGTATTTTGCGTCGGGGTCTTTTTTGCAAGGAAGACAGTCTCGATGATATAACTCCATTTGATCAGGAATGCTTGGAGACCTGTCATTGACAGGGACGCAAAATGATGGACTATATGAGCTTCTTGCATCAACAAATTCTTCGGTCCCGCATTCACTTACTATTTCGGGGTCATATGATTGTTTTCTATTCATTTGCGCTGGTAGGGTCATTCGTCTATCGTAAATTTGTTCATAATTTATGGTTTCCATTTCTCTTACTCCCCCGCGTGAGCGAACAAAACCATTGGAAAATCCCTATTTTGGGGTAAACCCACCCAACCCAAAATTTTGATATATAGTGATAATTAGGATAATGAAATCTCAGCTAATTCTGTTTAGTTTTAAACAGCTTGCCTCTTAAAACACAAATTAAAATTACAATTTATTTTACATATTAGGATTTTACCATAAAATTTTTTAAAAGAAATTAACCCCCTCTGTAAGTGGACAAAACCTTTTGTTCGCTCACAGAGGAGGGGTCTAGCTTTTCCTCAAGATTTTCCATTTGCTTTTGGCAGTTAGAAGACTCTTCCTCTATTAGATTCACGGTATCCAAAGACAACGATTTAAACTCTTTTGCAGCATTCATCAAATCATGCAGAGACGGAGGAAAAGATGAAATTTCATCTTGCAGCAAGCTTAATTTCTCTTGCATAATTGACTCAAGAACTCATAATCTGCTTATATAATTTAAAATATTTTGATATTTCTGTTGATCTTCTAAAGGTTCTATTCCTTTTAATTTGTCTTTTGAGCACCGCTCTTCGTCTTTTTGCGTCGATTTATTCTCTTTGAGGGCTTCAATTCAGAGTTTTGCATCATGGATTGTCAAGGCTTTAAGGTGAACTCGGGAGATCCCTGTATTTATTTCGATCCTTTTTGGATCTTTATGTGGAATTACATCAGATATATCCAGATGGATTGCACCTTTATAGGGTTTGCCTTTATCATTAGAGTAATATACATAAAAATGGTGACGACAGATCACCCGACCTCTCGACCCTATTTCCTCAACACCTGCAGGCAGCGGCCCAGTGATGGGGATTTAGGTGGAAGGAGCCGGGAATCCTTTGTGTATGTCGGGCTAGGTTTTACTCGGGCCCTACGGAGCTAATCCGTGGGACTTGGGCTTTTACCTCCTGAACAACCATTGGAAAGGACAAAGACCGGCGACAGTCCCGAGTGGAGGTTAACTCCCTCGAACAGGACTCAAGAGGTGGCATTTGTCCAACGAGAAACTGGGAGTTTCGACCCAGGTGGTTAGCCCTTAGGCTCCAGGAGCCATGGAAGTCAAGATAGGTTGTGCGAATCCCTTGTTTGAGGCAACAAGGAGAGTGTCCGCCGAGGCTTTCATCATAGGTGAAGAGGATGCAGGGGTGCAAATCCCCGGCCCTGCAAGTGTGAACGGCTATTCTTAATCTTAATATTTATCATTAGAGTAATATAAAATTCCACTTGTTAGCACGAAATAGCGCCTGCACCAGCCAGAAACATAGTTGGTCCATTTTAAGAGAAATCCTTCCATAGTATTTGCTTGTTTACTTTATTAAGAACTAAGAAAACTGTATGAAGGAGGGTTATTTTTAATAATTATTTGTTTAGGGAATAATTAAAGAAAGATATGTTTTTTATTGCTTTTTCTTACTGAGAATTTTATTCACCTCTTCAGAAACTTGATTTTGTGGGCTGGTTTTCCATGATTTCTTCAGCATTAATAAATAAGCTACAAAGCAAAGCGCATGCACTAATAGAAGGAAATAAACAAAATATCTGACTTCTGGGCTGAGGGTTTCTGGAAGCATTTATTTTATTATTATATTGAACCACTTAAAATTTATTTGAATTTAATTTATTAAAAGTGTATTTGCTGATATAGAAGTGCTAAATAAAGTAGTTTCAATAAAAATATAATTCACAGTGTGCTGATATTAAAAATCATAAAAATAATCTAATTTTCTGCTTAAAATTTAATTATTGATATGCTAAATGCCTTCTTTATATCAATGCTAATTTGATGAATAGGGTAAAATACGGAATAAAGTTCTTATAAATTTATCAAAAACAATAGATCATTGATAAATCATATTTTCTCTTATAAAAAGCACAAATTTTTCGTAAAAACAGTTTATCAAGTCCATTTTAATGAAATAATCTATACTATTTTTAATTTAAATTATGCTCTAATCGTTTGTATAAATTAAGAGTATTAGGTACACTAAGCTGCCGCTCGCTTTACTCTAACATCATCTTTCGATAAAAACGTTGTGTTTGGAGAATTGCACTGCAAAATTTCCCAGCTTCCTGCATCAAAAGTTTTCCAACTATTCCCAAAGCCCGAATACCATTTCTGTCCATTGGGGTCATACACCCAATCTCTTTTATACAGTTCTTCTGCTGATAGCGCTTGCAACATCTCTCCAGGCATATTATAAAAAATATAGAAAAGCGTTTTTATTTCAAAAATCCCAAACATTTTCATCCTGAGGATTGGCTTGCTGATATATTTATCAGCTAATTAGCCTCGGCTTGCAAGTAATAGTGATAATTTTTTTTTCTATATAAAATAGAGGGGTTTTATTATGAAAATGTATCCTAATTATATAAAATGAGAATAATAGCACGATGGCAGTGAAAATTCTGGCTGCTCTGTAGCGTCAAGTTCCCCATCTTGGAAAACGTTTGGGAGTGTTGAAGCAAGAATTTCTGAGGATTTCATATTCAGCCCTAGTTTTGTCAAATCTCTTCCTCGAGCAAGCATATGCAAATCACTTGTGGTATCCTTTTGTAAGGACAGTATTCCTCTAACCCCAAATGTAAGTTCTTCACTGTCAGGAACTTGCTGCGGAGGAGTTGGTGCAGGAGGAGCTGGGCTTGGCAGGACGTTAAGTGGCACAAAACTAACTGCATTTGGATTTGGGGCTTGTATTTTCTAGTCAATCTTTTATATTTTCCTATTCATTATTTTATTTTTATTAAAAATTTGCCTTATTAATTATAAGAAAACATTAAAATTTTTTTTTTGAAAAAAATAAGTATAATATATTTGGTGCTTTAAGAGTTCTTGGTTGCACTTGAGACTGTGAAAATCCTGGAGGATAAAATTCTTCTGCTTGTAAATTTGGCAATTTTGGCTGAGATAATTTTGGGAATTCCTCTTCTGATCGATAGAAGTTCGGCACAAACTCATTTGCTGACAAATAAAAGTTAGAAGGAGGAGGTCTATACACTTGAGGGCTGTAAAAATCAGCAGAAGGATTCAGATGTTTGCTATATCCATCAGGATCATACACAGGGACCTTGCCGTTTAAGTTTTCATCTCTTGAGTTAGGATAAAACCCGAGATTTCTATTTGGATGCATTTCTTATTATAAATATCCATTTTAAAAGCTATCGTGTTCTATTCTCATCAAAATCAAATATCATTTATTTTTGGCTTATAAAATCAATTTCATTACAATTAATTCAATAAAACATAAAGAAATTGTTTAATAATTAGCTTCGCCTTTTCCGCTATAGAAGTCCTTCAAGAAAGAGCTGGAATTGGCATATCTAACGTCATCTAAGTAATTGTACCCTCTGTCGTCTATTTTAGGGTTCATAATCATGTGGACAAAGTTATGATGGTGATTATAACACCAAATAGAAGAATGAAGCCAGTCATATCCTCTGATCGTCAAAGAATCAATAACTCTAGGATTCCTTGCAAATAGAGACTGTCTCAGGAAAGTAGCTAAGTTTAGCTTGGCCTGGGTTGGGTGGATTTGGTTAGTAATGGATGAATTTTTCAGGATGTATGGCATTCTTCTGCAAGCGTCTCTATAAAACTTCAAATGCTGAATCTTGGCTTCTGCAAGAGTTTTGGATGGGGTGAGCCTGTTATGGGTGTAAATTTCTGCAGTCCTGCAAGTGATGTTGTTTGAACCTCTGCCAAAGTACATTGCCTATTGAAAATTTTACTTGTAGCCTTTGCTTATTTTGTCTAGTTTTAAAAATTAAAAGAATCTATAGGCAAAATGACTATTTCAGTATAAGGACATATTAAAATTATTACCAATTATTTTTTTAAATGAAATAATTTTCAATATAATTAATTTCTTGACTTATTGATCTCTTTAGTAGGATCTTCTAATGATAATGATGCAGCGCTTTCTTCGAGGAATAAATAGCTTACATCTGATCTAAGTTTTTCACTGATATTCCAAAGTTCGGGGACCGCTATATAAAATTTACCGAATTCTTTAATTCCTCTGTGGCCGATACCATAATTTGTAAGGCTTGTGCAAAATGAACTGCAGGTGATTAGTCCTTCATTGTTTTGAAGAGAAAGTGCTTCTTCATAGAGGCGTTCTAGTTGATCTGTGCTTAGGCTTGGCTCAGCTTTTAGTGCTGCTTGCTCATATTCTGATTGATTTAAATTAATACCGCTTTGGTTGTATATTTTAATCAAATTTGAGACAGCTTTGCAATAATAAGCCATTTTATATTGATTATTTTATATGAAAGTTATTTAGTGATAAAGCTGAGTGCTCATTTAATTTTGGTATATACGTTATAAACTTCTAATAAAGTGGTCAAAAATTTGCATCTGGATATCACATAGGGTGCAGGTCTAATTATAATATACTTTTGATAGTGTCCATTTCACAGAAGTGCATTTACTATTTAAAAATTTTAGAAAAATACTGCAATTTTACATGGAACCATCACATAAGCATTATTTTTGCAATTGGCATAGTATGCTTGGAAGTTTATTTTACTGATAAAGTTTTCTTTTGATATAAATCCAAGATTTTTCGGATCAAAAATAGAGCGGAAAATTTGATCGTCGTCCAAAAATACTTTTAGGTCAAGAATTGACTTTGCATTTGAATAGAAAATCGAAGTTTCAGGTAAATTAGCTAAATTGCTGAGGGCGTCAAATGCTCCATCAGGTGTCATTGCTTGTCTTATACCTATTTATGTATATAAAAATATATAATTAACAGCCAGGTAACTAATTTCCTGATAATAAAAATAGCTAGCTTTCATAATAAGTCATACGATTTTGTAACATAAATGAAATAAAAAGAAATCCTCTTTATTTACGTGCTCAGGCTTTAGTAAAGACAAAATAGCTGTCCTCACTTCTCTATTTGTTTCAAATATATTATTTATCAACCCAAACAAATCAATTATAAACGCATCACCCCCCAGCAGTTTATTTGAGCTTTTATAGCGCATAAAATTATACTAATTTATAAAAATCGCCCACTAAGGAGCATTTTTGGTTAGCAAGACAATAGCTATTAAGAAAAAGTTACTGGCAAGCTATGTATTGTGGCTAACCAAATTTATAAATGGGCAAGCAAAAAAATGATACTTAGTAGGCCATTCTTGGTAAGCATGCATAATATTGCTTATATCCACTCAGCCAACTAGTGTGTTTTTGACGCGTGAAGACTTGAAATTTATAGATCTCCACTCTCAAAAAAATTAGCAATTGGAGTGCTGATAAACAATAAGTGTTATGCACTATAGTAAGTCCAGCATTTTTTGATAAATTATTAAACTCCACCCTCATTTTTGTAATAAAAATTCCTAAATCCCCCGTAAGCGAACAAAACCATTGGAAAATCTCTAGACCCGCCTTCTTTTACTGAATAAGAAATCTTTTAATATAATAAAAATATTTCGATATATATAGAAACCTCCTTGGAGTGGCGCTGCAAGCGCAGGCCACTCCATGCGGAATTCATGGGTTGGTCGAACCAACGCACAGTTTTGGTTCGATCAACTCCTATGTTGGGTTAAACCAACACAGGAATTCCGCATGGAGTGGCCTGCGCTTGCAGCGCCACTCCAAGAAAAGAAGTATATATACGATTATTACTATTATGAAATCTGCAGCTAATTAGGTTGACTTTTAAACAACTTGCATTTTAAAGTATAAATCTTGCAAATTAAATTAATTTATGCTTCCAATTTTTGCGATTTGGGTTATTTTATTTCGAAAAAAAATATAATGGGGGGATAATGATAACGAAATTGGCTCACTATGGAAAATATGTAGAAGCCGGCACATTAATATTGAATAATGGTTATGCTGCTTGCAATAATGCTGCAGTGTTGGTATAAGCTCACTTAACGTTTTATACGCTAGTTTTTTAATTCCAAAATGTCTGATTAAATAATCAACCATATAGGAGCCAATATCAACCGGTTTTCTTCTCCCAGCTAAATCATTTGCGTCGTTTTCGTATTTTTTATCCATCATTGTTTCACAGGATCTGTAAAGACTGCTAATCGACATTTGTTTTTGAATTGGGACTTTATGCAGGTTATATTCCTTCATCAGGGTGCTAGAAGCTAATTTATTTTGATAATCTTTTTGAATAAAGTCTAAGGCAGCTTCTTTATAGTCTTCTTGACTTAAGGTACTTATGGTGCTGTCTTCAGTAATGTTTAAATCGTCACTATTGAAATCTTCTGCTATAATATTAGAAGGGATATCTCTTCATTGTTCAATTGCTCAATTAAAGTTCAATTGTCTTCAATATTTATAGTATCTTATCACTGTTTTTGTAGCTGTTCTTAATTTAAATTTTCTAAAAGCTTCAAGTTCACTTAACTCTCCAATTTTATTTTGGAACAAAAGATAGGTAAAATTTCAACAGGAAAATTTATAGGTAGCAATGCGAATTTTATAATATTAGTTTTCAAAATAATTTAATTGCAAATGTGCAAGCTGAATATGATGATATAAACATTTTTCTCACTTTATCGATTAATTTCTTTATAAAAATAGATGAAATTGAGCTCAATTTTTAATTTTAAAATTTTTATAAACTTTTTTCAAATAAAAATTTAAGATAAATTGTTTTTTAAAAAATTAATCCCCTTTAAATTCAAACAGGATTTTTTGTTCCAATTGGGGAATAAGAATTTTTGATTTTGTGATTGGAACTCATTAAGCTCAGTTTTCAGTTTTAGCAATTGCTTTTCAAGTTCAAAATTTTTGTTTTCAATCGCGGCTATTTTTTTCTCAGATTCCTCATTTTTCGTCAGGATTTTTATTGACTCCGATTTTTCAAAATCCAGCTGTTGCTTCAGACTTAAATAGTCTTTCTCATATTTTGAGGCTTGAGCGACTGCTTCAGCCTCTTGTCTTTTAAATTTATCTCGCTCACTTAAGGCTTGATTTATTAGTTCACCCTGTGATTGGCTGCAGCCCATTTTCTCAAAAGAATTTATACTACAAAGCAGAAATATCGTTATTTTATAAGTAGTAATAATATTTTATAAGCAATCCGAAATATTAATTGAAATATTTCTCTGAATTTAAAATCTTGCTGATCAAATTTATTTTGCATTAAAAAATATAAATAAAGCAGCTGTATAAATAATTTTATTTATGATAAATAAATTAATTTGAAATAAATTATCAATGCCGAATTAAGTTTAATTTAGAGAAAGTCATAGGAATATCTTTTTGTTTTATAAATAAAGTTTGTTTCTAGAATATAAATAAAAACACAAATTTAAGTTAAAAACATATTTTATTGCCGATCCTAGATATATTTATTTAATTAAATTAAATTTATTTTTAAGACTATTAATATTAAATTATTTTTTACAAAAAATAAATAATATCTGCAAGGAAATTGGATTAAGATAAAGGCACTGAGAATATAGCTAAACAATCCTTAAACGCCATAAATATGGGCTGTGGAGAGAGCAAAAGAAGCATTCTCGCAGGACTAAATTGCCAAGTTGACCTTGTTAAAAGCCAAAGGCTAAAATTCCAACAAGAAATCGACGAAGCCAAAAAAGAGCACGAAAAGCATGAAGCTGAACAATCTAAAACCATAAAAAATCTTAATGACGAAAATCAAGACCTTAGGGCTGAAAAGTCAAGAATGGAAATTCAGCTAAAAAACCTCGATCCCAAAGCTGACATTGTGAGATCTCAGCTCCACAGCTTAGAAGCTGAATACAAAACCACAAAAAAAGAACTTAAACATTTATCCAAAGATCTAAAAGAAGCGGAAAATGAAAAAGAAGCAATTTCAAGCCAATACAAAGAAATATCAGAAGAAATTAACGTTATAATCCAAAATGAACTTGTGTTGCAAGAAAATATTGAAAATCTTGGTGACGTGGAGGGGTTGCTATCTCTCCCCTCTCTAAGCAAGCAAAATTTTTTCTAGTTTGGAGGTGGTGCATTGAAAAAATATATATAAATTTTCATTAAAATTTCGAAAAAAAAAAATTAAACTTGTAAATTTCTTAAAATTGAATTGGATTGGCTGGATATTTATTTAAAATAATTATCACGTATAGGAGAAATATTTATTAAATTTAAAAAATCTTTCGCTACCTAATTTCCCATGAAATGATGATTTTTTTAATGGTTTTACTTGTTTACTAACTCCCCCCCCCCCCCTCCGTGAGCGAACAAAACCATTAGAAAAATCGCCATTTTTTGACCAAAAACCCACCCTCCGTGAGCGAACAAAAATTTTTTTAATAGAAAAAATTTTAATGGAAAAAAATTTTGATATATAAGTGATAATTAGTATAATGAAATCTAGAGCTAATTCTGTTTAATTTTAAACAAATTGCGTTTTAAAACATAAATTTTGCAAATTAAATTAATATTTGCTTCCCAATTTTTGCAAATTAGGATTTTTTTAAATTTCGAAAAAAATATTTTTTATAAAATTTATATATAAATTTTTTTTTAAAAAAAAAAATTAACCCCCCTCCGTGAGCGAACAAAAATTTTTTTTGTTCGCTCACGGAGGGGGGGGGGGGAGTAAGGGGGAGTAAGCGAACTAAATAATACGATTAATAGGCTTGAACAAGAAGTAGTGGAAAAAGAAAAAAATATACAAAATTTAGAAGAAAAAATTAAGGAAAAGGAAGAGGAGAATAAGAGGAAAGAGGAATTAAAAATTGAAATTAGTGAGGTCTTGTTAAGCAGTGAGAACGAATCAAAAGTAATGCAAGCAGTGAAAGATGAAATAGTTGAAAATGAAGAATTAAAGAGGCAGGGAGATGAAAAGTCAGCCGAAAATCAAGGTTTGGAGCAGACAATTAGCTCTCTAGAGATCACACAAGAAGAAATTGAGTCTAATCTTGCACTAGACAAAGAAATCGAAAGACTAACCAGGCTAATTAATGAAACCAATGAAACTCATGAAAAAAGAGAAAACTTAGCAAATAAGTTGCAAGAAACTTTAGCGCAGCAAAATCTCCATAATTCGGCCAAGAATAGTCTTGAAAATGATATTTACCATCAAATTTTAATTTTTTTTTTTATAAAATAAAATAAATAATTTTTTTTGAAAATGAAATAACTTCAATTCAAGAAGAAATTGATCGACTGAAACGAGAAAAAGAAGAAGCCTTAAACAATAAATTGACACAAGCCATTAATGAATTGAGTCAAAAAATAGCAGAAAATAATGAAAACTATGGAAAAGAACTTCAAGCGCTACAAGAAGAATTAGATAACTTGCAACAAAAGTTAGATCACAGGCGCGAAAAAAGGAACAAAAAACAACAAGAAATTAATGAAATGAGAGAAGAGCTAGAAAGAATAGAAAATTCCCCTAAAATAGAAGAAGAGGAATTAGTAGTAGCTGAAGAAGAAACCCCTAAAAGGCCTGATCCAAATAAAATCGAATATTTCGAAGAAACCAAAGAGCCAGTGCCTGAACCAGCTCAAGCAGAGCCTGAATACGACCAAATAGGTTCTGAAATCCCTCAAGAAGCCAACCATTCTGAAACAACCAATGGAGTACCTCACGAAATGATTCCTACACCAGTGAGATACGAAGTTCCTATCAAGCTGCGTCATTTAAATACAGGCCACGTCCTTCACTCCCACCCTGTTAATTACCATGGAGGTTCAAACCAACAAGAAGTCACCTGCCATGGAAGCCGAGACGATAATGACTGATGGATAATTAAAGGAGTCCCCCTAAAAAAAGGTGAAAAAATAAAAGGAGGTAAACTCCGTGTCGGTGCTGAAATAGGTAACACTTCATGCATCATTTTACAGCATTTAACAACCAAAAGAAATCTCCATTCACATGCAGGAGTCCAATCCCCTTCATCCCATCAACAAGAAGTCACCTGCTATGGCGATTTCGGCAAAGGGGACAGCAATGATTACTGAAAGGTAGAAATTCAAGGCGTGCAAGGCAAAGTGTCTTGGATTTCCAATATGAAAATCCGATTAATTCATATTAACACCCAGAATGCTTTGCACTCACATGGAGGACATTTCACACAGTCAGGACAGCAAGAAGTGACGTGTTATGAGAACAGAGATGATAATGACTTGTGGGTGGTCGAAACCATAGCATAAAAATATTAACTCCCCCCCCCCCCCTCCGTGAGCGAACAAAAAAATTTTGTTCGCTCACGGAGGGGGTTAATTTTTTTTTTTTAAAAAAAATTTATATATAAATTTTATAAAAAAATATTTTTTTCGAAATTTAAAAAAATCCTAATTTGCAAAAATTGGGAAGCAAATATTAATTTAATTTGCAAAATTTATGTTTTTAAAAACGCAATTTGTTTAAAATTAAACAGAATTAGCTCTAGATTTCATTATACTAATTATCACTTATATATCAAAATTTTTTTCCATTAAAATTTTTTCTATTAAAAAAATTTTTGTTCACTCACGGAGGGTGGGTTTTTGGTCAAAAAATGGCGATTTTTCTAATGGTTTTGTTCGCTCACGGAGGGGGGGGGGGAGTAAGTTAATATATCTTCTTTAAATGGGCGAGAAATGGACTGATGATGAAAAAATCGAAATGCTGCTTCACTCAATAAAAGCTAATACTGCATGTGGAAATGTCAGAAAATCCTTCAACCTCTGTAGAGCTTCCCCATTTGGCAAAACAATTGATCCAGGACTTTGCAGATTTCAAGCACAAACTTTAATTGACTGTTTCGAAGAAATCAGAAAAATCCCTCCTTCATGCCAAGAAGAATACAGCCAAGCTTTCCAATGTGTGAAAACTGCACAAAGCGAGTTCATTAGACTAACTACTTGTAATAAAGAAGTAGAAGCCTATGAATTGTGCCCACACCCCGCACAAGAGAATTTTAGGTTTTTTGATCAAGCATTTAAACGAGGAGAATAACACAAATTTACTAAAAATATTTAAAAATTAGCCTTCAAAATCACGTTGGTGATGCTGATAGTTCCATTGGTTTTGGTACACATAAACATTTGTGTATCTATCCCAGTCTTCTTTATATTTATCAGCTCTGTCAGCTGAGCTTAGCTTGTATTCTCCATATCTTCTTTGGAGGACGTTTTTAATCCCTTCAATTGTGTCAATTTCTTTTTTTCTGTTTTCTGATTGGGACTCGTGCTGAGATTTCCAGTTTTCACAGAGTTTTTGAACAGAATTCAATATACTTAAATATCTGCTGTCTTTATCTGAAGCTTTTTCTATTAAGCTGCTTTGAGAGGATATGCAGCTTTGGTGCTGGGAGAGCTGGTCCCTTATTTTTATTTCTTCATTTTTCAATTTTTCGAGCTCTGAGTTTAGTTTTTCATATAAATCGTTAAATAGCTCAGAAGATTTTTCAGCGATTTTATCAAAATCAACTTTTGACTCATTCGAGCTGACCTTAAGATCTTGTAAAAGACGTATAATTCTTTCAAGTGGGACTTTGTCGCCTTGTGAAACTTGGGAAAGCTCTACAAGTGCTGATATAACAGGGGCTACTTGTGACATTTTCTTTAGCTTTGAGCTCGCTACAATCAAAGATGATGCTTTTTCTGGAAGCTCTGCAAATGCAGCTGGGGAGACTTTTAAGGCTTCTATTGCATTAATGCAGTCTTCTATAGAATCAGCTAATTGATTGTGGTCAAGAGCTTTGGTTTTATAAGCCAATTCAATGTGATTTTTAGCTTCTCCTGCAGTCTCTTTATGGGTTTTTATTGATTCTTGGTCGTTTAAATTGGCTGTTAATTTTCTGTTAAAAATTTCTAACGATGATTCACATACACTTTGTGAGGATTTGATTTGGGATAAAATAACATGAGTGTTTCCGAATTCTTTTTGTCTAAATGCAATTTCTTCATCACATTTTTTGACTTGTTGCTCGTACATTCCATCATGCTCGTTTTGTTCTGAGTGGATTTCTTCTAACAATCGATCCAAGATTTCATATGCATGGGATAGAGGACCTGTGTCTTGGACTTGTGTCATTAATAGTTTAGGTAAAACTTGGGATGAGTTTTTGATTTTGACTGCTTGGATCAAGCCAAAAACTAAGAGGGCGAGTAAAGTTTTCATTTTAAAATTATGACTGTTAAAGATTTTTGATAAAAAATGAGCTTTATATAAAGAATGGTAGAAATTAATAAGGGGAATATTTATAAATTTAGCTTAAAATTAAGAAAAAATAATTTAAAAGTTATTAAACGAGGCCTAGTAATTATATAATTTATTTATATATAAAATTTTTTGATTATTTTACTATTACCATGTTGCAATTAGGGCATTTTTTCTTTCTTGACGTAATAATCCACTCATCAATGCATGAAACATGAAAAATATGTTTGCATTTTGTAAGCCTCAAGGTTTCTCCAGCTTTAAAATCCACCAGACAAATAGAGCAAGCTGGCTCTCCTTTGAACTTTTGTTTTGGTGGGAAAAACAATGCAGGCATGATTTTGTTGAGCTCGGCATCTGTAATTTGAACTGATAACTCGTCCATTACTGAGCCATTATTACTGAAAATTTGACCAGCTTGGTCAGCGGTAGCTCGTCTTCTCAGTTCATTTAATCTTAAATAATACCTCCTACAATAGAAGTAAAGAAAAAAAAAGCTAAATAAAGCCTACATTAAAAGTAAAAGAGCAATTACTGAACTTCCAGTGGCTATTAGACTGTTTGTACTGTATTCCATGTCGTTTTATTATATTTCATAATTTTCGAGAGAATTTCATATTCATTACTTAAGGGAAAGACTAAAAAATAAAACCAGAAACAGCCAGATAAAATAAGCTTATTAGATAAAAATGCTGTGAATTTTAAAATGGATATAATTATTTAGGGAAAATAATTAAAAAATTTATTTTTTTAAATATTTATGCATAAACTGATTTATTTTTCAGCTCCTAGCTTTCATTTAAATTCATATTTGTTTTGGCTTCAATTGCCTTTAAAGCTCTTTGCATTCTGTCTTTTATAGCGCTGCTTCTTGCAGTTGCTGCTTGCATTCTTTTTGCAATACTTTTTAGCCTTTCTTGATACTCCCCAATTCTTTGAAAAGGTTCCCAGTCAAAATCTTGAGGCTTTTTAAGGGCTTCTTTTTGTTCTTTTAGTAAAGAGTGTGCAGCAAGGTTTAATTTTACGAGATCTTCAGCTCTATAGGTTTCTAGCATACGATATAATTGCTCTTTTGGAGTTTTTGGAGTCTCTTCTTCCTCTTCTTCTCCCTCACCTATTCCTTCAGAAACTTCATAATCTCCCATTTTAATAAAAATTATCTAAATATTTGAATTCCTCACTCCCCCCCCTCCGTGAGTGAACAAAACCATTAGAAAAATCGCTATTTTTTGCCCCAAAACCCACCCTCCGTGAATAAAAATTTTTTTAATAGAAAAATTTGTTCTGGAAAACATATTTTTGATATATAAATGATAATTAGTATAATGAAATCTAGAGCTAATTCTATTTAATTTTAAACGAATTGCTTTTTAAAACAAACATAAATTTTATAAATTAAAATTAATATTTGCTTTCCAATTTTTGCGAATTAGGATTTTTTGAAATTTTTCGAAAAAAAAAATATTTTTTATAAAATTTATATATAAATTTTTTTAAAAAAAAAAAATAAACCCCCCCCGTGAGTGAACAAAATTTTTTTGTTCACTCACGGAGGGGGGGAGTCAGTATTTCTAAATTAATTTCTACTAAATATTTTTTTTATTATAGTTTTCTCTATCAAAGTCTAATTCTCCACAAATAGTCTACTTCTTCGTAAATTCCTTATATTTTACATCTAATTATCCAAATCTAGTTAGATTTTTAAAAGTCTCCTCTGCGTGCAATACGATTGCACTCTTCTAAAACTCGATTTCTTTCAGCTCCAAGTTCAAACTCTGTGCCCACATTTAGCAATTCAAAAAATCTTCTATTATGTTGATTGAACCTTTTTCCGATTTGCCAATAATAAACAGCTGGCCAAGTTACAAAAAGAGGAGAAAATACAAGCCGCTTGAGGCTCCAGCTCAAGCCTAGCTGCACAAGATTGCCTATGAACATTCCATCAAAAAACGATCTCAAAAGCACTGCAAATCTGTACTCCCTCTTTACAATATAAGCCCAATCTCTTTCAGCATCTGTTTTATAGGTGTCTAAATTCTTGTTAAGCACCCAGTCTTTGACAAATTTCATGCGTAAGTTATCGCAGATGAGATCTGCGTCTTTTTGAGCCTCAGGGGAAAGCTCAGTCTTCTCCTTATAGAAGTACTCTTCATCTATGACACCCATAATATTTAATTGTAAATGGGTAGGAAATTTTATAGTCTATTGCACAATTCCTGATTGTGAAAGAAAGGGAGCAATTCTCCACATGCCAAAAAGATTTCCATATAATAGGCTGCATTTATATGGTCATTTTTGTGAAATGTAGATTGTTTAAGCTTAAATTTATACATAGATGATATAATAAAAATATAAAAAATAAATTTTGCAAAAAGGATTTTTCTTGACTGTAAATGATTTTTGCAGCCATTGGTTCGATACTTAGTTTTTTAGGGGTAGGACTTTCAGTTTGGTCATATTAAGATTAAGATTAGATGTTTGCACATTGCAGGGCTGGTGATTAACACCTCTACACGCTTATCGCTAGCCGAGGAGCCCTGGCGGACACCCTCCTTGCTGCCTCAAACAAGGGATTTGCATGAAACGTCTGACTTCCATGGCTTCTGGAATCTATGGACCAGCCACCTGGGTCGAAACTCCCCGTTTCTCGCTAGACAGATGCCATCATTGAGTCCTATTTGAGGGAGTTAGCCTCTACTCGGGACTGTTGCTGATCCTGTCCTTTCCAATGGCTGTTCTGGAGGCAAAAGCCCGAGCCCCACGGATTAGCTCCATAGGTCCCGAGTAAAACCTATCCCCCGACATACATAAAGGATTAGCAACCCTTTCCACCTAAATCTCCATCACTGGGCCGTTGCCTGCAGGTGTTGAAGAAATAGGGCCGAGAGGTCGGATTGTCTGTCGTCACCATTTTTATGCATATTTTTTGGTCATATAATCATCAAGAGAGACCGTACACAAATGCTGAACTTACACAAATGGTAAAGCTGAGAAGGACTGAAGGTGGAAAAGCTAGAAATAGAAAACTTGTAATCACAGTTGATGAAATCCAGAAGATTGATCCAACATTTAGACCTCCTATAATCCCTGCTTATGGAGAGCCAGATATTTAAGAATTTCTACTTATAGCCTAAATTATTTCGAATTAATAGTCACTTTCTGCTTGTCGAATTTATTATTTTGATAGTAAATACAGATATGCTAGAAACAACAGTAAAATAATTCACTATTAAATGATATAATACAAAATTAAAGAAAATTATGATTTAAATATTTTTAGATTTCTCGAATTTCTTAAGTAAGAAATCTGAAATTTAGCATAAGTTTTTATAATAATTATTATTCACAAATTTATGAACAACCTTCAAGCTAAAATGATAATAAAACCAAAAAGAAATCTCGCAAGGAATTATATAAATTTCTTATAGCACGATAACGAATAAGACCACCATGATTTTATATAAAAAACATTGGAAATTCTAAATGGGAAATAATGGACCATCATAAATGAGAGATTTCCTAAAAACTGTTTTTTCCTCTACTAGCGTCCACAGATCTCCGTTCCCCTGCATTTTTATTAATTTCTATTTAATAACGCTATTAAATCTATTTGTAGTAAAATTTCATCGAATTTAATAGCTATAATAAAAAAGAATGTCAGGCAAGCAGACAGAGGCCGAAGAAGCCATGCCAAAGCGATTTCCAATTACAGATTATTTTTTACACTATGTAGGGAAGAGCAAAATGCAGCTTCTTTTCTTCTTGATGTTTATGCTGATATATAATTAAAATGTGGCTTCTCCGCCTGGCATGGCCTCCGGCCACGCAGCTTCCGAGCACATATTTTAATTATATCCGACAAGGTTTTAACAAGCTGGAAATGGGCAGCTATGCTAGGTAAGCAACTCATGTGGTGTAAGGAGCCTAGCCCTTGTCCTTTTTCTGGTTTGGGTTTTACCTCGAGGACAAAAGGAGACCTGTAGTTGCAAAAGGTGCTGCCCCAGCAAAGTCCTTTGGACCATTCGGGCACTGCCATACCGTGAAGCCAGGGGTTACGGCCTGGGCTACAAATTTTCCTTTTTGCCGACAGTCGGCCAGAAAACCCATTTGTGATTTTCTTTGCAGGCAACCTCGTCGCTGCAGCCTGAAGCAATGCCCCCCGGGAATCCATAGTCTGCCCACTCAAGACTGGAGCCACTGCGGAGTGGCAAGGAGGAGGTGACGGCCAGGCAACTCACCTTTCCGGTGATCGGAAGCAGACGTCCCAGCAAAGCGGATGAATCCCTGGTGGGATCCTTGGTAACCGAGTTAGCAAAGTGAGCTCTAATCACCTAATTAAGTAAGTTTATGCTGATATTTCCTTTTCTAGGGGTCTTTTTAAGAGAAATCGGTCGAATAATCGAATCACGAAAACTTGAGAATCCTTCATATCCTTACCCCGAGTACAGTGATTTTTTGCTTGCCTTGACTACCTGTGGCCTATTACTTCTTATTATGCATACTTTTAAGATTAGTTTGAGAGGGGTTGCTAGAAGTGCTATATCAAAAAGGTATCCTGTTTCTCAAAGAAATGACCGAGCTGATAGATTACTAGACAGGCTATTTAAAGGGATTTATTTTATGTTTTCATTTGGGTTTGGTTATTATATTGCTAAAGATTTAGACTTTTTCCCACCAGCATTAGGTGGAAAAGGGTCAGCGAATTATATGTTTGATGGGTATCCATATCAAGAAAAACAGCCTTTATTGAGGGAATATCTTATGATCCAGCTAGGCTATCATCTTAAATCTTTATCCTTTTTAAAGAAAAATAAAGAATTTTTTGATAAAAAATAAATTATTGTTTTAGAAAAATAGGATTTATCATATTTTTAATAAAGATTATGTTTTCTAGAAGAATAATAGTAATTCACCTATGGAGCAAACCAAGAAACGATTTTATGGAAATGCTGCTTCATCACTTTATGACTGTTTTTTTGATTTCCCTTGCATATATGATGAACTACGTCAATATGAGCATCCTTGTACTTTACACCCACGATTTTGCTGACATTTTCGGCTGCTTTGTACAGACTTTTGTGGACACTGATAGAGTATATTGTACGCTAACTTCTTATATTTTGCTTTTAATAACTTGGTTCTATACAAGAATTTGGGTGTTTCCTAATGAATTAATAAGAGCAGCATGCTACGAATCGACGACTGAAATTCATGGATTATGGCTTTTGGGAGGAATGCTTCATTTTTTGTTGGTTTTGCATGTGTATTGGTATTATTTGTTTTTAAAAATGGGGTATAAGTTTTTGAAAACTAGTCATGCTGAAGACATTCAACATAAAATAGAGACGCATTAGAGCTTAACATTATATAGGAAATAGGGATAGTCTGAGTTTAAGATATAGATAAATTAGTTAAGGTATGGTGTATTTTTATAGAAGATTGGATAATGATTTTATTCAAAAGTATTTATTAAAATTATATTCAAATTTAAAGATATAATAAATATTTTTAGGAAATTATGAGATTATTAAAATTGGTGTCTTATAAAATAATTTGACTTAGATGTCATTATATATTGATATATGTCAGAAATCATTTTATATGAATTTATTTCTTGTTTAATAAATATTACGTTACTAGAAAATTCAATGAATAATTGTGCACTCATTATACTTTATATATAAAGAATGGCCTTTTCTAATAGAAAATCTGTATAAAATTTCATTATATGTTAGCATATATTCCTCTTTACCGTTAGTGAAAAATTTTCTTAAATGTTTTAATTTCTTCCCTTATGTAATTAATTAGGTTTCTAATCATTGATATGATTTTGATATCTAGCATCACCCTGAATGATTGTTTTGTATTCGATCAAATTTAGTTTATTATACTCTAGGTATTTCCAAATGAGATTATTCGAGTGCCTTTTTACGAAGCAACTACTAAAATTCATGAGTTTGGGCTCTTGAGGGATCATTCATTTTATGCTTGCATTAGCATATATTGGTTTCCTATCTTTAAGAATGGGTAAAAAATTCTTTAAAGCTCGCCCTACTAAACAAAGGAAAAGCGATAACTTTCAAATAATTATTAGTAAGTAAATTCATTAATATATAGCAGGCTTAAATGGCAAATATACTCATGTTTGTTTAATTCATTCAGATGATTTGAAAATAAATATATCATAGGTATATCTAATGATAGCATTTAGAAATCAACTTTAAGATTAGGCTTCTACTGATTTCGTCTGATTTTATAAATATACTTATCCAAATTATCATAAAAATATAAAAAAATAATGATTCAAGTAAATCACCAATAATTGATTGATTTTACTATAAAATTTTTACTTATCTCTTAATAATTTTGAAACGATGCAAAAAAAATATTGTCTATAAGTTTACATTTTCTTAATAAAGCTACTAAATTCAGGCTCAAAATCATGTCAAATGATTCTTTTTGTGCTTTATAAATATATTTACTTTCTGATTCCTAATTTGATCATTTCTTATTTACTTTTTTTACTATAATAGAAATAATTCACAAAAAATAATACTTTCTTTTTTTGGCAATTATTTTCCTACACAGCGCTAACTTTGAATTTTAACTATTATAATAAATGGCAGCAGAGCAATATAAAGACTATTGGAAAGGATATACAGATGGGCATAAAGGTGCAGCTCATGCAAAGAATCAGCCTTGGTATTTATATAGAAATTTCAGAGGTCCAGTACAAACAGTGGTACCAGAGCCAAAGAGACAGCCTCAAGTTTACAATCGCTGGACAAATGATGCTCGCACAAAGGCAGCGCTTAGATGGTGTGGCAAGTGGCTGTTCGCTACAAGGAAACAACGTCTTTTTATGGTTATTCTTGCAGCTTTTACTGTCGAAAAGGTTGATACTTGGATTCTCCATTCCATTACAAGATATAATAACTTGGAATGCACCATGGAATACGCTTACAAGAAAGAAAGAGAATGGAAAGAACACCTGGAAGCTGAAAAAGCTAGAAGAAGAGCTTTAGGACTTCCAGAAGATGGAGAAGAAGAGGAAGTTGAAGAGTCTGAAGAATAGATAACTAACTTTAGGAATTCTAGCTAAAGGAATTCAATTGTAAAAATATCAAAATATTGTGTAAAAAAGTCTGGAAGCATAAATTTTCTTAAATAATAATTTTCTTTTTACAATTTATTTCCTAACATTTTTCTAAAATCCCCAAATTTCCTTCTCTCTCGTTATTTCTATTAACCCCTCAACCAGATCACATCAGAGTATCTCTCTAATAATAATTTTTATGAAATGTCCCAAATGCAATAGTGAAGAAATCGAGTCTGATTCTTCTAAAGGCGATTTAAAATGCACAAATTGTGGAAAGGTCCTCGACGAAAGCCAGCTCGCTAATGAAGTCACTTTTTCTTCCCAAGCCGTCGTAGGTACTTTTGTTTCAACAATCGGGCGATCCCTCAGAACTGCAAAAGGCTACACCCGAGAATCTTCAGAACTCAGCCTAGCCCGCGCCCAACGTGAAATCCAGAACCTCGCTGCAAACATGAAAATCTCCCAACAAGACGCCGAAGCCGCACTTAGACTGTATTCTCTTGCAAAGCAGCAAAATTTCATACAAGGCCGAAAAGGGATCCATGTGATTGCAGCAGCTCTTTATATTGTCTGTAGGCAGCAGCGTAGCCCATTGCTGCTTATTGATTTTGCTGATGCAATTGGCGGGGATTTATTTGTATTAGGCTCTGTTTATAGAAAACTGGTAAAAGCTTTGCATTTTGATACGGCGCTGCCTCTGATTGACCCAAGTCTTTTTATTCATAGGTTTTGTGCAAAGCTGGATTTTAAAGAAAAAACGAACCAAGTTGCTATGACTGCTAATAGAATTGTACAGAGGATGAGGAGGGATTGGATGAGCTCAGGGAGGAGACCGACTGGTCTTTGTGGGGCTGCAATTTTGATAGCATCAAGGTATCATGGGTTTAAAAGGTCGACACAGCAGGTTTTGCAGGTGGTCAGGGTTTGTAATGATACTATAAGAAAAAGACTAGAAGAATTTGAAAATACTATGGTCGCAAGCTTGACTAGGGAGGAATTCGAAACCTTGAACTTAGAAAGTGAAGATTTAGGGGAAAGCAACCCACCTTCATTTAAACCTTTTTCTAATGATAATCCTAAAGCTATTGAAGATGCTCCTAGCTTGTTAGCACTTCCTAGCACCATTCCTGACAACTTGTCTGATATTGATGAAGACGAAATCGATGAATTTATATTATCCCCTCATATACATAAAATGGGCGTATGGCGACCGACCCACCCTCTCAGTGGTGGTTACCCATGTATATCCGGGCATGGTTTTTTGGAGCCAGGAGTTGGCCCAGCAATGTTTGGGACCTCGAAGCGAGAGGTCTAAGCACAAAGACCGCTGTTTTTGTGACCGAACCCATGGGCAGTTACTCGTGACTTCTTTTTGCCAGCAGCGCTCAGCCCAGTGAGTGCCCGAAATGAGGCAGGGCGACTTACCTGCCTAAGCTGCTTTTGTGGCTCGCCCCGAATGGCGAAAGCTGTTGAGTTCTTTCTCGGGATGACCGGAAAAGAGGGGAGGCGAGTTTGACATCTAAACGGGAGTCTCTCCAGTTAAAAGGTGCCCTTCAATGGGCAGATCTGGCGGACGACGCGGCAGTGTTGGCGTAAACTTAGGCGACGATCCAAGTTGGAAATGGAGGCGGTCAGCAAAGACGGTATGGCACGTCCCTTGACCTTCACCTCTACCGAGAAACCGGGGGTTTCGGCCCGGGCTTGGTGAACGCTCTGCCACCATACGGGAAACCGTAGAATGCTTCCTCGGACGAAGCACGGACTTAAAATACCCAGCGTAATCTTAATCTTAATCTTAATCTTTATATTATCCCCTCAAGAATCCTACCTTAAAAGCTTAGTGTGGCACCAATTAAATTCTGACTGGCTAGAAAAGCAAAAACAAAAAGAATTCACCTCAGAGCCTCCTCTCAAAAAGAAACGTAAGAAAAAAGTGTCAATTGGAGAAAGCCCAAAAGATCCAGTTGAGGCTATCAAGATGAGTGGTAAACTCAGCAACTCAATGAATCCTGAAGTCCTTAATAATCTTTTTAAGAACGAGAATCAAGAAGTGTATACTTATACATCTCTTTTACAAAGGAAATAATATAATTATGAATACTTTTAATTATTCTCAAATCTTTAAAACAGCTGAAAAAACTAAAGAAGAAAGTGATAGAGATTCAAAACTCAGAAAAGTCACTGAAATGCTTGATGAAGATTTTGAGATGAGCCAAATGAAATCTCGGTCTATATCAACGTCACAAATAACTGATAGGCAATCATTGACAAAAACGTTCAATAAATTGCTGTTTAAAAATCAGAAAAAAGCTAAAGAAATCGAGGAACTGAAAGAAATCATTGAAAATTTCAAAAAAGCGAATAATCCGATTGAATTCCAAAGGAAGAAGTCGGAGTTTTCACTGGTGGAAATGCAGAGCTCGATAAATAGTAGATATATTGTGACGGAAACAGAGAAATCAGAGTATATAGAAAAGCTTAAAAACGAAATAGAAAAAATCAATGAAAAGCATGATCAGGAATATTTTATGACTGAGCAGTTAGTTTCTATGAAAGCTAAAGCCAAACAATCAATTGTAAAAACTAACTCCCCACCCTCCGTGAGTGAACAAAACTATTAGAAAAATCGCCATTTTTTGCCCAAAAACCCACCCTCCGTGAGAGAACAAAAATTTTTTATGAAAAAATTTTTTGATATATAAATGATAATTAGCATAATGAAATCTAGGGCAATTCTGTTTTAATTTTAAACGAATTGCTTTTTAAAACATAAAATTTTTATAAATAAAATTAATATTTGCTTTCCAATTTTTACGAATCAGGATTTTTTTAAATTTCAAAAAAAAAATATTTTTTTATAAAATTTATATATAAATTTTTTTTAAAAACAAAAATTAAGCCCCTCCATGAGTGAACAAAATGTTTTTGTTCACTCACGGAGGAGGGGGAGTAAGCAGATTAATATGAAGAAAAAAGTCTGGGAAATCCAAATCAACTGTGAATCAGCTAGAAAATATGAAACCAGAGCCAGTATCATGGAAAGAGTTGCAGATAACGATAAAATAAGGACAAGCTTTAATAATACTCTACAAAGATTGACCATTAAAACTGAAAGAAGGAACCGACAAGATAAATTAAGCTTTTTAGCACAGAAAGAAACAGTATTAAAAAAAGATATCGAAGAATTAGCTTTGAAATTCGCTGAAGATACTGTGAAAAATGATGACCAAAAAGAATTTCGCACTGTTTTATCACAGGACTTAAAAGAAGTTTTATTAGACCATGATGAGCTTAGGGCTATGAGCCAAAAAATTCAATCAAAACTTGAAGTTTATGAAGATGTATTTCGGCATGTAAAAGAGTAAAAAATATATAGATTGACGAAAAAATCAAAATGCCTAGATGGAGGCTTAGAAAATCCAGGAATTCTCCCACAAGATGTAGTGAATTGTTTTGGCAGAATGATTTCAATAGAAACTAAGCTGAAAGAAAGATTTGAAGACCTCACCTCAATTCATAACAAATTAAAATACAAGTGTGATAGAATTACGAATACACTTAGCAAGCTAAAAAAATCAGAAGAAAATTCTGTCAATGTAGATGATATAAAAAAGAGGGTAAAAGGGATTAGACCTAGAAATGCAAGTGAAGGGGTTACCTTGACTGATTTAATTGTTTCTTGGGATACGCTTACAGATGATACTGGTAAGCATGAACTTATAGAAAAATATGAAAAAGTTTCAGCTTTTACAGGAAAATTTCTATCAGAAACATGCTCAAAAGTACTATCAACACTCCAGAACTTATTTATGCATACTAACGATATAAAAAGTCAAGAAATTTTGCATGGAAATTCTACGTTTCTGACAGAATTCCAAGAGCCTCCATCTGCTGCTCCAAAAAGTCCTATAAAATCTTTAGATTTTTTTATCAACGAAAACTCAATATTACGCCAAAAAATCGAAATTTCCTTAAAATCACTATTAAGATTTTTATCAGGCCACGCAGAATTGACTACTGAAATTGGAGAATCTATAAAATCTTATGATATTCCAGAGCAAAAAGAAGCAAAAATAATTGAAGTATTATCATTTCCAGTATCAAAGCATAACTCAAAAGCTATTTCTGGCCTTATAACTTCAGCAATAAAAATGAAGATTCAAGAATTGATCACAAAAAAAGTTTCGAAGCCATCAGGCCTTAAAGAAGTGTTTGACGATTTTGTTAAAAGATTTAAAATCTGTGAAATTAATATGAATACTTTAAATACGGAGGATTTAGTTGATGAGACTGATCCTCAAAGCCCTTTAAACTCAGGCCACAATGCTAATGAATCTGCTGGATCTCCTAGATCGAGAAAAAAAAAGAAAATTTCGCTTCCCAAACTTTACCAAATGCCGTCTAATAAAGACAGAAGAAGTGTTATCCAAGAAATAAAGCTTATTGAATCGAAAATTGATGAAGTGAAAAAGCAGCATAATAAAGAAAGAACATCTAGAAGAAAAGAAAATAAAAGAGAAGGGTTTATGAGTAGACTGTCAAGTGATAAAAGTCTACCTTCACTTTCCCAGTCTGGGAGTGAAGCTTTATTTAGAACTTACTCTCATATGTCTACAGGAAGAAGATAAAAAGATTTTACTAATTAAAAGATCTGGAAGCTGATCTAGATATTTTTTTATTATTTTAAAATTATTTGCATGTATAATTGATAGAAATTTTAAAAAAGGAAATGGGATTATTTTGAAGAAAATTTACACGAAATATTTATGATTTATTTTGAGTGAATAAAATGGCGATTTATTTCCTAGACGTAATAAATATATAGCTGATTTTCGAGTTTTAATAGTCAAAATAAATAGTAAAAATAATTCTATTTCATAAAACTAAATTTTAAAATATTAATATGAGATTATTTTTTATAAAAAGCTGAGAATTTTATAAAAAGTATGAGAGCTTTCTTAAAAATGTCTTGGAGCTATTAAAATGAGGATAACAAAATGTGCAGCCTAATACTTCATAAGTGTTTTTAATACAAAAAATAAAAGACTTTCTTCTACTTGAAAGACTTTTTTAGTTTTCTAATCTGAATTTTATTTCTTATTGCGTAATTTCTTTTTTAATTGAAGAGATTTTTTTAGCATAATATATTATAAATTTCAGAGTCATTTATATTTTTTCATATTGATTGCTAGCTCCGCTCTTCACTGTGAGCGAACAAAAAATTTTGTTCGCTCACGGAAGGAGTTAATTTTTTTTTTAAAAAAAATTATATATAAATTTTTATAGTAAAATTATTTTTTTCGAAATTTAAAAAATCCCAATTAGTAAAAATTGAAATGCAAGTATTAATTTAATTTATAAAATTTATGTTTTAAAATGCAAGTTGTTTAAAATTAAACAGAATTAGCTCAAGATTTCATTATATTAATTGTGACTTATATATCAAATTTTTTTTTCATAAAAATTTTTTGTTTGCTCACTGAGGTGAGCTTTTGGGCAAAAATAGGGATTTTTCCAATGGTTTTATTCGCTCACAGAAGGGGGAGTAAGAATATTCTATAAATATCGATTGTTTTATTTTATTTTAGAGTTAAGTAACAATAATTTTATTTTTCTAATCAACTCTACCTTTCTCGTAAGATTAATTGTATAAAAAAATAATTTAAGCAAATTTTTCATTTATTATAAAAGTTCAGCTTTGAAAATTTAGCTCAATAAAGATTATCTCAATATTTGTTGAATTAAATAATTAAACATTTTCGTAACAGCCAGACTAAAAAATATGGACTTTCTGAAATTAAAATTTCAATGATATCGAATGATATTGATTGATTTTTTAAAGGCTCTCTATCGACTGGAGTGTGTATCTTTAAAAATTCCTTACGTCAATAATGATTTTAATTTTTAAGATCTAAATCTGTATTTTTAAGGTTAAATTAAATAAAACTTGAATTATTTTGTTCTAAATTAATGCTGTTGAAATTATTAATAAAATCAAAAGACAAAGCTGTATCGCATTCATGTTATATAATCTACTATTAATGATTATGAGAAATATTACTTGAAGGTTGTATTTAATTTTTTGATAAGGCAATAAATTAATTTAATACAAAAGCATGTATTTCCTTGCTTTATATAACAAGAATCTTTACAAGAGTACACAATAAATTCTTTATTTGCATATATTTCATTATTCAGAGAACCTGCTCAGATTTTCCTATATTGCGCAATTCTTGTATTATATATACAATTTTCAAAATATAATGATTAATACTTTTTAGCATTGTTCTATTTTTGCAACGAAATAAAATAAGGATTACATTACTTAGGCTCCATTTCTTAGATGTATATATTTATTAGTATTCAGACAATTCTGATAACGATTACTTAGAATTAAAGCTTAAATTGCCAAATCTTCAGTATTAATGGGCTTACAAATCCTGGCTCTATGGTAACTCCGCAAATAGCAGAGCTGGCACATTCCCTTTGCGTAGAGTGAGCGATCCTGGTGTGGGCAAGTTCAAGCTTTTTTGTCTCTTCCACTTTTATGATAGCAAGAGTTGCACATATTCTTGGCGTAATGACGATTATTGTAATGAGGGCAAGCTGTGACCTTCATTTTTGGCGACTTTCTCGATCTTTTTTTTTTAGAATTTTTTTTATCCTCTTTCTGAGACTCAGCTTCTTTGACTTCACTCACCTCTTCCATGAATATGTTAGGAAGCTGTAGATTTGATGTTCCTTTTGAAGACTTGAAAATTAAGGAATACATGCCTGAAAACACTGTAGCTTCATAATCGGATTTTTTATTCATCTATAATATTATATTATGTTTCTTAAGGTTTTTTAGTAAGAGAACTAAAATTGATATAAATGCAGCTTATCTGATGTGATAATAAGTGCAATGCAGTTATTGGTAACTTTTTGCTGCTTATATAGAGTGGAATATTATTTATAAAAAAAATTTACAACAGAAATCCTTAATTTAGCATATAATAGCATTTAAAACTGAAAATGAATTGTACCGATGATTATGAAAAATGATTCCATGAATAGTACTAAATTTGTATTTTTTATTTTAAATCTAAGTTTGCTTATATAAAATTAATAAAGAATAATTAAATGTGTTTATAAGTATTCTTGTGTCAAATCAGAAGGAGGCACGAATTTCACTAGCCTTAATTTTTTTTATTACTGATTTATGGCTTTTTCCAAAAACTCCCAAAAAAATTAGGTAATTTATGAACACATATAGTTTCACTTTTTCTAAGCTACTTCCCAATTACAACCTGCAAAAATTAATATTCGTAAATGCGGGGTAGATAAATTTAAAGATCAAAGGATGTGGTTGTATTTTTTATGCTTTTTTATCTTGGATAATTTTGATTAATATAGGCTTTTTTTTCTTTTTATATTGAAAAACGGCCTCCTTGCAATAAATATAAAGCATCATTTATTTTAGAATCTATGATTTACCCTGTTGATTACTAAAATGCTTTTTAAATTATTAAATTAGCTATTTGATATAAAAACATTAATAATTCTTCTTCTATTGATTCCAACTCTCTTTTTAGGGTAGGTGTGTTAGATAAGGTTTCAAGCAAAAATTTCCTTTCATTATTACAAGTTTAGCCTTATAAGCTTAGGCTCAGTAAAGCAGCTATTTTCATATTTATTGTAATAAATTTTGTAACAGCCAGACTAAAAACATACGTTAAACTTATGCTAACTCCCCCCCCCCCCTCCGTGAGCGAACAAAAAATTTTGTTCGCTCACGGAGGGGGTTAAATTTTTTTTTTAAAAAAAATTTATATATAAATTTTATAAAAAATATTTTTTTCGAAATTTAAAAAAAATCCTAATTTGCAAAAATTGGGAAGCAAATATTAATTTAATTTGCAAAATTTATGTTTTAAAACGCAATTTGTTTAAAATTAAACAGAATTAGCTCTAGATTTCATTATACTAATTATCACTTATATATCAAAATTTTTTTCCATTAAAATTTTTTCTATTAAAAACATTTTTGTTCACTCACGGAGGGTGGGTTTTTGGTCAAAAAATGGCGATTTTTCTAATGGTTTTGTTCGCTCACGGAGGGGGGGGGGGGGGGGAGTAAATATAAGAATCTTTCATAGAGCAATCTATAAATGAAATTTAAAAGCATTTAAAAATCTATTAATAGATAAGGATTTTCTTTCTTAACTTCATAGAAATTCTTACTCCCCCCCGTAAGCGAGCCAAAAAATCTCACTCGCCCACCTAAATTTATTTTTTGTATATATTATTTTATTTATAAATCAATTGCTAAATTCAAAATTTATATTTTAGGATACATCTGTTTAAAATCAAACAGAATTAGCTAGAGATCTATATTTTTTATAAACAAAATATTTAATTTTTATAAATTTAGTTTAATCTAATGTAATGGGTTGAGATTAAATAAAGTGCGTTGTGCTTTTTAAGCCCTTCAAAATTCGAGATCAAATGAACACTATATTTATCTTTTCATTTACTACATAATAAATTGCCTTTTCTCATAAATGAATATGTAAAAACTCGAAAAAACTTCAGTAAGGTTTTGCTTCTTATAGTGCCACTACAATAAATACTTCAATTTGATAGCTCCTGAATTAATGCAACAGTATATAAAAATTATCCATAAACAGGCAAATGCCACAATTTTCAAGCCATTTAATCATTCCAAAACAACATATTTTGCAGGTTTCGTTCCCTTTCATTCATAAATTATCAATTTTATAATATAGTCTGTAAGTGGTACACGAAACATAAATATTTTGAAGCCTCATTTTTTAGCCTTTCTGGGAAGGTAATATTTTAGCTTGTGGCGCCCTTTGAAGCCGATTATGGACTAGCAAAGAGAAGCTTTTGCAGTGAATTTAATGAGTAAGAAAAGTAATTTTATAATAAGGATTATAATGTCGATACCTCTATCTATATCATTAATGCATAAAAATAATGCAATCTGCGAAAATCTATTAAAAATCATAAATTCGGACATAAATTTATCATGACAGAAAGAATTTTTGATAAATAAAATGACTGCTTTGGATATCTGACAATTACCATATAATAGCTAATTTAAAGATATTTATAAAATTCATAACTAAACAATCTTTTTAATACTAGCTATATAAATCAGTGAGATGGTTTCATTAAGTTCTTATCACAAAGAATGGAGACTAATAAATAATTATAAAATTAAAATCCCATACAAGTTAATTATAAAGAATAACTCATAGGTTTCTAATTAATGCTAAACTCTATGACATCAAAATTTATTCATAACCTCCAGGCTACCTATAAAAAATCACGGATTTAAAAATATATTCAACTTAAAAATTTGCAATTATTTTAATAGATATTACATAAAAATAATTGGAAAAATTGTTTCTACAAATTTCTGGCTTAAATTCCTAAATTTATTATAGTTCTAATATTCATTATGCTAACTTAAATGGACCTTATCTAATAAATATAAAGTTATAATAGATTATGCTTTACCTTATTGATTAAATTCAAATAATAATTATCATGCCAACTAGCTATTTAATTGTAAAAGTATTATTTATGTATCTCTCTGATATTTCTGCTATAAATTTTTATCAAATACTTTACTTATCAATTTAATTTTTTGAATAAAATATTTCCTTCACAATCATAAGCTAGGCTTTATAAGCCTAGGCTCAGTATAGCAGTAAAATCCATATTAATTGTATTTTGGCAAATTTAAAATTCTGCAGCAGACGTTTGAAATATGGAATAACAAAACTTAAATTCAAAAATATATTGAATGATAATTATTGATAATTTTGGAATTGCCGCCTGCTCAAGCATATTTATTAGTTGATATTTACTTACTTATAAAACAGGCAAAATTACGCTGAGAAATATATCTGGAAAAACTTCATTTACCATTTAGAATAAATTTTTATATGAGTTTTCTAAGATAAAATATAAAGATAAAGGCTTTTATACATCCTTTTTTCACAAACTATTATGTCTGCCATGAAAAGTAAAACATTTCTATATTGCATAATGCTATTATCGTTTGAGACTAATCTTTTCGATAGCTTATTGAAAATTAATTCTTAAATATTCAAATCTTCTAGATCTTGCGAGGCCTAGACTTATGATAATTTTGTAAATAGCAGAATTGACACATTCCCTTTGCGTAGTGCTGGCGATCCTCATGTGGGCAAATCCATGCCTTCGTTTGCCTTACTGCTCTATGATAGCAACTGCTGCACATATTCTTAGCATAGTGAGGCTTATTTATATGAGGGCAAGCTGTAACCCTCATTTTGATAAGCTTTTTATAACGACTTCTGAAAGTCGTCGAACCACTTTCCTTTTTCTCGAATTCTTCAATCTCGGGGTTTTCGTCTGAGGATATATTGGGAGTTATCAGATTTGATGCTTCTTTAGGAGCCTGAAACAGCAGGGAAAACATTTCTGAAAACACTGCAACTTTATCCCAAAACATTTTATCCATCTAAAAATATATTTGTTGAAATATCTGTGAAATAAAATAATAAACTTAAAACAATAAAAATATTAGCAAAGGAAGAATCAAAATCAAGGTTCCTGAAAAGATTGTATTGATTATTATTTTAGTTCAATTTAAAAACAATTTATAAGTCTAAAAATTTGAGTTATATAGTTTAGAATTTTTCTATTTCATTTTAAGGTATTTATTAAACAAATCAAACAACCAAAAGTTTTTAAAGATAAATTAATGCATAATTTGCCTTTTTATATATTGAAAGTACTTTAGAAATTTTTCAAATAAATAATTGTGATAAATAATGTTAAAATTTAGGCGTTTTACATAATATATTGATTTACATATACAAAATACAGATATTTTATTGCTAGGAATGTTTCTTACAATTTCGATGTGCAATTTAATAAATTTTATTAATCTTTACGACTTACATTGAATATAAATTTTGATGATATAAATATTCTTGAAGGGCGGAAATATTTGCACCCACAGAAATTTCATGAAATCGGACTTTTGGTTTATTTTCTACAGATTTATAATCACATATGCTAATAAGATCAAGAAGTTTATTTTATTTTTGCAAAATCATCATCTTAAACTGGGTCAGTAAAGTGGTAAACTTCATAAATTTGTAACAGCAGAAGCAAAAATGGAAAATTGAATTTGAAATATCCCGAATGCTTCAAAGGTGATTTTTGAGGATCTTTTGCTCTATCATCCTGAAGAAGCATTTAACTGCTTATTATATGTTTAAAAAAATTATAAGGAGATAAAGATGTCTGTGCTGCTTTATGTCAACATGCTTAGTTTTTTTAATAATCTAATTGTAAATGACTTAAATCTTTAAATCATCTAATTTGATGACAACCTTGCAAGATTTTGACTTATGATAGCTTCGCAAATAGCAGAACTGGCACATTCCCTTTGCATAGAGTTGGCGATCTTGGTGTGGGCAATCCGAAGCCTTCTTGTTTCGCCCGCTTCGGTGATAGCAATTATTGCACATGTTCTTGGCATAGTGTTTTTTATTTGCGTGAGGGCACGCTGTAATTCTTTTTTTGGGTACTTTTTTGCGCTTATAAACTTTTTTTAAATTTCTTCTTTTAATGAATTCCTCAACATCTGTGGCATCGTCAGAGAAGATATTGGGAAGTCGCAGAGTTGGCACTTCTTCTGGATCTGCCAAGATTAGGGAAAATATTCCTGAAAACACTGTTGTGTTGTCTTTGTTAACTTCTTTCATATTTATTATGCTACTTTATCTGGTAGTGAACCTTAAATGAGTCTCTTAAGCCTTAAATTAATTAATCGTGTCGTATCGTAAATTATTTACGCACTATTTGCAAATTGCTGTCTTTATTTTTGAGAAACTTGATCTTAAATTTTTCAATAATCAGCTTAAAATTTCTTTTTAGTTGATAATTTTTCATCATATATTCATTTTTATTGTTGAAAGCTAAAGTTGATTTAGGCTCAGGTAGTATCAAATAATGATAATGCCAATTTGATAATAGTTTTTATTATGATAACATCCTAACTCATAGATGAAAAAATAGAAAATAATAGCAATTAGGACATGATCTAAATTGGCCAAGAATAAGAAAGCTCTAGAGGATCAATTCTATATTAGTAATTTAATAATTTATAATAACTAGCTAAATAGACTATAATTTAGTTGAATTCTCTACAATTTATGACGATGCTTTGCCCAAGAACAATAATCTGTGTGTTAGCATTTTAATATTAAAATATAGTCGAAGTATAAAAAACCTTAAGATTTCTAAGAATAATCTCTAATATAACTAATCCGTACTAAAAACAGTTCAGCAATAAAAGAAATCAAAGATAAAGGTGAAAAATCTGTATTTCATTTCTCTAAGCAAGAATTAATAAAATGATAATTTGACTCAACAAGTTTATATTTTTTGTAAAAATTATAATATTATTGCCTGCAATTTCATCATCTTCAGTTTATTTATTTTAAAAGAAAAAATCCCTGTCCTCATCAACCCAGCACAATATATTAGTAAAATCGATGTCACATTTTGCCATTTTTCAAAATTAAATTTTGTAACAGCTAGACTAATTAAGATATTTGGATTAATAAAAATTATAATTTGAAGCATTTATAAAGCTATTTTACAATCACATTACTGCTCCAATCCATTATCAATTTTAATTGTTATCCTTAAACATAAGCAAAAACCTCTCTCCTAGTCATGAAGTTTTTAATCATAATTTTACACAATTATAAGTTTAATTTATTTAATTTTTATAAAATAAAATATTTGAAAGAATATTTAGCTCTTCCCATCTTTAAACGAATGACTGCAGAATTGTCAGATCAAAGTATTAAAAAATTCCTGGAAAGAAAATTATATAATTGTGGCTTGAATTTCTTTTTAGCTTCTAGAAGCCAAAAATTTATTTTATGGGTAATAACATATTTACGTAGAAAATATTAGGATTGAAATAAAAATTTAGCTTATTAATCACTAATTAACAGTTTTGACATTTTTAGTTATTTTTTACACTTTATTTCCATAAATTATAATAAATGTTTACTAATCTATAAATGTTTTATTAATTAAAATTGTTTAGCAAAGGATGGAGATTAATTTTCCAAATTTTGATAGAGAATCATTCACTAAAGAACTGGAAGAGTAAGAGAGAAAAAGAGGAGTGAGACTATTAGATTGTCTTGATATAAAACAATCGTCTTTATTTCTCAATCTAAGAGTATTTTATTTTTTTATTATACTCATATATCAACTAGCAAAATATAAATTAAGTTAAGCTAAGTTTATAATACCATAAGAGGATGGACCACTAGACTGCGTATTCAGCGTGAACTCAATAGCCCAAGGATAGGCTCCTAGGCTAAAGCAATCTCTTGCAGATGCCTAACTAGCCCAATATGTAGACTAAGTTGGGGCAAAACCTGCCTAGACATTTGGGGAGAAACTTCCCTTTTGGCAGGCATCCCCAAGCCCGAAGGCCCGCTTCAAAAAGTGACAGAGGCACTATTTTTCAACTTCATCAGGATGAGTCCTACCTGATCATAGGTCGTGTGACTCAGAGTCCATCTTCCGTAGATCACATTTTTTATTTCTTCGCAAAAGATAAGGAATTCATGAATTATTAATATAATGAAGCGCTTTATATATTTTAAGTATTTTGGATTGATTCTTGTATATTTTAGTAAATTATTTTCACATTTAACTTAATGCATTTAATAATTTTATAGGTAAATAAATATGACTTATGAGCATATTTATCAATAAATGCTACAGTATCTTGATTTAAAATAAAATTTTTAAATATTCAAATCTTAAAATTTATTGCTATAGCAAATATCTGTAATATTTTCATTTAAATATAATAAATTTTAATTTGAATTTTCCTCATTATTATATCAGCTTTGCAAACTTATACGATCAGTAAGATGGCTAAATGCATATTTTCTTATTTGATAAATAAAATTTGTAACAGCCAGATTAAAAATGGAATATCCAAAAGCCCAATCTAAAAGAAGTTAATACTATTTTTCCTCTTTTACGAGTTATCGGCAACCGCGGTGTTTAGATGTTCCCATTACTTTCTTAATAATGATAAAAAGATTTTTATAATGAAATAGCCATATAAATTGATATAATGTTGATGCAAAGCAAATTTTCATATAAGATAATCAGTCAAAGTTAATGATAAATATAAAATTGCATGATATTATATTTTTATTATCTTTACTATAAAGCTTCTTGCGGTTTATTTATATACATATTAATTAAACCCAATTCAACATGGAAAATCATTTATGGTAAAACATTTATGAACCTCTAATGCTTATATATCAAAATATGTATACATATTATTATCACAATTTTTATAAATAAAAGATTTGGAATTAAAATTTATATTTCCAATGCTTCTGCTTTAATAGCTTTTATTAAAATGATGAAATATTCTCATCCCTTAATACTGTAGCATGAAAGTCATAAGGTGAATTTACTCCTGGCTCGCTTTTCTATCATTAGAGATAAAAGACCAACAGCGCAGCAGCAATTTTCACTTCGGATGAACAGGATACTTCTTGCAAAAGGCAAAGCAGTTCAGAATTAGATATTGTTCCATCCTTTATTCAAACCAGGGGTGAAGAGAGTCCTTTACCATAGAATCTGGCCCAAGTGAGTTTTCCACTACATGGGAGACGACTACTATTTTTTGTTGTATCGACATAAAAAGGGCCTAGGGTCATTTAGGGCCCAGATTAGCAAGAGAGGCTAAATAAACCCCAAATGTCCACTCCAATTAATATATTTTAATTAAAAATAATCTGATTTAATAACTATTTTGAGAGACTTAGACTTGTGATAGCTCTGCAAATAGCAAAATTGGCACATCCCTTTACTTCCCCTCTAAAACTGAGAAATTTTTGTTTGTTAAAGAATATAAATTTTCAAAAAATGACAATTAGTAAGGAAAAGTATACTTTAATCTATAAAATTTATGCCTTCTATGTATTCTGATTAAATTCGGTAAAGATTTTTAATATATAACCATGTTTTATATTTTATATTAATTTTTTGTTTTTTAAAGGAGGGCTAAGTTAGCGTATAATTGACGATCTTGGTGCGGGCAGGTCCAAGCCTTTTTTTGTCTCCCGCTTCTATGATAGCAATTATTGCACATATTCCTGGCGTAATGCCGCTTGTTCGTATGTGGGCAAGCTGTGATCCTCTTTTTATATGCCTTTTTTCGCTTGTAAACTTTTTTTATAATTTTCTTTGGCTCAGATTCTTCAAGATCAGGGACTTCATCAGAGAAGATATTAGGAAGCCGGAGACTGCACAGATCTTCTGAATAATGGAAGATTAGTGAATACATCCCTGAAAACACTGTGATTTTGTCTTTGCAGATTTCTTTCATATTTAATATCCTTTTCTAAATTAAATAAAATTTTTGATAATGTTACGATTTATTATAATAGTATTGTTAATGTTGTTTTTAATTAATTTAGTGGAGATTTATATTAAATTTTCACGCAAAAATGTAACACCTAAAACTATGGCATTTATGCAACATAAGAAATTGCACATTAAATAGTCTTGAAAAGGTCTAAACTGACCTGAATTTATGATTTATTTATTTTGCTCTTAACTCTACCTAACTCCCGCTTCGTGAACGAACAAAAAAATTTTGTTCGCTAACAGGAGGGTTCAATTATTTTTTTCAAAATTTAAAAAATCCCAATTATAAAAATTGAGAATTTAATTTGCAAAATTTATATTTAAAATGCAAGCTGTTTAAAATTAAACAGAATTAGCTAGAGATTTCATTATAATAATTATCACTTATATATCAATTTTTTTTCATAAAAAATTTTTTTATATTAAAAAAATTTAGTTTTCTCACAATGGGTGGGCTTTTATCCAAAAAATAGTGATTTTTCCAATGGTTTTGTTCGCTCATGGAGGATAGGGAGTAGGCTACTATTTATCAAATATTTTCCAAAACATATAAACAAATAGCCATAAATATAAAAAGGTTTTAGAATTTCACGATAATAATATTAGGATAAATAATAATTAGGCAGCTTTTTATCGAAATTTATACAATTAGCAGGGAGATCAAACATATGAATTTCCCATAAAGTTTAAGAATAACAAATTTTTTTAATTTCTATTAAGCTTTCAGTTAGGAAATTGACCTAAACATAAACTGATAACTAAATTATTTACGAATTTATGCAAATAAGTAAAAATAATAATTGGCCTAAAAGGGATAAAAAGAGTTTTGACTTATTGTTTTTGCATCCTAATTTCGTAGAATTTGTAACTCCCCCCTCTGTGAGCGAACAAAAAAATCTTGCTCGTTCACGTAGGGGGTTAATTTTTTTTTTTTTTAAAAAAAGTATATATAAATTTTATAATTCCAATTTGTAAAAATTTAGAAGCAAAAATTAATTTAATTTGCGAAATTTATTTTTTAAAATGCAAACTGTTTGAAATTAAACGGAATTAGCTAGAGATTTCATTATACTAATTATCATTTATATATCAATTTTTTTTTTAATAAAAAATTTTTCAATTAAAAAAAAAGTTTTGTTCGCTGACGGAGGGTGGTTTTTGGGATTTTTCTAATGGTTTTGTTAACTCACGGAGGGGGGAGTAAGCAACTTATTTTATTATAATCTTCAAGCTGCTCGCCTATATTTGCTGGATAGAATTCTCATATAAGCCAAGCTTTATACTCATAAAATGGCGAAATTTTTAAGGTGCCATCTGCCAACCAGCTTCATTCACTTTATCTTTTAAATGAAAATATAAGATCAAATTAAATCCTGGAATTAACATATTAAATCCTTTTGATTACAATGAATAATAATTTGTTTTATCAAATTGCCATTTTTTGAAAAAATCACAAAGATTATTATTTATTTGCTTTTCTGTCATATTTGCGTAATAAAAGAATTATAACTTTCATCAATCCAGCCTTATAATCTGGATTTAATTTTAATTTGAAAGGAGTTACTTTAATATGAAGCAGGATATTTTTATAACACTTTTAGGAAATAGCAAGATCAAACCCAACTTGATATTTTTTTTTAATAGCTTAAAAAATTTTGTTGAAGTGACTTTCTATAACAGTTTTTTTGTGAAAAAATGAATATAACTTATCAAAAGTATTCTGCTTACTTAAGTTCCTTAATATCAGCTGGAGCCGCAGCCATTTAAAGAATTGATACAATTGCATTGAAGATGGCTAAGTATGTTGGGACAGAAGTGGAGTGAAGTTAAACTTGCTAGATTCTTATTTAAACAAGAGATTGCAAAGTAATTGGATTAGGATTTTAGTAATATTTAAAATTTGCTGACTGGAGTTGATCTGCTTGAAATTACTTTGGCCTACCTTCAAGAAATAAGGTGAAGTTCCCTGAAAATGAATTAAGGTAGCCTTGCTAAAGCACATTGTTCTATTGGGATCATAGCCTTCACCATGCTTCTCCAGTAAATTTGCATTTTATAGTCTTAAAGTTAGTTTTGTAAATTTTTTAGTAATACCATTTTCTTTAGAAACTCTTTATCCATTACCTTCAAGGTTGTCTGCGACATTAGTGATCAAAGCTTCAATTCTACAGTTTTTGAAAATCAATGATAAGCCTAAAAAGCAAGAGCTAAATTATTAAGGAAGGGATAGAGTGGCTGATCTTAAGTGAAATAGTTTTTCTAAGATACTAAGGAAGCAGTTTTTAGTTTCTTTATTGAGGCAGCTTAGAGTTTCTATAAGGGCACTTGCGAACTAAAGGTAATTACTTTCTAAGAAGTCTTTAGCATTATCTAATGGTTGAGGTTTGATAGGCTACCAATACTGAGTATAAGAAATATGCAGATTGCTTTCATATTAATTTAATTATTCAGCTCAAATTTTTTTAATTCTTAAATACAATTTTGTAATATTCAGTCCAAAATATGGATCATTAAAGCTAATAAGAAAATTTGTTATAGCTAAATATAAATAAAATGGTATTCGGTTCGAGAGAAATTAGCTTCGCTAATTTTCTCTCCCTCATGGAATTTTATTTATGGGGTTAGGCTTGCACTCGAGAACTTCTGGACAGCAATAGCGGTTTAACTCTGGGGATAACCAGAGGAACTGCTCCTCAGTCCTTTCAAGATTTCGGGCTTTTACCTCTCAGCACATCTCCACGGGAAGATGACCCTATGGCGGAACGCACGCAGGAGCTGAGTCTAGACAAGGGCGACGGCAACGTGCCAGGTGAGACGTGCAGCAAGGCTGGTAAAGCAGGAGTTGATAGAATGGCTTGGGCAGGGCTGACCTGTTCCAAGATGGCTCACCTACGTCACTAGTTTTGCCATAGGTCCATTTTGGGCTGCGGCACTAGACACCTTAAACACCAGATAATTAAGTAAGTAAGTTATAGCTAAATAAATAGAATTAGCACGCTTGCAATTTTAAAACAAATTTTATTAAGGTTATTACTTTGAGGTACAGGAGTTAATTATTTCCTTAATGGCATTAAAATTAATATGTTGTTATTTGACAAAAATTATGTTTTTATACGAATAAAGGCAGAATTGAATCATATTTTCTTATGTCTATTATATAAATTTATGCACCCCTAAAAAAGTTTTGTGTATATTATTAGCATTGAAGCATAAATTATAAAAATTATAAGTTAGCTTAAACTTTTAATTCTTCTTTCTTAATAGAATTATTAAAATGGCGTGATCTGACGTGGACTCCTGACAACCCGTGAGTTGATCCGGGCCAGGAAAGGTGAGCCACATGGCAATAGTTCTCCGGGATGGGTTTTTGGTCTAAGGGATAACCTTACTCCCCCCCCTCCGTGAGTGAACAAAAAAATTTTGTTCACTCACGGAGGGGGGTTAATTTTTTTTTTTTAAAACAATTTATATATAAATTTTATAAAAAATATTGTTTTCGAAATTTAAAAAATCTAATTTGCAAAAATTGGAAAACCAAAATATTATTTTTTTTGTAAAATTTATGTTTTAAAAAGCAATTCGTTTAAAATTAAACAGAATTAGCTCTAGATTTCATTATGCTAATTATCATTTATATATCAAAATTTTTTTTCCATAAAAATTTTTTCTATTAAAAAAATTTTTGTTCACTCACGGAGGGTGGGTTTTTTTGGGCAAAAAATAGGGATTTTTCTAATGGTTTTGTTCACTCACGGAGGGGGGGGGAGTTAGATCTTTTTTCCCTACCTACAGAAGTCCCTAATGGCGCAAAGTCCCGAGGCTACTCCATGGGAGCAATCTTGGACCTACAATAAGGTCCCGACAGGCCATGGAGTAGGCAAAAGACGGTTCACCCATACCCTGAGCCCTGTCAGAGGTTAAGGGAGTCTTGGCTGAATCTTGGGACCAAGAAAGGCTCGGCCGAACGGTAGGGTTTTCTCCCCGACAGACCTCTGATGTCACCATTTTTGTGGACATCAGTAAGGAAAAGGTTGGTGTGAGGATAGCGCTTAGCGCCAACGCGAAGCTATCCGTTGGACGGAGAGGGGCTGAAATAAACCCCGACGACCCGCTATAATTTTAATCTAATCTAATCTAATCTTTTCTTAATAACAACTTGGAGAGACCTAGACTTGTGATAGCACTGCAAATAGCAAAACTGGCACACTCCTTTTGCGTATAATTGACGATCTTGGTGTGGACAAGCCCAAGCCCTTTTGACTCTCCCGCTTTTGTGGTAGCAATTATTGCACATATTCCTTGCATAGTGACGTTTATTCTTATGTGGACAAGCTGTGATCTTCTTTTTATAAGCTGTTTTGCCCTTTTTGGCTTTTTTAATAATTTTCTTTGGCTCTGATTCTTCTAGATCAGGGACTTCATCAAAGAAGATATTAGGAAGCCGAAGACTATATAGATCTTCTGAATAGTTGAAGATCAGTGAATACATCCCTGAAAACACTGTGATTTTGTCCTCGCAAAATTCTTTCATATTTTATATTATATTCAACCAAAATTTTTACACAAAAATGTAACACCCAAACATGTGGCATTTAAACTACTTGAAAAATTACCTCATAAGAATAGAAGCTCAGGTGCTAATTGATCTTAATTAGGTATTTATATAGTTTACACTTATTTATACCAAAAGCTGCAATATTTATCAAAATAATTTGCGAAGCATAAAAACTTAACTCCCCCCTCCGTGATCCAACAAAAAAATGAATTTTATAGTATAATTTTTTTGTTAGAAATTTAAAAAATCATAATTCGCAAAAATTGGAAAGCAAATATTTATTTCATTTATGTTTAAAAATGCAATTTGTTCAAAATTAAATAGAGATTTCATTAGACTAATATTACTTATATATCAAAAAGCTTTTCATAAAATATTTTTAAATTAAATATTTTTTTTCGCTCACGGGTGGGCTTTTGGGCAAAAAATAGGGATTTTTCCAATGGTTTTGCTCGCTCAGGGGAGTAAGCAATCATAATATTTAAAGAAAACCTAGAGAAACACTAAATTATTTACTAATTGGTTGATTAAGCAACTTTTTATTGAAAATTCGACGATTAATAGGAAGTGAATTATAAGAATTTCTATAAATTTTAGGAGAAGCAATCACCCATTCGATTTCTTTTAAGTTTATTATAAAAAATTTGAGGGCTAAGATGAAAAGTGAACAATTCTATTATTCAAATTTATGAATATAAAGTATAAAAAAGTTTTGACTTAAATAATTTGCTTACCTTTTGCAATTTTTGAATTTCTTTGTGTCAGTGTATTCTTTAGTATTTTTGTACCAGAATGAAGGTTTAGGAATTTTTTGAGGCAAGAGTTCAATATCCAAAGTAATCCAGAAGAAGCTAGGGTCAATTAACTTGCACAATTATTATTTTAAAATTAAGAAAAGTTTAGTCACTAACTCCCCACTCTCAGTGAGAGAACAAAAATTTTATTTGCTCATGAGGGGGTTAATTATTTGTTTTTAAATTTATATATAAATTCTATAGTAAATTTTTTTTTTCAAATTTTAAAATATTACGACTCGTAAAAATTAATTTAATTTGTAAAATTTCTGCTTTAAAATGCAATTAAACAGAATTATCTAGAGATTTCATTATACTAATTATCACTTATCTATCAAAATATTTTTTTAATAAAAAATTTTTGCTCGCTAGGGGGCTTTTAGGCAAAAAATATGGATTTTCCAATGGTATTCCACTCACAGATGGGAGGAGTAAATATATTCTCCCTATTAAACTACAGGCTTTAATTTTTCGTGTTTGATGAAAATAGAATTGAAATTCTATCAATACTTTGTAATCTAATAAATCAAAAAATCATTCTATGCTGAAATCGACTTCTTGCTATAAAAAAATGTAAGAACAGTCTAAAATGTTTTGAAATCAGTATATTTAGCCCTATTGATTGAAATAAAATGATAATATGTTGCGTTGAGTTGCTATAGCACAGGGCAACTTTAGGTCGCCTTGGGCTATAAGGCACCTACCACTTGGTGAAGTTGGCTCAATCAAGATCAGTTGCCAACTCAATCGTGCCAGCTTACAAGTTACATATTAACTTTCACTTGTGATTAGTGGGATTGACTTGGCAAATAATCTTACCTTGTAAACTCCATCAATTGGATGGGTTACTTGCAGACCAGGGCTGCCCAAAAGAGGCCTATACAATATTTAGGTATAAAATCATAAGATTATTTTTCATTTTATCTCTCAACATATTCCGTGTAATAGCTAAATAGTTCTAATTTTCATCAACCCAGCTTGGAATCACTATGCCCATATTTTTTTATATTTTATTAGGAAATTTTTGTAACAGCCAGATAAAATTAGATTATTCGAAAATGAATTTTTATGCTTTTATAGGTTTATCATGATTGTTTTAGCTATTGAACCTATTATTATATATTCCTTCCTGCTACTCAGACCAACATTTTATTGGAAATTATTGATTTATTCAATATCACTTCGAAAATGATATTTTTGAATTCTATGAATAATTAATCGATTCAATGTTAAATAATAAAAATTAATAATTTTTCTATTGAGAAAAAAAAGTTTTCAGTTAAAGTCACCAAAATAAAATTTTGCCGCTATTTATTTAATTTAACTTAATGGGGGGAATTAGAAATTCATATCTATTGCATCATATTCTAAATTTATATACATTTAGTCTCTTAGACTAATATTTAAATAAACTCAATTAAAGGCTAAATCTTAATTCTTTTAATTTGATATTTTAAAAATACTTTTCATTAAGCACCTTTTAGCTAGCAAATTTCGCATGAAAGTTAGTAATCCTTAATTTCTAAATTCATGAATTTTTGATACATATTAGATATCGTTATTGCGTTTTTTTAAACAAAGATAAACCTAAATCCTAAATTTTGAGGCTTTTTGTGTCTTGCTAGTATCAAAACTATCAATCTAATAAAAAGATTATAAGTATTTTTTTAAATCGTTATAGTTAATTATTGAGATTTTGTTATTTATATGAAGAAAAGGCTTGCTTGATCATCAAAATATATTTTATGCTATTTCATAGTAAAAACTATTAACTTAGCCCTTAGTGCAAAGCAAAACCATTGATAAAACTCTATTTTGATAAATTAATTTATCAGTTATCAAGCAAAACTTTTTTTATAGAATTTTATATAATTTTTTAAAAATAATTAATTATCTCGTTTATGTACAAAAGCCTTGCTTCAAACCAAGCAGTTAGCGAGTGATTTAGTTTTTAAGCAAAGAAATATTTTCACTCCCTTCCTTTAAGAACCATTGAAAAATTCGATTTTTGGGGAAACAAAAAAATTCTATTATAGCTATTTTATATAAAATATTGTATATATATAATTAATAACTATTATAGTGAGATCTCAAGCCAGTTTTATTAAATTTCAGCTTGTATTCTTAAACATAAATTTATAAATTAAGCTAGATTTTTCTTTTCAAATTTGAAATTTTAAAAATATTTTATAAATAAAATTTTTAAACGCGAGGAAGATTTTTGCTTGCTCTTAAAGACAAAAGTAAGTATAATCAGCAAAAATATTGGGTTTATTATTGAGTATCGTCTCAGACCAATGCTAATAATTGATCTTTTTACAAATATCATCAGCAATAAATAATAAACAGAATTAATGCAGCTAAAAGCAGTCTTAATAAAAATTTTAAAAAGCCAAAAATCAATATTTTAAAATTATTCAAAGATATAGATTTAAATAGCTATGCTGAAATTATTTTAATAGCAGCTATTTAATTTTTTAGAAAAGTCTATATTGGTGACTATTAAAGAAAAGCTTATGATGGATATAGAAATAATATATGAGCAAAATTCCTAAAAATCTCATTTAATACCTAAACTTATTTGAATGTATACAAAGCAAGGGAGGATTTTTAAATTATTTTACACTAAAAGACTAGTAATTTCAATAATAACTCTTACTTAAAATATAATAAAAAATATTAAAAGGTTTTTCAATAAGGCTATTATTTTGTCTTCAACGGAAGTTGATATGGATACTTATAAGAATAAGAAAATAAAATAAAACCTGTATAATATTTACCAAAAAAAAATTAAAATAAGTATTTAACGTGCTTATCCCTTCCGCTGGATGAAATTTGCTAACTTCCCCCTCCGTGAGTGAACAAAACATTAGAAAAATCCCTATTTTTTGCCATTGAACAAAAATTTTTTATGGAAAAAATTTTTAATATATAGGTGATAATTATTATAATGAAATCTCGAGCTAATTGTGTTTAATTTTAAACAAATTGAGTTTTAAAACATAAATTTTACAAATTTAATTATTTTTAATTTTTAATTTCTAAATTTACTGTTTAACTTCTTTTCTTCAAATTTCTTATAACAATTTAAAATTTGAAAATAAAGAATTAATAAAAATTTGAAAATTTGAAGTTATTGAAAGTTTGAAACTTGAACTGCTTTCAATAATTTCAAATTTTAAATATTTGTAAATCCTGCTTTTCTGATCAAAATTCCGATTTTCTATATTTACCGATAAGATCAAAAATCTGAAAGTCCAATCTCCAATTCATCTGCCACTATTTCATCGGCATCATCATATCCTCTACTAAGTGTTCTTCATGTCTTTTCATAATCTAATGCTTCTTCATCACTTGGGATTATTACTTTCACCTTTGTACATGTGTCATTTCATGCAAAAAAATAATAATTACAAATTTAATTAATATTTTTCTTTCCAATTTTTGCGAAATGGGATTTTTTTAAATTTTGAAAACAAATTTTTTCTATAAAAATTTTTTAAAACAAAAAATTAATCCCTCCATAAGCGAACAAGATTTTTTGTTCGCTCACGGAGGAGGGGAGTAAGTAATTTAGATTGTCTTAAATTCTTATCCAAATAATTTAAAAACTTTATTTTGGTCCTTAATTACGGAAACAAAAATATTTTCACCCTAATTATATTTTATATTATTTTGATTAGTAACTAATTTTATTATTGTCAAACTTTAAATTTGCAATTCCTAGTCTCTTTTGTTATCAGAGCTTTCTTTTAATTGAATAATCTTCATCCCTATATTGAAATTAACTTTTAGCGGTAAATTCGAAGTAATCGTAAATTCAAAAAATATTTATATCTAATCCTGCTGATGAAGCTAAAATAGATTTTATCCTGCCAATTAAATTTTCGCTGCAGAAAGAGATGATATTTGATTTTATTAATAGCAGATATTTTTTATTTAATATTTCACTATCAAAAACATCCCGAAAGTGAAAATTATCGTTTTTACTAAAGACCCAACTTTATAAAATTTAGCCAGTAAAGCAGTGAAACTCATATTTGTTACATTTTAAACTAAAATTTTTAACACCCAGACTAAAAAATATGGATTATGCAAAATCGAATTATAATATGTTATTCATCGATCTTCAAAAGAATTTCATTTACTGTGTGTTATTCTAGTATCCTTTGCTTCATAATATTTTAATTTTTGAAATCGTTAGTAATTAGTTTTAGTGAAGGTTAAAATAACTCAATCGAATTTATTTAAAAACCATACATGGGAAATTTTAATATAGCCCGTTCCCGGCAAAGATCGGGCTATATTAAAATAATAATTTTTCAATTTAATGTATGAAGGCAATTTATGTATGATCAAAAATCAGTTTTTATTTTTATATATATTTTTCTTATGGTTATTATAGCAAATATAGCACCCTTATAAAATTAAGTTTATAAAATATTTCTTTCTTTTGAGCTTCATCAACAATCAATTCTTAAATTGTATATATTATTATTCCAGACTAATCTTTTAAACGCACAGCTATAATTTAACTTAAATATTTGAGTATTCTGTCTTGATGCTTTTACATGATCTAGACTTATGATAGCTCTGTAAGTAGCAAAACTGACACATTCCCTTAGCGTAGAGCTGCCGGTCCTTGTGTAGGCAAGTTCAGGCCTTTTTTTGTCTCCCACTTTTATGATAGCAATTGCTGCACATATTCTTGGCATAGTGTCTTTTATTTGCATGAGGGCAAGCTGTAATCCTCTTTTTTGTGCCTTTTCCTTGCCCGCTTTTGGAAGCCTTTTGATCATTTTCTTTTGGCTCCTCTCTTTCGGCTTCACTGTCTTCATAGGAAAATATATTAGGAAGTCGCAAACTTGATCCTTCTTCTGAGTTTTTAAATATTAAAGAAAACATCCCTGAAAATACTGTAAATTTGTCCTCACAACTTTCACTCATCTATATTATGCTATCCACAATTTCGGACTAAAATGGACAATCAACATACAATTACAATTAAAATATTAAAGGAATTATAAAATGTATTTCAATTGGTAATGCTGACTTTAATTTTTTTAATTTTATATTTTAGTTAGTTATACAAAAAATTATAAAATTCGCGAAAATATAGCTTGAATAAATAGGAAAATATGAGAATTTAGAAAATGAAAAATTCAGTTGAGCAATTAATTTTTGGTATGATTTTATCGAATTTTAAAAATTCATAAGAAGAAAGGGATATCCACAGATTAAATTTCACTTTTTAGCATATTTCATTCACGTGCAAACGTCATCAATTAAATAAAATGGAAGAAAAAGGTTGTGCAATTTGATAATTTTTGGATTTTTAATAGTATTTACAGGGCACTTAAAGATAAATATAAGATAATAATCTTTTAAAGATAAATAAGTACTAATATAATTAATGCCTTATTTAAAAATAAAAGTTTTTGATATGGTTATATAATTTATTACAAATTAGCCACAAAGTTGCCGAGAAATCTTTTTTAAAGCTTTATTTATTTCTCTAAATATTACGATTCAACTAAAAAACTAAATATCAAAATAATTATTGACTTCTTTATAGATCTTAAGGTTCTCTATTTATCACAAAATTTAAGAAGTTGAAATTTTTATTTTGAAGTTAATTTTAGAATAAAAATATATCTGTTAGTCTCAAATTAAAAGGAAAAATCAGAGTTCATAGACATAATTATTACATTTTATTTAGTAATTTTAATTTAGTATATGTAATATTAAACAATCTAACATCTTAGTTTCTGTATGATTCCATGAAAAATTAACTAATGAATTAGATCTTATGAGATTTACAGAAAATGAAGTAAAATGGTCGGATTATTGCCAAGTTCAATCTCGAAGCATAACCCTAAACTACTTTTGGGTTATTTAAAGGGTAAAGATTATAGGCATTATTATGGACTATTAAGATATAACAAAGGGTGAGTTTATAAGATTTTTGCATTATTTTAGTCGAGCTGTAAAGTAATTTCTTTTATATTTAAAATTTCGTATTGTAATTTGACATCCAAGGTGTTTTCTAATTTTAATAGTCTTCATTCTGTACTTTTATAAAAATTGTGTGAAATTAGCATATAAATTAGAATCTTTATCAATTCAATATATTTAGCTCTACTTTTAATTCATTAAATTAAGCTTCATTTGCTATTATATGATTGTAACAATTATAAAAAGATAAAGAGTTTCATAGTATACATTTTTACCTTCCATAATTAATTTAAAAATATTTCACATCAAACAGCTGGTAAATGTTTCGAAATAGCTGCTTCTATAAAAATAATTAAAATAACATCCCATAGTAAAAGTATCAGTTCTGATAAATGAATAATATTTCTATTATCAAGCAAAACAACCCTCAGAAAACTAAAATTTCTTATGTTATTTTTTTAAGAGAGCTAAAAACTTACAAAAATTATAGCATCAAAAACTTCAAAACTCAAAGGCATTGCTTATAATAATACCCTAGGCAATCAATAACAGGCCCTAAGCTTATTTTTGGCTTTTAAGATGGAAATAAAAAAAATGTTTTACCTAATGCCCTTTTATTCTGTTGAACTGATTATTGAAATAAGTTATTTCATTATTTTGAATATTTTGGTATTAATTTTAGCTAAATTTCATGTAACCAAATAATCATATTCTTAATTTGAAAATGGAATTTATTGATAAAATACCAAGCCAATCAAAAATCCTGAAAGACTTAATATTTTTTTGTTACCTGTGTGCAGCTAATTTTCTCCCTAATATTCGGGCCAATCAAAAATTAATTTAGGCAATAAATTTCCCTTATTTTTACAAGTTAAGCTTTATAATCCTGGGATCAGTAAAGCAGCTACTTCATATTTATTACATTTAATTATCAAATATTTGTAACAGCTAGTATAAAAATATGGATCATCAAAATCATAATTTCAAATGCCACTGCTACTTTTTTATCGATGCGTTAAAAATTATCTATTATTTAAATACTGCTGTCTCGCTGTTTGCCTTGCCTCCTGTATTTAATAGCTATTAAAAGCTATCTTATTGCGAAGAGTTAAGATTTGAGTTTACTATATGAAAAGTGTAAATTAACTTTATCTAATTATTATGAATCAACATTTAATGGGTTTACTGATCTAAAAGATTAAAGTTGAATTAAATACTTTATATACTTATAAAAATTTTTTTAAGCAGCTCGATAAAATAATATTTATATATATAAGTAATAGGAACCTAGATATTATGCAGAGAGACAATGCACTATATTTTGTGATAATTAATTTCATATATATTTTTTATTATATTCATTAAAAGCCATTTATGTTATTAGTATTCCAGACTAATTTTTTAAAAAACTCAACAAAAATTTAGGCTTTAATTCTTAAGCTTTCGGATTTGATGACAACTTTGCAAGATCTAGACTTATGGTAGTTCTGCAAATAGCAAAACTGGCACATTCCTTTAGCGTAGAGTTGACGATCTTGGTGTGGGCAACTCCAAGCTTTTTTTTGTCGCCCGCTTTTATGGTAACAATTGCTACACATACTCTTGGCATAGTGGCGTCTATTCACATGGGGACAAGCCGTGATTCTCTTTTGTGCGCCTCTTGCTGGGCGCCTGTTTTTAGCCTCTTCAGTAATTTCCTTAGACTCACCTTCTTCTTCAACTTCGCTATCTTCGCAAGAAAATATATTACTCCCCTTTTTGAGTAAAAAAAAAATTATATATTTTATGTTAAAAATTAAATTTTAAGAAAATCCAATTAAATAAAAAAATCAATTTTAATTTAAGTAATAAAATTTATGTTTAGAATGAAAGTATCTGCAATTTAATATATTTAGCTAGAGATTGCATTATAATAAATATCATTTATATATAAATATCTTTTTATAAGAATATTTTATGTAAAAAATGTTTTTACTTACTCATGTAGAGATTTTTCTTATAATATATAGGGATTCTAAAGGTTTTGTCCAGCCATAGGGGCGGATTAGGAAGTCTTAGGCTAGATTCTTCTTCTGAAAATTTGAAGATCAAGGAAAACATCCCTGAAAAAACATTGAATTTATCCTTACAATTCTCACTCATCTATATTATAGTATTTATGTTTATTTTTAATAAGTTTACGATTTTTTAAGCCTTTTTTATCACATTAATAAAGCATTAACCTTTTAAATTTAGCCTTGCTTATTATTTATTATAGAATATTATATTCACCAATCCACACTATAAATGGAACAACCAACATGAATTTCAATTAAAACATTAAGAAGCTAAAAAACTGAAAAGTCAATTAAAGGCTTCTATTGATAAATATTGCTTATAGGCATTGCCTTTAAATTGCCTGATAAGGGCTTAAGGATGGAGAGTTGCCAATTCAACTACAAGAGGCTCATTTGCCAACTCCCCAGTTGGTTTTGCCAACCTGAGTTTGCCAGGCCAACTGGAGATAGGAGCTGTATATCCTTATGCCCTTATCAGGAAAATGCTTAGGCAATGCCTATATTTTCTTTAATTTTAAGATCGTTGCTAGTAAAGAAAATTCAGAAAATTTTTCCAAAATATAAATCATTTGAATAGATAGAAAAATAGAATTAATTTTAAAAACGCTAATTTTTATCTGGTAATAATTTCTATAGATGTTTTTTACGAAAAGTTTAGCAAATTACTAAATTTTAATTTTTTTGAAGTATTTCATCCAAACGCCATTATTTGAACAAAATGGAAAATGGAACTTTTTATGATGTGAGATATTTGGTTTTTTTAAGCTTATCCAGGTTGCGATAATTATGAATAATTAAATTTTGATAATAATTATAATAGCTTTCATTTAGTGCTCGGATTAGGTTTATAGTTATGTAAACCGAATATAGAGATAGAAAATCTGGAATTTAAATGATATATAAAAAATATATATAATGAATCAACATTTTATTGTTTTATGTTTAAGATTAAAATATTTATTATAAGTTCCATAAATTATTTATTCATTCGCAAAGCTAGCCGGATTTTTTAGAATTTAATAGTCTTCATTATGTATACTCTGATGAATCTTTTTAGATATTACACTAAAGCTGCAAGAATTTTACACTCACAGTCAATTGCCTGGAAATTCCAATGCAGTTCACGAGGAATTGAATATTGTTTAAAATACTTCGAGCCATAGTAAAAACCTTTCAAAATAGGATTGGTGAATCTGGTATATAATAAAATCTTAAAGTTTAGATAGATTGCAATTAATTTAAAATTATTGAGCATAAATCAGCCAATAGAAGCATTAGATTTCTCAACAAATTGAATCATTAAAAAAAGTATTTGACTTTTAAATTCCAAAAACGAAATTTATAAACTGCACAAAATTCATAATATCTTCTGCTTTAAATGGCAAGAATTAGGTAGAGAAATTTTTTAAGATGAAAATAAAAAAATAGTTTGGGCTTAATAATTCGTTATTTATTGCACTGTGCACTAAATTATTTCTTTATTATTTGAAAATTTGTTTTTAGCCCCCTCCCTTTAATCTGGAACAAAATTCAAATAAAATTTCTATTTTTTGGGTTTTTAACTGCTACAATTTTTTTCAATATGAAAATTTATATAAGTGAAAATATTAATTTTCATAAAATTAGTTTTGGCCTGATTTAATGTAAAATGTGCAAGTAGAATATTATTTAATCAGTTTAAATTTTAATTAAGATTCAAAATATTGCATTTAAAAAGTATAATTTTTTTTTTTAAAAAATAATTAACCCTTTAAATTTTGAACAGGATTTTTTGTTCAAATTTAAAGTGGGGGGAGTTAGGTTCTCATTATCCAGTTATCGAAATTTATATAAGTATTCTCTATTCTCAACTAGAAAATGGAATTTAGTCTTAAAACATTAGAGTATTTATAAAATATAAAGACATATAGCTTATTGTTTTAAATATAATAAAATAATTTTTACTTTATTGATCAAATATTTTTATTAAATAGAATTTTATTTAACAACGTGCAGCAAAATATTCGGCCTAGAAGAATAAGTATGCTCACTGGCGTTCTCTTTGCTTTCAGAAACATCTTTGATCATTTTAAGTTCATTAGTTAATTTCATATTTTTTATTCTTGCTATGCTTTGGATACTCTTATTGCGAGACCTTATGGTGAAAAATCAATGGTTCTAGCCTAATAAATATGGCTGATTATCAATTAAGTTTAAAAATTGATTTTTTATATTAATTATTTACTTAACTGGATTATAGCGCTTTAAGTTCCTTACAGGATGACTCTACCAGAAATTTTCCACAAGTTTGGACCATAGGTTAGTCGTTTAATCTGTTTCGAGCATCAAGGCAAGTGGTGAACAAGTCTTAAACCTACTTACCTAAAATCAAAGGCAGTCTACGTGCTATCGACAACACCTGGAGAGGAAGACCCTTGGGCCTAGAGATGGGATCTATGCAGCAAGTTCTTGAGTAGCTAAGACATCACCTGGCGGCATCCTAGAGCTAACTTGATCGTTCTGATCGGTATACCAACCATATTCTGATCAGAAATTAAATATATAAGATAAGATTACCTGTATTTACAGGGATAAAGTTCCCATGTAAAACCAAACCTATTATCATATCATGCAGAATCAGTAGCGCCTATTGATAGATAGGCAATTTACGAATGCCACCATTTTATTATTATTTTAATTACTCACAAATCCAAAAGCCAAATTAAGTCTCAAAGATACGCTATAAATTCTCCAAAGGTACAGTATTTTTGTAATAGCCTAATAAAAAATGGATTATCAAAACTTTCTAATCAATACTTTTCAAAAGCTGAAAAGATTATTTTTCATTATAATTATGCAAAATATATTATTTTCCTTTACTCCGGAGTGAAATAACTAAAGACAGTTTATTAGAATTTATTTAATTTCTATTATAGTTATAGCATTAAGTTTATATACCAAAACTTAATTTTATGATAAATAATCATACCCTGTACTAAAATCAGATTAATTCCGATTTAAGCTGAAAAAGTTTATCTGGAAAGTTTTTTGCTAGACAGTAAAGAAAACTAATGCTGGAAATTTCCATTTGGGAGTTAGTCTGACCTATAAGCTCGCATGACTAAGTCTACTATTTATATCAGAATAATAGAAAAGATTTAGCCATTAAGCTGCTTGAACTATACTTACTAAAACTTTTTAATTAAACAAAGAATTTATGATAAAGTCTTTTTAAATTATGTAATTTATTATAACTTCAGTCTATATTTTTTGATGTAAAATTAAAATTAAACCTTTGAGCATTCTATCTTGATGCCCTTGCAAGATCTAGATCTGTGATAGCTCTGTAAATAACAAAATTGGCACATTCCTTTAGCGTAAAGTTGGCGATCTTTGTGAGGACAATTCCAAGCTTTGTATGGTCTTCCGTTTGTATGGTAGCAATTATTGCACATGCTCTTGGCGTAGTGACGTCTATCTACATGAGGACAAGCTGTGATCATTTTTTTTGATGCTTTTATTGGCCCACTTTCTAAAATCTCTTTAGCATTCTCTTTTATCTCCGCTTCTTCGATCTTCTTTTCTTCATAAGAAAATATATCAGGAAGTCTCTTACTAGATCCTTCTTCTAAAGAGTTAAAGATTAAGGAAAACATACCTGAAAAAATATTAAACTTATCCTTGCAGTTTTCAGTCATCTATGGTATACCATTTTTACTATTTTTTATGTAAATTTCTATGGGTTAATGCTTATATTTAGAATATTTAAGATAATTATAGACTTAGCAATTTAATATTGAAAATATTATAGTATAGAATATTATATTATCCACAAATCAATATAAATGAAATGCCCAAAAAACTGATTACAATCAAACATTAACGAATTATAATAAAGAATTGAACTAAATATTATAAATAATTTTAATTTTATAGATGTTTTTACGAAATTGCAGCTTTAAAATAAAATATATGAATGAACTTAAAAAACGCCAAATTTGTTCAGTAACATTTTTTTTAAAGTATTTTATCAAAAACTTTGAAAAATTTGTATAAAGAATGAATTAGGGAAGTGTCACAAATTAATTTCAATTTAGGCATATATCTTTTATTAGAATGCACAGATAGAATTATCAATTAAATAAAATGGAGATAGGAAATTTTCAAATACGTATTGCTTTAGATTTAGCATTTATACTAATTATATAAGTATAAGTCAATAGAAAAATTTTCAATTTGTTAAAGATAATTTGCTATGCAATAAGAGATTTGCTTAAATTCCATTGCTCAATTTAATTAAATTATATAATACCATAATTTTTTAAAATAGATAATTTTTAGCACTCTTCCAGTATAATAGTTTATATCTGCCTTTACTCAAACGCAGAGTTTTCCCTTAAATAATCTGGCTGATAAAAATCACCATTACTGTTATTAAATCGATAGACTAATCAAGCATAATAAAGAATTTAAAAATAGTTAATTTGTTTATTTTTTAAGTTTGTATGATATATTCTTACTATGTTTTATAAATTCTTTATGCTTGATTTATATTAGTGAGGCTAAAAATTTCAGATTAAGGGATTTTTGGTCATGAATATTTTCATTTCATTTGATCAAGTATAATTTTTATTAATTTAAAGTAAATGTTAATCAAATGCTTTTTTCGCTTATTGCTTGCTAGAAGCTAAATTTGGTGATTTTTGGCGAATTGAATTTTATAAATGGCATAAATATTTTAAATAATTGGTTTAGCAATCAAATTTATGAGGAAATAGTAGTGACATCAAGCAGCATTTAAATAATCAATATTATTTATAAGCATTAATTTTTGATTTTTCACTTAAAGCCATTTGATAAATTTTTCAATTTTCTTTTAAATCATGCTTATCTAATATAGCTGACTATGCAATTTCTTCATTATTTAGCACCTTTAAGCAAGCATAATTTTCACATTACTATAGTTAATATTGAAAAAAATTGAGCAAATCAAGGAAAAAATAATATACTTATTACTCCCCCCCCCTTCCGTGAGTGAACAAAACCATTAGAAAAATCGCTATTTTTTGCCCAAAAACCCACCCTCCGTGAGTGAACAAAAATTATCATTTTAATAGAAAAAATTTTTATGGAAAAAAAAATTTTATATATAAATGATAATTAGTATAATGAAATATAGAGCTAATTCTGTTTAATTTTAAACGAATTGCTTTTTAAAACATAAATTTTATAAATTAAATTAATTTTTGCTTTCCAATTTTTGCGAATTAGGATTTTTTTAAATTTCGAAAAAAAATATTTTTTATAAAATTTATATATAAATTTTTAAAAAAAAAAAAATTAAACCCCCCTCCGTGAGTGAACAAAATTTTTTTGTTCACTCACGGAGGGGGGGGAGTTAGAGCTTTTATTATCTGATAATAAATTAACAAAACTCAAATTTCTTAAATAATTCCATTTTCATGATAAAATTTCTATTAAGAAAAATATCTAAAGTATTTAAATATAAAAGACCTAAAACTTCCTTAGTCGTATAGATTTATTTACCTTATCTACATTAAATTCATCTAAAATTACCCTAATCATCTATTGAATACAATAAAATGATGAAAATGTTTGCATTTGGGCTTCTTTTTTCATTGTCTTCTCTTAAGTTCAGCTTCTTAAAGTTTGCTTAGCTTAAAATCACTTAGTCTGCTATTAAAAACAGTTACAACTCGTGATCCTACACTTTCAATTTCAGAAAAAATTAAAATATTAGATTTGTAGAAAATCATAAAGACATTATCAATATTGATGAATTTCACATCGCACAATGCAATAGAAATTATGGTTGAAGCAAAATTGGAGTCCATGTGCTAAATTCCAAGATTTTAAAAATAAAGCTTGCACTGTTATCATCACTGTATCAAGCTTTAATGAAATATTGCTTGAAGAACAATTGAAGGTTGCAACCAAGAAACCCTGATTTCAGACTGAATACTGTATTTTTCTTGGATAACGAAGTGCGAAATGTAAACTGACAGCTTTTATTGAAATAATTAAATTATAGTTTATTAAGCTTAAAGTGAGCAATTGTGTCAATATAGAATTCGTTTTGACTATAGTTTATTTTATATGCAAGCAATTAAGGATTATATGAATAATTGCAAATCAATTAAAAAGCAAAGTTGACGGATTTATTTAATTTAATAAAAGTAAAATGAGCCCAGGTAAACAGTAGAAGGCTAGCCAGAATTTTAAGATAATCGAATTAACTGCTCAAAAAAAATTATGTATATCTGCTTAATACCGAACTTTTTATTTCTTCTAATTTGCTTATATGATAATAGTTAGAAAATAAAAATAAATCGATATTAAAAGTGCTTGCAGCCAAAATTCTTCAAATTAAGGCATCTTTTTTGATTTTACTGAAATTTAAAGTTAATCAAATTAATTTAAAAACATAAATAAAATGGCTATAAATCCTTCAAAAGAGTTTCCTATACTTTCTCAAATGTTTGATGCCAACTTGATACAACCTCATCAATGCTGGTTATGAATGATAAAACAAATTGAATCCTAGGCTTCTTCTCAATCTATGGGCTTCTTCTTTGAAATTAAATGTTCAAAAATTAAAATCATTAATTAAGCTTCGATAGGATATTTAACCTTATTAATATATAGCTTCCATTTTTGAGTTTAAATTAATGAAGAATGCCTGAGGATCCTTTAAATCAATAGATTTTTGGAAATAGCAAGGTATCAAATATAATTACATCTTCACTTGAACTATTAAAACAAATGATTCCTTGTTTACTAATATTGCAATAAATATGATGCTTTTGAGGTCCTAGTTGATCCATGATATTTCTCGAATGCTTTGTATTTAAATAGATAATAAAATAAAGGTTAAAATAAATTTATACTGGTTTTGTAAAACGCTATTTAGTCTTATATTGCAATATTGCTACGCTAAAAATGTTTATGATAAAAAATGTCCTGTTCAGATCGAAATAATATTTTACAAGAAGGATTTGGTACTTAGCGTCGAGCTCTTCAAAAAGAGTATAATATAATTAGCTGGAAGATCTCAATTATGAAATGTAAAAAATTTTTAGCCCATAGAGCATTTCTGTTAAAAATTTTTTGCTCCAAAAAGGAGCTAATTTTCCCAAAAACAAGATTTTCCAATTGTTTTGATTATAACCAAGGAATTGTAAAAAATAATATTTCGTAATTTTGTTGATTATGAAGACTTGATAATTATATTTTATTTAGAAATGATTCTTCAGCAATTTTCATCTCATTCTCGTCATTTTTATTCACTAAAAGCATGTCTATTCATTTCTGTCTTGATTTCCAGCTATTTTTCTAACTGAAAATGACAAAAATCTCTTGATAGAGACTCCAAATTAATTAAAATTTACTACAAAGACTTAAAACTCAATTAATAACGAAATTTATATAAATTATTTAAAAATTATCCTTTTATTTTTATACTTCTTCAATCAACTTTTATAGAAATGTTGAAACTTTTTATTTAGGATCATTACAAGTATTAATGTAAAACGTATGAAAATAATCCTCAAAGAATTTGATAAAAGATGATTTAATATTTATAGCAATTTTTGCCTCCATATTAATAGAATGCTGAGCTGTTTAAAACGTGAAAATTTTAACTATTTAAAAATTTTATGAGGCTTGCATTTAGAAAATTTTTGCCCGTTAAGAGCCGATTTAATAATAATAAATATACAACACAACTAATCTCTTCACAAAATCTATTACCTAATTTATCTAAAATCATCTATATAAGCCTTTATTCCTATATTATATGTGTGGTGATAATAAAATGTTGAAAGGAACTGTCATTTGGGCCTGCGTGCTCACAATTCTCAGTTTTACAGCTGCTTCATCCAAGTTTGAAGCTAAGGATCTCAACAGCGACTCTCAGTTCGTATTGAAATCGCTTGCGGAATTTAGCCAACAAGCCTACTTATACGAGCCTTTAAGGATCCATACTCAGACGATCGAGGAATCCTTCAGCGACGACGAAGCCAACAAAAATTTGCAGTCAGCCTTAGCCACTTCAGCTAAAATCATATCTGATTTGCTACTCACTAAGCCTACAAATGGCAAGCTTACGCTTAGCGAGAATAATCAATGCGCAGATATCATGCTCGGTCAGATGATCCAAAGCGAAGACTTATCTGCAGATATCACTATATTCGCTGTTAACAATGAAGAAAAAGCAGAAATTACAACCTCAAAGATATGCGAGGTGAGCGAAGATAAGACTATTAAGTCAATAGTTTTGGAAATTAATGCTGAAAAACTTATGAAACTAGATGAACTTTCACAGGTAAAAGAACTTTGCACTGCAATCTCTAAAGTCTTATATGAAGATAAGGAAGTAGAAAAGCAAATGCTGCTGAGTGAAATGGCAAAATTCTTATCAAAAGAGAGAGAAATTAAGATAGCTCCAATACTTGGAGCTTGTGCAGTTGGAGTAGGCGGTTGTGCATCTTGCGACACTACTAATACAAATTGCCTTATGTGCGAAGCCACCAACTATTATCCAAGCGGAGAAATTTGCTTAGCTTGCACTCCACCATGTGCAGAATGTGTTGGAACTGAGACTTTTTGTACAACTTGCTACGATGCCATTAACATGATAAATAATGCAGGAGCTTGCATTTGCACTGATCCTAACGCTTCTTTTAGCACAACATCTTATACATGTGTTTGCAATTCAGGCTACTCTTCAATTGGAGGAATTTGCATTTATTGTGCGGCACCTTGTGCTACTTGCTCTGCAGGAAACACTTGTTCATCATGCTATGATGAAACTTATATGACATTAACTGGAGGAGTTTGCACTTGCCGTGATCTTAATGCTTCTTTTAGCACAACTTCTAATACATGTGTTTGCAATGCAGGCTACTATTCAAACGCAGGAATTTGTATTGATTGTGCAGCACCTTGTGCCACTTGCTCTGACGCAAACACTTGCTTATCATGTGATGATGCTCACATGACATTATATGAAGGAACTTGCTCTTGCGATTGAGGCTACTATTTAAATGATGGAATTTGCACTGCTTGTGTAGCGCCTTGTAGTGTCTGTATTTCAGCAGATTATTGTATAGGTTGTGAAGATCCTGACCATATGGCTTTATCTTCAGGAACTTGCATTTGCATTGATCCTAACGCTTCTTTTAGCACAACTTCTCTTACATGTGTTTGCAATTCAGGCTACTCTTCAGTTGGGGGAGTTTGCACTGCTTGTATTGCACCTTGCTCTACCTGCCAAACTTCACCTTATTTGTGTACATCATGTGATGATGCTGCTAATATGGTTTTAATGGGCTCAGATTGCGTATGCACAGATATTAATGCTTATTTCAATGATGAATCTCTCACTTGCCAATGTAAGTCGAGCTACTTTTCAAATTCAGGAGTTTGCACTCACTGCGATGCGACATGCTCTACTTGTTCAGGATCCGCTGATTTTTGTACTTCGTGCAGAGATTCAGCTCATATGATTTTGACTCCGGATACAGGAGTTTGCTCATGTAAAGATCCAAATGCTAGTTTCAATGAAATTATTGGTAGATGTCAATGCAATTCAGGCTATATTTCAGATTTAGGCTTTTGCGATGCTTGTGTTTTGCCTTGCGCGACATGCTCTTCTTCTCTTACGTTTTGCACTTCGTGCGAAGATCCTACGAATATACCCTCTTATTAATTTTGTATTGATATAAATAATTTTGTTATTAAAAATATGATAAGTCTTAAATTTATTATTAATAAATTATAAATAATATCGTAAAAATTATTTCACTAACTCCACCCCCTCCGTGAGTGAACAAAAAAATTTTGTTCACTCACGGAGGGGGGTTAATTTTTTTTTTTAAAAAAAATTTATATATAAATTTTATAAAAATTTTTTTTTTTTCGAAATTTTAAAAATCCTAATTCACAAAAATTGGAAAGCAAATATTAATTTAATTTATAAAATTTATGTTTTAAAAAAACAATTCGTTTAAAATTAAACAGAATTAGCTCTAGACTTCATTATACTAATTATCATTTATATATCAAATTTTTTTTCCATAAAAAATTTTTCTATTAAAATGATAATTTTTGTTCACTCACGGAGGGTGGGTTTTTGAGCGAAAAATAGGGATTTTTCTAATGGTTTTGTTCACTCACGGAGGGGAGTAAGAAATATTTATTTATATTTCAAAACGAAGAAGAAGGTATATGTATTTAAATACTGTTGCAGGGACATGCAGATGTTGGGATCTTTATGCTTCTTTTGATCAGACTTCTAAAACTTGTCAGTGTATTCAAGGCTATTATATGTCAAGCTCAGGAACATGCCAACCTTGCATCTCACCTTGTGCTCAATGCTCTAACTCAGCGACTTTTTGCACAGCATGCAACGACTTTGCGAATATGAACTTAAATGCGATCACAGGCACATGCACATGTAAAGAGCCCAATTATCAGTTTAATCCATGGGTGAAAGCTTGCCAATCTAATTCTGGCTGCAATTGCAATCAGTGCGGCACCATAATAAATAACATCATCAATTTCAACTTCTAAATAGAGTTAGATAATTTTTTAAAAGTTTATTTTAATTGTATTGTATTATAATTATTAATTTAAATTTTAGCATACCCTGATGAGATTAGTGAGAAAGTTTGGTATAATAAGCCCTTATCTTAATCAAAAAAATAAATTTTTCTACGCTCTGATAAGATAAATAAAGAATGCAAGATGATATTAAATGTAAAATTTAAGCAAAATCAAAATGCCGATATATTTAAAAATTTAAAGGATTAATAATTTTTATGTAAGATTGCAATTTAGTATCGCTCGAAATTTATCATAAATTGGCAGGTTAAATCATATGATATTTCTTTTACTTTGCGTTCTTTATGTAAAGGATTGGCATTATCCTTCAAATTATAAAATAAAATTTGAGAGCTATCTATTGTTATAATAAATATTTCATCATTTAAGCTTAAATAATTCATCTTAATTAGTTTGTTATAGCAATACTTTGAAACTCTGTATAAAATAATAATTAAGCAGGTTTCTCAACTCAGTGAGTATTAGAAATGTTAATTTTGGCTTATTTTATTTTAAAACTTTCAGATGAATGCTATCAATTGAATAAAACTGCAAAAAAGAAATTTTTAAGAATAAAATAATTCGTATTGATATATAGATTTGCTAGCTTCAGGGTAATTATGCAAAATATAAGTAAATAGAAAATATTTTAATTCTTTAATCCCACCCTCAGTTAGCGAACAAAAATTTTGTTCACTGGTGGAGAATTAAATTTTTTTTTTAAAAAATTTTATATAGTTTATAATAAATTTAAAAATTCGCAAAATAATTTAAAAACAAATATTAATTTAACTTACAAAATTTATGTTTTAAAATGCCAGCCATAAAATTTTAATTTAAAATTCAAATTTTTTAATTGCAATTATTGAAATTGCCTTAATGTAAGACTAACCACTCTTTCATGTGATTAATAATTTTTTCTTAAAATTTATCAAAATTTAAAAAAATTAATTCGTGAAAGAAAAATTAATTTAATTAGTAAAATTGATGTTTTAAATTGCAAGAGATTTAATTATAATAGTTATGGCCTATGTCAAAATATATTTTCATAAAAAAATTTTTGCACGAGGTACCCAAAAAATATGATTTTTCCAATGGTTTTGTTTGCACACGGAGTAAGGAGTTAGAAAATATTTGTAAATATTTAAATCTAAAATACTTAAAATACCTAAAATTTCCTTAAATTCTATTAATCTATTTACCATATCTATATTAAATTGTCCTAATATCTAGTGGCTATAATATAATGATGAAAATATTCGTCGTTTGGGCTTCTTTTTTCATTGTCCTCTGCTTAAGTTATGTTTCTTCAAAGCTTGACTTAAGTGATCGCCAATTTAGCTTGAAATCACTTCCTCCCGCACGTGGGTGATTAAAACCATCACTTTTTTGGAATTAACCTGCATTATGATTAAGCAAAAAATTTTTTATATAAATATCTTTATTTCTAATTAATAATTTTATATTAAAATTTATCGCTCATTTAATTAATTTTAAACAGAAAAAAAGAAGCTTTATATTCTGAATTGCTTTTAATTTCAAATTTTTTACAAATTGTGATTTTTTGAGCTAGGAAAAAATACCCTCTCATTAAAAAGAGGTTTAGTGAAAACACTCTGCAAGGGCACTTGTATCAGCCTTTAGAAATTCATGTTGAGGCGATCGAAAAATCCTTCAGCGACGATAAGATCTATAAGGCTTTGAGCTCAACCTTAATTGCTTCAGCCAAAATCTTATCAGATTTACTATTCTCAAAAAGAAGAATATATAAATTTATAGTTAAATAATCGTTATATTCTGCCGATAAATAATTATACCCCAAATATCATTAATAAATGCTACATAAAAAGCATACTCACCAAGCCATCAACAGAAAAGGTTAGATTTGGCGAAAATAATCAATGCGCTGACATCTTGCTAAGCCAGATTACCCAAAGAGAAGACATTGATGCAGATATAGCTATATTTGCTGTCAGTAGTAAAGACAAAAGTGAAATAATTACCTCAAGGAAATGTGAGGTAAATGAGAAAAAATTTATAAAAGCTATTGCTTTAGAAATTAATGCCGAGGAATTCATAAAACTTGAAAAAATTTCGAAAGTCAGAGAACTTTGCATTGCAATTGCAAATGTCTTATACGGAGATAATGAAGAAGAAAATCAAGTTCTGATGAAGGAAATAGGTGAATATTTGGCGAATGAGGAAAATATCGGAGAAATGAACAAATTAGGAGCTTGCAATACTGGATATTTTGTAAGTGGAGGAGTTTGCGTGGCTTGCAATCCACCATGCTCTGAATGCTCTGGAACTCCAGATTATTGTACATCTTGTTATGATGCCTGGCTCTGACTTTTATTATTAAATTTATCATAATTTTCAAATTGTTTTTAAAGTAATGTTTAAAATAATCTATAAGTGAAATAAGTCTAATCGCCAATTGATATATTATTTTCTAAACCAATAGGCTTATTTCTCTATTAATATTCTGTATTATAGCCCGAGCAGTCTTTGGGGTAGGAGAAGAGTTGTTCAAGCCAACTAATGCTGCTTGGCCAACTCCCCAGATGGCAGGATACCTGCTGAAGTTGGTAATTCATATAGCAAGGATGAGTTGGTTTGACCAATGATTCTTTTTCCCCTCACTCCCCTAATCCTTGATCGAACGGCTCGCCATCGTTCAATAAAGAATGGGGGTTAAAAAAAATTTTCTGAGAAAAAAATTTATATATAAAATAAAAAATATATGTGTTTTTTTTATATATTTTCAAATAAGAGCGTTATAGTTATTTTTACAGCAAAAAATTAAATTAATTTCATAAAAATACCAATTTTTAATATTTTGATTTATTAATTACCCCTTTAAACTGTATAAATTTTAATTTGTTCCTTATTAATTAAAAATTTAAAATTTTAAAGAATCTCTATTTTATTAGATTATTGAGTTTAAGCCCAGGTTGATGACTAAATCACTTCGAATGGTTGATTCCGTAGCTTCTTGTCGTCTCAAAACCTCTGACAACAAACTTCATTAGGCACATCTTCCCAAGCTTTTGATAACTAAATATTTTTTCATATATAAAATTTCCATGATATGAAAATCGTTCGATCAAGGATGGGGGTTAATTTCCCCAATTTTTAGAAATTTTTACAGTCAATCGTTCGATCAAGGATGGGTGGGGAGTCAGGAAAGTTTGTAAAGCCCAAGCCAAAAGATTTTCAGCCTATACTAGAATTTTTTTAAAACGATGCATGCCTATAGGGTCAATATTGTTGACCAGATGCCACTAATATGATAAATAACGCAGGCACATGCACTTGCAACAATTCTCTAAAAACTTTTAATACTGCCTCTTTAACCTGCACTTGCCAAGCAGGGTATTATGCCTTAGCTAATGGATATTGCATGCAATGTTCAGCCCCATGTGCTACATGTACTTCATATAGTAATTGCATCACATGTCAAGACCCAACTAATATGACTCTAAATGGAGGAATTTGTACTTGCACTGATCCCAATAAATATTTCAACTCAGCAGCTCTCGTTTGCCAATGCAGTGGAGGATATTACTCAAATGCAGGTGTTTGCACTCGATGCTCCTTGCCATGCAGTACATGCTCTACTTCGGCTACTTATTGCACTTCGTGCGTTGATCCCATTCACATGACTCCTCCAACTCCAACATCAGGAATTTGCGCGTGCACTGATCCAAATGCTTCTTATAGTACTGGATCACAAAAATGCTTATGCAATCAAGGATATTACTCACTCTTTCATGATTAGTGATCAAAATTTTTTCAGCTCACTAAATAATGGGTTATTTTTTATTAAAATATTTTGCTCGCTATCTAAGCCTATCAAAGAGATTTTTCTAATAGTTCTGCTCGCTTGCCAAGGGAAGTCAGATTATTCACACAATGGCTTAGGAGTTTGCACTCCATGTTCAGTGCCTTGCTCTTCGTGCTCGAATTCAGCTACTTCTTGTACCGCATGCGTTGATCCTATACACATGATTCTAAATGGAGGTTATTGTGTATGCTCTGATCCCAATGCCTCTTTTAATACTGTATCACTTACTTGTCAATGCAATCCAGGATATTTTTCGCTATCAGGCGTTTGCACTGCTTGTGGGTCATCTTGCATCTCATGCTCATCCTCAGGATGTGAAGATTGTTATGATCCTTCTAATATGACGATCAACGGAGGACTATGTGTATGCAAAGACTTAAATGCTTATTTTAATACTGCAACTAATACATGCCAATGCAAAAATGAGTACATTTCAGTTTCTGGGATATGTCAGAGCTGTGAAGCACCTTGTAGCCAATGTGAAAATGCTACAACTTTTTGCACAGAATGCGATGATTCCAATAATATGGCTTTAGATTCAGCCTCACTCCACCTGCTTTAAATTGGAACAAAAAATTCTGTTCCGATTTAATAGGCTGATCATTGTCTACAGGTCTTGAGGAAACTGCGTCAAGATGTCGGGTGGTCGCCTCCACCATATTAATGTATCCAAATGAGGTCAAATAACTTTATAAAAATTAGTATTTTCACCTATAAAATTTTCCTAGAAAACAAATTCTGTTCCAATTTGTAAGGTGTTTAAAAAGCCTAAAAAAAGTTAATTTTACTGATATTTTGTTCAAAATTTAAAAGGTTGAGTCAGGAGCATGCACTTGCACAGATCCTAATGCTTCTTTTAATGCAGGAACTCTTACATGCCAATGCAATTCTGGCTATCTTAATTATGGAGGAGCTTGTACCGCTTGCATTGCACCTTGCTCTACCTGCCAATCTTTACCATATTTGTGTACATCATGTGATGATGCTGCTAATATGGTTTTAATGGGCTCAAATTGCTTATGCACAGATACTAATGCTTATTTCAACAAGGAATCTCTCACTTGCCAATGCGAATCGAGCTACTTTTCAAATTCAGGAGTTTGCACTCAATGCGATGCAACATGCTCTACTTGTTCAGGATCCGCTTATTTTTGTACTTCGTGCAAAGATTCAAATCATATGACTTTAAATTCGGCTACAGGAGTTTGTTCATGCACAGATCCTAATGCTAGTTTCAATCAGGTTTTTAATTTATGCCAATGCAATTCAGGCTATATTTCAAATTTAGGCGTTTGCGTTGCTTGTGTTTTGCCTTGTGCGACATGCTCTTCTTCTGATATTGCATTTTGCACTGCATGTGAAGATCCTATGAATATATACCCTCTTATATTAATTTTGTCTTGATATAAATAATTTTGCTATCAAAAATATGATAAGTCTTAAAATTTATTATTAATTATAAATATCATCGTAAAATATATTTTTTTTTTATATTATAAGTAAATTAAATATTTAGGGAGATATATTTCTTATAAGTAAATGCAAAACGAAGAAAAAGGTATATGTATTTAAATACTGTTGCAGGGACATGCAGATGCTGGGATCCTTATGCTTCTTTTGATCAGACTTCTAAAACTTGTCAGTGTATTCAAGGCTATTATATGTCAAGTTCAGGAGCATGTCAACCTTGCATCCCACCTTGTGCTCAATGCTCTAATTCAGAGACTTTTTGCACAGCATGCAACGACTTTGCAAATATGAACTTAAATGTGACCACAGGTGTATGCACATGCAAAGAGCCCAATTTTCAGTTCAATCCATGGGTAAAAGCTTGCCAATCTAATTCTAGCTGCAATTGCAATCAGTGCGGCACCACAATAAATAATTTCATTTTCAACTTCTAAATAGAGTTAGATAATAATTTTGTAAAAGTTTATTTTAATTATAATTATTAATTTAAATTTTGGCATACTTGGTGAAATTAATGAGAAAGTTTAATATGATAAACCCTCATTTAATCAGAAATTCAAATTTTGGCATACAGTGATATGATAAATACAAAATACAAGAAGATATTAAATACAAAATTTAAGAAAAATCAAAAGCTGAGATATATAAAATTTAAAGGAAATTGTTAGTTTTTATATAAAATTGGGATTTAGTATCACTCGAGATTTATAATAAATTGGGTTTATGGGTGCTGCAATTTGTATAAATAGTTGATTCAAAGTTAATAGAGTGAAATAAGAACTATATAAGAATAAGTGCTCTATATAAGCAAAAGTGGTATTGAATGCCTGTTACTCTTTGTGAAGTTCTTAATGAATCATAAGCAAATTTAAACTATGTTATGTTAGGTTTATTAACTCCCCCCCCCCTCCGTGAGTGAACAAAACCATTAGAAAAATCGCCATTTTTTGCCCAAAAAACCCACCCTCCGTGAGTGAGCAAAAATTGTTTTAATAGAAAAATTTTTTATGGAAAAAAATTTTGATATATAAATGATAATTAATATAATGAAATCTAGAGCTAATTCTGTTTAATTTTAAACGAAATGCATTTTAAAACATAAATTTTATAAATTAAATTAATATTTGCTTTCAAATTTTTGCAAATTAGGATTTTTTTAAATTTCGAAAAAAAAAATTTTTTAGAAAATTTATATAGAAATTTTTTTAAAAAAAAAAATTAAACCCCCCTCCGTGAGTGAACAAAATTTTTTTGTTCACTCACGGAGGGGGGGGGGAGTAAGCATCTGACGCTACCAAATGAGCTTTATGACTCACTTTTCCTGATCTTCCACAATTTCTTTTCTTTTTTCTTCATTTTTGTCGATTTCTTTCCTCTCGCCTCATTCTTCAATTCCATTATCTTTACTACCTTTATCACTTTCGTTGCTTCCGTTACTTTACCAGTTCCACAAATTTCATTACTTTTGTCACTTTTTCTGCTTTCATTTCGGGTTTTTCTAATTCTTTGGATGTTTTGATTTTTGATAGTCTTTTGTTTCAATATTTAGCTCTTTCAACCTTTTCAGTCTTTTCTTTTTTTCTTCTAATTTTACTGATTTTTCCTCAAAGATTTCCTATGCCTTTTATTCATTTCTATTACACATTATTTTCCTAGGCTGTTTTTCAAAGTAGACTATTAGTCTTTCAAATGTTTTGTCTTCCCTTGCTAGTTCCTTCATCGAATCTTTCTTCTTCCTCAATATCTCCGATTTCTTCGTTGCATCCTTCTTCTAGCTCTCTTCTCCTTTTTCTAGTATCTCCTCCCACTTAGCTAAAACTTCGTCCAAGCCTTAATCATCTCATGAGTACTATTATTTTTTCGATAGTATTTTTTTATGCGAAAATGACACTGTAGGTTTTTTTATAGTATGGTTTTAAAATATTTTTTAATTCACTGTAATTTACCGATTAGTTATTTTTCATAATTACCTGTTCATATAAGCCTTATTCCTATATTTTATGTGTGTGGTAGTAATAAAATGTTGAAAGGAACTGTCATTTGGGCCTGCGTGCTCACAATTCTCAGTTTTACAGCTGCTTCATCAAAGTTTAACGCTTGGGACCTCACCAGCGACTCTCAGTTCGTATTGAAATCGCTCGCAGAAATTCGTCAGCAAGCCCACCTATACAAGCCTTTAAGGATTCATATTCAGATGATCGAAGAATCCTTCAACAATGACGAAACCAATAAAAATTTGCAGTCAGCCTTAGCCACTTCAGCTAAATTAATGTCTGATTTACTATACTTTTATTAAAAAATATAAGCTAATACAAGACAATAAGTATCTAGATTTATATAAAAATCAAAATTTCTTTAAAAAACCTATAAAAATTTTTGATTAAAAAAAATACTCATTAAGCCTACAACAGGCAAGCTAAGGCTTAGCGAGAATAATCAATGCACAGATATCCTGTTAAGCCAGGTGATTCAAAGCAAAGATTTATCCGCGGATATCACTATATTCGCTGCTAATAATGAAGAAAAGGGAGAAATTGCATCCTCAAAGAAGTGTGAAGTGTACGAAAATAAGACTATTAGGTCTTTAGCTCTGGAAATTAATGCTGAAAAATTTATGAAGCTAGATGAACTTTCACAGGCCAAAGAACTTTGTATTGCAATCTCTAAAGCCTTATATGAAGATAAGGAAGTGGAAAGACAAATGCTGATCAGCGAGATAGGGAGAGTTTTCGCCAAAGAGAGAGAAATAAAAATAGCACCAATTCTCGGAGTTTGTCAGGCTGGTCAAGGCTTAAACTTTAAATTAGTTAAAGAGAAGCCCCCTATAGCCCTCAGGATACTAACGTCTCCGTATGATGCTTCGCCGCTTCTTACCAGCTGGGTCACTATGCCCTAAGCAACGGGTTCGCCTTCCAGAAAATTCGAAAGGAACTTCTCTGGCAGGGCTGCTGACAAATGAACCTGAAGCCCAGGGCACAACGCCTGGTATCTCGTAAAAGATTTGCCCGATTTGTCAAATGACACTTTTAACCTTGCTAGGCTTCCCCTTTCTAACTCCAGTGTGCAATCTCCTCAGAATGTAAAATTTGATCTTTATTTAAGTATGCGGTCGGCTAATTCCAGCATTGCACCCCAACCAGTTAAGCTCTAGCATATACATTCTTCTGGATGATGTCTCCCTCTCACAAGATTCCCGGCTTTCCAAATGAACCTATCTGGAACAGGTGTAAAGGGGGCGAATTGTCTCAGCACGCCATTTTAATGTATTTCTGGTCAAAACTATTGTTTAATTTGCGCTGATAAAGAGAATTGCCAAACTTGTGATGACGGCTATTTTGTAAATTGGAATGGATATTGCTCTGCTTGTAATACGAACTGCGCGACGTGTCAAACAAGTGCTGAAAATTGTTTGACATGTTCTGATTCCACTCATATGTCAGCTGCTCCAGCCTGTGCTTGCCCAGCTAACGCAGTTCTCTCAGGAACTACTTGTACTAGCAACGCCGGCTATTACTTCAGCACTAACACTATTTGTTCTGCTTGCAATACTAACTGTGCTACTTGTACCACAAGCGCTACTAACTGTGCAACTTGCTCAGATCCCACTCATATGTCAGCTGCTCCAACCTGTGCTTGCCCAGCTAACGGAGCTCTCTCAGGAACAACTTGCTCTTGCAACACCGGATATTATTTTTGCGCAAACACTTTCTGTTGTGCTTGTAATACGAACTGTGCGACGTGCCAAGTAAGTGATGGAAACTGTTTGACATGTTCTGATCCCACTCATATGTCAGCTGCTCCACAATGTTCCTGCCCAACTAACGGAGCTCTCTTAGGAACAACTTGCACTTGCAACGCCGGCTATTACTTCAGCGCAAACACTGTCTGTTCTGCTTGCAATATGAACTGCGCGACGTGTCAAACAAGTGCTGGAAACTGTTTGGTATGTTCTGATCCCACTCACATGTCAGCTGCTCCAATCTGTGCTTGCCCATCTAACGGAGCTCTCTCAGGAACTACTTGTACTTGTAACGCCGGATTTTATTTTATCAGAAACACTATCTGTTCTGCTTGTAGTATGAACTGCGCTACTTGTATCACAAGCGCTGAGAACTGTGTAACTTGCGCTAATACAACTCATATGTCAGTTGCTCCAGCCTGTGCTTGCCCAACTAACGGAGCTCTCTCAGGAAATACTTGCACTTGCAACGCCGGCTATTACTTCAGCTCAAACACTGTCTGTTCTGCTTGTAATACGAATTGTGCGATGTGCGAAGTAAGTGATGGAAACTGTTTGAGATGTTCTGATCCCACTCATATGTCAGCTGCTCCAGCCTGTGCTTGCCCAACTAACGGAGCTCTCTCAGTAACAACTTGTACTTGCAACACCGGCTATTATTTTAGCGCAAACACTGTCTGTTCTGCTTGCAATACGAACTGCGCTACTTGCACCTCAAGCGCTGACAACTGTGTAACTTGCGCTGATACAACTCATATGTCAGCTGCTCCAGCCTGTGCTTGCCCAACTAACGGAGCTCTCTCAGGAAATACTTGCACTTGCAACGCCGGCTATTACTTCAGCTCAAACACTGTCTGTTCTGCTTGTAATACGAATTGTGCGATGTGCAAAGTAAGTGATGGAAACTGTTTGACATGTTCTGATCCCACTCACATGTCAGCTGCTCCAGCCTGTGCTTGCCCAACTAACGGAGCTCTCTCAGGAACAACTTGTACTTGCAACACCGGCTATTACTTCAGCTCAAACACTGTCTGTTCTGCTTGTGATTCTAATTGCGCTGCATGTAGTGGAACTGCCAATATCTGTTTAACTTGCGTTGATACAACTCATATGTCAGCTGCTCCAACATGTGCTTGCCCAGCTAACGGAGCGCTCTCAGGAACTTCCTGTACTTGCAACGCCGGATATTACTTCAACTCAAATACTGTCTGTTCTGCTTGTAATAATAGCTGCGCTACTTGTACCATAAGCGCTAGCAACTGTATAACTTGTGTGGATCCCACTCATATGTCAGCTGCTCCAGCTTGTGCTTGCCCAGCAAACGCCTCCCTCTCAGGATCAACTTGCATTTGCAACGCCGGCTATTACTTCAGCTCAAACACTGTCTGTTCTGCTTGTAAAGACTCTACGTATATGTATTTAGATACTGTTACAGGGACATGCAAATGCTTGGATCCTCATGCTTCTTTTGATCAGACTTCTAAAATTTGTCAGTGTATTCAAGGCTATTATATGTCAAGTTCAGGAACATGTCAGCCTTGCATCCCACCTTGTGCTCAATGCTCTAGTTCAGCGACCTTTTGCACAGTGTGCGATGATTTTGCGAATATGAACTTAAATGTGACCAGAGGCACTTGCTCATGCAAAGATCTCAATTTTCAGTTTAATCCATGATTGAAAACTTGCCAATCTAATCCTGATTGCAATTGCAATCAATGCGGCACCACAATAAATATCATCAATTTCAACTTTTAAGTAGAATTAGATAATAATTTTATAAAAGTTTATTCTAATTTTAATTTATTATAATTATTAATTTAAATTTCTTTTGACATACCCTGGTGAGATTAATTAGAAAGTTTCAATATGATAAACCCTTATTTTTTAATCAGAAATTTGCATCTTGTTGATAAGATAAATAAAAATATAATACTTGGTACATTAAATACATAAAAAAATATAAAATTTAAAGGAAATTATTAACTTTTTATATAATATTGAAAATTTAGTATAACTCAAGATTTATCATAAAATTGGGGCTATGGGTGCTACAATTTATATAAATAGCTGATTCAAAGTTAATAGAGCGAAATAAGAGTGAGCTAAACAAATCTAATATTTTATCAGATTAAATCATATGATATTTTTTAAATTTTAAGTAAGCGTTCTCTTTATGTAAAGGATTGGATTATCCTTCAATTTATAAAATAAAATAAGTTATGAGAGCTAGTTAAAAATAAGAGTGAAACCGCATAATCACTATCTCTTATTTTAGGCTTAAATAATTCATCTTAATTATTTTGCTATGGCAATTGCTTTGAAACTTATAAATAAAATAATAATTAAGCTAGTCTTCAGCTCAGTAAGTATCAGAAAATGTTAATTTTGGCTTTTATTTCTAAAACTGCGCAGATAAATGCTATTAATAGAATAAAAAGATAGAAAAGAATAAAATAATGCGTATTGATATATAGATTGGGTAGCTTTAGTGTAATTAATGTAAATTATAAGTAAATAGGAAATATTTTAATTTTTTAAGCAAAAATAAAGCAAAGCATTTGTTATACGCATTAGTAAGATAAACTCTATAATAAAGCTGCTAGCAGTAAGTAAAAATTATAATAAAATTCATACTTTTGGCTGTATTCTGCTTGCGGTGCAGGCTGCAAAGTATGTACAAGCTCAACTGTTTGCACAACATGTTATGATACAAGTACTTTCTCAACTCTTAAAAATGGCGTTTGTGGTTGCACTGATCCTAGCCAAAGTTTCAATGACCAAGGCTTCTGCACATGCAACTCTGGATATTTCTTAAATGCAGATACATGTGTAGCATGTGGTAAAGGATGTAAAACTTGCAAAAGTGCAACATCATGCAAATTCTGTTGGGATACCAAGAATGGAGTAGCAAAAACCGATGGAACTTGCTCTTGCATATTAGCTGGCCAAGAATATGATTCTACTGAGCATGCATGTAATTGCCTTGTCCACACTTATGGAAATTACACCACTAAGAAATGTGAAACATGCAGTATAGGTTGCAGCGCATGCACAAACTCTACACTTTGTGACGAGTGTTACGACTCCACAAATATGCAAGAAGATAAAGACGGGACTTGTAGTTGTAAAGATGACGACCAGAGATTCTCGACTTCGAATGAAAAGTGCATTGATAGAGGAGATAGTGCAATTGGGTTGACTTTCTCTTGGGTCTTGCTTATTTCTGCAATGATCTTCTCGCTTTAGATAACTAATTTAAGCTAGATAATTTGCTTCTAATTCGCCCCTTGGCTTACTAACAAAATTATTGAATTTTCTTTAAAATTTACGCTTCAGCACTAAAAGTAAATATCAAAATAATTATTGGCTTCCTTTATAGGCCTTAAGGTTCTCTATTTATCACAAAATTTAAGAAGTTGAAATTCTTATCTTGAAGTTAATTTTAGAATAAAAATATATCTATTAGTCTCAAATTAAAGGAAAAACTTAGCTCATAGACATAATTATTATATTTTATTAGCAATTTTAATTTAGTTTATGTAATATTAAATATCTGTAGATATATAGTTTTCTCTGCAGCTTCTGAAAAGCTAATCTCTTATTTTAGAGTTTTATATAGCATCTAAGTTTCTGAATAATGCCATGAAAAATTAACTAATGAATTAGATCTTATGAGATTTTACAGAAAAAGAAGTAAAATGGTCGAATTATTGCTAAGTCCAGTCTTGAAGCATAACCATAAACTATTTTTGGCTTATTTAAAAGGTAAAAATTATAAGCATTATTATGGATTATTAAGATATAAAAAAGGGTGAGTTTATAAGATTTTTGCATTATTTTAGTCGAACTGTAAAGTAATTGCTTTTATATTTAAAAATTTCGTATTGTAATTGACATCCAAGATTTTTTCTAATTTTAATAGCCTTAATTCTATACTGAAAATGAATTTTTAGAATATAAATTAGAATCTTTATCAATTCAATATAGTTTAGCACTACTTTTAATTCATTAAATTAAGCTTCATTTACTATTATATGATTGTGCCAATTATAAAAAGATAAGGAGTTTCATAGTATACATTTTTACCTTCCATAATTAATTTAAAAATATTTCACATCAAACAGCTGATAAATTTTCGAAATAGCAAAATAATTAAAATAATATCCCATAGTAAAATTATCAGTTCTGATAAATAATAATATTTCTATTATCTAGCAAAAAAAACCCTCTAAAACTAAAATTTCTTATGTTATTTTTTTAAGAGAGCTAAAAACTTGCAAAAATTATAGCATCAAAAACTTCAAAACACAAAGGCGTTGCTTATAATAATACCCTAGGCAATCAATAATAAGCCCTAAGCTTATTTTTGGCTTTTTAAGATGGAAATAAAAAAAATGTTTTACCTTATGCCCTTTTATTCTGTTAAACTGATTATTCAAATAGGCTATTTTATTATTTTGAATATTTTGGTATTAATTTTAGCTAAATTTCATGGAACCAAATAATCATATTCTGAATTTGAAAATGGAATTTATTGATAAAATATCAAGTCAATCAAAAATCCTGAAAGACTTAATATTTTTTTGTTACCTGTATGCAGCTAATTTTCTCCCTAATATTCGGGCAAATCATAAATTAATTTATGCAATAAATTTCCCTTATTTTCACAAGCTAAGCTTTATAATCCTGGGATCAGTAAAGCAGCTACTTCATATTTATTACAATTAATTATCAAATATTTGTAACAGCTAGTATAAAAATGGATCATCGAATCATAATTTCAAATGACACTGCTACTGTTTTATGATGCACTAAAAATTATCTATTATTTAAATACTGCTGTCTAGCTGTTTGCCTTGCCTTCTGCATTTAATAGCTATAAAAAGCTATATCATTGCGAAGATTTAAGATTTGAGTTTAATATATGAATCAACATTTAATGGGTTTACTGATCTAGAAGATTAAAGTTGAATTAAATAATTTTATTTACTTATAAAAAACTTTTTAAGCAGCTCTCTAAAATAATATTTATATATTAGTATTCCAGACTAATTTTTTATAAAACTAAACAAAAAATTTAAGCTTGAATTTTTAACCTTTCGGATTTGATGACAACTTTACAAGATCTAGACTTATGGTAGCTCTGCAAATAGCAAAACTGGCACATTCCTTTAGCATAGAGCAGACGATCTTGGTGTGGGCAACTCCAAGCTTTTTTGTGTCGCCCACTTTTATGGTAGCAATTGCTGCACATACTCTTGGCATAGTGGCGTCTATTCGCATGAGGGCAAGCAGTGATTCTCTTATGTGCGCCTCTTGCTGGGCGCCTTTTAGAAACCTCTTCAGGATTTTCCTTAGACTCACCTTCTTCTTCAACTTCGCTATCTTCGCAAGAAAATATATTACTCCCCTTTTTGAGCGAATAAAAAAATTATTTTATATTAAAATAATAAATTATAAAAAACTCCAGAAAATAAATATTAATTTAAGTTATAAAATGTTTTAGAATGAAAGTTATCTAAAAATTTATCGCTAGAGATTTCATTATAGTAAATGTCATTTATATATAAATATAATTTTATAAGAACATTTTATATTAAAATTTTTTACTAACTAACTATAGAGTTTTTCCTATAATATATAGCGATTTCCAAAGGTTTACCCGGTCATAGAGGGCGAATTAGGAAGTCTTAGGCTAGATCCTTCTTCTGAAAATTTGAATATCAAGGAAAACATCCCTGAAAAAACATTGAGTTTATCCTTATAATTCTCACTCATCTATATTATAGTATTTTTTTGTTTATTTTTAATGAGTTTACTATTTTTTATGTCCTTTTTATCGCAGTAATAAAGCATTATCTTTTTAAATTTAGACTTGCTCATTCTTTAGTATAGAAATATTATATATTATCCACCAATCCACCCTATAAATGGAACAACCAACATGAATTACAATTAAAACATTAAAGAAGCCCAAAAACTGAAAAGTCAAATAAATGCTTCTATTGATAAATATTGCTTATAGGTATTGCCTTTAAATTGCCTGATAAGGAGTTAAGGATGGAGAGCTTCTATCTCCAGTTGGTCTGGCCAATTTAGATTGGTTAAGCCTACTGGAGAGCTGCCAATTGAACTACAAGAGGCTCATTTGCCTACTCTTCAGTTGGTTTGGCCAACCTGAGTTAGCCAGACCAACTGGAGATAGGAACTGCATATCCTTATGCCCTTATCAGGCTACGTTTAGGCAATGCCTATATATTTTCTTTAATTTTAAGATCTTTGCTAATAAAGAAAATTTAGAAAATTTTTCAAAAATATAAGTCATATAAATAAATAGAAAAATAGAAGTAATTTTAAAAAAACGCTAATTTTTATCGAGTAAGGAAGGTTTTTAATAAAAGTTTAGAAAATTGCTAAATTTTAATTTTTTTGAAGTATTTCATCCAAACGCCATTATTTGAACAAAATGGAAAATGGAACTTTTTTATGATGTGGATATTTTGTCTTTTTAAGCTTATCTAGTTAGGGATAATTATGAATAATTAAATCTTGATAATAATTATAATAGCTTTCATTTATTGCTTAGGTTTATAGTTATGTAAAATCGAATATAGAGATAGAAAATCTGGAATTTCAATATTATATAAAAATCATATATAATGATTCAAAATTTTATTGTTTTATGTTTAAGATTCAAATATTTATTATAAGATCCATAAATTATTTATTCATTCGCAAAGATAACCAAATTTTTTGGAATTTAATGGTCTTCATTATGATACTCTGATAAAACTTTTTAGATATTACATTAAAGTTGCAAGACTTTTACACTCTCAGCCAATTGCCTGGAAATTCCAATGCAGTTCACGAGGAATTGATATTGTTTAAAATATTTCTGGCTATATAAAAACCTTTCAAAATAGGATTGGCGAATCCCAATATACTTTGATGTATAATAAAATCTCAAAGTTTAGATAGATTGCAATTAATTTAAAATTATTTGAGCATAAATCAGCAAATAGAAGCATTAGATTTCTCAGAATCATTAAAAAGTATTTGAATTTATATTTAAATTCCAAAAACGAAATTTATAAATTGCGCAAAATTCATAATACCTTCTGCTTTAATGACAAGAATTAGGTATTAAGATGAAAATAAAAAAAATAATTTTGGCTTAATAATTCGTTCTTTATTACGCTGTGCACTAAATTATTTCTTTATTATTTGAAAATTTAATTTTAAGCAAAAATTTAAAAGAGCTTTATGGCAATATCTGTGTATAATGATTAAGATTAAGATTACGCTGGGTATTTAAGGTCCCTACTACGTCCGAGGTCGCATGCCACGGTTTCCCGTGTGGTGGCAGAGCGTTCACCAAGCCCGGGCCGAAAACCCCGGTTTCTCGGTAGAGGTATTGTCAAGGGCCGTCTTATACCGGCTTTGCTGACCACCTCCATTTCCAACTTGGATCGTCGCCTAAGTTTACGCCAACTCCGCTTCGTCGTCCGCCAGATCTGCCCATTGAAGGGCACCTTTTCAACTGGAGAGACCCCCGTCTCGATGTCTAACTCGCCTCCCCTCTTTTCCGGTCATCCCGAGAAAGAACTCAACAGCTTTCGCCATTCGGGGCGAGCCACTAAAGCAGCTTAGGCAGGTAATTCACCCTGCCTCATTTCGGGCACTCACTGGGCTGAGCGCTGCTGGCAAAAAGAAGTCACGAATAACTGCCCATGGGTCTGGTCGCAAAAACAGCGGTTCTCGCGCTTAGGCCTCTCGCTTCGAGGTCCCGGACGTTGTTGGGCTAATTCCTGGCTCCAAAAACCATGCCCGGATATACATGGGTAACCACCACTGGGAGGGTGGGTCGGTCGCCATACGCCATTTTATGTATATGCAATATCTGTGTATATAATGATGGACATATTATGTGAATAAATAAAAATTTAGAAATAACCTTAATATGTCGAATATAAATCCTTGCAAACACTTTTACCATTAATTTAATTGCCACTCAGAAACAAATTTAAAAGAACAATAAAAATCGATTTTTTCTAAAAATTTATTTTAATTAAAAAAGCTAATTAAAGCTAAATAATTCAGGACATATTAAAATTTCATTAAATGGGTTTTTCAGCATAGATCTTGATTTTTAAGGATGGAGTAAAAAAGGGTTTAAGTCAATTTTTTATATATTAACACAACTGAATTAAATGCAAGAATTCATATTCAATTATATAATTAAAATAATAAAGGATTTAAGAATATAGTCTCGCTATTTATTTAATCATCTAGAATAATTGCATTTTTACTCACTCTTAATTTTCTCGCTAATATATATATGGCAATCTTGTTCTTTTGTCATCAAAGTTCAGCTTAATAGGCCTTGATCAGTAATGTGGCTCACTCATATTTTATATTTGGTAAATAAAATTTTGTAACAGCTAGGCTTGGAAATTGCTAGAATAATGAGAAATTCAATATTATGATTAAACTTAATATGTAAAGATTATCTTTTTATTTAGCAAGATATTGTGTTAGCTACATCCTACTCCATAATACCTTTAAATGCATTTCAGCATAATTTTCGATATTTTCCTGATTTACATTAAAATCAATACAATTATATCTACTTAATAAAAGGTAACTCTTAATCGGTCGAACTATAAATTCTGTCATATTTTTCAGGAGAATAGTTGTATTAGAGCAATTTAAGCTCTAAGGCTTAAAGCCATAAAACAATTTCCAATAAAATAAAAATGTTCTCATTATTGATGACATCACTGTATAAACATTTTTATATAAATTTGTTAATTAAAACCGAGGATAAAAGGTAAGCAATGCCTTCCTTAGTTTAACCGCTAAAATAGTCCCTCAGACCCACTCTAACTGGATCTAAGCAATTCTTTATTTATAGCAATTAACTGATTACTCTAATGCCTTCATCACATAACTCTAAGATTTTATATATTATTGGTTTTACTAGCCATTTTAGATAACTCAACCTAAAGTTAAACATTAATTTTCTTCTTTAGGCACTTTTGAAGTTCTCATCTGATGATAATTTTTTAAGTAGCAAGCTTTGCACAATCCTTTGGCATAGAATTTGAGGTCTTTATGCGGGCACATCCAAGCTTCTTTTTGTCTCCCAAATTTATGGTAACAATTGCTACACATGTTTCTGGCGTAATGCCGTTTATTTGCGTGAGGGCAAGCAGTGTTCTTCCTTCTATGCTGCTTTTTCGTTTTGCTTTTGGGATTATTTTTAACTTTTTTCTCTTCCTTGATTTCTTTAGAATTACTATCATCGTGCAAAAATTGAATTTTAGGTAATTTTCGGCTTGGTTCTCCTTCTATAAAATTTGAAATCAAGGAGAACATCCCTGAGAATACTGAAACCTTATCTCTGAAATTTTCACCCATCTATAATATTATGTCGTCCACGAATTTAAATTTGAAATGGAAGATTATTTTATTAGGTATTTAAAAAATTCAAAAGTTAGCATAATTTACGAAACAATTAGACAACTCTGCAATTAGTATTAAATATATATATATATATATTGTTTTATTTTAAGCATGAACCTTACACAAAAATTTATTTGATTTGAAAAAACTTCTTAAAAAAAATAGCATGATAGAGGGTAGCTTAGGGACACTAGGGATGAAGCAGCACCATGAAGAATTGCCAAAATTGAGAGTTGGTGAAAATAAAACTAATATGAAAAATTTATTAAGAATTATTGCAAATCAAAAGTCATTTTGGAGAATTTTTGAATTTTTACTATGAATTTTTTGTCCTGAACTTTTCTATTTCACTTTTATTTTATATTAATAAAAAACTCGCTTATTCTATCAGCAATTTTTATTTTGTAAAGATGCAAAAACAACATCATCAGATGGACAACTGAAGCAAGATTATTAGAAATTTGAAAGCTCTAGAATTATTGAATAGCACTAAATATTATTAAATTATACAAAATAATAATCTGTTTTAAAAATAAATAATGTCAAATTTGATTATTTTTGGAACTAATTTTAGATATGTGCAAGATATTATAAATAGCTATTTTTGAAAAGTTGATTGAAACTCTTTAAGAATCAATAAAGGAATAGAAATCAGGCGGAATTAAAGATTTTTAATAATATAAATTATTTCTTAAAATTACTTACCATAATTTATATAAATATATATAAATTTATACAGTTTATTGATTAACTTACTCAGTAGCTTTGATACATATTGCCTTTTCTAATTCTCATAAGTATAAATTATGAGATGCTACTTCACAAATAATTTTGTTATAATAAAAGTTAATCTTATAAAGCTATTTATTTTTTAAATATTAAAATTTATGGATAAAAGTGATTAAAAACATAATTGTCTTATTAAAATATCTTAAAATACTTTTATTCTTTTGTCTAATTATTGCTTAAAAAAGCGTATTATAAATTTTCTAAATGTTTTGTTTAAAAAGGTAGCTTAAAATTAAAAAGAACTATCGATATAGGATATCATAAAAAATCTCCATTTAGTATATTAAAGTAATTATTTCCTTATAAAAGTGATCATATGGTTTTTTAATATTAAATAGCATAGAAAAATAAAAAAATAAAAATTTTCTAATATTTTTATAGCAATCCTCACAAGATAACTATCCATTTTATCTTATCAATTAAATTAATATTTTGAATCTTAGCGAATTAGTTCCATTTATTTTAAATTTGTGGACGATATAATGTTAAAGATGAGCGAAAATTGCGACAATGGGTTTTCAATTTTTTCAGGGATGTTTTCCTTGATCTTTAAATCACGTGAAGGAGTACCAAGTCTAAGACTACCAGAAATACAATTCTTCGATGCCAAGGAAAGAAAATCAAAGGAAAAAGACAATGATTTTTTCAACTGCGACTCGAAAAGACCTAAAAAAATGAAGATTACTGCTTGCCCTCATGTAAATAAACGTCATTACGCCAGGAATATGTGTAGCACCTGCTACCATAGATCTGGAAGACAAAAGCAAGCTTGAGCATGTCAGCACAAAGATCGTCGGCTGTATGCCAAGGGAGTTTGTAAAACTTGTTACTTGAGGAATTACCATAAAGCAAAATTTTCCAAAGTGAAAAATTAAAAAAGCTTTAGTTTATAGTCGATAATTTAAAGAATTGTTTATAAAAAATAAGGATGCATATAATTTTAGGATGTATATAATTTTAGGGTCATATGATGCAAGGCACTGATGCTATTTTATTATGATTTATTATTGCTTATTTTTATTAGGGTATAATAAGTATAATTAAAACAGCTTCATATAAGGTTTTAAAATTTTCTTATGAAAATTAATATAGAGGAGGAAGAAGTAGGTGGCTCTACGCCAAGTCTCAAGAAATGATAGTCCTTAATAAAATTGATAAATAGCAGTCATTAAATTTAAAATTTGACAATTCCATATTTTTTAGTCTGTCTGTTACATAAAATTTAATTATCAAATAAACAAATATGAAATTAACTCCCTCACTGAATAGGATTATTAAGGCTATCTTGAAATAATAAAAAATATTTTGTTGAAATAAATAACAATAAGCAATAAATTGAAATATTATCTCCTTTTAATAAAGCAGCGAATTCGCTTCTTGAGTTGATGATCATTTTTGCTAAAATTCCAATAATAAATATTGAGCAATAAAATAATTCAGACTGATGACATCGAAAATTGCATTCTGAGAAATTCAAAAATTAAATAAACTGCTTTTCGAAGTTTATTTAAATATGAAGACAGGTCTTTTATTTCATCTTCAAGGCTTAAGATATAATTTGAAAAACCCTTGCACTACTTGCGTATAATTTTAGAATGCCATGGCTATCTTAGCTTTGGTTATCTTTTTAATTCATATTTCTCAGAATAATTTTTTATATTCTAATTATTATTTATTAATTTCTTTCTTAAGCAAAAATAAAGCAAAGCAATTATTCGCTTTAATAAGACAAATCTTCTATAAGTTAAAGCTGCTTGCTTATTCTTATAATTATGCATTCAGCACCATTTTTTGCATATATCTTACTCTTATCATTAAGGCTAATATAAATTTTTGCTTATTTAAGCTAAAGAAAATAGTTTTATTACTGCAGTGGACTAGAGCACATATTACTTTTTATAATATTAAAACTCTTTGTCTTTTTATCTGAACATTTAAACACAAATCTAAAAAGCTTGCTTTTCAAATCTAAAATTTTAAATAAAAATTCTGTCAATAGGGATTTTTTCAACACTGTTCTTCTTCAATATTTTCTTATGCTTATGAAGCTTGCTAATACGGCTTTAATTAAAATCATAGGATAGCTTGAATTGAATACTGTTTTTGCAGAGATCATCACCTTTTCTGGGATTGCAATGATTTTAAAATAATATTAATCCCTTCATCATTGCATGAGAAACCATCATGTTTTCTTGAAAATCTATAAAGAGGATAATATTTTCAACTTTCTATTATATATCAATAATCAGATATCAAAGAATTTATAAGAGTTTCCTGTTAATAAATTTGATAATGGTAAATGGAATTGCCAAATCTTAAAAGAAGGAGTAGTTAACATAAATGAAAGCTTTTCAGCAATTTATAAATTTTTAGGATTCTGCTAAACAAAATATATCCTAAAAGATAAATTTATATTTGTTCATTTTGGTAGTCCATCTTCCTTATAATTCTTGAAAAATATGATTCAAAATTAGTCAAAACTTAGAGCTTCTTTTCTTATCCTTGAGTGTATGATCCCAAACAGGACTAAGTTTGTGATTTTTCATCTTATAACTGAACACCCAAAATTAAAAATGCTATATTTAATATTAAAAAGAGTTGATTATTTTATTTCTTCTGTTGTATATGTCTTATTTTTGCTCACAAATCCTTTTATGTTAATATGCGGATCACATAATATTATTGATGATTTAAAACTAAATAAATAAAACGAGATCTAAAAGATTCTGATCTTTGACGAAATCTTCTTAACCTCGTAACTAAGGTGAATTAAGTGGGAAACTGGCCGAGATTCAGGCCAGATATGTGCTTATGTAAAGATAAACTCAGATTTCCTTACTAATAGTGCTAAAAATTGTGTAAATATTTATTTACAACTTCACCATAAATCTGAGATTTAAGATAGACCTAGAATATTTAAAATTAACTTTACAAAATTGATTAAAAATATCAGAAAGAGGTTGGCTTTATTTTTCAGCTCTTAAGAATAGATAACTTCATAAAATATATTGTAACAAAATTTAATAGTGTTTCGCACTTAAGCAGCTTTTACTTTCAGATTATTATTATTATTAACAGTCCTTTTAAAGAATAAATTTTAATTTTAGATTTTCACTTACTTTTGAGTGTCCGATATTTTTTAGTTTGCTGTTATAAAATTTATATCTTTAATTTAAGACCAGCTTGAGCCAGAATCAAAATGCCTGAAATTGCATTTTTTAAAATATGCATAAATTTGTGAGCCAAACGATAGTTGCTCATTGGATATAACTATCAAATATAACAAAAATGAATTTACCTGAATTTCTGATTAAAGCTTTCTAACTCCCCCCCCTCCGTGAGTGAACAAAACCATTAGAAAAATCGCTATTTTTTTGCCCAAAAACCCACCCTCCGTGAGTGAACAAAAATTTTTTATGGAAAAAAAAATTGATATATAAATGATAATTATTATAATGAAATCTAGAGCTAATTCTGTTTAATTTTAAACGAATTGCTTTTTAAAACATAAATTTTATAAATTAAATTAATATTTGCTTTCCAATTTTTGCGAATTAGAATTTTTTTTAAATTTCGAAAAAAAAATATTTTTACTCCCCCCCCCCCCTCCATGAGCGAACAAAAAAATTTTGTTCGCTCACGGAGGGGGGTTAATTTTTTTTTTTTAAAAAAAATTTATATATAAATTTTATAAAAAAATATTTTTTTCGAAATTTAAAAAAATCCTAATTTGCAAAAATTGGGAAGCAAATATTAATTTAATTTGCAAAATTTATGTTTTAAAACGCAATTTGTTTAAAATTAAACAGAATTAGCTCTAGATTTCATTATACTAATTATCACTTATATATCAAAATTTTTTTCCATTAAAATTTTTTCTATTAAAAAAATTTTTGTTCACTCACGGAGGGTGGGTTTTTGGTCAAAAAATGGCGATTTTTCTAATGGTTTTGTTCGCTCACGGAGGGGGGGGGAGTTAGAAAATTTATATATAAATTTTTTAAAATAAAAAAATTAACCCCCCTCCGTGAGTGAACAAAATTTTTTTGTTCACTCACGGAGGGGGGGGGGAGTAAGAAGCTAATTTTGTGATAATAAGAAATATTTTGCATAAACCACTTCTTATAGCAAAAAAGTAATAAATAAAAGATTATGCATTTTTATAAGAAAAAGTTTATTAAAGATTATAGGCAATCCATATTGCAAACGCAAAAAGAAAAATTCAAATAATAATAAAGTAGTCGGCCAAAAGCCATTCTAATAAATTTTTAAATGTGAACGTGAATTTTTTACTCCATTTTCAAGGCTAAACTTTATTTGATATATATTATACAGAGCTCTATGAACTGTTTAATATTTTTGAATTTAGCCTCAACAATAATTTTAAAAAATTTAATTCTAATATTATTATTTGATTTTGATTTAAAAGAGATTTTTTAAAAAAGTTAGTGTGATAATCATCAGCATGTACAAAGAATTTAAAAGTAAAAGCAAATTGCTTATTTTAAAAAATCATATGACTTGCCTGTGCTTTTCCATAATACTCAGTCTTATAATTAAATCTTTTAAATTTGTGTATAGCTTGAAATATTATTTCAGCTGCAATAAACTGAACGAATTTAACCAATTAATATAAAAATTCAACTCACTTTATCTTCTTTTATAATTTATTTAAATATGATATTTTAATAGGGCTTTCTCATATAGTCTAAAATTAAAGTAGGCATTTTTTGATAGATATTTTATAATTACTTCCTTTATTCTGGTTTTCTGCATTTGCCCATGTTTATTGCATAGCCAGTCATATCTGAGTATTTCACAGCTATTATAAAATATTAAGCGTGAATTTATAAATATGAATTTGCATTGCTATAAGCGAAAAAGAAAGTTCCCCTAAAATTTCATATTTTAACGTCTCTTTGTGAGTTTCTAATAACTCAGCAACTGGTCAAGCATAATTTTTTTAAATTCTTCCATTTTAAATCTTCAATAAAAATCAAAAAATTTTAAAATTTCCAAGAATAATCCATAAGTTCATATAAATATGTTAACATTGTTAATTTTTTAGAAGCTAGCAGTCAAAATAATAATCCAAATTCTATATATTTAAGAACCAAATATAATAGCTATTTTTATTTCTTTATTGACCCAAGATTTTTGATCTTAAGATGTTTTTAACTGATTTTTTATGTTTTACGTAATAATTGAGACTTAAAATTAAATCGTAAGGCTTTTTTTTTTTTATTTTTTAAGTTCTATAAGCTTTTTAAATTTTTTAAATAAAACTATATGCTGAAAACTCCATTTATGTGTTAAATTCGTGGATAGGATAATATTCTATACTCCTTAAATAACAAATTCATATTTTAATTTAACTTAAAAATAAAAGAGATTTCATAGAAAAAATATAGTCAAAGATTTATAATATACAGCATATTATTGATGAGTATAAACTTTGAGGACAACTCAACAATGTTTTCAGGAATGTTTTCCCTGGTATTTCCATCTAGAGAAGGATCTAGTCTGCGGCTTCCTAAAATAGAACCCTTTGAAGGAATAAGTGAAGCTGAGCTAATCCAAAAACCCAAAATTCCATTGAAGAGCATTTCTAAAAAAAGGTCAAGGAAGAGAATCACAGCTTGCCCCCACGTGAATAAACGATACTATGCAAGGAGCATGTGTAATAATTGCTATCATAAAATCGGGAGACAAAAAAAAGCTTGAAATTGCCAGCATACAGATCGCCAACTCTATGCAAAGGGATTATGTCAAAAATGCTATTTGCAGGATTATCATAGCCTTAAATCATGTAAGGCGGATGAGGAGAAGATTTAAATATTTAAGGCTAAAGCCATTTAAGATCAATCTAAAATTTTAACTGGATATAACTGTGCCTATTGGCTATAAAAGCTATTAAAATATATATTAAACGAATTATTTTTGCCTTTTTCCTTCAGTTTAAGCTTTACTTTCAACTTAATATTGCTTGCGTGATTCCTTAAAACCTCTTCAAAATTTATTACCTTTTTACATTTTTTTATAATTATATATTACTAAATAAATATTACTTCAGCATGCTAAAGCAGGTGCATTATGATTTAGGGATAATAAAATTGGCTTCATTTGATGCGAATACTGAAAAGTCCATATTTTCAGCATGGCTGGCTGTTACAAAATTAATTATTAAATATAACATTTAACTTACCTACTTTACTGGTTAAAGCTTATAAAGCCAAGCTTGCGAAATTTAACAACTTTTTTCCTTCAGGATGCTTATCTATCTTTATTTATAAGAATAAAATGCTAGAAAGTTGATAAAGAAAAATTTAACGTATTTCTTATAATATATTCCTATACTTTTTATTGCTAAGATGAAGTGAATAAAAGAAGTAAATTTAAAAAAATTCAAATAAAATAAGCGGAGATTAAAGTTCGAAAAACAAAATTTTCAGATAATAAATAAGCTATTTTGAAAAATTACTGGGAAGACCTTTTCATATATATTCAAGAAAAAATAATTTAATAAAATATGCATTATTTTATGAGATTTGAGGCTTTTTGCAATTATAGCTAGGTTAGCTTTGCTTATTTCATTTTCTTGAAAATAAAGTCGATTGCATTTTGATTTTATAAACTACTTGCTTAAGTCCCATGATAATAAACTTGATAGGGTGCCTTTATATTCAACTTTTTTAAATTGGGTAGAGTTTATTTTGCGATTTACGAATTATTCAATGATATAAAATCCAAATATCCTTCATTTCAGTATAAACTTGATTTTAATTAAGTTTATATTATAAAGAAAGAGATCAAAGGAGTTCTATTCTATAATAGTTTCCAAGCCAGCTTTATTGCTTTATAATTTTTATAGCAATTTTTATTAAATTTAATTGATATCTTGATATCGTGAACTTTGGTTTAACCTGAGGGATTATGATTAGCATCTGCTTAAAATTTTAGACAAAGCTTGATAAGTTTTAAAATTTTTCTAGATATTCCCTATTGATGCTATTTATAAAAGCTACGTTTTTTTGACAACTCCTTATACTTACTGGGAACTAGACAATCTTACGGACAGTTAAATATATTATTACAATTTGTTCTTTTATCATATTTAATTTTAAATTATAATTGCTATAAAAGTTCTTTTAGCAATTAGACTTTAGATTTCATGATATTTAAAAATCCAAAAATTTTAATTAAGGAAATTAAATAAGTATATTTCCATGAACTTATTGAATTTATAAAAAAGGACCATGCAAAATTTCGGCTTATATATTGACTATGATGAGAATTAAATATAATTAAGTTTAGTAGGATAGGATTCAGCGTAGATAGACTCAAGAACTTAAAGTGAAATAAATCCTTTTGCAAATCATATCTTTGGGAAGTTTCTGGAGTAATGCACATGAAATAAGAAATAAAGGCTCCTATGAGCGAAATGGATAAATTTTAATAATCTTTTGATAAATAAAGTGCCATTTGGGTCAAGAGAAATTAGTTTTTTCTAATTTCCTCCCTGATGGAATCTTATTTATTGGGTTTGATTTTCTCTTGAGATCTTCTGTAACAAAAAATTTAACTTGGGATAGCCAGAAGTATGGCTCCTGAGTGCAAACAAGAGGCTCAGGGTTTTCACCTCTCATAGCATCTGAGGAGGAAGACTATTAGGGAAGCACATGCAGGAGCTGAGTCAGGCAAGGGCAACGACATTTGCGCCGGGTGAGAAGCGGTTGCTAGATGGCAGTCGGTTCATTTGGGATGGTCCGACCTTTTTGATAAATGCTCATGACGCCATCATTTTGGCTCTGTCCCTTTAGTAGTAGCGTAGCTTTATGACGCCTTAAACACTTAATTAGTGTTTTTTGTTAATAAATTTTTCAGAGATCTCAAAAATAAACACATTAATAAAATTTCTAAAATAAATTCTTTTACTTTTGCACTGAAATAGTGCATAAGTAAAATCTCCCAAAAGATTCAAACTACAAATTTATACACAGCAATATCATAATAAAGACTTTCATCTTCAATTTATAAATTATTTAATGGTCTAAAGAAAATATCAAAAATATTAATTGATAGACTATTAAGATTATTTAATTGAAGAGAGAAATGCAAATACAAAAATTGGGCGATGCAATGCTTTACTCCTCCATATTGAAATGGGAAGAAAAAATCCTGTTAAAACTCAAAGGGAGTTAATTTTTTAAATTTTAAAAATTTAGAAAAATATAATCTGACTAGTGAGCTAAATATTTTTGAATTTATTTTATGAATAACATTATACTTGCATTTTTCCCCGTTAAATAAGCCAAAATTGGTATTTTCACTAATAAAATTTTACTATTTTAAAAAAATTTTGTTGCATTAAAGCCCCCAAAAATTGCATTTTGTTGTAATTTAAAGTGTGAATTAGTTAAAAAATTATAGAGAGATGAAAATTTAAATATCAAAAAGGTCGTTCAATTTTTAATAAAATATCACTAATCTGAATATTTTATGATATTTTTATTTAGCATAAGTATGAAAATTTCATATCAATTTTTTTCAAATAAAAGAGCATAAAAGTAAATTATCTTTCAGCTTTGTCATTTTTCATGAGGATATACAATAAGATGTTTAATTAATTCATAATGGCATGCAATTAGCAGAACCATAGTAAAATTAAAGATTAATATTGCCACAATTATTGAAAAAATGTGATTTATACCAATATTTTTATAGATACTTACTCCTACCCTCGCGAGTGACCAAAGCTGTTGAAAAAATGCCTATTTTTGGTAAAAAACATCTCTGTGCGAGTGAGAAAAATTTTTTAAATAATATTCCTTTTGATAAAATATTTTTATGTATAATTGATAATGAAAACGCTTGCTAATCCAGCTAAATTAAAACAGATTGTATTCTAAAACATATATATAATAAATTACATTATTTTGACTTTAAATTTTTGCGAATTTAAATTTTTTAAAACAATTATTTAAAAAGCTGAAGGATTAGCAATTTATATAGAAAATTAATTTCTTATATTAATAAAAAATTTTAAACTGAAGTTTTTGTTCTTTTCAACTTGAAAATAGTGAAGGCTGATAAAAATACTATATCTCTGTTAAAAACTACAAAACGAAATTCGCGTTAGAGTATCTCTACATATCGTTTATCTTGGCAGTTTATGAATAAGATAATTTTTTGTTCTAAGTTTAGATCATTAATTATTATATCTTGCTGCTAGACTATAATGATAATATCAAACTTATAAGTGCTAGCAAAGAAGTTTTTGAAGATAAATAGTGAAAAAGTATATAGAATTTGCAAGTCGTAAATCGAATATGGAATTTTATATTTTATTTAAAGTCAACTTTTTCGTATAAAACAATATTCCAAATGTAAAATCCAAATTATTATATCTTTACAATCACTAATGATTTATATTATAATTTTATAAATGATTTTTAGGGAATATTGATTCAGCATTTCAAATAGCTGACTAACCCTTTGATTATTGTGCAAGATATTTCGTTTGCAAGCGCTCTTTATTTCATTTTAAAAAAAAATACTTATTTGAGGATACTTGGGATTCCAATCTTAATTCTTAAAGTTGTTGAAGATATTCAAATTAGCTGGAAGATCTGAATTATGATGCGCCAAAAATATTTAAACCATAGAATGCATTAAAACAGGGCTAATTTCCCCTAAAAAAATCCAATTGTTTCGCTCAAACCAAGGAAGAGTAAAAAGATAATATTTCGAAATTCTGTCGATTATGATAATGATATTTTATTCATACATAATTTTTCAACAATTTTCATCTCATTCTCGTCATTTTTATTCACTATAAACATACCGATTCATTTCTGTCATGATTTCCAGCTATTTTTCTAACTGGAAAATACAAAAATCTCTTGATAGCAATTCCAGAGTAATCAAAATTAACTACTAAGACTTAAAATACAATTAATAACGAAATTCAAGTGAAAATTTATATACAGTCTGCATAATTATTTAAAAATTATTCTTTTATTTTTATATTTCTATCGACTTTTATAGAAATGTTGAAGTTTTTATTTAATATGATTGCAAGTATTTATATAAAAATTATGCAAATAATCCTCAAAGAATTTTTATAAAAGCTGGTTGCAACATTTATAACAATTTCTACCCCATAGTATGCTATTATATGCTATTTAGTATACATAATTATATTATTAATCGAAATGAAACCATTTATCAAAAATTCTGTATTACCTTATGAAGATATAGTTTAATAGAATGCTGAGCTGTTTAAAATAGAATGATTATTTGTATGGACATATGTAAAAATGCCTAACGATTTAAAAAACTTTATGAGGCTTGCCTTTACTCTTCATTAATTAAAAAATATTTGAAAACAGTTAAAATTCAACCAGGATTTCTTATCATTTATGAATAAATATGTTTATAAATAATTAATTTTATCTATCAATTAGATATCAAAGAGTTAGAAATATTTTTTATCCATTATGAGCCAATTTAATAGAGGTAAATATATACTCTATTCTCTGTATATACAAATAATGCTTATTTTATACAAAAATTTATCATTCACTTAAATCCTTTATATTTGTCACATACTTAATCACACAGACTTTAATTCGCCATAATCTTCCACAAAATTCTAATTCTAATAAATAAATCCCTTTACCTACCTTTAATCCTGAACTATAAGTTATATTTAATTTCCTTGTAATTTACAACACAACTAATTTCTTCACCATATCTATCACCTAATTTATCCAAAATCATCCATATAAGCCTTTATTCCCATATTGTACGTGTGGTAATAATAAAATGTTGAAAGGAACTGTCATTTGGGCCTGCGTGCTCACAATTCTCAGTTTTACAGCTGCTTCATCCAAGTTTAACGCTAAGGACATCACCAGCGACTCTCAGTTCGTATTGAAATCGCTCGCAGAATTTCGTCAACAAGCTCACCTATACAAGTCTTTAAGGATTCATGCTCAGATGATCGAAGAATCCTTCAACAATGACGAAGCCAATAAAAATTTACAGTCAGCCTTAGCCACTTCAGCTAAATTAATGTCTGATTTACTATACTTTTATTAAAAAATATAAGCTAATGCTAGACAATAAGTATCTAGATTTATATAAAAATAAAAATTGCTCTTAAAAAACATATAAAAAATTTTTATCAAAAAAAATACTCACTAAGCCTACAACAGGTCAGCTAAGGCTTGGCGAGAATAATCAATGCACAGATATCCTGTTTAGTCAGATAATCCAAAGCAAAGATTTATCCGCGGATATCACTATATTCGCTGTTAATAATGAAGAAAAGGGAGAAATTGCATCCTCAAAGAAGTGTGAGGTGAACGAAAATAAGACTATTAGGTCTTTAGCTCTGGAAATTAATGCTGAAAAACTTATGAAGCTAGATGAACTTTCACAGGTCAAAGAACTTTGTATTGCAATCTCTAAAGCCTTATATGAAGACAAGGAAGGGGAAAGACAAGTACTGATGAGCGAGATAGGAGGAGTTTTAGCAAAAGAGAGAGAAATAAAAATAGCACCAATTCTTGGAGCTTGTGATGCTGGTCAAAGCTTAAACTTAAATTAGTTAAAGAGAAGCCCCCTATAGGGCCACAGATACTAATCGCCTCCGGATAACGCTCCGCCGCTTCTTATCAGTTGGGGTCGCCATATCGTAAGCAACGGGTTCTTCTTTCAGATAATTTGAAAAGGAAATTTTTCTGGTAGGACTGTCGACCAAAAGAACCAAGTGCACCTTTGGCCTTGCTAGGCTTTCCCTTCTAACTCCAGCGAGCCATCTCCTCAGGAGGTAAAATCTTGGTCTTTATGCGAGCATGCAGTCGGCTAATTCCAGCATTGCGCTCACCAACCAATTAAACTGTAGCCGATTACACTCTTCTGAATGCTGTCCTCCCTTCCACAAGGTCCCCGGCTTTCCAAATGAACCTATCGGCAAGAGATATTAAGAGGGCGGATTGGCTCACCTCGCCATTTAATGTATCTTCTGGTCAAAACAACTGTATAACTTGCGCTGATGCAGACAATTGCCAAACTTGTGCTGATGGCTATTTTGTAAGTGGAGGAGCTTGTGCAGCTTGCAATACTAACTGTGCTACTTGCACCACAACCGCTGGTAACTGTGCAACTTGCTCTGATACAACTCATATGTCAGCTGCTCCAGCTTGTGCTTGCCCAACTAACGGAGCTCTCTCAGGAACAACTTGCACTTGTAACGCCGGCTATTACTTCAGTGCTGGCACTGTCTGCTCTGCTTGCAATACTAACTGCGCCACTTGTACCACAACCGCTGGTAACTGTGCAACTTGCTCTGATACAACTCATATGTCAGCTGCTCCAGCCTGTGCTTGCCCAACTAACGGAGCTCTCTCAGGAACAACTTGCACTTGTAACGCCGGCTATTACTTCAGTGCTGGCACTGTCTGCTCTGCTTGCAATACTAACTGCGCCACTTGTACCACAACCGCTGGTAACTGTGCAACTTGCTCTGATACAACTCATATGTCAGCTGCTCCAGCTTGTGCTTGCCCAACTAACGGAGCTCTCTCAGGAACAACTTGCACTTGTAACGCCGGCTATTACTTCAGTGCTGGCACTGTCTGCTCTGCTTGCAATACTAACTGCGCCACTTGCACCACAACCGCTGGTAACTGTGCAACTTGCTCTGATACAACTCATATGTCAGCTGCTCCAGCTTGTGCTTGCCCAACTAACGGAGCTCTCTCAGGAACTACTTGTACTTGCAACGCCGGCTATTACTTCAGCGCGGACACTGTCTGTTCTGCTTGCAATACCAACTGCGCTACTTGCACCGCAAGCGCTGGCAACTGTGCAACTTGCTCTGATACAACTCATATGTCAGCTGCTCCAGCCTGTGCTTGCCCAACTAATGGAGCTCTCTCAGGAACAACTTGCACTTGCAACGCAGGCTATTACTTCAGCGCTGACACTGTCTGTTCTGTCTGTAATACTAATTGCGCTACATGCACCGCAAGCGCTGGTAACTGTGCAACTTGCTCTGATACAACTCATATGTCAGCTGCTCCAGCCTGTGCTTGCCCAACTAACGGAGCTCTCTCAGGAACAACTTGTACTTGCAACGCTGGCTATTACTTCAGCGCTGACACTGTCTGTTCTGCCTGTAATACTAATTGCGCTACTTGTACCACAACCGCTGGCAACTGTGCAACTTGCTCTGATGCAACTCATATGTCAGCTGCTCCAGCCTGTGCTTGCCCAACTAACGGAGCTCTCTCAGGAACAACTTGTACTTGCAATGCAGGCTATTACTTCAGCGCTGACACTGTCTGTTCTGCTTGCAATACAAACTGCGCTACATGTGAAACTGCTGCTGATGAGTGTTTAACTTGTGCTGATGCCACCCATATGTCAGATGCCCCAGCATGTGCCTGTCCAACTAATGCAGCACTATTAGGGACTGCTTGTGCTTGTAACGCTGGCTATTTCTTTAGCGCAGATACTGTCTGTTCTACTTGCAATACCAATTGTGCAACATGTTCTACAAGTGCTGCAACTTGTGATACATGCGCAGACTCAACTCACATGACAGCTGCTCCAGCTTGTGCCTGTCCAACAGATAGTGCTTTTACAGATGGAAACTGTGTTTGCGACACTGGCTATTACTATAGCGCCGATACCGTGTGCTCCGCTTGCACTGCCCCATGCTCTGAATGTTCAACTTCAGCTACAACTTGCACAGCATGCGAGGATGGGTACTATCTGAGTGGAAATTCTTGCCTCCCTTGTACTGCCCCATGCAACACTTGCTCAACTTCAGCGACTACCTGCACAGCTTGCGACGATTCAGATAACATGTCTCTAGATGAAGGAGTTTGCACATGTAAAGACGCTCATGCCACTTTTAGCACTACTTCAAATACATGTGTTTGCAATAGTGACTATTTCGATAACAACGGAGTCTGTACTCAATGCACTTCTCCTTGCAATGAATGTACATCAGCAACAAGCTGCCAGGGATGTATAGATGGATATTGGCTTAACGCAGGAGTTTGTGAAGCTTGCACACCTCCTTGCGCTAAATGTAGCACTTCAGGTACTACATGCACTGATTGTGTTGCCGGCACAACATTAAATGCTGGCACTTGTTCATGCACAGATCCTAATGCCAGTTTCAATGATAACTCTGATGCATGCGTTTGTAATCCAGGATACTATGCAGCTGCTGGAGGAACTTGCACAATCTGCGATAACAATTGCGCCACTTGCACTGGAACTGCAACCACTTGTGATTCATGCAAAACTGGTTTTGTGATAAACGGAAATGTATGTGATGCTTGCGGTGCAGGCTGTAAAGTATGTACAAGCTCAACTGTTTGCACAACATGTTATGATACAACTGCTTTCTCAACTCTTAAAAATGGCGTTTGTGGTTGCACTGATCCTAACCAAATCTTCAATGACCAAGGCTTCTGCACATGCAACTCTGGATATTTCCCAAATGTAGATAAATGTGTAGCATGTGGCAAAGGATGCAAAACTTGCACAAGTGCAGCATCATGCAAATTCTGTTGGGATACCAAGAATGGAGTAGTAAATACCGATGGAACTTGCTCTTGCATATTAGCTGGCCAAGAATATGATCCTACTGGGCATGTATGTAATTGCCTTGTCCACACTTATGGAAATTACACCACTGAGAAATGTGAAACATGTAGTATAGGTTGCAGCACATGCACAAACTCCACACTTTGTGACGAGTGTTACGACTCCACAAATATGCAAGAAGATAAAGACGGGACTTGTAGTTGTAAAGATGACGACCAGAGATTCTCGACTTCGAATGACAAGTGCATTGATAGAGAAGATAGTGCAATTGGTTTGGCTTTCTCTTGGATCTTGCTTGTTTCAGCAATGATCTTCTCGCTTTAGATAACTAATTATAACTAGATAATTTGCTTCTAAGAAGATGGAATTTTTGGTTTAGAGCATATTTACACAATAATCATAAATTTTTTTACTAAAAAAATTGTGCTCTTATCAAATCCCCAACAGGTATTTAACGCCTTAAACAGCACTTAGAAATACCCAATTTTTGATACTGTGTCTATATAGCACTTAGTTTTTAAAAAAGTAGGATTGAATTGAAATTGCTGCATAAAGCAATAGTTATGCTTAAATTGAGAATCAAATCTCTCAATAAGAAAGCAAAATTAATTGATCAGCTTATATATGCTTGGCTGACCAAATAATTCTCAGCTAAGAGCTATTTAATTTCCAGGCTACAATGCTTGCCAATCTCCTTGCGCAACTTGCCAAACAACTACAACTTATTGTCTTACTTGTATAGATACCTTCTTAGAGGCTGATGCCGGTATTTGCAAATGTAAAGATCCAAATGCTAGCTATGAAGCAAGTGATAATGCATGCGTCTGCAATCCAAAATATTTCGAATCCAATGATATTTGTGCAAGCTGCAATACAGAATGTGCTACATGTGATATTATTGCCTCAAATTGCACTTCCTGTGCAGATGGCTATTTTAATCAAGATGACTTGTGCATTGCTTGCTCATCGCCATGTGCTACATGCTCTGAATCAGCAACTACATGCCTTTCATGTGATGACCCTAACAATATGGTTTTAAGTGGAGGAGTCTGTGGCTGTAAATCCAGCCATGCTACATTTGATCCAACCCAAAAAATATGCGTTTGTGACATCGGATACTATTTAGATGCAACCAATATTTGCCAGCCTTGCATTAATCCATGTCAAACTTGTATAGGATCAGGCACTGTTTGCGAATCATGCGTGCCTGGCTATTTCCTTGAAAATGGTAACACTGAATGCACAAAATGTGAATCACCATGCGAAACATGTACAGGAACAGCTGAAACATGCAATTCCTGTGTAGATCCTATAGACTTAAAACTCGTAGACAATACTTGTGTATGTAACGATAAGGCAACCCTTCATTATTTTTTTTTTTAAATAAAATAAATTTAATATAAAATTTTAATTTAAAAAAAATATCATGATTTACCTTAAAAATGCGGAATTTAATGTGACTTCGGGATCGTGCGAATGTGACCCTGGGTTTTATTCAAGTAATAATAACTGTGTTGCTTGTGCAGTAGGCTGTGAAGACTGTGATTCTAAAGGAGATTGCAATGAATGCTCTATTGGGTATTATTTAAATAAAAATGAAGTTTGTGTGGCTTGTGCCTCCGGATGTGAGGAATGTGGGTCAGCAACGACTTGTGAGAAATGCATAGATCAGCATAATACGAAACTAGCAAATGGTATTTGTACCTGCATAACGGCAAAAGCTACCTTTAACACTGAAGGAATGTGTGAATGTCAAGATGGACTTTTCAATAATACAGAGACAGATACTTGTGTTTCTTGTCCTTCTAATTGCGAAGTATAGCTCTTCTCTTCATTTATATTTCGTAGCTGAAAGGGAGGAATTACTGACAGTTGCAAAATCAAGTTGACAAGACAATTAATTGTTTCGCACTTTCAATAAGTACCTGACATGCCTGCTAAGGACTGCTTTTGCTAGTTTTAACTTTAAAAACTAGCCCATTAATTTGCTACTCATTATAATTAAAGAGAGCTAAATGGAGCGCAAAAGTATATGCACATCAGCCAATGAATGTAATCAATGTTGGGATCCTACAATGACTAAAAGCGCAACTGGGGCTTGTGCCTGCTCGTTCCAAAATCAATACTTTAATGAAACTACACATTTATGTGAATGTCCAAGCCATCAATATTTGAATGCAGCTTCTAAACAATGTTCAGCTTGTGGAGAAGGGTGCGATATATGTACTGATGCCAAGACCTGTGAGACTTGCTTTGACCCAGATCATATGACCAATAATCAAGATGGAACTTGCAATTGCACAAGTTCTAAACAGGAATTTTCTGAAAAGAATGAAAGGTGTAGAGATACTGATAGTGGAGCTTATGACTTGACATTTACTTGGATCCTTTTGGTGATTTCGATAGCGCTTTCAGCGTTTTAGAGTAGATAATTAATATTTTTAAGTTAGCTTGTGAGTAATGTAAATTTTGAATGAGATGATATGGAAGCAGAAAAAGAATCATGTATCACGGCTATAAAATAAAGGAAGAAAATGCTTCTTTAATGTTCTGGAATATAAGGAAAAGAATTTTTGTTTTCCATTAAATATTAGAGCTGATAATTTTTTATGTTTTTGGAAACTTGCATATTTTATTTCATCTGCGAATTTATATCAATTTCGTTTGTGCTTTTCTATTTTGCCTTCTCATAATTGATTTAGTCTTTTGCTCATTTTCTTTGCTAGCTATCTTAGACAGCTCTAAAATTTTTCCAGACTGCTGAATTCCCATAAAGTTTATGTTATATTGTGAGCCTAAACTTTAAATCCTCTTTCTTGCTTAACTATTGTTTTTGTATGTTTTCTAATATTTTAAATAGCTTCTTATATATTTTCAATATATTTTCAATATATCTCGTATATTTTCTATCCTTCTTAAGCTTTTCTAATTAAATCATTAGTAATCCTGCCAATTGAAGCAAAAAATCTTTCTCTTTAGTTTTGTTTTTAAGAATATTTCTTAAATAAAAAAGCTATACGACTTGCTTTCTGAATTTAATTTCTCTGTTTCCCTCATTAATTTTAGCTAAATTGAGCACGCTTCTTCTAAGCTTGAAGCTTCCAGTCTTTTATTGCTCAAATAGGTCAAATGCACTATGTCTGAAAGAATCGCATACCGCTTCTTCTAAGCTTGAAGATTCCAGCTCTTTTATTGCTCAAACAGGTCAAATGCTCTATTTCTGAAAGAATCGCATACTATATATTAAATAATTCAAAAATGACTGAATATTTCAGATATAAGATTTATTAGTTATTCTTTAAGAGCTTTATGAAATCAATTTAAAAATTGATAATTAAAATATTTTTGCTAAGCTTCAAATTGATATATTAAGAATTTTCCAGGAACTATATAAATCCATTATTCCAAGAAAATTCAGTCGTCGGTATAGTTTAGTGGTAGAATCTTACGTTGTGGCCGTAAGTACCTGGGCTCGATTCCCAGTACCGACATCTTTTTTAAATTTTTATTTGCTTATACTTTATCAAGTTCTATAATGAAGAATTAGAGTTCGCTATATTTAATAAGAGACTTCTTCAAATATTTAATTCTGTAATCAGGGAAAAAAGATTTTATCAATAAAATGCCTTTATAAAGAATAAAGTGATTGAATATATAGCTGCCATTTAGATTTTAAATGCAAATTAATATAAAAAAGATTTTTAAATAATTCTTTTGAGAACTCCTATAAATTCACGAATAAAATCAGCTTTTGATTAAATTTAATTCATATTTTACAATAATTTTAATTTTTTAAACTAGTTTTTTGTCTATAATACAATAAATCTTCTTAAAACATATAAGCCAAAACGCTGCGAAAAATAATTATATTAAATAAGTCATTTCCTTTTGGATTATATTAATCCTTAGTGCTTCTTCATTTTAATTTTATTTTCGATTATGCTAATAAAAATCTCAAGAAGACTATTTTCAGCCTCAAAGCTCAATACTGAAATCAATGAATTTTTCAAGGATTTTGACAAAGTAAAAAACCAATACACCCCAAAGCCAAAAATCGCAGCTCCTCCATCTGAATGAAATGAAAATCTAAAAGAAGATTGGGATGAATATTTAGAAAGCTGGCATGAGGAAAATCCCTTTAAGCCTAAACCACTCAGATATGAAATTGATGGTCAAGATCCTCACTATGAGTACCCAGTTCCAAAAGAACGAGATTTTCCTCCAATCCCAGACGCCCCTAGCTTAAAGCATAAAATTTTGCTTCCTCAATTATTTTACCTCCAAAATCCTGAAACTATAGCTATAGAGCTGATTGGAAAAGTAATCGAGCATCAGTCAAATGCTGGCACTATCTCTGGAATAATTACATGCACTCAGGTATCCAAAACCTATCAACCTGAAGTAGAAAAACTAGGAATTCTTGGGATGACCCGCAATAAAAAGATCTTATATATATTTGCAGAAGACGATGAAGGTGAAGAATTCTGTATTTATGTATTATATATTATATTTAATAGAGATTTATATAATAAAGAATATTATGAGGGAAAATCTTATAATAAAGGTATATCCTTCAGTCAAATTAATAGATGATAATTTTGGGGAAAATGAAAGTGTTACAGGTGCTTTAAAAATAAAGTCATATCATTATAAAAAGACATCAATTTTATATGATGCAAATTCTCCAATCAGAATATATGATGAAGGATATAAACCTGCTGAAGTGAAAAATGAATATTATGCAGCTACATTCATTTATAAATTTTACTGTGATGAATTTTTTAAAAAATAAATAAGCTTTGTAGGAAAAAAATTGAATTATGTTAATTTAAAACAATTTTAGTAACGTTAAAGCCGCTGAAATGGCTTTATCTTTTCTGTGCATTAAATAAATATTATGATAGAGAAATTCAAGGCAAAAGTAATAATTTATTTTAATTTACAATTCTCTGTAATCAACTCTTATTACAGTTTTTATTAAAATTAGAGATCATTAGATTATTTTTATTTTTGTTCGAAAAATATAAGAGATTATTCATTGTTGATATGACTAAGTTATTTATTAATTTTAGCATATTTTATGTATTCATTGCGTAGATATTAAATGCTGGTGAAGATTTATATCAGGCTAAATGAATAGACTCGCGTTTTTGCTCTATTTATATTTTTTATGAATATTCTTAGCAGTTACTTGCTTTATCCTTTATAAAACTCAACCAAAAGCATAAATATATTATGATAAACAAATAATTTTTAAACAAATTTATTTAATTTAATAAATTAAAATTTTACTTTTTTTTTTCTTATTGGCAGTAAAATCTCCAAAAAATTTACTCGCTTTGTCTTGCAGTGAATCCTCTCAAATAAAAACTTAGATTCAATAGAAAAATCGTGAATATAATTTTATGGTTAATTACGATTCGGAATATTTCCTCTATTGTCTAAGCCAAAATAAAAAAAAATTAACTCAGCACTATGCTTTCAATTAAATTTTATAACATATTTATAATAAAATTTAAATATTTCCAAAGGAGAGTAAACATTTCCTAAATTCCAAAAAATATCCTGGTATATAAATTCTCATCCTTAATTAAATGTTTTGAAATGGTATTTTTACCAAGTAATTACCTGTGATTAACATAAAAATATGATAAATTGGATTTATCTAATAAATATAATGAACTTTAATTTAATCTCCAAAAAAGAAAGCAAAAATCAGATCAAAATAAGCAAGATAATAGACTCTGATGAGTCAACCCCATCTGCGATAAATTCAAGCTGTTCTCCAATGAATTTAAGTTGCAATACTTGCTTAAAAAAAATGGGCTATAAAAAGCCAAAACTAGCAAATTTAGATAAAAATATCAGAAAAGTTCGACATTTTACGTTTTCAAAGGAGTTTACACCTATACTTGACTACCAAAATTCCCATGAAAAATTTTGGGATGCGTCACCAGTTCGCATCCAAAACCCAAAGTCATTTTCAAGCGCTGCCTATCCAATTTATATCAATTCGGACAATGAACCATTGTCCTCAAATTTAGTTTGCAAAAGCAACACCACTACAAAAATTGAAGATTTTTCGAATAGAAAAATATATGAAAAATTCAAATTAGATTAAGATTAATTCTTGCGAATCGCTGGGATTTATTCAGACCCTAATATTCACGAGTTATTTTAATGCTTAAATAGGGCTAGACAGTACCTCCAACTAACACCCTTTTTCTGTCGACGCCTCTAAAAAAATGGTGACGTCAGACAGTCTGTCAGGGAGACCACCCTTTAAGCTCTTGATCATTGGCGAGCGATTCAGTCCTGCCTACCATCACAGAGCTTGAAATGTTGCTGAATCGCCCAAATCTCCTTCTTGGCCTGCCTTATTGTAGACTAAAGATTCTTTCAAGAAGTCCAGAAGGATGTTTCACCTTAGTCTATCGTCTCTGGGTCGAGAAGAAAAGTTTAGCACGATAAAGCTCACTTCGAAGAACTATTAATGATGAGATTCACCTTTTACGGGCATGAACCACCTTTATTTGGCCTAACTCTGCTTGCCATTTTAACAATTCTGAAAAATTCAAGAAGAACTTTAATACTTCTTTAAAAAAAATTCCAAAAAAAAAATTCATAAAGGTTTAGAAGTAGAACTAATATAAATTTTTATTAAAATAGGAGATGCCTGAAAAATTGAGCCAAATTGATAAAAATGGAAAAAACTTTACAGTTTATAGTGAAATTTTTAATTTAGTTATAAAAAAAGATAAAGAATTTGGGCTTCTTTTGACAAAAATTAAAGATGTCTATGATTCCATCATTATTAATCAAGAAAATGAAAAACTAAAACAAAAGCAAGTTGAAGAAAACAAAGAAAAAAATTTATCAAATGAATATCAACTAATTGAAGAAACAATTAAAGACCTCGAAAATGATAAAATCAATCTCCAAAGCAAGCTAGAATCAAAAGAACTAGAAATTATTCTATTTCCCATACCTTACCAATCCTTAAAACAATAAAAAATATTCCAAATCCACCCTAAAACAGTATAAAAATTTACTTCACCAATGCACAATAATTCCAACCCTCCTTAACGAAAACCAGCACCTAAAATCCCGTCTTTCTGACCTCGAAAAGCACACTCACTTCCCCAGCATCAGCACAAATGAGTCCTTCCACCTTTCCAAGTCTATTCACGAGAAGCCATCTTTTACCCGTAAAAGCTCCTCAAAAACTCAATTTCCAGTCCTCAATAAAAAATCTACCTACCTCAAGCTGCCCAACTTAGAATCCCAAACGAAAATTTCTATATAATAAATAAATTATCTTTTAAAGAGCAATAGCGAATACGTTAATTATGCAATGCATGGTAGCATTTTCCCATTTAACCACAATAAATCCGTCAAGTGAAGGGTTCCACAGGCAGGTGGAATTTATATGAAGCGAGCTTGAATTTTTCCTTGTGATCACACAGGTCGCACAAAACTTAAAACCTTTGTTAAACTCGTGAAGATTTCTAATAATAGATTGCGGGATATTGCTGCACCATGATTCGACTTTGTCTTCTTGGTAAGGGACTTCTGCTAAGGATTCGTCGACGAGTCTGTTGACGAGTCTTTCAGCTTCTTCTTTCTATATAAAAATTACAAGCTGGGCAAATGGTATACGGCTCATTTACTTAGATATTATTTTATATTAAATTATATAGAAAGAAATTATAAAAAATTAAAAAATATTTATTTATGTCAGCAGGCAGTTAAAAATTAATATAAAATTGTATATAAATTATTAAATAACGAATAATAATTATTTTGAGGATTGCGATTTCTTTAATTTTTCTCTGTGCTCTACAGCTCTTAGAGTCTCATGCTTAAAATAAGGAAAATAGAAACTATGCATCGCCAATTTTTGATGATAAAGCCTCATTTTCGCCCCAACTTCTGTATCAGTGTCTGCAACTGCAAAAGTATCTCTGGAAAACTGTACACAGGCATGCAAAATTCCTCCAATCCCAACACTTATCATAAAAATCGGCTTCACAGGGTGTGTTGGGTTGTATATCCCAAATCCAGCCCACACAATAAAAGGCCCTACAAGGCCTAAATATAGTGACTTTCTGGTCTTGCTAAAATATTCTTTAAAAAAGTTGTCCCATACAAGCTTATGAATTTTTCTTGCGATTTCGTTTGGGTCTTCTTTATCTTCAAAAATATCCTTTTTGTTCATTAATATTATGAGAGGTTTAATATGCTATTCCTTATAAGTCTATTTTATATCAAAACAGGTTTATTTTTATTTTTATTAATAATATTTTCAGCTAAAAAAGCATATATCTTTCGTCAACACAGTCGTAGGAGGCAAAGAAGAAGCCAAAGAAGGCCATTTGCTTCTCCCATGGGAAGACTACAAAGAAAAAGCCAAAGAGCTCAATATAAAAGGCAGCATTACTGACGTCCTAAAAGACGCGATTTTAGAAATTTCTAATAATGAGAAAAATCTTCTGATATTTCGGAGCAACAAAGAGACCAGCTTTTTTGAGTTTAATTTAGACGAAAAAATTGAGGTAATTACTGAGGTGTTGAAAGTTGATACAAATTTAAGAGAATTGTTCAGAAATTTAGTCCCAAGGTGCACATCAGAAGAGCTGTTTTGGAAAAGCTACTTTTATAATGTAGAAAGGGTCAAGGAAGAAATTTTGAATAAATTTTCAGGGAAAAAAGGAGACACTGAGCTTGATGATGTACATAAGGAGTTGATGGATGAGTTAGAAAAAGAGCTAAAAGCTGATATTGAAAAAAAGCCTCTAAGAGCAAGAATTAAAGCAAAAAATGAAGTTCAAGAGCTGAAGGATGAGCTGAGAAAAGCATTGGAAAGGATTGAAAAATTAGAAGAAAGAGTTAGAAAGCTGGAAGGGGAGGAGAATAAAATTGAGGTTGAAGAGGAGAAAAAAGAAGAAAAGATCGAAGACATGAAGGACATTGAAGCAGCATTTTTAATTGAGGATGAAAATTTAGAGCCTGAATAAGAATTTATTATGAAAATTAAGATTATTTTATAATAAATTAGCTATCTTTTACATGAGATTACAAATTTCTCACATTTAGATTATTATTATTATTATTATTATTAAACTAACTTTAATTAAATAGGTCTAAATAATTATGACCAAAATTTTGTAATGAAGCCTCTAGCCCTTAATTACTATCCTTTTACTGTTTTCGTTACAAAATGGCTCTTTATCTTTAGCCTGCTTGATTATTATCGATTTTAAAATTCTAAACTAAGCTTCCCGAATTATCAGTTACACTTTTATAAGCTTCACTAAAATCCATGATTTTTTCTGTTCCTAAAAATCACAAATTCCTCCTTCTCTTTCTTCCCGTTTACCCCATTCTTCTTTCCTCCAAAAATATTATCCCATTTCTAATTAAAATAACCCTTAATTTTCTAAATTATTTTTAAAATAATTTTTATATGGTCAAGAATACTCAAACTTCTCTTGTTTTAAAAGAATTTTAGCATCATTTATAGATATATCACCATATATTAAACTACGTTCATTATGTTCTCCGAGGTATGCGTTACAGCCCCAAGCAAAAAGAAAATCCTCAAGCTGAATATCAAAAAAATAAACACGACTTGTCCTAAGAAAAAACTTCCCAAAAAAATTGAAGAAAAACCATGAAAAGACCAGCAGACCCATGGCGAATTTTTCTCAATTTCTGCTAAAAAAGGCCCATTCCGTCAAAGAATGGAAGACACTTTCAGCATTTTGCATGACCCTTCAAAACCGTTTATCGGTTTTGGAGTATTTGATGGCCATTCTGGAATCCAAGCTGCAGTGTATGCATCCCAGCATTTACTCACTAAAATCAGGTCATTTGAAGAAAGCAGCTTAATTCAAGCCTTTCTTGAAACTGACCGCTGCTTTTGTGAGTCAGCGCAAACTTTAAAAGATGGAACAACCGGATCGATTCCTTCCTTAGAGAAATTTGATCGATATTTTTTGATAGCGGTGCATTTTTATCAAAAAAACCTTTTTTAAAAATAAAAAAAAAATTAACAAATTTTTATCATGCACACGACAAAAAATACGCAATTCCACGAACAACCGCAACTGTAGCTATGATAGAAAATGGCAAAATTTTAGTAGGCAATGTAGGAGACTCAAGGGCAATTTTGATTAGTGAAAGCTCTTGTGAATTGCTGACTAAAGACCATGTAGCAAGTGATCTAGAAGAACAAGCCAGGATTGAAAAAGCCGGAGGCTATGTGATACCTGTAGGAAGGATCCCCAGAGTACAAGGAACCATGGCTATAACAAGAAGCATTGGGGACCAAGGGTTTAAGCAATTCTTGATAGCAGAACCACATGTGATTCAAAGAGAAATAAAGGAAAGCGACTTGTTTTTGGTATTGGCAAGCGATGGGATTTTTAACAACTGGGATATAGATGGGCTTGGAAATTTCTTGAGGGAAAGAAAAGATGTAAAAATTGAGCTACTAGCAGAAGCTGTAGCAGAATTCGCAATAAGCAGTGGGAGTAGAGACAATGTCACAGCCATTATCATATTCCCTTAAAATTAAAGCTATTTATTACAATTTTTTTATGAAAAAATTTAAAAATTCAGTATAATTATATATAGATCTTCAATATTTTAAAAATCCAAGATTAAAGGCAAGGTTACTTGATATTGATATGGAGTCTGATGAAGAAGACACCACAATGAACATAGAAACAACCCCCAAATTTGTCTCAAAAAAATTCATGTTTTAATGCATATAATCTTATAAAATCCTTTTTGTTTAGTAAATGGAAATGGCTGAGAACAAATGAATAGAAATTGCTGTAAAAACTGCAGAGCTAGAGAAATGGAGAATTGAGAAAGATGTAAAAGTGCTTTCAAAAAGTCTGGAGTTTTTAAAATCAAGGTATTATAGGCTACAAATGTGCCACAATCCAATAAGAAAACCAATATTGCTGGCGGAAATTGAGAGTGGAATAGAAGAATATAATGGGGAAGTATAAACTTGAGGGATTAGGATTATTAAAAGTCAGGTGCTAACTATTTTGGTGACGCAGTCACCAAAGTACTTCCGTACGGGAAGTTCTACCGCTTTCGACTCCAGCCCAGAGGGTCTTTTAAGGTGGATGCTTGATCAAGCACAGATGCCAACCCCCCACGCCCCAATGCATGGATCCCACCCCCTATGTTAATAGATCCCACCCCCCCACCCCCTCTATCATATAGGTAAACATATAAGTATAAAATCTTACAAATAAGACATACAATAAAAATTTTAGTTAATTCATAAATGGATTCATAAATAGATTCATAAATAAATATTAATGATCATAAGTATATTTAGCATAGACTGATATAGCCAATATATTAGTAATACATTTAAAATAAAATAATTGCAAAAAACTTGTTACATAGAAAGGAATCAATAAATGACTCAAAAAAAATATTTTGATATCTCTATAAAGTCTTTTACTCCCCCCATTTAATAACGAACACTTTTTTAGTTCGTTATTAAATGGGTCTAACTTATAAAATTCTTGGGAAAAAAAATATATAAAATTTATATTAAATATCTATGATTTTTTATATAAAAATTTCAATAAAAGGGTTAATAATAAAAAAGTCAAATGATGGCAACATAAAGAGAAAGCGCCTAAATTCATGCGAAAAAAATAACTATTGCTAACTCCTCCCCTCCGTGAGCGAACAAAACCATTAGAAAAGTCCCTCACTCTTCGTGAGCAAACAAAAATTTTTTTAATAGAAAAATTTTTTATGGAAAAAAGTTTGATATATAAGCGATAATTATTTATAATGAAATCTCTGCCTAATTCTTTTTAATTTTAAACAAATTGCGTTTTAAAACATAAATTTTACAAATTCAATTAATATTTGCTTTCCAATTTTTGCGAATTAGGATTTTTTTAAATTTCGTAAAAAATAATATTTCTATAAATTTATATATAAATTTAAAAAAAAATAATCTCCTTCGTGAGCAAACGATATTTTTTTGTTCACTTACGGAGGGGGGGAGTAAAGCACCATCTTAAGATTAAGCCACTATTAGCTCTTATTTATTACTCTTTGCTTGATTATGCTTGTCTTTATCTTACTCTAACTACTTAAAATTAGTAAACTGTAAAGACTAAATTAGCCTATATAAATTATATAGTAAATTTTGTTAGGTATTAAATGGGCCTAAGGAAAAATTTTTAGGAAAAAAAATGACTGTTTTGTTCGTTATTAAATGGCGGGGGGAGCTAGCCTGCATTCTTTGGAAATTTTTGACCTTTATATGATTTAAAACAGGAGGTATGTGCTTGAAGGTTCATTGAAAATATGCTTCCTCGTTAGCAAACTGTATCCGATTTTTTTTATCATCCCTATGACTTTGAATTTTTTTATGCTGTGAGCAATTAATACGTTTTATTTGCCTTTAATACAGTTTACATTATATAGGGGGGGGTGGGGGTGGGGGTGGCATCTATTAATGGAATGGGGGTGTGGGTGGGATCCATAGATGCAAGGGGGGTGGGGGTGTGATCCATACATACTATCTGAGGGGGTGGGGGTGTGATCCATACAGGGGGTGGGGGGTGTGATCCATACAGGGGTGGGGGTGTGATGTATACATCCAAAACTGGGGGGGGGTGGGGGTTGGGGGGTTGGCATCTGTGCTTGACCAGATGCTCTTCCAGTTCCTTCTGTCTCCTCATGTCTTGAAGCTTCAATCTTGAGTGAATGTTTTATGGATTTCTACGACCCTGCTGCGACGATTGGAGTAGTTTCATCTCATGGATCCTTGGAGTCTATTGGGTGCCGAAATGCATTCCTTCGCTAGCTACAGGAAAAAGCCTGATCTCCTTTGGCCTGGGCTGAAACCCTCAGTTTCTCGTAGACATGCTGCCATTTTAATGTATATGAATAAACTTGAGGAATATTTATAATAATTTAAGGATTATTACGTTAATATAAAAAATTAGATATTGGTACTAAATTATGATGGAGAGTATATAATAAAAGATTTAGTAGCAGAAAAATTATATTGCAGCCAGCATAAGCAAAATGCTGAAGAAATCAAAAAAGAATTAGAAGGTTCATATCGTATTGATGCAAAACTATTAGAAAAAATCGAAAATTTAATAGAAAGTTATAGAAGAGTTTTAGATGAAATTGAGAATTTTAAAGAAAAAAGTGAAGATTTAAACCAAAAATTAGAATCACATACAGAGCCTCCAACAGAATCTCCCAATTTTGATACAAATTTGCTTTACTATTTCAAAAAGAACAGCAAAATCATAAATAAAATCGACCTCACAACCCAAGAAAAAAAAGAAATTCCTCTAAATCTCCCAGAAGCTATAAACTCAACAATCTCTATATGCCATATCCCTGGAAATAAATTATTTTGTTTTGGCAATGCAGGGCGCAAATCCAGATACCCCAAAATTACTTTTTCCCTTGATTCTTCTTTAGCCATTAAGTATCATGCGAATATATACAAATCGATTTCTGCGTCAGGCTCAATATATCATGAAAATCACGTCTATTCATTTGGTGGTTCAAAATATGGAGAAAGGTCGGTTGAAAACTCTTATAAATATTCTATAAAGGACGATGTCTGGTTTAAATTGCCTCCAATGCCTCAGCCAGCTGACCATTGTTCATGCACTGCTATGGAGCAATATATTTTAGTTATAGGGAATGACCAAATACACCCTTTTTTGTATGACACTGAGCTGAAGTCTTTTTCGACGCTGGATTTAGATTTAAATACAGATTTTGTATATGTAACGTTTACTAGAGGGAGAAAAAGCTATATTTTAGAAAGTGATGGGCCAGCTTATGAAAGCGGGATAATGGATATTTTTTCGTGGAATAAGATGAATATCTCTGTAAATTTCAAGGATAATGCTATATCATATATAGCGTTTTCAGGGGATATAATTAGTTTTGCGACTGAATGCAAGTTTATTTATAGATTTAACTTACTCCCTCTATAGGAGCTATATTAAATTTATTTCAGATATCCAAAATATTTCAAAAAAAATTCAATATGTAATATTTGCTAAAAATTTGTTAATTATAAATAGAAAAAATATTTACTCTTATAAATTGGAGAGTTAGGCGAAAGAAAATTCTGAGAAATTAAAACTAAAAACATTTAGGAAAACTCTAAATTCTATATTTATAAGAAATTATATATCTATTTTTAAAATAACTTTAACATCATTTCTTTGAATTCCCTCAAATCGATTTCTCCATCTCCGTTTTGATCAACTTGCCCTACCAGATCTCTCCAAACTTCATCATTAGAAATCACTTCTCTTCCAAGGATATTCCTAATTTCTTTTGCAGAAATTTTTCCACTATTATCATAATCAAACAGTCTGAACGCATTTTCTAAATTTTGCTTAGAAAGCAGAGATTCTCTTTTTGCTGAAGCCATAATGAACTCTGAGTAATCAATAAACCCATTCCCATCTACATCGACTTCTTTCATTATCCTTTCTACTTCTTCCTCAGCTTGGTTTAGTCCCATAGTACTTTGATATTGTGCTAATAGCTCATCTTTGCTAAGTTTTCCGTCACCATTTGCATCAAGAGCTCTAAAAGCTTGAGAAAGCTGGGAAACTTCATTTTTATTCATAAGCTGTGTAGCTATAAATGTCATGACTGCATGCTGGAGCTTTTTTTCTGCTCGAAATGAGGTTAAGTTTTCTAAGGCTTCTGCTGTCAAAATTGATGCTTGGTTGGTGGCTTCTGGCATTAAAATCAGCCAGTTGCTTTCTAAGCATTGGGATGCTGAAGGTCTGTCTTGAGGTTTCATATTTAGCATTGATTTTATGAGGTTTTTTGCATTTACTGAGACACGGTCCCAGGTGGCACCTTTCATTTGGTATACCCCTTTTTCTACCCTTGATAGGATTTCTGAATCTGTTTCTCCATAAAACGGGGGTTTCCCACTGAGTAAAATATATAAAATTACCCCGCAGCTTCATATATCGCATTTTTCGTCATAATTTTTTTTTAATACTTCAGGTGCGATGTAATATGAAGTTCCATATCTATGCGTTAATCTTTTAGAATGGTCAATTACTATTGAAGTTCCGAAATCGATGACTTTTAAAGTTGCAGAAGAGTCTTGTCGGTCTAATAATAGATTTTCAGGTTTTAGGTCTCTGTGTACAATCCCATTTGAATGACAATAATTGACTGCATTTTTATTTATAGCACTTTTCCCTTGAATAGCCCGATAACGGGCTGGCTTCATCCCGTTATCGGGGGCTATTCAAGGGAAAGAGCTATATTTTTTTCTTAAAAATATTTTTTATAAAAAAAATATTGAAAAATTATTGAGAATTGACTGCACTTAAAATTTGTTTGAAAAAATGTGCAGCAACTGGCTCGGATAAGTTTTTACTTGACACTATATAATCGAATAATTCTCCTCCTTTTACAAGCTCTGTAACTAAATGAAAATGCAGCTGGTCTTCATAGAATTCATAAAGTCTAACAATGTTAGGATGATCGGCTGTTTTTAGGACTTCTACTTCAGCGAAGAATTTGTCTTTTACAAGCTGGTCTTCAGAGATGCTGGATTTTTTTGCTTTTTATTGCTAAAATGGGCGAAAAAAAAAATAATTTTTCTATTTAAACTCATATATAATTGTAATGGTATAATAGTTTTTATTGCTCTTTGCTGTCCTGATATTTTATGTGTCCCCACTCTTACAGACCCAAATGCCCCTGATCCCAGCTTAGGTCCCATTGTATAGTCTTTTAAAATATCTGTTTCCCTATGGACGACAAATTGTCTGGGTTGGATTTGAAGGTCCTCAGTACTTGAAACAACTTTTGACTCTTGCGATTTATTTGCTTTAGTAACTGTCCCTTTTCGTGCTGAATTCGAGATGCAACCCATATTTTTGTGAATTTTTGCTAATTATAAATAATTGGTTATTTTGAATTCTTTTAATATTTACCAAGTTTTGAAAATCGCAGATTATAATTAATTATGTTTTTGCAATATTTACCTTTTATAATCATTTTTATTTAAATAAATAGCAAAAATCTAGCACATTTATTTACAACGACATTTAAATTACCATTTGAAATAATTTTTAATTATTTTTTACCTTGCTATAATATTTTGCCTTATTCGTTTACTTTATTTAGCAGATTGCTAAATTTGGCTTTTAATTCCATCAAATTTGTGCTTAGCTGTATAGGCTGGTTTGAAGCTGACAGGCCATATCGTTGTTTCATCATAGATAAGCGATTTTGAAATTCTTGAATATTTAAGCTTTCATCTGTATGTGACTCTTTTTCTGCATTTTTATTTTCCCTCATCTTGTGTAGATCTTCTGTAATTTTATTATAAAGTTCTGGTGAAGCTTGGCTTAAAAAAGCTGCTAAATCTGCTTTTGGATTTTTTTCGACATGCTCAAAAAGTTCTTTTATTGCTAAATCATAGTCAAGCTCTTCATTTAAGCGAGAAAAGATTGAGCTTAATATAGGGTCTTGTGGAGTCTTCAATATCTGTGGTGAATTTATCATAATATTTGTGGTATTTTTTGCAAGAAATGAATTAATTCACTTTTCGATATCTTTATCAAGCTTTTCATGGCTTCTTATAGCAGAATATGACTCCCAAATTGCTTCTCCTTTCAAATTAACTAGCTCATTAATTATCGTTTTGATAGCTTTTATCACCATTTCATCATTTTTAGCTGCAGCTTTTGTTTTATTTTCAGTTAAATACTCATGCATCACAATTAAGACCTTATCAATTTCTAATTGAGAAACAAAACTGTTTACCCCCCCCCCCTCCGTGAGCGAACAAAAAAATTTTGTTCACTCACAGAGGGGGGTTAATTTTTTCTTTTTTAAAAAAATTTATATTAATTTTATAAAAATTATTTTTTTTCGAAATTTAAAAAAATCCTAATTCGCAAAAATTGGAAAGCAAATATTAATTTAATTTATAAAATTTTATGTTTTAAAAAGCAATTCGTTTAAAATTAAACAGAATTAGCTCTAGATTTCATTATAATAATTATCATTTATATATCAAAAAATTTTTGTTCACTCACGGAGGTGGGTTTTTTGGGCAAAAAATAGCAATTTTTCTAATGGTTTTTTGTTCACTCACGGGGGGGGAGTTAAAATTTTGCCTAATTTTAATAAGCACCTAATTATAATCCCAGGAATTTTTGGTAATTTTGCATCATTTATATATTTCGTTAAAAGCTTTATCAGTACCACAAACACTATTGTCGGCTTACAATATTCTAGCACCTTCAGCATAGCTCCATTTAGAGTTTTCATCATAATTTCCCCTTCCCGGTTATCCCCTATTTTTTCAAGATTTTCAATGAGCAGCCTTTTAAATATTTGTTCAGTCACCACAAATAAAAAATTTTCACTGATTTCTTGCATTATTAATTTTGTGCAAAAAACCTTATGAACAACGTTTAAAAAATATTTAGCAAAGCGTAAAGGAACGTCTTCTATTGGCCTTTCAAATGTGTTGATAAAGACTTTGGAAATTGCGTCTATTAATAAGTCAGCTTTTTGTTGGAATTCTTCTTTATAGGTTTCCAGGTTATTTAAAATCATATCGTTTATCCCGACAAGAGCATCGACACGTGAAGACATGTTTCCGCTGATGAGAGTTTTGATGTATTTATCAAGAATTGTGCATGAATTTTGAGGGTCAGAGAGAAGACTTTCATCATTTTTGATGGATAGTGGAGGGGTTGATAAGGCTTCAAACTCAGAAAATCGATTTTCGTCTCATTTTATGCGGATTGTTTCTTGCTTAGGAGGGTAGTTTTTAGCTATATTTGTAATGGAAGAAAAAGCTGTGGAGGGCTGAGGAGCTTGAAGCATTGGATACTGAGTAGGGGCTTCAATAGAGATTTGGCTTGAATTTTGACGAGAAATTAGTTCTGAGTTTTGAGGTAAAATTTGGCTTGAATTTTGACGAGAAATTTGTTCTGAGTTTTGACGTAAAATTTGGCTTGAATTTTGACGTAAAATTTGGCTTGAATTTTGACGTAAAATTTGTTCTGAGTTTTGACGTAAAATTTGTTCTGAGTTTTGACGAGAAATTTGCTCTGAGTTTTGACGAGAAATTTGCTCTGAGTTTTGACGAGAAATTTGCTCTGAATTTTGACGAGAAATTTGCTCTGAATTTTGACGAGAAATTTGCTCCGAAAAATTGTCTAGAATCTGTTCAGGTTGGCTAGAAATTTCTATATTGGGAGCTTGATAAGATTGGCTAGGATTTGAAAATTCTAATAAGTTTGGAATTTGAATTGAAGCATCAGTTAAGCCCGGAAGCGGAACTAAAGCATCTTCTAAACCCTGAATCTGCATTAAAGATTCTGTTATGCTTGGTATTTGAATTAAAGAATCTTCTGAGCTTTGAATCGACGTTTCTGTTAGCGAATTGCTTATAACTAAGCTTGGAACCTCCACATTTTCTGCAGAAAAACTCTTCAGTAGCCCTTCATTTTCGATTTTATCAATATTTAGTGCATACATGCTCCTCCTTTTATGAGCTAAATCTCTCGGTGATTTTACAGGAATTTGCACTTCTTCACTTTGTGACCGCAAAAAACTGTCTTCTTCAGTGTCAACAATAGCCTCATTTAAATCCTCGAATTTAAATATTTTATTTCCTCTTGGTGTTACTACTTTACTATGTTCTTCATCTTTTTTTCTTAATTGTGGCTTTAATGCATTTATGCTAGAAATTGAAGGCCCTGAAAGAGACTTAAACCTTTGCTCTAGTAAGTCTTTAGCTTTATCAGGGATTTCTCCTATTAAGGATCATATCTTGTCACCGATAGTTTTATAGCATTCGCCTATAGTCCCAACAGCAGAATTTCTGACGTTGTTGTCAGGGCTGTTAACAGATTTAGCAATTGTTTTTATATCTCGAGGCTGCACAAGCCCTGAGCCGAATTCTTGAACTAGGCTAGTTAATTCGTCTAAGCACTCAACCTTGCTTCTAGCGTTTTTGGAGGATAAGCTTTGCAAGACTATTAAAAATACTTTTTCTGGAGGGTGGATTTTGGCTGTGCTATGTATAATATTATTTTATTTTTTTTTAAAAAAACATTTATTTATTTAAAATTTATTTTTATTTTAATTCTGATAATATTCCTTATCATCTGCCTAAAAATTGCATTATTATGTCCTGATTTTTCGCAAAAAATGGGAAGAAAGAGATATGCTTCTCCTTCACTTAGCGAATAATTATCCTCTTGTAGAGCATTAATCAGCTGTGCCGCGAACTCAAATAAAGCTTTATAAATTTGTGGATTGTTCCCTTCTGACAGCTTAAGCCAAATAAATTTAAAAATTAAATCAATCACGTCTTCCATTTCTCTTCTTTGAGAATTCAATAAATTTGACAAAATTTGGATCGATTCAATCTGTTTTTTGAAGTCTGAAGAGTATAGTAAATTGAATAAATCATTAGAAAATGCTGCCTTCATGTCTGCTTTTAGCTTTTCAACATAATCCTGTCTGAGCTCCTCTACATTTCATTTGTGTTTGGCTTCAAAATCCAGTCTTTTTTCTTTTCCTGGCATAGGAGTTATAGAAAATTCTAGTGACGCTTGTTCTTGAAGTTTTGCTACAGGTTTTGGGGGTTTTAATCCATCATTTTCATTATTTTTTTTCCTTGCTGAACTGCCCACTGAGCCTTTAGAATTTGATCTCGACGTGTTTTTTGCACTTGCTGGTGGCCTCCTTGGCAAATCTTCACTATTAATTTCTGCATTCCCTCTATATTTATCAAAAATCCCTGTAAGTGTTTTCATAACCGCTGGTTTTATATCAGTCAAAAGTGGCTGAAAAATCTCAAAACCTACCAAATTCACAATTTCCCCAAATAAAATTTCTGCTGAATTTCGGATATTTGCACTTCTGTCTTGTAAACAAGCCAAAATACTAGGTGCCATCTGCTTTATGTCGCATTTTGGGAAATTTTCTTTGTGAGCTAAAAGCCAATTTAGCAGCTCCGCACGAAGATCTGGGTTTTCTTGCAATAAAGGCTGAGAACAGTGAATTATTATAGATTCAGGGCCAGCTTCTGATGACCATTTGTTAATAGCTGCAAGGGCATCTTGTCTTAGCAAAGAATTGCTATCAGATAAATTTGTAAGGATTCCTGGGATTATTGATTTTGATATAGAGGCTGACTCAAGGCCAAGCGCTTGGGCAAGTTTGCATGATAATCCTAAAGCTTGCCTTACAAGTGACTTATTAGGGTCAGCTAGCCTTGCTTTTAAAGCTTTAATAAATAGCTCAAGCCCCGTCGGCAGAATTCTCGTCCCACTTTGGTCAATAATGGCTTCTACTGCTTCTAGCCCTTCTTTTCTTATCCTTCAATTAGAATCTCCTAGCTTTTTAAGTATCCCAGCGTTTATTTGTGAACTTATATTTGCTCGAGGAAACTGTGAATCCAGCATTTTATTGGGGTCAATTTTAATTTCTTCTTCTCCTCTGGCTGTTTTATAGCTTAAATTTACAATTATTTCTGTTTTTGAAAATTCTTCTTGTAAAACCTTTAAAGATTGCTCTTTAATATCAGAAATCAATGGAATAATTTTTTCGCCTATATGTGAATATATAGTTACCATAAGGCTTTGTGCTGATTTTTTGATTGCTGCATTAGTTTGCGAGACCCCTGATTTTGCATAATCAACGACTTCTTTAATATTTACCATATGAATCCCATATTCACTAATAATTTTACTTATAATTGAGTAGCATTCTGAGACGACTTTTGGCTTATTGCAGTCATTTGTATTTTTTATGATAGAAGCCACCACAAATCTTGGTCCTACGCACTCACAAATACTAGAAATGCAAGCATTATATGGCTTAATCAGATTTATATCGGAGAGTTTATCAAGGGCTTGAGGTAAAAATGCGATAGAGACTGCGCGTTTTGAAAGATTGCAATTATTGGCTATATAAGAAATGAGGTCAAATGCAGCTTTATTGACGTTGAAATTGTTTTCTTTTCAGTCTTTTACAGTGTTTTTTATGAATTGTAATAAGCCTTCACTGTTTTCTGAAGCTTCTTGTTGATTATTTGTCACCCATTCTAGCAGCTGCTGGAGACCTGCTTGTTTTTCTTTTCAATTGGCACCATTTTTGAGTTTTTCGAAGGTTTCTGATGGGATTAAAGGTAAAATTAAATTATCGACATCTTCTGAGGATAAAGAAGACTGTATATCTTCATCTGGCTGTGTAGACGTTGGACTTTTTGGTGGCAAAGATGGCTTCTTTGGATTTGACGGCGGTTTAGCCTGCTGCGGAGCTGAGGTCACGCTTTTTCTATGTCTTCTTTGCAGTTCTGGCTTTTCTTCTTCTACATTAATTGTCCTATCTACACTTTTGTCTCTTTTTGTGACCAAAACTCCTCCAGCTTCTTCAATTTTTTTCATTTTCGCTGGCGGGAGGTCTTTTAATATTGGATTAATAATTTCCGGGCATTTATTCAATAAGCAAGACAGCATTTTAAAGCAGGAATTTCTGACGTCAGGTTTGCTATCATCTGTATTTTTTTTTAAAATTAGGGCGATAGATTTGGCGACTTTGCTTACTTGATCATCACTCATAGTAGTAAAAACACGCTCGAGTCATTGGGAAGTGTTTATTTTTACAGATGGAGTTTTGTCTTCTAAGGCATCTTTTATGTCTTCTATGGCTTGCTCAATATTTAAGCTATACATAAGGTTGTCAAGAGCTGTGTGGGCTTCTTGGAGGACGAGACTTTTGTTGTCTTTGAATTTTTGTAAAAATGTTGACAAAAATTGCTTAGCATTTTAAAAAAAAAATTAAAAAAATAGATTTTTTTTTTTGTAGACTCAAAAGAGTTAGCATAAAATATCGAAAAATTTTCTTTGGCCTTTCGCAAGAAGTCCTATCATTTTCATAGCCTGCATCATAACATTGACATTTGCATCGTTAACTAGCCTTTTTGCTAGAGTCGTCAAAGCAATTGGATTTTTTTCAGCCAGTTTTGGATAGTTTAACTCTGCATTCAATTCTTCTAATGCTGCCTTCTTTTCAACCCACTTTTCCATAGCAAGGACTCCATCTGCCCATCTTTCATTATATTTATTAAAAATATCTTTGGCGTCTGCCATATCATAAATATCAATTTCTGCCTTTTTTTGCCCTCCAGCTTTATTTTCTTCTAATTTTGGCTCCTGCCCTATAATTCATCTGGTAGCTGTTGGGCGTTCTGTTATTTCTTCAAATACTCTTTTTAGCTCATCTTGCTGGGCTTTTTTTAATTTCTCGATGCTGGGGAAAATTAAATCCCTTACCCATTTATAAGTTTCTTTATAAAAATTCAAGGCTTCCCCTCTTACTTGGGCATTGCTCACTCCTGCGAATTTTTCCATAATAGAAACAAAGGGTTTAAAGGACAAGGCTTTGGCTCCATAGGCGCCTATTATTGAATTTACACTTGAAATAGCGGCTGCTTGGATTTTTATGCATTTTTATAGAGGCAAAAATCGTTATTTTGAAATAATAATTTTTATATTCTTTTTATAGGAAAATTTTATTATGAAGTTTGTCTATAAATTATTGTATAAATTTTTATTATTCAAAGTTGCAGTCAAACCATTAATAAAAGGTTCTTGAGTTGTTCTATGAATTCCATAAAAATCAAGTAAAATATTAGCAGACTTTTGCTTTATGTTTGCTTTTGTATTAGAAATACCTTTTTCAATAAGCGCTTTTGTGAGTCCTTCGCTGCATGTTACTATCATATCTGGTTGCTTTTCAATGTAAATGCTAAGCCCTCTTTGTCTAGTGAGCAAGTTTTTTTTTTAATTTATTTAGCTGAAAAATTCTATGAAATTTTTTTTGATTTAATTAAAATATTTGAGTATTTTAATTTATAAAATTTATTTTTTAAGAACCAATCAATCAAAGATTTAATAATAATCGCCTGGAAACTCATTATTATCGTAATTAATTACATCAAAATATTCCTACAAAAAAATATTAATACAAAAAAACATTTTGGTAATCAAAGAAGGGAGTAAGAATTTCAAGACCATTTTCTTGTGCTCCTGCATGTGAGTCAGAAATGAACTTAATAATCAGATCTAAATAAGTATCAAATGGTGGATTTGGCTCATTTCTTAATAATCCAGCTAATTCTTCAAGGGCTTTTACTCGAGTTTTCCAAGCTTTTGACTCAATTCGTGTTTCTAAAGGCCCTATTTCTTCAGCTTCTACTTCTCCAGGCTGCTCATCAGGAGGAAGATTATAATTTCCGGCCGAGCCTATCGGCTTCTCATCAGGATGGGAGCTTAATGGAGATTCATCTAAAGGAAGATTATATGATCCTCTCGAAATTAGAGGCTTTTCTCCAGTAGATAGTCTATTGGGAGTTCCTTCTTCAGGAATAGAAAGTTCATTTTGATCTAGTAAAGAAAATTCGTCTTGCTCTTGCATTTTAAATAGAGAAATTTATAAAAAAATGCATAAGAAAAAAATATTAAAAAAGATTTTGGTTTTGTCTGAAATTTATTAATTTCCTTATGTTTGAAGAGATTTATTGAAACTACATATAAGCCGTATAGTAGCCTAGTATTGAGAAAAATTATTTTTACGTTATGGAACCTATAAAATATGAATTAATTTACATAAAAACTGCTTAAATAAAGATTATTTATGAATTAATTAAATTTATACGTTTTTATCAAATAAATGTCATCTCGTAAGGGAGGGAAAAAGGCTGCGGTCAACTTAAGAAAAATAACAGTTCTTGACCAAAATACCTTAAGAGCTCTAGCTGATGAGAGAGGTGGAGATCTTGAAGATTGTAATATAACTGAGCTTGATTTTTCAGGAGAGCATTTTGAGCTAGAAAGTTTAGATGGGCTTCGCTACATTGCTTGGAGAAACTTAAAAGCTTTAGATGTGTCTAATAACACTCTAGACAAGCTTGATAAAGTCCTTAATAAATTCTCAACCTTCCAGACGATTATTGCTATGAACAATTTATAGCATTTTTTATTAAATTATCATTTTATGTAAAATAAATATTAAAATAATATTCATTGCTATTAACTCCTCCCTCCACTAGCGAACAAAACCATTGGAAAAATCGCTATTTTTGCTCAAAAGCTTACCCTCCGTTAGCGAGCAAAAGATTTTTATAAAAAAATATTTTGATATATAAGTGATAATTAGTAAACGAAATCTCTAGCTATTTCTGTTAAATATTTTATAGATTGCATTTTAAAACATAATTTTACAAATTAAATTAACATTTACTTTCCAATTTTTGCAAATTAGGATTTTTTTAAATTTCGAAAAAAAATTTATTATATCGTTAGTTGCTTGTTTAAAAACAATGCAACTTACATGTGGAATCAAAAGGGCTTCACATGTGGAATCATCTTTTCACACGTCAAAAAGATTCCAAATGCAAGTTGCATTGTTTAAAAGCAAGCAACTAACGATAAAGTTTATATATGCAAATTTTAAAAAAATACCCAGTTTTCGAACAAAAAATTTTGTTCGCTCACACGGAGGGGGGAGTAAGGATAATTACTGTTGTCGAGCTATCACTTCCTAATTTAACTGAGATTGATTTATCTAGAAATTATTTGCGGCAAATTCCTGATCTATCAGGCGTTCCAAAGCTTGAAAGGCTTTTGCTAGGTTTTAATGAAATAGGAGGAGGCTATGATGAATTATCAAATGTTCCTAATTTAATTTTGCTAGATTTATCCAACAACAGATTAAATTTTTCCCCTGTCGAACTGAACAGATTTATTGAAACTTTAAAAATCCATATTTTTTTTTAAAAAATTCAAATAAATAATTATATAGCCCAGGAGCGATTATTGATCGCCCTGGGCTATAATAAGGCTCAGAAACTCCTGAGTTGGTTTTGCAATTCAAGTTGACAAACCAACTCGGGGGTTTCTGAGCCTTATTATAGCCCAAGGCGATCAATAATCGCTCCTGGGCTATATTTATAAAAAAATAACCGAGAAACTTTAACAGGACTTAAAAAAATTGATAACCTTAGGGTATTTAATAATCCCTTTTGTGACAATATTCAGCAATACGAATACTATTTTATCTACCGAATAGACTCCCTCACAACCCTAAATAACGAGCTCGTAACCAAAGACCTAAAAGCAGAAGTCAAAAGAACCAAGCTAAAACCTTTAGAGCAAGTATTCAAAGACGCCACAGCGGCTCGACAAGCAATCCAAGGCGTCATCGAGCTGGAAACCGAAAAAATGCCAAAACTCGAAGATTTGCATTCAAATTTACAAAGAGCCAAAAACGACCCCACACAATGCTTGATTTTATTTAAAAAAGTATCAAAAGACGTAGAAAATATAGTAAATAGGCCTGCTGAGAGGTTTATGATTTTTAAAGCAAACACTCCTGAAGAACAAAGCGCAATTCGTATGCACATTGACTCGTTTTTACAAGAAGCTGTTATGATGATTGAAGATATGCCGACTATGAGAACCCCAGTTTTAAGGCTTTTAGCGTCTCTGACTGAAGTAGAGGAAGGAAATTTCGGTCAAAAATGCTTAAAAATTCTACAAGACTTATTTGTGTCTGGTCCAGAAATCGCCCAAGAAATTGAAGAAATTTTGAGAAAAATCATTATCCCAAAAATCAGGCAAAGTAAGGTAGAAAATATATAAAATTATAATAAATATAGAAAAATCAATATAAAAGTAGGATTTTCAGGACTATTTTTAAGCAGAATATTTCGAAAGATTTGCTGAAAGGTGTGATTAGGCTATCAAAAGACCAAGATATTTCTGATATGTTAAGAGACTTGATTGATACCATGGCAGAATGAATGAGAACAGAAGTAAACGCAGAAGAGCTGAGGATTGTAGAAGGCGAGCTTGAAGAAGACTTAAAGCGCGACATCCACAGCTACGCTATAGCACTGGTAGCAGCCACTGCCAATGAAAGCAGAAATGCAGAAGCTATGACTGAAAAAAGAATCGCAGACTACACCGCAAGACTTCTTAAAGTAATGGAAAGAGAAACAGAGCCCAGCAATATGTTAGCTAAACAAGAAGGCATGAAAGAGACCATCAGCAGGCTAAAACATGTCTTAAAAGTCATCGAAAATAGCTCATGACATTTGATCGTGGCTTTTTGCTAGACATTTCCTCAGGAATTTGTTCAAAATTTTTTAAAGCGAAAACCCAAATGTCTCACAAGGGAAAAAAAAATTTAGACCAAATGTCTAGCAAAAAACCAAAAGGAAAAAAGCATGTACCCGTCGAAAATATGTCAAAAAACTACCCCAAATCTGCTGCTATTTTTGTAGCCGACGAAATTCACCAAAAATTATTAAGAGACATATGGGAATATTCAATGTTCTACAAAGCAAATGGTTACAACTTTGGAGGCGGCTCTGGGGCAGTGTCAGAAACTGCCGAAATGATGTACTATAAGCTGCTTACTTCTTATATAAACGCTTTAGCCGGCCTTTGTAAGGAAAGTAAATGTGTGGATTATATCAATACTTTAGCAAAAGAAATTCGTGACGAAATTCTTAACGTGGCCGTCATGCCAAAAACAGACCCAGTCCTTCTGACAGCCATTTTAGAACTAATTTATGCAATAATTTCCTCTCCAACTATGATAAAAAACGAAAACGCCAACACTTTTAAGCATTTTTCTAATTCTCTACAAAAACTTCTACCATTTTTGTCATATATGGGAGGGAAAAAATACAAAGATATTTGCATTTTAGGAGAAAAATACGCTAAAGGGACTATGGTTGGGCAGGATCCTATTATAATTTCTTCCCTTACCAATAAGTATTTACATAACTTATTTATTTCGATTATTCAGCTTATACAGTTTTTCTGCTATAAAAGTATAGACGAGTCCATACCAAAAGAAATAAAAACGTGCTGCGCGTCAGTTTCGTCAGCTTTAAATGCAAACAACAGAGAAGAATATCTTTTTAACTGTTTAGAAATCCCTAATGACAGCGTAAAAATCGCGGTTGTGCTTTGTTTGGACAAAATTCCTATATCAGAAATTGATATAGAGGAAACTGGGCATATTGTAAGGGTGCTAGGGTCTTATAAAAATTTAGGTGTAGGGAGGACTGAAGAAGTTTTGAGCCAAATTTTTTTACTTTTAGCGAAAATTGTAGATGATGAAGAAAAAGGGGAGGATTTTAGAAGCAAGTTTGGAGAAATGGTCGTCACTGAGTGTTTATTCTGGCTAAAATAAATATAAATAGTACAGTTTTATTTAATTTTATATGGAAAATCATAGAAAAAGGGATAAGTATTTTACATCGAAACCAAATCAGAGATTTGAGAAGCCAAGAAGACGAAAATTTAGAAAAAATGTATTTGACGTCCACAGCTGTCCTTTTTTTAAAAAAATGCTCAATGCACCAATCACTGCGGCCTTATTTAGAAAACTCAGTTGTGGAAGAAAAAATGAGGATGATTTTGAAAGCAGAAGAAATGTTTTCTACTGCCAAAGAAGCCCCTGTAGACATAGAAAGAACGTGGCTTGGGAGCAATGTTGAGCCTTTACTGCTAAATTGCGTAGGAAACAACCATTTATGGCCTTACTCAGAAGTATCTTTTAGAGTAATCCAAAGAATTGCAGACGTCCTTATAGGAGCTCCAGAAAAAGAGCTATTTAAATCTCAGGACACTGAAGAAAACAAACTAGAAGCCCTAGTAGATTACAATATAGAAGTTAATAAAGAAAGAATTAAAGAAGAATGCTCAGCCTGGGTCGTCTCAGAAGAAGCCAGTCTCGGGTTCAGCAAAGAACGCATCCACTTCCAGCACCAAAAATTCTGCCAAATCAAAGGAATTACCACCATTTTGACCTTTTTAATGGGAAAAAGCTCCCTAAACAGCTTAGAGCTTGAAAAAGAGCTGACTGCCGAATATGACCCTATATACGAGCAGCAGACCTTATTAAGCAATATTTCTAATAAATGTAGCGAGCTTACCATTGATTATGAAGAGCAGGTAAAAAGAGCTGACGAAGAAGAAAACCGACAAATGGGGATGGAGGACTTAAATAGGCCAGAAAAATTAGACGACACAGGACTGCTTATGAAAGCTATGGAGGAACAAGACATCGGCTCAGACGCCCACAGCTACGCGATTAGGAATAATGATTTTTTTATACAAAATTACAGGTGAATTAATGCTGAAAAATATATGTTGAGGTCCAGAATTTTGGCGGCTTTTTTAAGATGCATTTATGCTACTATTGAATTTGGGGATCTATCAATTAGACTGCATACGCTAGAACAAATAAAACACCCAGTGACACTTAGAAATATTACAAAATTATGCGCGACAACAGGCTGGAAATATTCTACTTTGGCAGCGAAATATTTAAGGTGTGTAAAACATATCATAAAATTGTCTCCAATTTCGAATTTTAGACCTAAAGAAGACGTGGTTTTGCTAGAAATAATTTCTCATGCGGTGAAAGATATATTGGTACTTATGGATATAAAAATTACTAATAGAGATAGGGAGCCGCTGTCTCCTGATGATTTTTTCTTATTGTCAGAATTAGCGTCACTGGGGTCAGGGATCTGTACAGCGATAGGCGCCTTTCAATGGTCTGATATTATTGATAGTGTTTATATAGAAAGAACGTCACAGATGATTAAAAGTGTCCAAGAGCAGGCTGAAGCGTATTTATTAGAACAGCTGATTCCTACAGATTCAGTAAGGTTTTATGTGGAAATGCTATTTTTAATAATGACGTCTAATGAAAGAATGGTACAAAGCTCGTATTCAAAGCCAGAAAAAGAAATGCTTTATACTGATATGGCAAAAGATTTCATTGGAAATATTATGGGGACCTATATAGCCATTAGTGAGGACTCGAAATACAGGGTGCTAGAATTTTGCAAAATTGGGGAAATTTTTGAAAAAAAAATATTTAATCCGACTTATTTGCAAGAAATTTTGAACAGGTCAAGCACGATTCTGTTTGGATCTGAGCTGGCAAAGCTAATGAAAAGAAAATATTTGGAATATAAGCTTGCAACGGAGCAGCTAGAGCGTGTAACAGCTGTTGTCTGGGCTGATATGGGTACCTATGGCTCAAACTCAATTAAAAAAATGCTGATTCTTGTCACAAGTACCTGCCTACATCTTCTTAACCCTTGCACACAGCCTCCTTGTCCTTTATGTGGTGAAGAAAGATTCTGCCCTGCTCCTCCTACTTATGAAGTCAATATACAGTTTAGCGAGATCACAAAAATCATTTACATTCCTCAATTTCCTCAATTTGTAGCTATAAGATATGGCTCAAAAATGCTTATGTTTATTACCAAATCTATATCAGGTGGGAAAACACTAGGAGAACTATTAAGTGACGTCAAAACTGAGCTATCAGATAATTATAAAAATAATAATTTTTTTTTATATGAAAAAAAAATTTATTTTAATTTAACCCTTGGAATTTTTTAACGACAGCCTTAGCTATCAAAATCTAGAGAAGAAGAAGAAGGTTACGCAGAAGATGAAAAAGAGCCAGAGTACCAAGAAGATAAGTGCTTTGTGGACTCTTTAGAACACTTTTTGTTTCAGCAGGATAAAGGAGATTTGAAACTTATGATGTTTGCGTCTTTTAATCCTAATAAACCTATACCCTTCCAAGGATTGAAAATTTTTGTGAATGGGACATTATTTGTGGTGACGGCAAAAAGCTTGCTGCTAGTTATGAATGTAAACTTCAAACATTGGGAGTTTTTTAATCCTGATAATATTAAGAAAGCTGACGATGAAGAGCTTGCAAATATCCCGAAAACTTTGGTGAAAAATGGGATGGCCTTCGAAATTTTTTTAAAAATTTATTATTTATCTTGGGGATTATTAAATAGACTAAAATTTTATATTAAAATAAAATAAAAATAGAATATAAATTTTAACACCAAAAAATGACCTATTCTCAATTGTAAAAGAGCTTGACCTCGGAAAATCCTCAAACATTGTCATTCCTAGGGCTGGCGAGTTTAAATTTATAATCGAAACTGACACCAAATACACCTTCCAGTTCGGGGATGATTTAGCATTAGAAATTTTCCAAAGGAATGTCATGAGAGATGTATATAAGCTGAAAGGAGGACAAAAAGTAAAAGAGCAGGACAAAAAAGGCAAGAAAAAGAAATAATAATTAAAGAATTTATGAATTTTTATTAGTCACAATAAAGCTACCTTTGCATTGCCGGTTTCTCAGACCAGCCGATTTTATTTGTCGGCAAAAATAGCCAGCACCTTTAGGAGTAAATACACGAGGCGTCGATATGCTTGTATTTCTTGTTGAATTTGGAGCAATTTCTAGGAATTTGTTTCTTGGGCTGGGTAAAGAAATTCTTGAAGGGATTTGCTCAATTTCTTTGGGTGTATGGTTATTCATAAACACTTTTAAGCTTCTAATGTCTTTTGTAGTAACCTCACTTCTGGTCATTACGAGGGAGACTTGGTTTTTTAAAGAGTTTAAGCTTTTTTCATGGGAATTTTGCTCAAGCTGGTTGAAAAATTGCTTGGTTTGCCTTGGAGATTTCCATGAATTAGTCCTAACTTTTTGGGCTGGAATAAAAAAAAATCAGTAGTAATTTACAAAAAAAAATTTAATAATTAATTAAAAAAAAAAAGAAGTAAGTTTAATCCTCCCTAGCAAGCTCGACGCTTTATTATTTGATATTTTTTGATGAATAAAACAATAATCACCATTCTCTATCGCATTCTTAGTACATGACGAGAAATTGCACAAATGCCTTTTCCCCAGCCAAAACTCTTTAAACGTCTGCAAATAAATTACCCCTTTTTTCTGATCCCCAGCCATCATTATAATCTGCTTCACATGTGGGTCATCAGCAACCATATCAAATTCTTTAAGTTCATGCAAAATTTCAAAATATCCCACTGATATATAATTTATCGACATCGTATTAAATGCTTCTTCAAATCCGCCAAATTTTTCTTTTAATTTTTCCTTAAAATAGCTCACATAATAATCTTCGTCGCTTTCTTCTTCTTTTGGGCTAAATAAATTAGTTTCTTTGGATAAATCACGATTTGGCTGACTTTTTGGAGAAAATAGCTCACCATCAGACTCTTTGCCGAGTATAGCCAGGCCATCGATCCTATCAGTCATTTCACTTTCGTCTTTAGAGTTTTGAGGGAAAAAGCCCTTTTAATCTTAAATTATTAGTAGGCCTAACTATTACTCAGCCATCAAGGACCCTTGAGGGTTCATCCGCTTTTCGACATCCCCTGTCAGACATTTGAATGGTTGAGATGGCTTGGCTGCTACTTCTCCTGACCTTGATTCCATGGAGATCTGAGTTTAGCGCTCTGAGAACTCCTCCTTCTTCGCTGCCCTAGTGTTGAGTGGCGGACTATGGACTTCTGCGGGCCCTGTATCGGGCGATTTGGATAGTAGCTTGATCCAGGGAGAAAACCCTGGAGTCTAGTAGGTGCTGGTGCTTGCTCTCTGCAGCCACAGGAGAAAGTTGTAATCCCTCAGCAGGCCGCAATCCCTGATATTACTATGAGATCCACCTTCGGTCCTGAATGGCGCTGCCAGGCTACTTCATTCCAACCACAGAAACTAAGACAAAACCTCCCTAAAATACATAAACCCATATCAGACCCGAATTTCGACTGGTTTTCTCTCTTAGCTATAAGATTTAGAAAATTTCAAGCGCGCTTAGGTCGCCATTTTTATAATAGCAAAAAGCCCTTCAAATTCATTTTTTTCGCTGAGGAAAGATCTTTTAGATATTTCTATTGGAAAATTTCGCTTTCTTTCATTAAATAGATTAGAATCATCAGATCTTTCATTGTCAGCTTCTTTGATAAGCGTTTGTAAGCTCTCTTTATAGCTGGAGTATTTTTCACTGACTTCATCCAACATCCAGTATTTCTGCCTTGATTTTTCCATATGATTTTTGAGTTTTTTGAAATCAATCACAAAATTCAGATTTTTATAGCTTTTCTTCCCTAATGTTTCAAAAAGACTGACCACGTGCTCGTTAGAATACGAAATCATAAGGAAATTTAGAAAAGAGCAAAGGTCTTTTGAGGTCAGTTCAGGGCCAGATTCTTTTTTTAATGCTTCAAGTCCTGCGTCTAAGTTCCCAAACAGCTTTTTAAAGTTTTTTCTGAGGTGGTCTAAAAATGACATAACTTCATGAGTTTTGCAGTGCCCGCTGACTCTTTTTGGTTTTTTACACCCCACAACTTTGCATTTTTCTTTCAGAGCTTTATGTAATGCTAGAGTATTTAGTTTTCTTTGAAAAGACATGATACCTTAAATTACTGTTTGATATATACTTTTCTTTATTAAATATTTCATTTTATTATTAATTACCTCTATTTAATTTTCTGGACTATAACGAAAAATTTTCTAATAAATATTTTTTTTTTTTTTTTTTATTATTTTTTAAACAATTTTTTTAAGTTTTTTCAAAATATCCAATAAATATTTAAAATATAGATCGCCTTCTAACCCTATTCTTAGCCCATATTTCTTTTCCACCTATTATAATTACTATGCTCCCACAAAATCCTCTTGAAAAGCGCTACTCATACTGGTTCACAGCTTCAGACTCCACCAAAACTGCTACTGATTATGGCGATTCCATCAAAATAATCGGCTCATTCGGGACTGTTGAAGAATTCTGGCAATATTATTCCCACCTCAAAAAGCCTGACGACGTCCCACTAAACACTGAATACCACGTCTTTCAAGAAGGAATCAGGCCTATGTGGGAAGATGAAGCCAACAAGAAAGGAGCCAGGTGGATCTTGAGAATCAAAAAAGGCGCTGCGTCCTTGTTTTGGGAAGAATTATTGATCACGATGATCGGGGAACAATTTGACGTGGCTGACGAGATCTGCGGAGTCGCTGTTTCTGTGAGGGGAAATGAGGACATTTTTTCAGTGTGGATTAGGAGTGGCCAAGACTTGTCAGTCAAAAATTCAGTAAAGGAGACGCTGAAGAGGATTTGGAAACTTAATGACAATGTGTATTTAGAGTATAAGGAACACCCAACTGCGCAGAGGACTCATCCAAGACATAAGCACAATTATTAAAGCTTTTCGGGTAATTGAGATAAGCTTCTTTTATGTTTTAAAATAGTTAGATTGAAAGCAATGGATATTTAAATTGATGAAGTTTGGGTAATAATTATTAAAATTAGTATTAGAGCTTTGAAAGGAATTTTGGAATCATATTGTCAATAATCTTCCATAATTAATTGGCAATATGAGTGTTTGATTTGTTTTTATAATCGGCTTCATGCTTTTTGACCGGAGTATTTTCCTCGTGTGGCATTTCGGGTATTGCTAGTCGAATTTTTTTTCCTTATGAGACATTTGATAGAATTTTACTGTTTTTCTGGGCAACTAAGAGGAAAAAGTTTCGATCAACAGTCCGAAATGTCACATGAGGGAAAAAATCATATCATATACTACAAACAATTATAATCGATGCTAAACATAGAATAAAAGCTTAATAGCTGTTTAAGATGGCAAATAATATTTCAAAAATCATAATTTTCTTTTATTGTTTGGTTTGCATAGGTTTTTTCCTTAATTTTCCTAAGTAAAATACAATTTTCTCTTTAATTAGTAATTTCTTACCAGTCACATCTATCTCGAATTTTGCCAATTTTATTTTAGGCTCAGATTTTAATTATTAACCTAAGCTCTTTCAAAGTACTTCTTCTTATTTTAGATAAAACATATCTTTTTTCTCCAAATTTTTCATAATATTTCCAATTTTTCTTCTTTTCTTTTCACCAATCTTCCTATAATTTCTTCTCTTCTCTTAAATCCTCCTTTCCTCATAACTTATTTCTCAATCATTTTTATTATTTTCGATTATTTTCACCACGCCCATATTTATGGGAAATTGTTCTTGCTCAAAACCCAGCGAAACAACTGACTCAATTTCTTACTCCGAGTATCTTTCTATTAAAATCAAAGAAAAAGACTTCTCAGGCAGAGTCATTCAAAATGAAAAGGTCGAATTCAAAGTAACTTTCCCTGCCTTTCAGCATTCCCAAGAAATTCAGTTAAGCCCTTATAAATTTTTTATATCAGGATGTGTCCTTCCAGGACTAGACCCCAGAGGTATGATGGACAAAGAATGCCAAGACAACCTTTTCTTCATCGAAAAAGAATCCTCAATCCTTGCAGCACTATTTGACGGCCATGGTCGTGAAGGCTTAAAAGTAGTCGAATTCTGCAACAAATTCATGAAGGAATATTTCCAAGCCAACATTGCAGACTTTAAAAACAACCCTGAAGAATCTGTAAAAAAAATCATCATAGAATGCGATAATGCTTTAAATAAACCAAATAGCAGAGTTGACTATTCCATATCAGGGACAACTGCAGTCATAGCTTATATAGACACCACAGGGCTATATGTCGCCTCCGTTGGAGACTCCAGAGCAGTTTTAGCTACCGTCCCTACAAAAAATGAAGAAGTAAAGCAGCCGGCAAAAATTGACAAAAATAACCTATATAAGAGGTTTATAGAGCCAGGGAGGGTTTTAAATGCATTAGCCTTAACAGTAGACCAGAAACCAAACCATCAAGAAGAACTGGAAAGGATTCAGCAGTCTGGAGGAAAAGTGCAACAACTTACTGATGAGAGAGGAAATAAAGTAGGGCCTTATAGAGTATGAAAAAAGAATGGGACGTTGCCTGGACTTGCGATGAGCCGGTCTATAGGTGACGGGATCGGTAAAGAATGTGGCGTCATCGCTACCCCAATTTTCCATTTTTTCCAAATTTTCCCTGGAAAAGACCAATTTATTGTTATGGGTAGTGATGGGGTCTGAGATGTCATGGAAAATATTGAGGTCGTCAATTTTGTGGAAAAATTCAGGTCAAGGTCATGCAAAATGGTGAGAAAAGAAACAGTTTATCCAGTCTCAGTAATTTTTATATAGCCGGAAAACTCAACTCCTGCACACTTATTAGCGGAAGAGTCAAGATATAGATGGTATGGGATCTGTGAAGACGAAGACGTCATGATTGATGATATTTCTGTAATTGTTATCGAAATAAGCTCGTTAATGCCAAGTTCAAGCCTAAATAATTTAGATCTGGAGGACAGGAGGACTGTTAGGCTTAACAGTTTACTCCCTTGTGAAAAGAAAAAATTAACGCATTAATCAAGGTTTTTTGGTATTTTTTTTTAAAATTCTAATTGCTAATATTGTAGATAAAAATCCAATTTAAAATATAATTGGCTAGAGATTTGTATACAAATATTTTTTATAAAATTTGGCTGCTCATATGAATGGCTTCTTATGATTTTATAGAATCATGGAGAGGGGTGAGTTAGGGAATATTCCTAATGAGGCTACGAAAATGCAGCCTGGGACAGCAAGAAGTGATGCAGTGAGAGGTAGCTTTATTCCAGCTAAGGATCCTAAAGCAAAAAAAGCAAGGATTGATGCTAAAAGGGGGTCTTATTTGCCGGTGGGGAGTGAGGAGGAAAGCCATGAAACATTAGATGGTGTGCCATTTGTAGAAGAAGAAAAAAAGCAATAATATTGATATTTAATATAACCGGAATTATAATTGATAGTAAAAATATTTCAAACTGAGAATTTTATATAAGAAATAATTATAGAGTTTTAATAAATGAGAGAAATATATATTTAAATAGAAAACCCTCAAAAGAATAAATTCAAAATGTTTCCACTAAATCGCAGCCGAACTCTTCCAATTGACCACGACAACCCTCCTACACACCGATCAGCAACCCCTCTAATTCAGGTAAACAGGACCCCAAAGATTGATACAGAATTTCCAAATTTCGAGCTCCCAGAGTTAAAATTATCTCCTTCATTTCCTATAAGTAAAGTAACTTCTAGACGCTGCTCAGACTCATCTGAGGACATAACTGACGAAGAATCAGAAGAAGAAAAAGACACAATTACAATTATTCCAAGCTCCCCCAATGACTTATTGTCATGACACAAAGCGAAACAGCAAGCAATAATAGACAACATCCGGCTTGCAAAAGAAGAAGAAATCGCTAACACTTCTAGGCTTTACCGGAAGAGTTTTACGAAGGCTTTAGAAGATTCGATGGCTCAGCAAAAGTTGGAATATATCAAAACAATCACAAGTTTGAGGAATGAAGCTTATGAAATCAAAGGGGTGATTTCCAAAAGAGACTATACTATTACGTATCTGGCTGATATGCTTACTGATACTTATTTACTAGATTTAAGATGAATTTATCAGTCTAGGCTGTGGAAAAAAGTAAATTTTTATATGAATGCGTCAATGTGCATATTTAAAAATAATTATATACAATTAACGGAACAAAGAATAAAGTTAGGGAAAACTGATAAATTCTCGATTGAGCCGGAAAACTCAGAAGAAAAAGTGCCTGAAATAATTGAGCCAAAAGACAAAAATTTGCTTGCAGAAGTCCAAAGTTTGAAGCTACAGATAAAATCATTGAAAAATGTCTGTGAAATGTACCAAGAAGATGCTTCAAAAGCCAACGAAAAAGTTAAAAAGCTAGAACAAGAAAAGAAGGAACTAATAAGAGCTTATGAAGAAGAAGTAAACGAGTTAAAAACACAATTAAATGCAAAGACATTACTTCCTCTGTAGAAATAAAATGATGGCGTTGATGGAAATTGGACTCCTAGGAGCACTCCCTGTGGAGCAGTAGGACCCATCCTGATGAAGCTGAAAACAGGTTTCTATCCCTCTTTGAGCGGGTCTTCAGGTTCGGGAAAGCATTGACAAAGAGAGAAGTTTTGTTTCTCCCTGAAGGTTTTCCTGTCCTGCCAGATGGGCTAAACAGGTTTTGTCTACAACATGCTTCTTCTTATCGGGACCACAGAGGCACCATTCGGTGGCACTGTCCTGGGAGCTGATCCCTTAGACAGGAAGTTTAGATAGGAATCAGCAGGGCAGCCTTCAATTTCCTGACTTGAGCTCCGAAGTCTATGGAGACTGCTTTTAGAGCCAATGAGGCAAAGACTATAGCTCATACCCCTTTATAGATTTCTTTATCGAGCAAAATGTACTGGATTATTGAACGACCAAGAGAGACTCTATTAAAGGAACGGGCTGGATATCTATATCAGGAAGTGCTAAAAAGTGGCATGTCAAAAAATGGTGACAAGTCTGAAAAAAATTGACAAATAAACGCGCCAATTTTTAAAATGGATTTATTATTAAAATAATTTAAAACTTAAGATACCAATTAGACAGAAGATATTATTGCATTATATATAGGCTTTAGATATTTTGATTTATATATATATACTTAAATTTAATAATAGCTGTGAAAATCAAAAACTTGCAACTCAATGTGCATTTTTTCCGGCTCGATGGAATTTCTTTATTTTATGCTAATTTATATATGAAGACTAGAGCTATAATTTGCAAAGTGCGTGGCTTGTGATTTTAAATATATAAGAAGTTCTTATCGACTCATATTAGAAGTACTTAGCAAAAATTCAATATGGCTTATAAGCGAAAATCAAAAACTTGCAACTCGATGTGCATTTTTTCCGGCTCGATAGAATTTCTTTATCTTATGCTAATTTATTTATGAAGACTAAAACCATAATTTGCAAAGTGTGTGGCTTGTGATTTAAATATATACAAAGTTCTTATCGACTCATATGATGTGTACTTAGCATAATTAAATATTGACTAAAATTAAAATATCTTAAGTTTTAAATTATTTTAATAATAAATCCATTTTAAAAATTGGCGCGTTTATTTGTCAATTTTTTTCAGACTTTTCATCATTTTTTGACATGTCTCTTTTTAGCACTTCCTGATATAGATATCCAGCTCGTTCCTTTAATAGAGTCTCTCTTGGTCGTTCAATAATCCAGTACATTTTTGCTCGATAAAGAAATCTATAAAAGGGGTATGAGCTATATTGAGTTGCCCACTTCTGGCAAGTTTAACATTTTTAATTTAATTTACTCCCTCTATAAGCAACAAAAAAATTTTTGATCTGATCAGTTTTTTAATATAAAAATGCATAGTAAATTCTTTTTCTAGAAAATTTAAAAAATCTCAATTGGAAAGTAAAATTTTGTTTTAAAGTGCAGTCTGTTTAAAATTAAACAGAATAAGCGAGAGATTTCATTATATATCACTTATACAAAAAACTTTTTGCTGGCTCACCTAGGGTGGCTTCAATGGCTTTACTCATTCGCGGAGGAGAATTTAGAATATCAAGAGTATATTAAAACAAAAAACAAAGAGTAACCTATAAACAGGCTTGAAAATATTAGATTTGAAAGTAAAAAAGAAATCGAGCTGAGAGACATTTTATTAGAAAGATTCAAAGACCATGTAGAAATCCTAAAAGGGGAGTTAAAAAACGCAAAAATTGTTCTACAAAGTCCGAGGCTAAGAATGCAATACCATGAAAAGCTTAAAGATTACGTTGATGAGGTGCAGAATTCGAGTCCTTTGTCAGAGACTCAAAAGTCCTTGGTAAGGAAAAATTCGCCAAAAACACCTCGACAAGAAAAAAAATCGAAATTGATAATAAAGGCTGAGGGAACGACGGACGCGAGCATTTTGGATCGAAGCTATGTGGTTCGACAGATCTCGCCTCAAAAGAGGCCCACAACCTCTTCAACGCCCCGTTATTCGTTTCTACGAGTAAAGCCTGATACAGCGATTTGTGAACGCAGACACACAAAAACCCCAGAATTATAATAATTTAATTAAACCTAACTTTCCTCTAAATATTTATTAGAAATGGTAATTCTTACATAGTCCAGGCGATATGACTCCAAAACGACCACCTTCACCCCTGAAGGCCGTCTCATGCAAGTGGAATACGCAATGGAAGCCATCAACAACGCAGGATCTACAGTTGGCGTCCTCTGTTCTGAAGGCATCGTCATCGGCGCAGAACGAAAACAGACCTCCAAGCTTTTAGAAAGGTCCAAACATAGCGAAAAAATGTACCAAATTGACGAACACGTCGTATGTGCAGCCGCAGGACTTACAGCAGACGCCAACATCCTCATAAATCATGCTAGGATCATCAGTCAACAATATCAATATACCTATCATGAGCTTATGCCTGTAGAACAGCTCGTCAGACAGCTTTGTAACTCAAAACAAGGCTACACCCAGCACGGTGGGCTCAGACCATTTGGGGTCTCCTTCTTATATGCAGGCTGGGACCCTATTTATGGCTTCCAATTATATTGTTCTGATCCTAGTGGAAACTATTTAGGCTGGAAAGCCATTGCGATTGGGGCAAATAATCAGTCAGCGTCAGGGATTTTAAAGCAAGATTACGAAGAAAATTTCACCTTGAGGCAGTCACTAGGATTGGTAGCAAAAGTGATTACAAAGTCAATGGACACGACATCGCCAACGCCAGATAAGCTAGAAATCATTGTACTGACAAGGCAAAATGGAAAAGTGGTTTATAAGACACTGAGGGATGAAGAGGTACAAGAAATATTGACGGAGTTTAAGATCGTAAGCTAATTACTTGGATTTTAATTATAGGATGAGGGATTTTTTATATATAATGGAGAAAGAGAGCAGTCTGCTGAAAAAATAGCGTCAGATTTGCGAAAAAGGCAGAGTCAGTCGTGATGCCCGTTATTTCTATTAGTTTTATTTTTTTGTCCTTCTGTTATTTCATTATAATGAGTTTTAAGATAATAGTAAATTAATATTAAGCAGAATAATACCATTGATTATTTCATAAAAAATAGAAGGTAAAGGGTACGAAAGCAAGCCACTAATCTATTCTATTCCATATCATATTTATTTTTCTAAAAATTCATTAATTTTTATTAAGAATGGACCATATGTGGCGGCATAGTGTGTCTTTTCTGCTTTGGTGTCAAATCAAAAATACAAAGTTGAGCTTCTTCTTTATTCATGGCATATATAATAAACTCCTGCCCCTTCGGCAAACAAATAGCCATAACTGTCGACTGGACTTCTCTATACACCTTTTTATCCTCATCAAAAACTCCTACGAATCCTATACTTTCAGTTCCCCCAGAAATCAAAAATTCCCCAGACGCGTCAAATTGTATACACCAAATTAAGTCCCTTTTTACCTCCAGACATCTTATTACTTCCCCATTCAATGAATAAACCACAATTAAATTTTCTTCACTGATTGCGGCTGCAATAATCCCAAGCTCACTTATAGCAACAGCCCTTGGCAATGACTGGGATACTTGTGGGAAGGATTTTAAGCAGTCCCCAGACCTGATATCGTGCATTAAGATTAGTCCATTAGAAGATAAGGACACTAAAACTTGGTAGCTAGGGGAGGCTGAAATTTGCCTTATTACGGAACTGTGGCCTAAATAAATCCGTCTTGGTTTGATTATTTTTTGTTTTTCCCCTATATGGAGCCATAAACATATAGAAGCGTCTAAGCTGCCAGTGAACAACAAATCGTCGATACTTGCTACACAAGTGACAAGCCCTGCATGATGGTGAATTGATTGGATTAAAATTCCTTTTAAATTGTGGACTTTAAAGGAATTTTCTATATGGAATCCTGAAACTATGTATTTTTCTCCTAATAAACAATACTGGTTAGGATTTTTGTCAAGAATTATCCTGGGATCTTCATTATTAAATGTATGTTTCCATAAGGACTCTTCGACCCAGTTTTCTAGGCCAAATTCTGTTGTAGCTTCTAGTATAAATTCCTGGTAGCTTGTAGAGTCTAATTTCATTTCTCCTAGTTCTCTTTTAAAACTGAGCCGAAAACCTGATAAAGAATTATTGCCAGAGGACTTTACCCCAATAAGCCAAGAACTTGTAGTAAAAAGCGCAAAAATTTTCCCAAAAATTTTTCTGGTCCTTGTCCCTTGATTGTCTGTTTTTTCAGTGATTTTTTGTTGAAAAATTGTCCTCTGCCGCTTGTGTATATCTTTTTGAGGATGGTGCAGCTTAAAAAGCTGCACAGGAGTTTGGCCGAAATGGACTACTTGTTGTATTGTGGACTGTAAGAAGCTTTGGTTTTTTTCTTTAAAAACTTGCATATTTTCTTCATAAGTGGAATAGAAAAATATATTTAAAGCAGACTCAGCAGCTGGGCCTTGCTGCTTGTAGCCAAAAATTAAGTCAATCCAATTGTGCAAGTTTTCACTGACAAAATCTGACTCTAAAGCTTTTCGGTGCTTTCTAATAAAATTAACCGCATAATAATAATCTAAGTTTTCTACCCCTGAACGAGTTCTTGCCCCAGTTTTTGCTCACAATGGTAGCTCCACATGGGAAATTTCTCCTTTTCCACATTGTCTGGTCCCTAAATCAAGATTATTGACATTAAGTAGCATTTCAGGCAAGTAAAACATCTCAGGGATAAGCTCTTTGACATCTCCTGATGGAGACTGCGCACAGTCCCATGATATTTCTATGGAGTGGAAAAGACGGTCTGCAATGTCAAATTTCCCGCCCTGTAGCTCTTTGGCACCTTCTGTAAAGGGATGAAGCCGAACTAAATAATAAAAAACCACCCCTGCATTAGAATAATGAGAACCATAGTGAAAAGGCATTATTTCTTCACTTTGCCACATTTTGTATTTTTCTGAAACTTCTTTGCGGGTGTTGTCATCTTGGGCACCGATTGGGAATCGCAGGTCTCGGTAAATTTCTTTGTGATTGAGGAATAGCTCACTTGTGGAAAATTCTTTGATTATTCATGGAAATACGGGGTATTGGTTTATGTCGTTAAAAGACCTGCTTGCGAGCTTGTTTAGGATCATTAAGTATTCGAAATTGCTTATTCCTGCCCCTCTCTGAATAAGCAGAAATTTTGTTCGCTAAATGAAGGGTTAATTTTTATTTTAAAAACTCATATAATTTTTATTTTTTCAAAAATTAAAAAATTCTAATTCTTAAAATTGGAATTAAATTATTAACTTTATGCTTTAGAATGCAAGCTGTTTAAGATATCAAGTTATCTAGAGATTTCATTATAATAATTATAACTAATATCTCAAAATATTTTTTATTAAATTATTTATTTAAAAAAAATCTTCGCTCACTACACAGATTTTTTTAAAAAAAATACAGGGATTTATCCGATGGTTGTCTCTTTTGTAGATAAGAAGGCTAGTTTCCCGTTTTTCCAAGCTTTGGTGTATTTTATATATTTTTATGCTTGAATGGTCTATAAATATAACAATAAATATTTTTTCTATAAAAATTAATTCAAATTAATAAAGCCAAGACTATTCAATAGAGCATATAGGCATTTCGCCTATATTGCCCGATATGGGCCGAAAGTTTAGAGCGCTTTCTCTCAAGTTGGTTTAGCCAAACCAACAGGAGAGGGAAACTCCCTAAACTCTCTGTTTGTTTGACCAACTTGAGAGGAAGTGCTCTCAACTTTCAGCCCATATCGGGCAATATAGGCGAAATGCCTATACATATTCCTGGTCTATTTTTTCAACGACATGCACATTATGTTTATCTCAAATTTTCATTTCTTGTAAGCAGCTATTTCTATTTTCTGCACTAAAAAGATTAAACAAGCACGATTTTCCCGACTTAAAAAACACTTCAATCGCTGTGTGCCTATGAATAAATCGTCTTGGCAAGACTTCTGCAATTTCATCAACCCTCCAAATTTTTTTGCATTTTTTTTTCCTTCTTGTATGGTCCAATGCAGACCCAAAATATTCTTCATTATTCGGTTTCAGCTCTCCCTTACTAGAAAACAGTAGCCATGCGCTCGAAATTTCAAGATTTCCTCAGTAGCTTCCTGCAATTTTTATCCTTTCGCAGTCAAAATTAACTGATGGGGTGTTATTGTCCTCTTCTAAAATATCCCAATCTTCGTCAGAAATTTCATTAAAAATTTCTTCAGTTTCTTCTGTTTCAGCAATGCTAGGGGCATATGAGGTGTCGTCTGAAGTTGCTTTTATTAGGCGTTCAGTGTCTTCTTTTAATAAAATAGAATACGAGCGGACAAGCTCAGAAATTTGCATTGAAAAACGATTTGAAAAAGTCTGAAAGGCGCTATTTAAAGCTGAAGAATCTTGCGGCTTTTCTTTTACTGTGCTTAAAAATGGCATCCTACCCATTTTATCAAAATTGGAGCGAATTTTATATACTTTCTTGGAGCCTGAGGTTTCTTGGATTTTTTTGGTGAATTTTTGATACTTTTTTTTCAAGAGTAGTTTATTTCTTTCAAAATATTTTTCAATAATTGCCTGCTGCTTTCTCAGTTCTTTCTGTATATCTTCTGCTTCCTTAATGAAGTCTTTGAGGCCTCTTTTTTCTTGTCTAGTAGGAGAGTCAACACTTTGATGCTTAATTGAGCTATATTTATTCCCCATCAATACAAGCAGCAAAAAGCTAATTCCATTAAGCAATTCTGAAGAATTTATGAGAAAAATAAACTTTTCTTGGGATTCCAAAGAGTTTTTTATTAAATTTGAAATTTCAATGCACGCAGCTTGATAATTTTCTTGGCTTGGATTTTTTCAAGCCGCTAAATTTTCAATTTCTGCTATTTTCCCTACCTCCAAATTCTCCAAATTAATTTGTTCTTTAAAGTACCTGTAATTTTCCAGGTGTTTTATAATATTCCACGCCTGCACACTCTCAATAAATGCTTTTAAAAACTCCAAGGCCATTTTGTCATCAGTTTTTTTAACTAATTCAATAGTCTCTGCTATAAAAATCACAGCGAGCATGTCCAGTGAATAAAATTTGTTAAAGCCCAGCATCAATTGTATATAAGTCCCCATATCACATTCCAGGGCTTCATAAATCATTTTTTCTCAGTCATGATTAGAATTTATGTCAAGTATAGAAGCAGGGATATCACTTGTTTTAAGCCCTTCAAAGGTAGAAGCTAGCTTTTCCCGCAGCTCATAACGGAATCTAGGGATAAACCAGACCCAGTAGAAATCTTTTTTAAAGCTCTCGATGTCTTCTTTTTCTAGGGCTTCATTCAGCTGGGTTGTGAGGCTATTTATAATGCGAAGATCCAAGCTTTCAATGCATCTGAGGAAAACGCTGAAAGCTCGGAATTTGATAGCAATTACTTTGACGTCGCTCATAATGTAAAGCATCAAATTGCAGGTCTCGATCAGACAGTCTCTTGATATTTTTTTGTCGTTGAGGATAATTAATAAATTGCATAAAAAATCCCATTTTTCGTCCTTTTTCATATTAAAAATTAGACCAAAAAGACCGTCTATATGTTCAGCTCCGATTTCGTTAGGCAAGTGCATTGATAAGATTTCTTTGCATTTCTCAGAAAAATTCTCTCTGTATTGTGGGGAGATCTCCAGTCTGGAAATATGGTCATAAATGGGAACAATTGTTTTTAAATTACATCTAAAATATTTTGGAATGTACATTGATAGAGCTGAAATGTATTTTTCTTGATGGTCTTGGGAAAGTTTATTCCAAAGTTTCCCTAAAAGCAAGCTTTTTATTGCCTGGATTTGGTATGCTTCATTTCAGTCAAGATTTTTAATAATAAGTTTTACTGCTTCTAAAAGGTCTTCAGAAGGATTATTTATGATATCCTCCATCATGATTCCTAATAAATCTAAAAATTCTGCAGTAATTAAACTGTCAAGGGTTTGTGTTTGGCATATGACGCCAATCATATTTATAATCAAAATGACTTCTTCTGAGTTTGAGCATTCTTTAATTAAAGGCAAAAAAATATTTAACCCTCCATTTGCAGTTATTGCTTCTAAGATAGTCACGCCATTAAATCTCTCACATCTTTCTTCTATAATTAATTTATTTGTTGGAGAAAATTCAGGGTTATATGAGCGGGGATCTCATTTGAGCCACAAGGACTGCCAAATTTCTTTTATTACAAGAGAATTTCCATCAAAATTCTCTGAAGTAGATATCGCTTCAAGATTAAAGCCAAGTTTATATTGGAAAGAAAAGCTATAGATCTGTAAAACGTGTTTTTCTTGTAATAGCTTATTTACAATATAAATAGTGCTCATTTTTCCATTAAACGGTTTTTTTGAATTTTTATTATTCCCACACAAAAATTTATTCAAATATTCAGTTGGATATGAGACTTTTCCTTCAAATCCTTCAATGCAAAAACTATTATTAATAATAAAATCGCATTTAGCACCCTGTCTTATAGTAAATCCAACTAAATTTCATTGGTTTTCAATGACGCGCTTATTGCTTCAGGCTTTGAATCTTGCCCCATTTTTGAGGTGCAAAATTCCTTGGTGCTTCATCATAAATGACAGCTTATTCCCATGCCTGTCAAAAAATTCAAAAAGGCAAGAACTATTTTCTATACTGTCAGGGAATAGCCACACAAATAAAGAAAATTCTTTTCTAGGGAGAAATGACAATTTTTCGTCATTTTTACAAGCCAGCATACTTTCAGGGTCGCGAAAATAAAAGTACCTGGTTGGTGATAAGCCTAAGCGGTTTTCTCCAGTTTGGCTTATTCTCGAAAATGCGTGTTCTATGCTTCTATATAAGCTTCTATATATCATTAATTTTTTTTCTTGAAAATTTTTAGAAGACTGCACAATATTTATGATCCTTCTTAATTCTTGTGGTGTTATATGGTGACAAATAATCTTAACCCCCTATTATATTTTTTTATAAAAAAAATCATTTTATTTAAAATCTTGCTTATATTTTTATAAGGAAAGATAGAAAGGACATCTTCAATATAATTTAAATTGGAATTTTCTGAATTTTTCTCAAGAGTATACAGAATTATATCAATAGTCCTCCTAGCTGCCAAATGAGCTCTATCTGCATCATATTGAATGATAAATTCAATATTGTCATCCATTATCCTTGCCGAGTCATTACTATAATCAATATCAAACAAAAGCTCAATAATCAATGGAATCACTTCAGGTGTTTTTATATGTAGCCCTGATTTTCTTCCATGAATTTTGGTATCCAGTAATATACAAAATAAGCTTTCTATTGATTTTAAACAAATTTCTTTCCTCACTCCATCATATGCACTCCTCATTACTGTATTTGTGATAAAGTCAAAATCAAACTCCTTAATTGCTTTTTTGCTTTCTGGATTTTTATATAGAAGGAATCGTATACACTCAAAGGTTTTTCCTCATAAGTCTGATACTTTTTCAGCTGGTTCTTTTGAGTAGTCATTAATAAGCTTGATTTTTAGCACCCTTATGGCATTTGATTTAGTAAAACAGGCTTGACGTCTTTTGACTTCTGGGTCTTCTAGGTCTTTTAGCACTTCTTGGAGGATCGTAAGAAGCTGAAGTAGCACGTCAATATCAGTGGCAGCGTTTAGATACCATTCAAACCTTTCATAAGCTTTTTCACTGTCAAATTTTAGAACCCTTGATATAAAGGAAGCGCATATATCAACAGTGCTGGAATTTTTCAATAATTTGTCCTGCAGCATCAAATCTATTAAAGTGTCTCCACCAGGAAGGTCTTCTTGGTAGTATTTTTCTAGTATTAATTTCTTAATATTAGTCTTAATTATTCAGATTTTTAAAATGGTATTCTCTTCTGCAGGGACCCTTTTAACTCCCAACTGATGATGACAGCAGCAATCTTGCCAAGCAAGCATTCAAGAGGACACACAAAAATGACCAGAAAGACTTCATCGTCACCCTTGCTCTTAAATTGGCTTTAGTGCGTGCTCTGCCAAAGGGTCACCCTTCTCGGCATGCAAAGCAGCGAAGCCAAATGCCTCCTTTTTTCTCTGGGCTGATTATCATAACCTATGCGGCAATTCATACTAGATTATGGATAAATGTTCTCTTGAAAATTGAGCCTCATAATGATAAAATCCGCAGAGGAGGAATATACCTATCATGGAGAATAACCAACTAACGAGTATTTTTTGTCTAGCCAGACAATAGCTGGCTTAACAAATTTTAGGAGGTATTTTTTGACTAATCAAATTTAAAAATGGCAAACCAAAAATTGTTCCTTATTGGCAATTCTTTATAAGCAAGCGTATTTCTCGGAGAGAACATACGTGCTTAGCGATATTATTATATTCAATATTAATTTCAATATACAGAATAATACAGTCATTTGGTCATAAGAATCTTGCTTCGAGCTTAAACTGATGACAATGCTGAGGATTTGTTCAATAATCCCATTTTTTATGCCGATTTCCATGAATTTTTCTTTCCCTTTTTCTAAAAATTGCCCTTGGATCCAGCTATTCATATGAATAATATACTCTACATCGTCTTGATTTTGCCTCATGTGGCTTACAATAGACTGAGAAATCCATTCTAAGTTCATTGGGTTCCCAATCAAGTCATTCCACAGCCCATTTCAGCTTTGAGAAGCAGCTTCACTTAGCTTAATAGTATCATCATTAATTGGGTATTCAATCTGGAAAAAAGGTTTTGAAAAAATCAAGCTGACAAGCCCAAAATCTTTAATTAGCAATAATTTTGACTGAAACTTGCTGATGCCTAAATTTTCTAGGTATTTTTTTAAAAACTGGAGGGTATAAGTTTGTAGCTGAGGAGGGTGATTTTTCATTTCGATCGCAATGTCCTATATAAGCCTTACTGTTTGCCAGTACAGAGAAAATAAAACTATAGGGAGACCTTCTAAGCAGCTACTTATTATGCTATTCGATGTTATTTCTGAAGAATCTATTGAATTTCTGATAAGCTCAAATAAAGATCTGTATAATGATCCTAAATAGCCTTTTTCATTTTCAAATGACTGGGAATTAGCTGAAAAAAAGTTTTTCATATAATTTAAAACAAAATAAAAGAAGGTCTCTTTAAGCTTTTCTTCATTCTCAATCACTATTTTCCCATGGTCTATTTTAGAAATATGTGAGCAAGCTGATAAAATTTCTATAGAAAATAAAGCTTTCTGTAGAGCCAGCTCTGATGATAAAGAATTTTTGCATTTTTTAAAGTCATCTATATGCAAAATATAATTAAATAAAATTGGCACCAGGGTGCTAAATTCATCCACTGCAAAAAACGGCGCATTTATTTCATAATAACTGCTTATCGTAAAAAGCACAAATGTCAATAAATCTAAATGATAAGAGAAACATTTATCCTTCATAATTTTCCTTGTAGTTTTATCAATCTCATATGGAAAAAGCCCTAAAGTCCTCAATTTTTGACTAGCTATAAAATCACTCAGCAATAGAAAAAAGAAATTAAACGTCGAGTGCAGCTGCGTACTCGTCTTTTTTCAATAACTTTTGGCAATACATAATATTTCAATTTGCAGTTTAATTATATTTATCAGCTCATTGATAGATTCTGGCTCGAGATCCTCCCAAAATAAGTTCTTGATTTTTTTACAAAAATCAATTATCAATGACGCTTCTCTTTTCTTTAGCTTAATCTCTTTTTTGAATACCAAAAATTTCAGTAATTGAAAAAGAGGAATCAATTGATCAGAAAGCTCAGTCAAAATATTGGCAGAATCAGCCTTTGTGAAGGACTCTGCTTGAGCAAGCATTGTGTCTGATATTATTGAAAGCGTAGAAATCAGCTGCTGCACCAGCTTGGGAGGAACTTTTGCCTTTTTATTATTCAACTGATTGATTTCTGAGGTACAAATTTTCACAAAATCTGACCAAGTCATTACTGATTGGTTTGGGTCAGAACTTAAGGCTTGTCATGCTTTTGTTGACTCGACAAGCCCATCGAACTTTACAGATTCAGGTCCTATATAAGAAAATCTCCTGTTAGCCATTTATTAAACACAAACTGCAAACTTCCTATAATATCTCTGCTATAGAAACAAAAATTAAGAAAATTTCATTATATTTGATTTAAATTTTCCATTTTTCAACAAAAATTAGTTAGTTAGTAATGTTCAAATATTTCAGCTCACCAGCTGTCGCTTTATTTGATAGTAGAAATCTTTGGATACTTAAATCAATTTCTCGGACTTTATCATAATCGAGGGTTGCTAGAAGTTTTATCATAAAATTCACGTCTTTGCATTGGTTTGGTAAAAATACAGAAATTGCTTCACTGGCGATGCACATTTTATAGAGACTGGGAGGGGACAGAGGGTCTTGTTTGTAAAAGGTTTTGGGGAAATAGTAATCTTTGGCGTCGAGAAGTCTTAAGGCTCGTTTTTCTCCAGTAAAAAGCTGACGTAAATAGTCTTGGTTGACGTTGTTGATTTCGGGGAGAAGCCTTTGGTTTATATGATTGAAAAATTGGTAATAGTCTTCTTTGGTGTGCAAGCGGAGACTTATATCTTTGTAGGAAACGTCAATTGGCTGGTTTTCGGAGTGATAAGGGTCAAGAGTTTCTGGCTGTGGAGCTGAATCTTCGTATTCTCCAGATTGAGGGTCAGCATTTGGAGCTTCGGGTGCTTGGAATTCTTCTGTCATTTTATTATATAAGGGGGATCTGAAAAATATGATTTTTATGGAATTTTTTAATAAATTTTAGTTTTTATGCAATTTAAAATATTAATAAATGGCCTATAAGCTACTGATAATTCATCATATTTTTAATTTTTATTTATGACTTTTGATGACAAGTTAAGTGCAGACGCTGTAATGTGCACCATACAACTTGTCAAGTATAAATAGGAACAGAAAAACCATAAAATTTCTCTTTTCGGCAGGTATCTCCAAACTATAGACAAAGATCCCACAATCAACACCTATAGGTGCAAAGTGTCATGTCTCACTTATTTATTATGTCAATTATTTTATAAAAATACCATAAATCTTGGCCCTATTTATCCAGAGTCAGCTTATCTGCAAAACAACAAATTTGTTAATAATACATTTTTTATAGAATTAATGTTAGGCTTAAGGGATCTTCATTTTAATCATAACATGCCAAATCTTATGACCCAATTTTTTTAGACAGTCTGTAGTCAATGTTTCACCATCAAGAAACTGATTTTGACATCCTTCACATAAATCGAAATCAATGCAATGGGCACATTTGTAGCGATTTCCAGTAACTTTTCCATCACAATGCCCAAAATCAGAGTTGTCACATGTACAAGTATGATTTTTATCTTCTTGGTCAGACGAATACTCTATATTTTCATAATTAGAAGCCCCGAACTTTAGCTTATTTAACTGTCTTGCATTTGGAGAGATCAAAAATGTAGAATGCGAGTGGGCAAATTTTCCTGATCCTTTTGCATTGTGTTTAATATTTTTTTCGCAATTATCACAGTGGTAATGGTTTGGTTCGCAATATAAACACAAATATTGGGTATCATTGTCAGTAAATTTTAAGTTACAAATATTGCATTTTAAGCCTTTTTTAATTGAAAATCCTGGAAATTGATCCTTAAATATTTTATTTGCATCAGAAAAAGTTTTCTTGAAATTTATAGCCGCTTTTCCATCAATTTTAAAAGCAGAAATAAATCATCTGATAGCTACTTCTTTTTTATCTAGTTCATAAAGAATTTGGCCCTTTAAAACTAAGAGATTCACTTCATTAGGATATGTAGCTATGCCTTCATTAACGATGGATAAAGCTTCAATTTTCTTTCCAATTAGATTTAGAATGTACCCTCTCCAGGAAAATCTATTAGTTGGAGATGCCTTAGTTTTTATGGCTTCACTATAAGCATCAAATGCCTCCTCATTTCTACCTAAACCAATCAATGCAATTACTTTAAGCGAGTGTAAAAATCCATCTTTTGGCTTTATTTTAATATATTCATTGCATAAATCCAAGGCTTTGCCGTTTTGTCCTTCGCTTAAAAATTTATCGATTATTTTATAGCATTCATCATCAGTTTTTCTGTCAAAACCTTGCCTATTTTCTTCAGCTTCTTAAGACTTAACTATCCATTCTTGGCACAATTTTATGATGTCAGATTTGCAAATTTTAAAAAAAAATTCTGAATCTGGGTTCTGGAGCAGAACTTGCTTAGCAAATTCGTCATAGTAGTTAGGATCTTTTCCAATTTGCAAAATAGTTGCTATGTTTGCTTCATCACTTGCCATCATGCTAAACCAATTATCAGCAACTTGTTTTATCGTAAGATCACTGCCTGGAAATAATGGGTCTCTTGATTGGTTTAGGTCTCCTTTCTCAATTTCAGCAATTTTTAATTCTTGATTGCCCTCACTTGAAGCTATCTCTGAGGGGGATTTATTATAATTTTGATCAGCTTCTATCTTTTCTGATTCTTGGTGGTCTTCCTCTTTTGATGTAGCAGATTTTTCTATTATCATAAAAGGGCTTATATAGCTATTCGCTGGATTTGAAGATTCTGTTTTTTCAGCTTGAGGAATAGAACTTTTGACTACCTTTGGGGCAGAAATGATAGAATCGGCTTTATTTGTTTTATATTTGCTGAATAGTAAAAATAATTTTGGATCTGTTGATGCATTAATTTTATTGAATTCTTGATCTGGTTTAATTTTTTTCCCTTTAGATATTATGTCGAAATTTTGCTTAAAAGCACCAAGAATAGCTTGTTTTATCTCCTCACTGTTGGAATTTTCGTTTATATAAATGTAAAACGTCACATTTACCCTCATTATCAGTATAATTTTTTGATAATTATATAGATGTAGTGCATTATAATTTGATTTAGACCAAAATAGATATTTAGAGTTTAATCGGCATTTTATAAGGCTGCTTCTTGATAAATACTCATTAAATATTTTCTAGAATCCAGCATAAAGAAACTTATATTATGGAATTATCAAAACAATAATATATAGAGGAGTTTATATAAAGGCAACACAGACAAAAAACCGAAGATAGTTTAATGATCCTAAAAAGCTCATTAAAGTTTGTGTTTTTGTAATTAATTATAAAGCTTTCCTTGAAATATGACTTCAAAATCTTTTTTTGAGCACAAATAATAGGCTGCTTTAATTCGCTACTAGCGGAATTTTCGTTTATATAAACATAAAAAGGTAAAATTATTCTCATTTTTACTTATATAAAAATAAGCAAATTTTTAACTATCATGCTATATGCTTCATTATCTTTCTCTATTTAATAATATTAAAGAATTAGCCTTCTTAACGATAAAGAAACTTATACTGTCACTAAAGCACTAATTTAACTTATTTTAATTTTCAGCCTTCTAGACTTGTCCTTTAGATTTCCATTTTAAATCAAAAATCACCCTAAATTTTAGCAATAAAATCAAGAAATCCTACCAATCTAATAATAAAGATGATTAATCAAGCTGAAATCTGTCTAAATAAAATTGGTTGGGGAAAATACCAAAGAAAAGTCTTCCTATGCTGCAGCGAATCGGAAGCTATGTTCATTGGGGTAGCTATGCTACTCCCAGTCATAGCTCTCCAGTTCAACGACTACAGCTATACTTTTAAAGGGCTTCTTGGGTTTTTGGTTCATTTCTGTGCCCTTATTGCGTCAAACTATTTTGGGAAAAATATCGCAACAGTAAGTCATGTCTCAGTTTTTAAGAACTGGGGAGGCTGGCTAATGGTCTTTGGACTGTTGAGCCTTGTAAGCTCCTCAAGTTATTTATATGTTTTACTGTCAATGATCCCAATTGGAGCTGCTGGAGGCGCTGATATGGCTATCAACTACTGTGTCTTATACGAAAGCATACCAATTCAAGATAGAAAATGCTTTAATTGGGTTCCTTTTGGCATAAACATACTTGTGACTGCTATATATGTGGCAGTTTTGGGACTCGAAATATATGGATTAGTCCAAAATTGGAAAATCATTGTTTTGGCACTATTGCTGATACATATAGGTTTTTCTTTAGTAAGACTTAGCTTGGTAGAAGGGCCGCTTTATTTGTACCTACAAGGGAAAAAAGAAGAGTTTAAAAAGTCAATCAAAACTGTAACTTATTATATTTTTTATTAATGCAGGCTTTTTAAAAATTTAAAAAACATAAAATCAATATAATATATATCGCCATATAAATAGATTGTAATTGAAAATGGGCTCAAAGACACTAATATCGAAGAATCAGTCGCATTTGAAAATAAACAAATAGATTGGTGCGATACATTTGGAGAACTCTTTAAGGACCCTTTATCGTCCTCTACTTTTAAACTAATGCAAATGTTCTTCTGCGCCTTTTTTGCTATAGAAGGCTTAGTCATGTTTATGCCAAGTCTTATTATATCAAGCAGTAAAACAGAAATTTTCACTTGTTTAGCGGTCATTGAAATTTGTGGGCTGCTTTTAAAGGTTTTAACTGAAGTTTTTACTTTTAGCAAAACATTTAGAAAAGCATTGGTAATTTTAAGCTATTTCTCAATGGGTTTGGTAATCCTAAGCTTTGCTTATGCAAAGGAATTTAATTCCAATTTGTGTAGCAGCGTGCTTTATGGGATTGCATCAAGTATTGGGATACATGGACTTTATTCTTTAGTCCAAGACCAATTTCCCCTAAAAAATAGTGGGCCTGCGTTCAGTGTGATGGGGTCGATGGGGACTGCTGGGAATATGATCGGATCGTTGACTTCAGGAATTGCTTTGGATTATTTGGGTGGGCTTTATGTAATTATTGGAAATTCAATATTATTGGGGATGACGGGGCTAATTGGGCTAACCTTAAAAGCAATACCTAATGAAAAGAAGACTAATTAGTATTAATTAAACAATAATTTAGTCTTTTATTGAGAAATCTCTGTAATAAATACAATTGACTATTTATTAATTAGTAGAAGCCTATTTTATAAATTAAAACACAATTTCAATATATTTTTTGGTTTATTTAATAATAGCAATGGAAATTTATCTAATTTAAAACAAAATGATAATAAATTCGAAAAATGGAAAACACAGCTGGAAATTATCTGACAAAAATAGGCTGGGGAAATTATCAAAGAAAAGCACTCCTTTGTGCATTAGAATCTGAAGCACTGATTATCGGAATATTAATGCTATTACCAACTATAGATATTAATTTTAAAGCATTATTAAACACAGAAAAATCTATTTCAGCATGTATAATGAGCTTAAGTGCTATATTGACATCAAGCTATTTTGTAAGGAACCTTCAGAAAATAAGCCATATTGATATTTATAAAAATTTCGGGTATCTACTATTATTCGGATTGATAATCCTCTTATTTGCCTCATCAATTTTAGAAATTTACATATCAATGATTGTAATAGGAATCGGACTAGGAGGCGATTTTACGTTTAATTTTCACATTCTTTGTGACAGTTCTCCAATAATAGGAAGATCCCATTACAAATGAATATCCGTTGGAATTGATTTTATTAATATTTTTATTTACAGTGGGGTATTTGTTTTAGCATACTACAAAATTGATATTTTTCCTTATTGAAAAGTCATAGTGTTTTTCTTAATAATCATTCACTGCATTTTTATGTATCTTCGGTCCTCATTAGTTGACGGGCCTTTATTGCTGTATCGTCAAGGCAAAAATGAAGAGCTTAAAAATGCTTTAAAAACAGTAAAAAATATATTAGATTGCTGTAGAAAATGAAATAAAAGACTTTAATGTCGATTTAAATGAATTCGAAAACCACTCAGCTCCAATTCAATGCAGCTTACTCCCCCCCCATCCTTGATCGAACGACTCACCATCGTTCGATCAAGGATGGGGGTTAAAAAAAATTTTTTTGGGAAAAAAATTTTATATATAAAATGAAAAAAAGATATATATAGATTTTTTTTATATTTACTTTTAAATAAGAGGGTTAAGAGTATTTAATAATTATTTTTACAGCAAAAAATTGAATTAATTTCATAAAAATACCAATTTTTAATATATTTTGATTTATTAGTTACCCTTTTAAACTGTATAAATTTTAATTTAAATTAAATATTTTTTTAAAATTTTAAAGAATCTCTATTTTATTAGATTATTGAGCTTTTAAGCCTATGTTGATGTCTAAATCACTTCGGATGGTTGATTTCGCAGCTTTCTGTCGTCTCAAAGCTCTGAAAACAACTTCATTAGGCACATCTTCCAAAGCTTTTGATAACTAATATTTTTTATATATATAAAAATTTGCATGATATGAAAATCGTTCGATCAAGGATGGGGGTTAATTTCCCCAATTTTTAGGAATTTTTACAGTCAATCGTTCGATCAAGGATGGGGGGGAAGTTAGGAGACTTTTTTATGCCACCTTTATCGTCAGCGACTTTTAAACTGTCAATAGTGACTGTTTTAACCTTCTCAAGCTTTATAGGCTTTGGACTATTTATTCCTGAGTTAATATTAGCCCCAAGCCATTCTCAAAAAATTGGGATTTTGGCTGTTATGAGATTTTACAGCCTAATGGGGAAATTTCTATCTTCCATGGGAATTGGTAGCGAATTTAATAGGAAAGTTTCGTTTCTTATATCAAGTTTCGCCGTTGGAGCTTGTGTTTTAAACTTCTCTAATTCGACTGAATTTTATCACTATATAAGATACAGCGTGATTTATGGAGCTTCTTCAAGCATCTCAACCGTAGCTCTTTATTCTTTAATCCAAGATAATTATTTGCCTGAATACTGAGGACTGGCTTTTATGCTGAAGAATTGTATGGAATCTATTGGAAGTATTTTTGGTACAATTCTATTTGGGACCGTTTTTAGTTCCGTTGGATCTGCATCTGCTCTTATTTGGATTGGTTCGGCTTCTATTTTGGCAGGACTGATAGGACTAAGCTTTGAAATAAAATCAAGCAATGAAAATAAAAGCAACTAAATTATTTTATAAAATTTTGATTTTCTAGACCCCTGAGTGAGCAAAAACATTTTGTTCGCTCGGGAATTTTTTTTTAAATAATTTTATTATAAACTTTATAGTAATTTTTTTTCGAATTCTCCCAATATGCAAAAATTGGAAAGCAATTTTTGTTATAAAATGAAAGCTATTTGAAATTAATGAGAATTAGCAAGATATATCTTTATAATAATCATCACTTATATATCACAATTTTTTTCATAAAAAACTTTAAGGGTGCGTTTTTACCTCAAAAATAGGGATTTTTCCAATGGTTTTGTTCGGGGGATTAAGAATTTTATTACATTTTTACAATAATTAGTCATTAGCAAAATGCATTAAACCCATACTTCATGCTCCCATTTTCTATTTGGTCTACAGTATTAAGTATCCCATACAAAGGAATCCCGATCAAGCTTATAACCATAGTAATCGCCAAAAGCAAAACAATAAAAGACACTCTTTTGTATTTCTGCACAGTTTTCAGGATCAAAAAAGTTCCTATTGATGACCCAGAAATGGCTGACACAAACATCCATATCCCATAAGAGTAATTAATTTGGCCTGATATGATATATTGGAATATAGATACAAGTGATGTAAAGCATACAATAAAAGAGGAAGAGGCTGTAGAGACTTCTGGCCTAATTCCAAGATTCAATAGTATTGGGTTCATTATAACCCCTCCTCCTAGTCCTAATAGGCTTGCTATCTTACTTACTTAATTATCTGGTGTTTAAGGTGTCTAGTGCCGCAGCCCAAAAGGGCCTATGGCAAAACTGATAACGTAGCGAGAGCCATCTTGGCACGGGTCAGCCCCGTCCAAGCCTTCTATCAACTCCTGCTTCACCAGCCCTGCTGCACGTCTCACCCGGCGCGTTGCCGTCGCCCTTGTCGCTCGACTCAGCTCCTGCGCGTGTTCCGCCTAAGGGTCATCCTCCCGTGGGGATGTGCTGAGAGGTAAAAGCCCGAAATCTTGAGTGGACTGAGGAGTGGGTTCCTCTGGTTATCCCCAGAGTTAAACCGCTATTGCTGTCCAGAAGTTCTCGAGTGAAAACCTAACCCTATAAATAAAATTCCATGAGGGGAGAGAAAATTAGCAAAGCTAATTTCTCTCGAACCGAATGCCATTTTATTTATAATAGGCTTGCTATCAGTCCTGAAACCATAGTAACAAAACTGACCAAAGTCGCATTCTTTTTGTTCCATTTGATATCATTAGAGGGTAAAATACCTACAAAGTCTTAATTTTATAAATGTATTTCTCGCCATTGTTTAAAAAAAATTCTGTAGAAATCTCCTATTTTTTTTTCCCAGCTCCCATTAGAGTCAAAATCATAATTTAATTCAATTTTTTTATGTACTTTTTTGATAGCAAAATATTCAGCAATTCCTCCTAAAAGTAATAAAAATATAGCAAAAATTGCAATATAGATTCAATACCAATGGCTGCATTGGGAAAACCCTAAAATTGACTTAAATCCTTTTCCTCCTTTCATAAGAGAGCCTAAAATTGCACAAATAAAGATAAAAATGATGGCCGCAAACTCTCGATATAAAATTATTTTTTCTTCTTGATGGTAAATTTTTTGTAGCTCAGGATTTATTTCGTTTACTAAAGAATGCTGAGAACTTGGTGGTTTTGCCTCGCTGAGATCCTGATTATCACTATTTGCATTGCCTTCAGGGTAAAACTCCCTTGTTTGGATTTGGTTAGGCTTTGCTGGCAATGTTTTCCTTTGGAGCTTTTCTTTTTTATAAAGCCTGATGAATTTTTGTATAGAATTATAAGAGAGGAATACAAGAAGTACTGTGAGGAGAGATAAAATAATATATGATGGAAATCCTTTGTTTAAGATTACACCAAATGTTCCACCAAGCAGCATAGGGGATATTATAAACATAATCATCTCATAGTTAATTAGAGGACGGATTTTGGTTGGGTGTCTTGATGGGATCTGGATTAATACTGTGGTCAAGCTTCCTCCAAAAACTACTATTTGTGATAAAGGGACTGCTGATTGTGTGTCAAATCCAAAAAATACTAACTCTTGTTAAAAAATATTGGTTTTTTCATCTAAAATTTTTTTATTAACTAAAATAACTAACTCCCCCCCCTCCGTGAGTGAACAAAACCATTAGAAAAATCGCTATTTTTTGCCCAAAAACCCACCCTCCGTGAGTGAACAAAAATTTTTTATGGAAAAAAAAATTTGATATATAAGTGATAATTAGTATAATGAAATCTAGAGCTAATTCTGTTTAATTTTAAACAAATTGCGTTTTAAAACATAAATTTTATAAATTAACTTAATATTTGCTTTCCAATTTTTGCAAATTAGGATTTTTTTAAATTTCGAAAAACAAATTTTTTCTATAAAATTTATATATAAATTTTTTAAAAAAAAAAATTAACCCCCCTCCGTGAGTGAACAAAATTTTTTTGTTCACTCACGGAGGGGGGGGGAGTAAATAAAGTATTCTAGGCCATCACCTTTTTAGATCTTTTTTATTATTTTATTATGTTATTTATAAGAAAAGAGTAAGCACATAAGGACATTCAGTGCACCGCCACCAACTCCTGATGCGTTTGATAATGCGCTGGCCAAAACTTAAATCTTCATTAATGATAGGCCTAGCCCTCACATGGCTAATAATATATTTTTAAAATCTTCCATAATAACTGTTAGCCCTAACATATAGCCAGCAAAGCTCCCAATTCCGCCTCATTATCTATAGAAGTAGCTTTTAGAGAAAAATTACATCCTTAACCCTTTTAAGAATAAATAGCTTTCTATTACATATCGGGGTAAGCAAATCCCAATCATCGCACCTAAAGACTCTTTTGAATACGCTTTAAGATGCAACAGAGCTCAAGAGGAAGGCTTGGCGATATCATCATTTTATTGTGCTACATTGGCCCAAAACAAGCAATATGGTCCCACCAATTTCTATATCAGCGACTGGAAAAAGATCTTTGTGTGTGCATTTTTTGTCTTCACATTTATTAAGACCATGACAGTCGCTATCTTTTTGACAAGATTCGCATCTGCATAAAATAATTAAAGAAAGTAAAATAATAGCAGTCTTCATTCAGAAAATTATAAATGGAGTATGGCTATGCATGAAATCAGCATTTTCTATTACTGATTTTCCATATTTAATTTTGCCATTTAAATATACTGGTTTTTAACTGGGAATTTTTTTTGAGACTTAAGAAATTCTATATCAGGCTGGTATAAATTTATTTATAAGAAGCATTTAAATTTAAATAAGTTTAAAGTTGGTAAATTCATTATATTTTTGCTAAAGACAAAAATTATTGCTTTAAATTATAAATAGCGCAATCTTTTTGACTCAAATGCATTGAAAATCAGGAAATTAATATTTATTATGATGCTGCCGATGGCAAAATGGACTGCTCTGCTTTAGAAATAAACAAATAATGCTAGATTTAGCAGCTCAGCTTTCTTATTATTCAATACCTAATAATATTAATTAAATAAAGAAAGAAAAGTTAGAAATTATAATTGCCTAATTTAGAATTTTAAAGAAAAACAAGCTGATTGTGGAAAAGAAGTGAGATATACCAGATATTTGCAGCAAGTCTTAATCACTCACTATGGGGAAAGGTGGAAATCTTTGAATTTTTAGTCTATCGATATTGAAAAAGAGCTTTAAATAATTATGCTTCATCCGAAAAATTATGAATTGGTATTTTCTCAAGTTATCTTATATATTATTTTACTGCTAATCAATATCAGCCCTTCTCTTGTTTGCTTTAAAAACTATTTTGAAAGAATTTTTCCAGCATTTAACCACACTCCGTCAACAATTTCCGCTGATTTTGTGGCCTGACCCGGGCAGCAGCTTTTCGCATCTTTTTTGCCAGTAGCACCGAGGCCAAGACTCGGTGTCCGAAAGAGGCAGGGGAATTACCTGCCTAAGCTACTTGGTGGCTTCGCCCCGAATCCCGTAAGGGGTTGAGCTTTTTCTTGGAGATGATCCGGGAAAAAGGGGAAGGCGAGGCTCGACTTAGAACCTCAAGGGCACAAGTCTCTCCAGTTAAAAGGGTCCCGATCAAAAGGGGCGATCTGGCGAATAGAAAGGGCAGTGTTGGCGTCAACTTGGGCGACACAGCGAGTTGGAAATGGAGGCGGTCAGCTAAGACAGTAGCCTGCCCCTTGACCTCACCTCTACCGAGAAACCGGGGGTTTCGGCCCGGGCTTGCTGTGGGTACGCTCTGCCACCCTGCGGGTAGAACCGCGGCATGCAGTCCACGACGTAGGGACTATAAACACCTAGCTTAAACTAACTAACTAACTAACTACACTCCGTCAACATTCCTCCAGCAACTCCACCAAAAATCCACAAAGAATTCCACCAATAACTCCCCCATCAACTCCACAAATAATCTATGCAGCCATTTCAGTAATTCAAAAATCCCAGCAATCATTAACTCCAATACTTGCAGCATAAGTATTTTCCATAAAATAAATTATGTCTACTCCTATCCAGTGTAGTCTCTTACAGCTAGTTTTACCACTTCACCTTTAATTTTCCATTTCACCCACCAAAATTAAAATCTGATCCCTTTTAATGGGCTCTTATGCATTTAAGTTCACCATATTACAGCACTTGGACATCCTTCTTCGTGATCTTCTACTTCATCTCCTAATTCTTCAAAGTCAGGCTGAAAGCTTGATCCATGCATCATCTACATAGCCTTATTGCTTTTTTTTTGCATTTCTCTGCTCTTCCGATGTTGGCTCATAAATTCATAACTATTTTACTATAAATAAATATTAAGTCGCTAATTATTAGTCTAAATTTCCTAAACTTTGCTTATCTTACCCACAATTAGTTATGTCTACTCTTGTTAACTTACTTGATGAGGACTTCTGGCACATGGCATTAAATGTATTTGCCAGCAACTCTAACTGCTCAGCAGACAGTTCACTCTTCATTCTTACTCCCCCCCAATTATAAGCGAAATATTGTTTATTTGTTGGAGATTTTGCACAAATTTTCAAATGGTACACTTTATATGAATAAATCGAAATTTGCTTATTATTAAGGGATAAATGACGAAAATTTGCATTTTTGCTTTTTATCTGAAAACACCCATAATAAGCTAATTTTATCTATTCATATAAAATTACGATTTGAATTTTGGGCAAAAACTATCCATGAGTAAGCAAGAATTTTATTACTGGGGAGCTAGATAAAGAAATGGCAAATAATGGGCGTCACATCTTGCATACTCTAGCATCGGCTTTGGGATCGGCCTGATTCTCCAATCAGCGATTTGAAAAGTCTTATCAATTTTAATTCCCAAATAAATATTAATTAAAGACGCCAGTGACTGTGCCTCGATTTCCCCAGCAATTATTTTGTAAGCTCTTGCAGTGTCAAAAATATTCACTGCAAAAGCGGAAAAATCATTTTGCAGCCATGCTAGGTCAGAATCTGAGCCATGGAAAATTTTGAGTTTTTCTTGATCAAGCATTAAATTTCTTAAAAATTCTCCAATGTTTTTTCTATTGGTAAGCAAATCGACCACAAAGTCTTTTTCGCCTGAAGAAATCTGGACTATCTATTCTGGCTTCTATTGGGTTTATTTTAAGATCGCCAGCCTTATAAGTTTTTTATAAAAAATAAGAAAAGGGCATTACTTTTATATAAAAAAATTTAATTAAAAAAATATAGGCAAATGCAACCTTTTTTAGCGTCAAAATTGTGGTACTCTAAATCAAAACCTATAACTTTAATGTCCTGGAAATAAGACTTCATGCTTTCCAGTAACTCTTGTGTGTCTACCCAAATGGTTTCAGTTTCTTTAATTTCTTTAAGGGTAGCGTTTATGCTATAGAAATTATTCTGCATTTCTTCCAGAGTCAAAGGATGCTTGGGAACTGGCTCTGAAGTTTCTGTAAATTCAATATTTTTGACATAGCTGAAAATCTCTTTTTGGGAAGCCTGCTTATAAAGGTCTCTTACTCTCCTCCCTTTTCAAATTGTAACAAAAAATCTATACAAATTTAAGGGGGCTAATTTTAAAATATTTATAAAAAATTAAAATGAATGCAATGCTTTAAATTTCAAAATACTTTATAAAAAATTAATTCAAAAATTAAAAATCTGCTCAAACATTACACTTTTTCCATTAAAAATATATATAAAAATTATCATTTTACCTAGAAAATTTTTTTTTATTGAAAAAAATGCTCCATTTCAAGGGTTAAAGTACCAAAATGGAAATTTTACCGATATTTTTACAATTTAAAGAGGGAGAGTTAAAAGTGCTGAAAAATAAGGGAAATTGTGAATTTCTGATATCATGATGGCGTTTAAGCCTTCTTTATCTTCTAAAGTTATATACTGGATAGGATCTCAAGCCATTTTTACTAAATTCGCAGCGATTTGGCATTTCCCATATCTTGCAGCAATATGCAAAGCAGTTTGTCCTGTGCTTTCATCAGTTTTCTTTCACAATTCGTTGTCTTTTTCTATCATTTTTAAAGCCAAAGCTTCATTTCCTTTCGATATACTCTATTTCCATTGATTTATGAATTAATTATACTATAATTTTTCCTAATTAATTTATAGAAAATGCTATAGCTAAATGCAAAGCTCTTGCAGTCGGACTCAACTGGCTTAACAAATCATTTATTTCTAACCTAAACTCAATCCCCATCTCCAAAATTTCATTCGGGATTTCCTTATCCCACTTTCCCAGTACCAGATCCGCAATTTTCTTACTCCTTCTAAGCCCAAGCCTCAACTCTTCCAAGTTTATATCCCTTTTCGAATTTTCCAAAACCCACAAGGTATTTTCATCATTTCCTTCTTCTAAACAATAAGAAATGAAATCATCAGGATTCCTTGACGAGTAACTAAACAATTTTTGTATTATAGGAAATTTGCCGTCTTTTAAGCCAATTTTTATAGTATTTTCGTCACATATAGCATTTCGTGACAGTAAAAGATCAACAACTTTTTCTTTATTAAAATGAATAGAGTCTTCAAGGGAAGTCCAGCCATTTTTGCATTTGGAATTTATATCAACTCCATAGTCAAGCAAAATCTGGACACAATCCACATGTCCGCGGTAGCAAGCTTGATGAAGAGGTGGGTATCCATAGGAGTTTTGGTGATATACGTTCCCTCCTCTAGCTATTAAAAGTTTTAAAGAATTCTCTGCCTTTGTAGAGGCAGCTATACATAAAGGGGTATTCCCAGAATCGTCCATAGCTTCTATATCAGCTCCATGGTCTAATAAAAGTTCAGCAGCTTCAGGACAGTCATTTGAATTTTTTCCCATTTTTTTATGAAGTCTCCCTCCTGCGCAGCCCCATACTGCATTATGTAAAGGCGTCCTTAATTTACCATCAGGCGTATTCAGTTGTATCTCTGGGATTTTTAATAAATATTTTATAATATCGATCGCGCCATTCCATGCAGCTTTACTCAAAGCAGTCCTCCCCAGAATAGTTCTAGCATTAGCATCACATCCTTTTTCTATCAAAATATCCAAAATATCAAGCCTTTGTGCGCTTGCAGCCCAAAAAAATAGGGACCTTTTTTGGTTTTCTATGTGAAATACATTAGCTCCCAGCGTAACCAAATACTTAAACATCTCAATATTTTTGCATTTTACTGCATAAAAAATTGGGGTTAGTCCTTCTTCGTCTAAAGTCTCAATGCTTGCCCCGTTTTCTATTAATTTGTTTAAAGCTTCGAAATTTCCGAGCTTGCAGGCTATGTGGATAGGTCTTGGTCCTTCACATATAGAATCTCTGGCATTTATATTGACAAGACCTAGGAGACTTTGAAATTTTTTCATGTCGTTGGATTTTAAGGCCTCAATGAGTCTGGAATCGATGATCTCAGCATGTTTTTTGTAAATTTCATAACTTTCGTCAGGAAAAATAGTAAAAATGTGATGGAACCAGCGGCAGAGATGCTGGGGCTTTAATTTGCTGGTGAGGAGCTTGGCAAAGGATGGGATATTTTTGAGCTTGTAGGCGAGGTAGAAATCTTCTGAGGAGAGCTGAGGACCAGTGAGGAAGGTTTTTGAGAGGAGATATTCATTTATGTAGCCATAAGAAAGGTGAGGCTTCTCGTAATTAATAGAATCAATGAAGGAAACCCATTCAGAGCTTGGTGGACGAGAATTGCAAAATTTTGAAAGCGCTTCTTGATACCAATCCATGTTAATTGGGAGATCTAATAAAAGCCTTTTTTTAATAAATAGGTGAATAATTAGTTATAAGAAAATAATAATATCTCAGCGGGTCTCAATTATATAACTTCCCCTCCAAAGCGAATAAGCCATTGGGAAAATCCACGTTTTTGGATAAAGTTATCATCTATGAGTGAGCAAAAAATTTTTGATATGTAATTGCTAATTAAAATAACGAAATTTCTAGACACCATTGCTGAATCTCCAACAAATTGTTTTTAAAACATAAATTTTTATAATTAAATTAATTTTCAATTTCTACGATTGAGATTTTATAAAAATTTTACCCCTAAATTTATTATATATCGCTCATATCCCTATTTAGATTTCTTTATCAAACAAAATGGACTCTTGACGAACAAGACAGACTCTTTCAAAGAGATGAGCTCAATCTCTATATCTGGTAGTGTTAAAAACTGTTGACAAATAAACGCACCAAGTTTAAAATGGCTTTATTATTAAATTAATTTAAATTAACTCCCCCCCCCCCCCTCCGTGAGCGAACAAAAAAATTTTGTTCGCTCACGGAGGGGGGTTTAATTTTTTTTTTTAAAAAAAATTTTATATAAAATTTTTTATAAAAAATATTTTTTTCGAAATTAAAAAAAATCCTAATTTGCAAAAATTGGGAAGCAAATATTAATTTAATTTGCAAAATTTATGTTTTAAAACGCAATTTTTTTAAAATTAAACAGAATTAGCTCTAGATTTCATTATACTAATTATCACTTATATATCAAAATTTTTTTCCATTAAAATTTTTTCTATTAAAAAATTTTTGTTCACACTCACGGAGGGTGGGTTTTTGGTCAAAAAATGGCGATTTTTTCTAATGGTTTTGTTCGCTCACGGAGGGGGGGGGGGGAGTAAGGAAGATAAAAATATAAAGCATTATTGTTTATTTATAATATTTTACTACCATAAAAAAGTAACTCGATCGATAATTTATTAAATTTTAATTTGTTGACGAGCATTAATATGAGCCATTAGGAACTTTCGCTAAGACCAATTAGCGTGCAATACAAACTTTGGATTTTACAGACACTTATAAACACTCCCTGATATAGAGATTGAGCTCATCTCTTTGAGAGAGTCTGTCTTGCTCGTTCAAGAGTCCATTTTGTTTGATAAAGAAATCTATATAGTGGTATGAGCTATATAATTTTTTAAAAAAAAAAAAAACTTCTCTGCAAGCGAAATATTTAATTATTTGTACATATGGAGTAAGGTAACTTAAAAAACAATAATTATTTGTCAATTATTTTTGGGGCAGATTCTCTTAATAACATTTTTATATGAATTTCTGCATAATCTCAAAAAGCCAAAGGCTTATGGATTTAAAGTAATAGTAATACTTGAATTTTCAGAATTTAGCATATAATACTTCATATCTATCACTAATTTTTCCGTGTATTCTATAAAGGCTTGAAATTTCATCAAAGTTTGGCAGCAAGTTTCAGCATAGCTTGGAGAAGTTGACCAATCATAATTTCTAAGTTCTAAGAACTAAACAAATATTAAAGTTTATAGCTAAAAAGATAAAAATTGTATAAGGCGAGCTTAGGATATAGTAAGTCTATTAATATTTAGATTAAGTAGAAGAAACTTACGAATCCTAGTAATAACCAGGAAATTCCTAACTCCAAAGCTCCAGAGCTTCTATCAATGCAGGTATCAGTTGAATTGCTGAATCTCTTACTCCTTATTAAACATTATCACCTTTTTTGTTTGTTTTTTTTAAATATTACTAAATCCTGAAAATTATTAATGCTTTTTAAAATAATAAATGCCTATTACTATTTGAAGAATTAGAAGTACCTATACAAGAGCAAGTGCCATTCCTATTATTAACCATATTATCAGCGTCATAACAATCCAAGCAGTTATTCTTTGCCTGGCAATTGCTGCAAGTTTCATCACATTTCTGACAAGTTTGTGTATCTTCATCAGCATACGTATGCAAAGGACAGGAGCATTGATGCGTCGTAGGATTAAACGTCTGCAGTTCATAAGAGCACACGCAATTTCCTTTCCCAGTATTCGTCATATTTGCCTCAAAGCACTGTGTACAAAAAGTGGCGCTTCCACAGACTTCACATCCAGACTGACACTGAGTACAAGTGTCTACATTTTCATAGAACCCAGAATTGCAAATACAATTAGGATCATTCTGCTTGAAGCCGGCATTTGGGTCATTACAAACACAAATTCCATTTTTAAGGGTTGAATGAGGGTCAGAGCAGGTCTGGCAGTTATTGGCAGCTGTACAAGTAACACAGCCAGCAGGGCATTGGTCACAGGTATTTCCATTTTGATAGTAGCCTACAGAGCATACACAGGTCTGGGTGGCTGAGTTATAAGTCCAAGCTGGAGTCCCATTACATAAGCAAGCTCCATTAATTAACGACTGCTGGGCCGTGTCAAAGCATTGAGTGCATTCAACTGCTGAGTTGCAGGTCTTACAGCCTAAAGAGCAAGCTACACAAGTGCTTCCATTCTGGAAGTATCCATTATTACATACGCAAAGGTTCTGGTTATCATTAAAAGTTGAATTAGGATCGTCACATGAACAACTCCCATCACTATCAATAGTCATATTAGGGTCCCAACAAGTCTGACAATTAGCTAAGCTTGTACATACCTTGCATCCTTCTGAGCATGAAGTACAGATTCCTGAGTTATTAGGGTCGCTGAAATACCCAGCGTTACAGACACACATATTAGTGCTAGGGCTAATATAAGCATGCTCATCATTACAAATGCATTGATTTAGCTGTGAATTATAAGCTGCTTTAGGATCATAACATGCCTGACAAGATGCAGGGGAATTACAAGTTTTGCAACCATTAACACATGGAGAGCATACAGTGTTTGAAGAGAAAAAGTACCCTTCATTGCAGACACAAGCGTTATTTGATAAAGTAGACTCATCTGGACATGCGCAAGTAGGGGCTGATGACATATGGGTGGAGTCTATACATGTGGCACAGTTATTAGAGGACACAGTGCATGTCGCACATTGAGTACCACAAGCTGAGCATTGAGTGGAGGAGCTAAAATAATACCCAGTGTTGCAGACACAAGCAGCCTCAACAAGAGTTGATAAAGCGGGGCATGCACAGGCTGGGGCTGCTGACATATGAGTTGAGTCAGTACAAGTTAAGCAATTATTTAAAGATGTTACACAGGAATTACAGTTTGGAGCACATGCAGAGCATACTGTATCAGAACTGTAAAAATAGCCAACATTACATACACAAGTTTGGCCTTGCAAAGCCCCATTTGTGGGACAAGAGCAAGTAGGGGCAGCTGACATGTGGGTAGGATCAATACAAGCTGTGCAGGTCGCTGAGTTAGTTTGACAAGTGGCGCACTCAGGGTCACAAGCAGAACAGACTGTATTGGTGCTGTAATAGTACCCTGCATTGCACTGACAAGCAGCTCCTACTAAAGCTCCATTAGTTGGACAAGAACAGTTAGGCGTTGCTGACATATGGGTGGGATCAGAGCATGTCACACAATTAGCTGCTGAATTTCTGCAAGTTGCGCATTGGCCACTACAAGCTGTGCAAGTACTTCCACTCAGCCAGTATCCATTAGCACAAGAAGTGCAAGATGTTGAAGACCCAGAACATGCGGTGCAAGTAGGATCGCAAGCTATGCAGTTATTGCCGCTGAGGTAGTATCCAGCAACGCAGGATTGACAAGTTTGGGCAGTGCCTGAACATTGTAAACAAGGAGTTTGGCAGGTATCGCACGTCCCACCGTTGTTGAAATAGCCGCTATTGCAGATGCAGACTTTTGATTCGACTACAAAAGATGCGTTAGGGTCTTTGCATGTGCAGGTGTTGGTGGTTGGGTTAAGATTCATGTTATTTATGTCATTGCAGACTGTGCAGGTAGTTGCAGATGTAGAGCATTGGGCGCATGGTGGGTTACAAGCAGAACACGTGTTTTGATTTAGCCAAAATCCATTAACACAAGCCGTACAAGTAGATATAGATGTCGAGCATTGTGTGCAAGGCAATTCGCATGCTGTGCACTCTCCAGCTATACTTGTAAATCCTGAATTACATTGGCAAGTTGCAGTTCCAGTATTAAAAGACGCATTTGGATCAGTGCATGTGCAAGTTCCATCAACATTTAAAGTCATGTGTTCTGAATCATCGCAAGACTGGCATGTAGTTGGAGAATCACTGCACGTGGCGCAAGGCGCTGTACAGGTTGTGCAAACGTTTCCGTGGAGGTAATAACCATTGATGCAATTGGTACATGTATTAGATGATGTAGAGCATTCAGAGCATGGCGAATTACATGCGGAGCAAACTGTAGGTGTGCTATAATAAAATCCAGGGCTGCATACACAACTTCCACCAGTCAAAGCGCTATTTTCAGGACAGCTGCAAGCTGGAGCAGCTGTTGTATGAGTTGTGTCAGTACAGGTCAGGCAATTAGTATTTGAATTGGCACATGTTGCGCATTGAGAAGCACAGGCAGTACAAGTAGTGGCTGATGAAAAGAAATATCCGGTGTTGCAAGTACAAGTTGTTTCTGTTAGTGAACCATTAGCTGGGCATGCGCATGCAGGAGCTGCTGACATGTGAATGGTATCAGAACATGTTAAGCAGTTTCCTGCGTTATTTTGACATGTAGCACAGTTTGTATTACAAGCAGAACAGACAGTGTTTGTGCTAAAGTAATATCCGGCGTTGCAAGTGCAAGTTGCTCCTGAGAGTGCTCCATTAGTTGGGCAGGAGCATTGAGGAGCTGCTGACATATGAGTTGGATCGACGCAAGTCACACAAGTCCCAGCGGCTCCACTACATGTAGCGCAGTTGGTATTGCAAGCAGAACAAACAGTATTTGCGCTAAAGTAATATCCGGCGTTGCAAGTACATGAATCTTTATGAATTGACTTCGTTGAAAATGTAACCGTTCTAATGGGCTTCATATCTAGTTTATCTTAGACCCTCACTATTTAGAGAAATATTTAGATTATCTCTTTTAAGCTAGTTCAATATAGCTTTATATCATTTTTTTTAATAATATTTTGAAAAATTTCTAATAATTAGCAAATGTTCGGCATGAAGCCAAGGCATATTTTACAAGTAAAATAGCTCTTCTCTTTTATATTTGAAAAATGGTAAATTCGCGGTAAAATGGCTTGGCCCAAATATGAGATTAAAAAATTGCAAATCAATCATTGGCAAGTGTGAACCATTTTGATAATTAAACGAGCCATTTTTAAAAGTGGCTTAATACAAAAATTAAATTTTAAGTTAAGTTAAGTTAAGTTAAAAGGGTATTCTTCTTAATGTAAATTAAATAAAAAAAAAAAATTTTTTATCAAGCTTCAAATACTTAAAATATGAAGTTGCAGAAAGAGCTGCGTAAGTTGAGACAAGAGTTTAATTTTTGTTATAGGAAACGGTGACATAAAGAACAAAAAAAATAAAATAAAAATGTTTGCTTCCCCAGAAACAGGAAATTAAAGTCACAATAAATAGCTATTATTAGTTATAATATGTAGTTCCAGATCAAACTACATGAGGGAGAATAAGAACTTTGATTTCTTATGTCTTCGAAACTCAAGATGGCTATATAAGAAACAAAATTAAAAATCAAATAGTGTGCTTGTCCAAAAATGATAAAATAGATCTAAGTATTCCTTATAAACCCTTCAAATATCAAGCTCCTGATAAAACAGCACGAGATGGAATAAGAATTTTAAATTTTTATTATGAATTAAAAAATCAAGATGGCGGGCGGTATAACAAGCAACAACAAAAAAATAAATTTGTATGCTTGTCCAAAAAGCGAAAATAAAGTTATAATATATCTTAATAAATACAGAGGCAGATAAGAATTTTAATTTTTTATTGCTTTTAAAATCAAACGAATAAAAAATTACACAAAAATAAATTTTTGTGTTTGTCCAAAAAGTGGAAAATTAAGATGGCGATATAACGAACAAAAAAAATACAAAAATAAATCTGTGCGCTTGTCAGAAAGCAGAAAATAAAATTATAAATAATTAATGTTATTTCAATAGTTTTCTTTAATCAAAATTTAATTTTTGTATTAAGCCACTCTTAAAAATAGCTCGTTTAATTGCCAAAATGGTTCGCATTTGTCAAGTTTTTATTTTCAATTTTAATCTCATATTTGGGCCAAACCCATTTTACCGCGAAATTATCATTTTTAAAATATAAAGAGAGAATCTATTTTAATTATAAAATATGCCTTGCTTTATTTTGCCGAACATTTGCTAATTATGAGAAATTTTTCCAAAATCAATTATATAAAACAATATTGAGCTAGTTTAAAAGGGAATTTTTTATTATAATCTGAATATTTCTCTAAATAGTGAGGGTCTAAGATAAACATGGTATGAAGTTTATTAGAATGGTTACATTTCAATGAAGTCGACTCATAAAGATTCATGGGCTATACATGTTGCTTGGTCAAGCACAGGTCGCAACCAGGCACCCCCACACCTCCTAAAAGTGGTACCCCATCCCCCCATCCCCCTAAAAAAATGGACTCCCCTTTCACAGATGGCACCTCCACCCAACCCCCCTTAATATAGCACAAATATATGACAAATGCCAATTTAGGCGTAATAAATAAATTATAATTTTAATTATTCAAAGTTACTGATTTATACAATATTCACATAGATTAGCACAATCGATTAAGGATTAGGTGGACTGGGTTGAGAGTTTTTCCTATAACTACTAAGACACCACATCTTAAGAAATTTGTTAGCAAGCATAATAATGATCTTTAGTTTTAATTAGCAGCATATCCTGCATATATTTATGAACTTTGTGGAACAATGGCTAGAGAGTCGAATTAGAGATCAAAAGTAAAACTGGCAATAGCAAATACTATTTTTTATTAGCACTATTGAATCCTGTTGCCAATTCAGTCCTGCAATCCTTGTACAATGGGCATCAGATTAGCTTTAATTTATGAATCAATAAATTATGCAAGTTATTGTATTGTGCTTGGCTCATTTAATAATTAATGCCATTATCAATATCTTTGGGCATTATATTTATAAATATAAAAAAAATTAATATATTTTCTAATTAATTGTTAATTAATTTAAATTTATTAATTAATCATAAATATAAAGTAATTTATGGACTTAATTTATCAATATAGTGTTTTAATTGGCTTACATTTAAATTATTCTGCTTGTTTCCTATCAATTACTTCTATAGAATAAAACCTTTATTTTTTGAGGGGGTAGGGGTACTATTTTTAGGGGTTGGGGGTTCGCTTATTGAGGGTTGGATGGATCTGGTTGCTACCTATGCTTGACCAGTTGCTCCTGAGAGTGCTCCATTAGTTGGGCATGCGCATTGCGGAGCAACTGTCATATGGGTAGCATCAGAGCATGTTAAGCAATTCCCTGCGCTGGTTTCGCATGCAGCGCAGTTAGTATTGCAAGTAGAACAGACAGTATTCGTGCTAAAGTAATATCCGGCGTTGCAAGTACAAGTAGTATCTGAGAGAGCTCCGTTGGTTGGACATTGGCATTGTGGAGCAGCTGTCATATGAGTGGTATCAGAACATGTTAAACAGTTTCCTGCGTTATTCTGGCAAGTCGCACAGTTTGTATTACAAGCAGAGCAGACAGTGTTCGCACTAAAATAATATCCTGCCTTGCAAGTACAAGTTGTACCTGAGAGAGCTCCATTAGTTGGGCAGGAACATTCAGGAACAGCAGTCATATGGGTAGGATCACTACATTGAGTACATGTATTTATTGCCCCTGAACAAGCTGTACACTGAGGAGCGCATGCTGAGCAAACAGTATTCGCACTAAAATAGAAGCCAGTATTGCAAACACAATTTGATCCGGTTTGTGCTGAATTTGCTGGGCAGGCACATGCTGGAGCTGCTGTCATATGAGTCGAATCTGCACAACTTACGCAACTATCAGCCGCACCACTGCAAGTCGCACAATTGGTATTACAGGCAGCACAAGTGCCAGGGGTTCCAAAGTAGCCTGAATTGCATTGGCAAGTTGTCTGCTGAGTATTATACGAAGCATGCTGATCTGTGCAGGCACAAACACCACCAGTAAGAGTAGTATCTTCAGGATCGTTACAGGACAAACAATTTCCTGCTGAATTTTCACAGGTTGCACATGGCGCTTGACATGGCAAACAATTACCGCCACTTTCATAGTAGCCAGCATCGCATGTAGTGCAGTCAGTAGCTGAATTGGTGCACGAAAGACATGGTGGTTCACATGCTTGGCAAACTCCAGCGTTGTTCCAATATCCTGTGTTGCAAACACAAGTATTAGTCCCAGTATTAAAAGTGGCATGGGCGTCTCTACATATGCAAGTTCCTGCGTTGTTTACCATGTTATCTGCATCATAGCAAGTTGTACAGAATGCTGGAGTTCCAGTGCACTCAGCGCATGGAGGTGTGCATGCTGAGCAAACAGTATTCGCACTAAAGTAAAAACCGCTGTTGCAAATGCAAGTTGTTCCTGAGAGAGCTCCATTAGCTGGACATGCACATGCAGGAGCAGCTGTCATATGAGTTGGATCAACACAGGTGGCACAATTTGCTGCTGTACCAGTACAGGAATCGCAGCTGGGGTTGCAAGCGGTGCAAGCAGTATTTGAGCTAAAGAAATAGCCAGTGTTACAAACACAATTTTGTCCTGAGAGAGATCCATTAGTAGGGCAGGCACATGTGGGAGTAGCTGACATATGAGTTGGATCGACGCAAGTAAGGCAATTGTTAGCAGCTCCACTGCATGTGGCACAGTTGGTATTGCAAGCAGAACAGACAGTGTCCGCGCTAAAGTAAAATCCAGTGTTGCAAGTACAAGTTGTGCCTGAGAGAGCTCCGTTAGCTGGGCATTGGCATTGTGGAGCAGCTGTCATGTGAATGGTATCAGAGCATGTTAAACAGTTTCCTGCGCTTGTTTGGCATGTAGCGCAGTTTGCATTACAAGCAGAACAGACAGTATCCGCGCTAAAGTAAAATCCAGTGTTACAAGTACAAGTAGTACCTGAGAGAGCTCCGTTGGTTGGACATTGGCATTGTGGAGCAGCTGTCATATGAGTGGTATCAGAACATGTTAAACAGTTTCCTGCCGAGTTTTCGCACGTCGCGCAGGCTGGATTGCAAGCAGAACAGACAGTATCCGCGCTAAAGTAAAATCCAGTGTTGCAAGTACAAGTAGTACCTGAGAGAGCTCCGTTGGTTGGACATTGGCATTGTGGAGCAGCTGTCATATGAGTGGTATCAGAACATGTTAAACAGTTTCCTGCGCTTGTTTGGCATGTAGCACAGTTTGTACTACAAGCAGAACAGACAGTGTCTGCGCTAAAGTAAAATCCAGTGTTGCAAGTACAAGTAGTACCTGAGAGAGCTCCGTTGGTTGGACATTGGCATTGTGGAGCAGCTGTCATATGAGTGGTATCAGAACATGTTAAACAGTTTCCTGCGCTTGTTTGGCATGTAGCACAGTTTGTACTACAAGCAGAACAGACAGTGTCTGCGCTAAAGTAAAATCCAGTGTTGCAAGTACAAGTAGTACCTGAGAGAGCTCCGTTGGTTGGACATTGGCATTGTGGAGCAGCTGTCATATGAGTGGTATCAGAACATGTTAAACAGTTTCCTGCGCTTGTTTGGCATGTAGCACAGTTTGTACTACAAGCAGAACAGACAGTGTCTGCGCTAAAGTAAAATCCAGTATTACAAGTACAAGTTGTTCCTGTAAGTGATCCATTAGTTGGGCATGCGCATTGTGGAGCAGCTGTCATGTGGGTGGTATCAGAGCATGTTAAACAGTTTCCTGCGCTTGTTTGGCATGTAGCGCAGTTTGTACTACAAGCAGAACAGACAGTATCCGCGCTAAAGTAAAATCCAATGTTGCAAGTACAAGTTGTACCTGAAAGAGCTCCGTTAGCTGGGCATTGGCATTGTGGAGCAGCTGTCATGTGAGTGGTATCAGAGCATGCTAAACAGTTTCCTGCGCTTGTTTGGCATGTAGCGCAGTTTGCATTACAAGCAGAACAGACAGTATCCGCGCTAAAGTAAAATCCAGTGTTGCAAGCACAAGTTGTACCTGAAAGAGCTCCGTTAGCTGGGCATTGGCATTGTGGAGCAGCTGTCATGTGAGTGGTATCAGAGCATGCTAAACAGTTTCCTGCGCTTGTTTGGCATGTAGCGCAGTTTACATTACAAGCAGAACAGACAGTATCCGCGCTAAAGTAAAATCCAGTGTTGCAAGCACAAGTTGTGCCTGAGAGAGCTCCGTTAGCTGGGCATTGGCATTGTGGAGCAGCTGTCATGTGAGTGGTATCAGAGCATGTTAAACAGTTTCCTGCGCTTGTTTGGCATGTAGCGCAGTTTGTACTACAAGCAGAACAGACAGTATCCGCGCTAAAGTAAAATCCAATGTTGCAAGTACAAGTTGTACCTGAAAGAGCTCCGTTAGCTGGGCATTGGCATTGTGGAGCAGCTGTCATGTGAGTGGTATCAGAACATGTTAAACAGTTTCCTGCCGAGTTTTCGCACGTCGCGCAGTTTGCATTACAAGCAGAACAGACAGTATCCGCGCTAAAGTAAAATCCAATGTTGCAAGTACAAGTTGTGCCTGAGAGAGCTCCGTTAGCTGGGCATTGGCATTGTGGAGCAGCTGTCATGTGAGTGGTATCAGAGCATGCTAAACAGTTTCCTGCGCTTGTTTGGCATGTAGCGCAGTTTGCATTACAAGCAGAACAGACAGTATCCGCGCTAAAGTAAAATCCAGTGTTACAAGCACAAGTAGTACCTGAGAGAGCTCCGTTGGTTGGGCATGCACATGCAGGAGCAGCTGTCATATGAGTGGTATCAGAACATGTTAAACAGTTTCCTGCCGAGTTTTCGCACGTCGCGCAGGCTGGATTGCAAGCAGAACAGACAGTATCCGCGCTAAAGTAAAATCCAGTGTTACAAGTACAAGTAGTACCTGAGAGAGCTCCGTTGGTTGGGCATGCACATGCAGGAGCAGCTGTCATGTGAGTGGTATCAGAACATGTTAAACAGTTTCCTGCCGAGTTTTCGCACGTCGCGCAGACTGGATTGCAAGCAGAGCAGGTTCCTTCCCCATTTAGAAAATAGGTATCAATGCACTTTATACAATTTTCATTATTAGTATCGCATTCTGCACAGTTGTTTTGATTAGCTTCGCAAGCTCTAAGAATTGGAACATTTTGATCCAAGAAATTCTGTATTTCTTCCTGCATTGCTTTCTTTTCTTCTTCTCTATCCTCAAAAAGCGCATTTGAAATTGCAATACTTAATTCCTTCACTTGTGAACTTTCATCAAGAATCTTAAACTCTTTCTCATTGATTCTCAACACAGCAGACAAAAGGATTTTATTATCACTCAGCTCGCATCTCTTTGAGGTAATAACTCCTTTATTTTTATTGCTGACAGCAATAATCGCAATATCCGCTCTAAGATTTTGACTTTTTAAGGCTTTGCTGGACTCGATATCTGTGCATCGATTATTCTCTCCAAGTCTGAGCAGTTCTGTTGAAGACCGTGTGAGTACCAAATCAGAAATAATTTTTGCTGAAGCATTCAAAACCGCTTGCAGGTTTCTGATGAGTTCCTCATCGGCAAAGGATTTTTCAATAACTTCAGTATGGATCTCTAAAGGCAGAAGGTCTTGTTGGTGAAACTCGGCAAGCCTTTTCGGAGTAAATTGAAGGGAATCGATGGGGTCTTTAGCTTTAAACTGGGAAGAAGAAGCCACAAGATGAAGAAATGTGAACATGATAACCCATAGGACAGTTCCTTTCAACATTTTATTATCACCACATCTAGCCATGCATGAAAACTTATTCAACTGATTGTAGGTTTGGAGATATGGTGAAAAAATGCAAAATTAGCTGAAAATTGAGATATTTATTAGAATTAAAATTAAAGAAAAATTTCTGAATTTCTTATAGTTTGGGCTAAAATGAAGCAGAAATTAAGTAACTAAATGAATAAAATTTCATTTACTAGCTTTAAAGATCCATAATAGGGTGATGAGGCCATTCTTCATATTTCTTAAATATTTCACTTAAGGCTGAGAAAGGGATCTAAAATATCGATTTGGAATAGATTACTGAAATTTTGTGATTAACTAGAAATTAATCTGTCCTTGAAGCTAGAGTTTGCTGCTGATAAATTGCAATCAATGATTCAAGAAGAGTTTATTTTTCAAGATATTGCATCAGAATACCAAGAAGGTAAGTATAGTCAGCTCAGAAAAATTCATATTTAAGTTTAGTTTGGCACCAGCTGTAATTTTATCCTAAGTTCTGAAATTTTTGAATTTAATAAGCTTTCATTATTTTTATTAATGGAGAGAGCATAGGAAATTTAAGCGAAAAGAAATAAAATTTTATTTGAAGCTATTTAAACAAAATTCTTTAGTTAAAAAAGGCTAAGTCGGCTTTTATAATATTTTACATTAAATATAATTTTCAATGATAGCCCCAGTAAAAATTTTGATAAAAATTCCCCCTCCTCCATTACTAATTTAAAAGTCTTAAATCACTTAGTAAATATTAAAAGTATTTAATGAAAAATCGTTTTAATTTAAAATTTTAGTTAGGAAAGAGAAAGAGCAAGAGTCTTCAAGCTGAGATCTTTAAAACAAATCAAGCTAAGGAACTTCTTAAGATAGCCAAATCTATATTAATATTTGTGAGCTCAAAAAATATTATTTTAAAGAAGTAATTTGTACCTCTCTTTTGCAAACAGCTATGAAATCGTATATAATAAGAGATTAGGGTGCCAAAAACAGATTGATGTGTGTTTTAAGTTTTGAAAAGAAAGCGGAAAAATAGGCATTAATCCTTTAAAGAGTGCTGGATAAATTAAGATGGACATTTATTAATTAGACACTTACAAACTTTGTAAAGCATTTCGCTAAAAGACAATGAGATTGCCAAAGACTTGCCATTGAGCAAATTATCAGATTTTTTCTATTTTGACCAAAAAATATTTATTTTTATCTCTCTCCAAAATCAAAATATAACGCTAGCTCCTTACTATAATTTAATTTGCTGAAAATTCATTGAATGTTTTTGAAAAGGAAATAATCATTATTCTCGGTAAATTAGCTTAAAATTATTAATTATTTAATGGCTTGATATCTTTGAAGCCTCCTTCTTTATTTCTAATATACTTCAAAATTTTATCAAAGCAATGATAAAAAGGATTTGCAATAAATTTTTCATCAGGGAGTATTTCTTTGTGGATTTTGCGAATATTAATTGAGTCAGCAATCTCTTTCAATTCATTATAATCCGGATCTTTTTCAAATTTTTTAAGTAGCTTTTGCTTATTTAAATTATGATACTCGTCTAGAGCCTTTTTAACCATAAAAGTATAACTTTTTTTTGTGTTTCAGCTTCCTTCGTGAAATTTTAAATTTAATAAATTTGCATTTACCCCGTATTTTAGCTTAATATCTGACTTATTTAGTAGCCGAAATTTATGAGTTTTTTCCCTGCAGTTCCAGCAAAGTGGTTTTTTTAGCATTGGGCATCTATAAAAGTTTTGATCAGTAAGTATTTTATGACACCCGATGCAACCCTGAAAAGGTAAAAAAATAAAAAAAATCTAAAATAATTTTTACCCTTAAAAAATTGCAGAATTTTTTAATTGCTGAATTTAAAAATAGCTATTATTTTTTATATAAAAATGGCTCTAAAATACCATAGAAGGTTTCCCCATTGAAAAGCCATTGATATATATTTATCCTTTCACTTCGAGCATTGCTCTTCAGGATCATTAAATTCTTTTACATAGTAAAAATGCCAAAGTTCTTCATCTCATGTGATATGATAAAACTCCCTGCAAACTAACGTAAGAGTTCTAGAGACCTCTCAGGGAGAAATAAACCTAAAAACTTCTATCCAAGCTCTTCTATATTTCGATGGAGTTGATTCTACTTGTTTAATCAGATTAAGAGGAGCATGATAAGGCTTGTCAATAGGAGCATAATTTTGGTTCCATTTCTCAAGCCACGCATAAAACTTTTTAGCATCTTCATCTTTTAAATAAACCGATATATCGCTTTCACAGATATATTGCTTAACTTTTGGGGTATAGCAATCCAGGTGATAATTTTCGGAGCCGTTCATGTGATAAATGTGAATATTGATGTCGTTCTTTTTAATTCCTTCCCTGCATACCCAGCAGCGAGTTTTTATTGTTCGTGATAACTTTGCAGTGAAATTTACTCTGAACATTATAAATATTATTTGGAAATTCACTAATAAATAATGGAGTGTCTAGGGTGTCTGGCGAAGGTTGCATTTCCATGTCCAATGTATTGGAAGCTTCGTTAAGGCACTTTAGGAGGCGCTGAAGCTGGACAGAGGTTAGTAAATAGAAAAAGAATTGCAGTTTGAAAGCTTATTTATTAAGACAGAGAGCAGATGTAGCATTGGTATTTAGCTTCAGCTGAGCTTGGTTCTTAAACTTAATTAAAATTATCATAGATGGATTAGTGCTAGTTTTCGCGTGGAGCAAGCAGCCCTTTGCATAGAATTTGATATATAAGAAGAGATAGCTGCAAAAGCAAGAATTATTCCATGATAAGCTATAGAGTAATGAAAAGTATGATTTGTATAAATAATCAAACTCTTGAGTCTTTTTAATCATTTCTAACTCCCCCCTCCATGAGTGAACAAAAAAATTTTGTTCACTCACGGAGGGCGGTTAATTTTTTTTTTTAAAAAAAATTATATTAAATTTTATAGAAACAATTTTTTTTCGAAATTTTAAAAAATCCTAATTCGCAAAAATCGGGAAGCAAATATTAATTTAATTTATAAAATTTATGTTTTAAAAAGCAATTTGTTTAAAATTAAACAGAATTAGTTCTAGATTTCATTATAAATAATTATCACTTATATATCAAAATTTTTTTCCTTAAAAAATTCTTCTATTTAAAAAAATTTTTGTTCACTCACGGAGGGTGGGTTTTTGGGCAAAAAATGGCGATTTTTCTAATGGTTTTGTTCACTCACGGAGGGGGGGAGTAAGCTTAAAATTCATATATTTCTCGTAATTCTAGCTTAACAATTTTTAGCTCGCATAAGAATTCATAAAATATATATAATTTAAATTAGTATTTATATCCACTTTTTCAACTCAATTCTTAGACTCCTAACTTTTCCATCATTAATCCCTAAATTTTCAACTCTAGAGCTTGACATTTTCATTACTTCAGCTGATTTTGATGCATGCAATTCTTTACTTAGCTCATTTTCACCTCTGATGGAATTTAGCTCATGTCTCTCTCCTTTATGCGGCATTTTGGAGAACCAATGATGCATAAGAGCCTTTTCTGGAGAAATTCTAAGACCAGGATATGAGCAAGCCAATTTAATTCAATTAAATTTTTAGGATTCTTCGTTTTACACCCAATAGCAGGCTGCTTACTGCCACAGCTGGCTTCAACACCAATCTGGGGCATTCTGTCGATTTTCCAGTTTTAAGGATTGGGCTTCAACGACTTTTCTTTTAGCTCAGGCTGCATATTTGGATCCGTCAGGCACCCAGTATCCACTTCTTGGGGCAGTTTGTGCCCTTCTGGGTAATTCGATTCCCTAAGATCAGGATTCAGGAGGAAAAATCACCTGGCTCTTGCTTCAATGGCATAGCTGGAATAATATCACCTAAGGAAACCAAATCTCATAATTAAAATACGCAAAAGAAGAATTTTCACCAGAAATTCTAATTATGCCATATCTTAATTTTGACATGAGCAAGTCAGCTTTTGGACTAAATTTATCCCATCTGGAGATATTTGTGTTAGTGCTTCATCGTGAAAACAAATATGGCAATCTCTATTCTTTTTGTATACATTAAAATGACGACACGTGCAAGCCAGCCCTCTTGGCATAACAGTCCTAACTCTAAGTCACGACGACGAACTGGAACAGACTCCAAGAGCTAAGCAAATCCAGCCTCAGCAAATATGCATCCGGATATATTTTTGCTGCTTTTCTGTATTGAAAATGGAAGTGTCCAGCAATGTTCTTCGAACCCTTTAGTATCCTCTACCGAAAAACGGTGGTTTCAGCCTATACCATAGCGGAATAGTTTTTTTCCCTCTAGCTGCTAAAGAAAGGCATTCTGGGACGAGATAGGCTCCTAGGAGCAAGTCCAAACTACTACCAATCCTGTATTGCATGGCCTCAGAAATCTATAAGCCGCCCACTAGGACTGAAGCCTCAGAAATCTATAAGCCGCCCACTAGGACTAAAGCCTCAAGCAAGGAGTAGAAAACTAAACCGGCTACGGCTAGACTTACTGGGCAGTTAGTCCCAAAGCGAATAAATCTCCCATAAAGAATTCTTGGGGACTGAGTCACAAATATGGCTAGCGCTTGTCTTTAATAATCCTAATCCTCTATTCCTTTCTAGAACCCTTTGAGGGGTAAGCCCTTGGAATGGCATTTTGCCTGCAAGTAAAGTGTAAATAATAATTCCGACGCTGAAAATGTCAACTTTAATGCCATAGGGTTCCTGTCGTAACATTTCAGGAGCTATGTATCCAGGAGATCCGCAGCGAGTTGTGGAATGGTCAGCCAATTCTGCAGCTAGACCGAAATCTATTAGTTTGAAATCATAATCGTTGTCATTAGATTTTAATAGGATATTCTCAAGCTTTATGTCTCGATGGATAACTCCATTAGTCTTTAAATAGTCCAAAACATGGAGCATTTTTTGGGTAAATTTTTTGACAGAATTTTCTGAGGTTTTTGAAAATTTTTTTATAATAAACTTTTTTAAAATATTATTTTCTATAATTTTGCCAAAATAAACCAGTGATTTATAGAAATCTACTTGACCTTTTCTGAAAATCGTTTTTTTTCTATGATACGATGATAAAGATCGCCTCCGCTTACGTAATCCTGCACTAGGTAGATGTTAGAGATGCTTTCGTAAACTTTATAAAGTTTAACAATGTTCGGATGCTTCAGCTTTCTCATAATCTTGATTTCTCTAACAAGAGGCTGGATATCTTGGGCTATTTTTTGCTTTGGGATTACTTTAACCGCATATGACTTTTTGTTATTTTTGCATGTTGCTTCATAGACAGTAGAAAAGGCTCCTTTTCCTATGACTTTTGCAAAAGTAAAGCTGTCCTTAATCCCAGTCATAATTCCTGCGGAAGATAAATGTCCCAGCCACACTTTCAGCTCATTTTCACTATTTGTGTAAAAACATTTGGAATTTGTTGCGTGGCCGATTAGAAAGCCATAAGAAGTTGTCTTTTCTACTTCTGCAATGAATGGCCCAATAAGTTTCCATTCAATATTTACCATAAATTCAGGGCTTTTTGAATCTTTGTTATGCTTAATTAAAAATTTTTTGGTTAAGCTGTATAAGCTTTCTTCAGATTTATCTGGTGCAGTTGATTCAAGTAAAGTTCCTGTGTATAATACAGGAGAATCTTCAGGGATGTAAGCTTTCCAAAATTCTTGAGAGTTCTGAAATAATTCATCTACGCTCGCAAATATCGACATTTCTTATAGTATATATACTCTATAATTAATTATTAGTCTTAAAAATTACTTACTCCCCCCCCCTCCGTGAGTGAAACAAACCATTAGAAAAATCGCCATTTTTTGCCTAAAAAACCCACCCTCCGTGAGTGAACAAAAAATTTTTTTAAATAGAAGAATTTTTTAAGGAAAAAAATTTTGATATATAAGTGATAATTATTTATAATGAAATCTAGAACTAATTCTGTTTAATTTTAAACGAATTGCTTTTTAAAACATAAATTTTATAAATTAAATTAATATTTGCTTCCCAATTTTTATGAATTAGGATTTTTTAATTTCGAAAAAAAAAATTTCTATAAAATTTATATCTAAATTTGTTTTTAAAAAATAAAATTAATCCCCCTCCTTGAGCAAACAAAATTTTTTTGTTCACTCACGAAGGGGGGGAGAGATAGTATGTGATTTTAATTTTGCAAAAATATAGATTTCTCCTATTTAAATAATCTAAGGCTACTTATGAAGAATATTTTATATTATACCGGATCGCAATTTTTTTTAATTTTACTTGTAAAGATGGAATTTCTCTTAAAAGAATTTTTACACTATACTTAGATTTTATTGAGGTTAATAAAAAAAAAAAATTTTATTGGCAGAATAGATTTAATTAATTTTATTGAAGTGAAACTTATACAAATAGACCATTCTGGAATTTTATAAAATCGATTTCATTCAATTCGAGAAAATGAAACCCTTCTAGATGTGAAAATTGAAATATATTTAAAATTTTTTGACAGGAAAGAATTAATTGAATCTTACCTACTCATTTAAATAGAACAAAATAAAGGTAAAATTTTCATTTTTGTTTGTAATCTAGCCAGACATATTTTTTTATCGAACTAAAAATTACATATTTTAATAAAATTAGCTTGATGGAAAAAATGCAATAAAATATTATTTAAACAGTTTTTTACACTGAATCGATTATATTCTAAATTAATTCTTCCTAAAATAAATTAAAATCTGAACAGTTTGCGAATTTATAATTTTTTTTTAAACCCATTTAAATTGAGACAGGATTTTTTGTTCCATTTTAAAGGGGAGAGAGTTAGGTAATTAAAGGGGCTTTTGCTTAAATTGAGTAAATAAATAAATTGGTGCTGAAATGAATTTTAATCAGTGTTTTTATATATGTTTTAGTCTTTTTATAATAAAAATTATAATTTGATTAAATAAGAAATCCTTTGCATGGGATTTTTGGTATAACTTAAAGATAATCTTATGGAAAATTGATAATCAGAGAAGAGGAAATATCAAATTCTTAAATGAGTAAATCGTAATTAATATTATGTTGCCCAAAAAAAAGTGTAATTAAAACAGTTTTTCTATTGAAAAATAAATATTTAGAATATCAGGCAATAGCTTTTTAACTTTAGAAAATGCTCTAATTCTGCTCAGAATTCCATTTTCATCATTTTCTTAATTATAGTAATTCAGGCATTTAAATTCATTTGGATCAATATCAATGCACCATCAAAAATAAAATGATTTTTAAAAAAGCAAAATATTCAAATTATTTATTACGGGCTAAGAACTATTTCTTAAAATTTAATCTAACTTACTCCCTTGGTTAGCGAACGTGTTGTTTTCTGACGAGCTATGGGGCTAATGTTTTTTAGACTTTATATTATTATAAATAGAAAGAAAATATTGAAAATCCAATTTGTGATAAGATACGATTAATTAATTTTAGATTTATGAGTTTCATTTAACGTCAAACATCACATCTCCTGCACTGACTGGCTGCTGTCCGTGCTTCAGTTTCCCCGCTTAGCAGCTATATCATGCACCACCTTAGCTTCAAGGCTGAATGGTGCTCGGCTTCAGCGTTCAGATTTTGTCGGGATTCCTCCAACTCTCTGGCTTGAGCATGAGTTGCAAAATTTTTAAAAATGGAATTTCTAATCGATTCTCGACAAACATGAAAACTTGAAGCTCATGGCGGAACCTTCTTCCGCCAATATATAATCATTTTGTTTTTCCAAGTAGTAAGGTATATCATATCTTATTAGGATTTATTACACCAAATTTATGCAAAAATTAGATTAAAAAGATGCCTTAATAATCTAACTCCCCCCCCCCCCCTCCGTGAGCGAACAAAAAAATTTTGTTCGCTCACGGAGGGGGGGTTAATTTTTTTTTTTAAAAAAAATTTATATATAAATTTTAAAAAAATATTTTTTTCGAAATTTAAAAAAATCCTAATTTGCAAAAATTGGGAAGCAAATATTAATTTAATTTGCAAAATTTATGTTTTAAAACGCAATTTGTTTAAAATTAAACAGAATTAGCTCTAGATTTCATTATACTAATTATCACTTATATATCAAAATTTTTTTCCATTAAAATTTTTTCTATTAAAAAAAATTTTTGTTCACTCACGGAGGGTGGGTTTTTGGTCAAAAAATGGCGATTTTTCTAATGGTTTTGTTCGCTCACGGAGAGGGGGGGGGGGGAGTAAATGAAATAATTATTTACCTAGAGCAAATCAAGCATAATTCAATTCAATCATTAAGTATTTTACCAAATGCTAAATATATTGGAAGAATTTTGATGAATTAGATAAGATAATATTGATTCTATGCATTATGAGAAAATGGGGATTGAATATTTCTGACGTAGAAAGGTCTTATACTCAACAAAGATGAAATTATCATAAACGAAAATCAAAAACCAGGAGCCAATCGAGAATTTTCTCAGCCTGAAGCTGTAGATATCAATCAAGAACAAAACCATGATTATATTAGAGTCCATGGAGCAGCTAGAGGCTATTTAAATAGAAAAGAAATGTCAGTTATAAGGGAAAAAAGCCAAGCTAATAATGCTTAAACCCAGAATCTCTATATAAACCTTATATAGGCTCTATTTCTAGCTAAATATTACCAACTGTTAAAATATTCCAATTTATGATAGTCTGTAGTTTTTTTTCTTATCCTGCTCTTCCTTTAACAAATGGAGCTATTTGTAAAGCGAATGAAATGAAAAGGAGAAAATCATGGAAAATGCGGACGGATCCAAATACCTTGGATTTTTAAAATAATGAGAAGAGTGAAATGGTCTTTCCATTTATCAAGATGGAAAGTCTATGAAGGAGGATTCAAAAATGGGTATATGCGGAAAAAGAATTCTTCATAAGATAACGCTAACTCCCCCCTCCGTGAATGAACAAAACCATTAGAAAAATCCCAAAAGCCCACCCTCCGTGAGTGAACAAAAATGTTTTATGGAAAAAAAATTTTGATATATAAATGATAATTACTATAATGGAATCAAGAGTTAATTATGTTTAATTTTAAACGAATTGTTTTTAAAACATAAAATTTTATAAATTAAATTAGCATTTGCTTTCCAATTTTTGCGAATTAGGATTTTTTAAATTTCGAAAAAAAAAAATTTTTACAAAGTTTATATATAAATTTTTTTAAAAAAAATTTAATCCCCCTCCGTGAGTGAACAAAATTTTTTTGTTCACTCACGGAGGGGGGAGTAAGTGAATTCAAAATGGGTACAAAAGATTTTTATTATAGAGGAATGGAAATGTGCTAGTTTTTGGAGATGCATCCTTTTAAGAAAGAATATTAATATATAAAAATTAAATTACAATAGGGATTTTATGACCCCTTATTCCAGGAGGGCATCCGCTGTTATTTTACAGGTCGCTTACGTCGGCAATTTTATTTATATGAGAATTCAAAGATAATTATCAAGAAGGATATTGGCATTTCATTTGGAATGACGGCAGAGAGTATCAGGGAGAATGAAAAAAGAATAAAATGCATGGAAAAGGAGTCTGAGTTGCTCGCGATGGAAAGAAATATGAAGGGAATTATGAAAGTAATCTAAAGCAGGGGTACCCATTTTTACTTGGTCTATTGAAACAAATTATGACGGAAATTATAAAAAAATAACAATGTCATTTAATTGACAGACTAAGAAAATGGAGGCAAAGGCAGAAGTATGGAAGAAGGAAATATAGTAGAATGAACTATAAATGGGAAAAGAATACAAGTCTCTAACCCAGAAAGTGTTGATTATAGCTATAACTATAGCGAATAATTAGTATTATGATTTAAATATTTAAAGGCTTAAAATATAATTTTTTTAAATACTCTGTCGTGTATGATTTCTGTTTTAAATTCTATTTCTTATTAGCCTTCATTCTAATTATCAATTGCATATATCCGTATTTTCTCATACTTCTTAAATTCCTATTTCATATTTTCTGACTATAAAAAATTAGCTAATACCCCTGCTGCCTATGAAAATTAATCCTTTGCATGAGTGAAAAATTTGTTTTTATGGAGGAGTTATAATTTTATTATTTATTGCCAAAATTGTTTTCGTGAAATTAATTGAAACCTGTAAGAACTTATATACATTAAAATGGCGACACGTGTCAGCCTGCTCTCTTGACGCAACAGTCCAGACCTTATGGATACAGCGAACTGGGATAGATTCCGAGCTAAGAATCAATGCAGGCTCAAGAGATGTGTATCCTGGTAGGTTTTGGCTGCTTTCCTATAGTTGGAAATGGAGATGCTCAACATTTTTCTTAAGATCCGAGGACCCATGGGCATTTCTCAGCCCAGGCCACAGGGGAGTAGCCTTTTTCATGCTACTGTTGAAGGAAAGCACTTCGGCACCCGATAGACTCCCAGTAGCCATGAAATCAAGTTACTCCAATAGCCCGTAGCAACAGAAATCCATAAGCCGCCAATTTAAGACTGAAGCCGCAACGACGTTGTGGAAGTGGCGCAGATCCTCTGGGCTGGAGCCGAAAAGCGCAAGAACCTGCCATACCGGGAGATCTTTGGTGGTGCAGTCACCAATATGGCTAACACCTATTTCTAATAGCCTAACCTAACCTATAAGAACTTATGCTATAAAGACCTCTAGATAAGCTAAATAAGGCAATTATTTTATATTCAATATGATAATTACTATAATATTAATATTACGACTTAAATAATAATTCTATAATTTACGCTAAAATGGGGATTGAATATTCATGCTTGAAGAACGACCTTAGACTCAACAATGATGAAATATTCATTCAAGAAAATAAAGAATTAGCAACAGCTCAAGAGCTCACTCATGAAAGCCATGATTCTGAAATTATTATTGGGGCTCAAACAACTGGCCAAAAAAATAAACGTTACTATATTGAAATCCAAAGCGCAGCAAGAGGCTATTTAGTTAGAAGAGAATGATCTGCTATAAAAAAAATAAATCAGGATAAAAATGAAGAAAGTAAAGAACCATCTGAACATAAAAGTAAAGAAAAAAAGCATGATAAAAGTACCTCAAAATATTCTGCTAATACCCTGCAAACTTCTACTTATTCCTATTTTACTCAAGAAAATGGAGCCACTTATGAAGGCGATTTGAATGAAAAAGGAGAAAAGCATGGAGAAGGTATTGAAATTTACCCAAACGGATGTAAATATGTAGGATTTTATAAAAATAATTTACGAGCGGAATTGGAAGCTATGTTTTCGCAAATGGGAATGTTTATCAAGGAGAGCTTGACAAAGGACAGCCCAATGGAAAAGGAGTTTTTCATGTTAATGGGAGAATAATAAAAGGTGAATTCCAAAACGGTGCCCCAAATGGAGAGGTAACTGAAGAAGCACAGGGATATTTCTATAAAGGAAGCTTCAAAAAACTAAATAGAATTATTACATTTGTAAAAGGTCAGCGGGATGATTTCTACCTACTTCATAGGGAGTGCGCCTTAGAACCTGTCTACCATCAACGCCACAATTTATTTTTGAATACATTAAGGATGCTAGCATATTTCGATTTGGGTTCCTCCAATGAGCGTTTCAGACAGATGCTAATATGCGCAAAAAATTCTGAGTGATCACCTCCATCTTATTAATGTAATAGCTAAAAAAACTGATTAAAAGATGGCCAAGGCTCAATTTGATATGAAGGTGGATCTTTTTATGAAGGAGAATTTAAAGGGGATAAAATTGAAGGGTATGGACGCTTTGTTTTTAACTTCGGGGATGAATACAAGGGAGAGTTTAAAGATGGTAAAATGCATGGAAAAGGAGTTTATAAGTGGTCTGGTGGGAGAAGATATGAAGGGAACTATGCCAATAGTCAAAAAGATGGTTATGGAATTTTTACTCGGCCAGATGGGAGAAAATATGATGGAGGATGGAAAAATGGCCTCCAGGATGGTGAAGGATCATGTACGACCCGATCCAAGATTCCAATGAGAGGAATATGAAAAGACGGAAAATTGATTGATTGATGCATAGAATAATTAATGATTTATAGATTAAGCATAGGGTTATAGATAAATCTTATTTTCACTTTTTAAAAATAAATAATTATACATTAAAATGGTGACACATTCCAACTTGCCATCTTGACATAACAGTCTAGACCTTATGGTTGCGGTGAACTGAGACGGATTCTGAAAAGAGAATTAAATGCAGCCTCAGAAGATGCATATCCTTGTAGGCTTTGGCTACACTCCTGCGGTTGGAAATGGAGGTGCTGGTAATGCTCTTTAGAACCAAGGACTTATATCGAGAAACTGGGGTTTCAGCTCCGGCCACAGGAGAGCAGTCTTTTTTTCTTGTCGTGGCCGATGGGAGGGACTTTGGCATTCGACAGACTCGAAGTAGTTAATCCATGGAATCAAGCTGCCCCAGTCTCCCGTTGCAGAGGAATATAAATCCATAAGCCGCCCATTCAAAACTATGGTCCAAGGCAAGGAGGACACGAAAGGTACTGGAAGCGGAATCCACCTGGAGAGACCCTCTGGGCTGGAGTCGAAAAGTGGTTGAACCTCCGTATATACATTAAAATGGCGACGGCGAACCAGCCTTTTTCTCAACAGCCGCACCCGGCGTTCGCTGGGGACCGTGTGGAAGGGAAATAGGCTCTCGGGGTGCATATCCGGCCAGGTTTTTCCTTGGCACAGTAGAGCGCAATGTCTGACTAAGCCAATCGCAGCTCATTCTGACACCAAGGTTTTTTGCCTTAGGCGAAATGGTTTCCAAGGTTGGAAAGGGGAAGCTCAGCCATATCAGGAAGGCACCTCCTGATCAATCGGGCAACTCCCTAGCGTGAAACTGGGCGTTATGTCCCAGGCTTTGGATTCATTAGCCGACAGTCCTATCAGAAAATTTGTTTTTCAAATGTTCGGAATGGGCTCCTCTGTTGACGTACTGCTGGGTGGCGTAACTCATCTAACTACGGGTAGCGAGTGCAGATCCTCGTCCGGAAGGAGCAACACTTTTAAGGTCGTGATTGACTGGTGGTGAGCAACCGAGTGAGCGTGAAGGGTGAAGGTAGAGCGGGGAAACCCTAGCTATTACGACGGGCCTCTCTATAATATTAGTTAATGCTAATGTTAATGGTTGAACCTCCAGTACTTGAGGTATTTGATGACTGCGTCACCAATATGGCTAGCGCTTGATTTTCAATAATCCTAATCTTGAATAAATAATTTCAACCTTAAATTTCTATTTTTATGCATACTAAGATACTTAAACTATAGCACTAGATGATATAGTTTTTCAGCTTCCAAGTGTTTTAAAATAAAATAGATAGAGAGAGTTAGTTAGATAACGGGGTGTGTTTCAACCCCTGATCCATTCGAGCTTCAGCTTCACCGCTTGTGTGGCTCTAAGCACTAAAGCCACCCAACGCCCTTTTCTGACGACTTCACCAAAAATGTGACATTGACATCTTTGGAGAGACTCACCCTAGCTTGCTTGGACCAAAAATCTTCAGCAAAAGACTCTCTTAATCCCTGACAGTGCACAGGATATCAGGAAACCATCTGATCCTCTTTCTGGAACTGCCTCTGCCATTTAAAAGCAACACATTGCTGCTCCAGAAGAGCTCGATTGATGCTGCGCCATTGGTTTTCTTGTCTGTGGGCCAAGGGGAGCCCAGTTAGCCCGACCGCACCCACCCCGAAGATCTGCCGCCTGCGACCACGCGGCCTTCCGGCCTGTTTTTTATTTTTCTTGCCAAAATTTTTTGGGTTCATCCTGTCGCACCGCCATCGTGGATGGCTAAATTCTAAAATAGATAAAAGCTTCTTTTATTTGATGAAGCAATCTGGCTTGCAACTATATATTGAATTTTTTATTTATTATAAAGTCTAATAATTACTTAACTCTTCAAAATTCTTTTCCTTTATTAATTCTAGCATTTACTGTATCATGATTTTAACAGTTATATATAATCATGTATGCTTTTTTCACCTCTGTTTAGTTTAGTGAAGAGCATATCAATTTTTCACTTTTAAAATAAAATTTATTCCATTTTCTCATTGTTTACATTTTTATCTCAAGCTAAAATAATTTAAATTACCTATTAATTTTTTAAATTTAAATCATTCTCTATTTTAATTCTTAAATTTAATCATATTCTTTTCATCTAAATCGAACTTATAACGATATTCATCCGAATTCATTGAAAAATACACTGCTCTGCCATTATATGCATAAGAAACTTGAACAGGTCAAACATTGCTTATTAATGAGCTTCCAATTGGCTTTCAAGCATTGTCATCTTCAATTTCGCTTTCAAAAATTAGCCCTCCACATTCAATCAAATACAACCTCTCTAATTATAGCTTACCTGAAATGTCACTTATCAAAATTTTTCTTTTAATATCTGCAAATTCAAAAGAAATCCTTGTATAAGAGTCCTCCTCAACTGAATATCGTCAGATATTTTTATTTTCAAACCCTGTGATTAAAATATTCCCATTAAACATAACGCAGCTGCAATAATAATCATATTCCTCCATTGGATTTAACATAATCCATCTATTTTCATCTAAGTCAAATCTTTCGGCAAGCGGCAGTGGAGCAGTCATCATTTCTCCTCCAAAGCAATAAACGCTGTTATTTAAATAAATACCTGATGAGCAGGCACAGCATGTCCCAGAAGGCAGAACTCTTATATCGAAATTTTGGTCAATTATTAAAGAAATGCCAGAATATGGATCAATTTTGCCAAAGCAAAAAAGTTCACCATTAGGAAGTAGAGTTATGCATGTGCCAAAGTTTAGAATCTCTGGAGCAGACAAAACTTGAACTGTTTCTCTTTCGGATTCAGTATCATAGATAAACAAATTTGTTTGATTATGTTTGTAAGGGATTAGGTTTATTAAAAGCAAGGTGCTAGCTGTATTGGTGACGCAGTCACCAAAAGACCTCTGTACGGGAGGTAACGCTTTTCGACTCCAGCCCAGAGGGTCTATCCCTCTTATGAGTATCCTTCTGGTACCTTCTGTCTCCTCCTTACCTTGAGGCTTCAATCTTGAGTGGGCAGCTTATGGGATTAAGCGAACCTGCTTGGGCGATTGGAGTAGCTTGATTCAAAGAATCAGGTGCTGAAGTGTCTTTTGTCGAAAGATACAGGAAAAAGACTGTTCTCCTGTGGTCAGGGATGAACCCCAGTTTATCGGTAGTGGAATGCCTATGGGTCTTCGGATGCAAAACATTTTGCTGAGTGCCTCCATTTCAACCACAGGAAAGCATCCAAAACCTACCAGAATGCACAGCTCTTGAGCCTGCACTTGATTCTCGGAGTTCGTCTTAGTTCGCCGTGGCCATAAGGTCTGGACTGCTATACCAAGAAGGCAGGTTGGCACGAATCGCCAATTTAATATATAGAAGTTTCCTATGTTTGGCGCTGTAAGGCCGATAAATTCTGATCGGAATTTATCGGTAGGTTGCACCAAATCAATGCCTTGGTCGGACCAAAAAGCGATTTGGTCCGACGAACTTGGAAAGCTCCTGGGAAAATGTCTGCGCTTTTAGCGCTATATAGAGGAAACCTCTATATATTATTTGTGTAAGGGATAAGGTAAGTTTTGTTCTGATAAGTGCTGATATGTTGATTCATATTTGTATTTTAATAGTTATCTTAATATCAATTTTAATTCCCGATAAATCATGTTTTGAAATAAATAACTAATATTCATGCACTTTAGCCTATTAACTACAAAGCTCTAAATGCACGATCAAGAGTTTTGTGATATAATTTGCCGAAATTTTTCAAAATCTAATTAAAAAATATCTAGATTCTCTCATATGATATTTATAATCATATAAACTCAGTTTTTATACAAATTTTTATGCCTTTTTAATCTTTTGAGATTACCTAGAAAAAATATTTATTAAAAAAAACCAATTCATCAAACTTATTCATATAATAAAGGAAATGAAATAATTTAATTAATTAGGCTTCTGCTCATCACTTTTCCCTTTCATCTCAATAAGCATCTCCAATTGTTTTTCAATATTCGCTGTGCTTGCCTTCACAGCATTAACTTCCTCGTTAACCTTCGCTATTTCAGCTTGGAGGGTTTTAATATGTTTTTTCAAAGGAATTGTTTTGTCAGTTTCATCTTTATTATCATTAGAGTTACTGTCAATGCACATTTGGAAATAGCAAGGATCTGAAATTTTTCTATTTTTAACCAGCATTGTTTCTATTTCAATAATCATCCCTACCAGCTCATGTGTGTCAGCTATCTGATAATTTTCTTGAACCTTTCCAAACGTATTACCTATAATCGCTATCAGCAGATTCAGCATTACAATCATATTAATCAAAGTCACTAAAATAAAGCAAACCCATTCAATTGAGCTCATTCCAGACGTATCAAAATCCCCAACGTCGAATCTGTATGACATTTTCAGGTAGTCTAAGAATTTTGGATCATTTTCGTCTAAAACTAAAAATATAAAAGCAAAAGAAAGGGTGGAGTAGAATAATAAAATTAAAAAAGAAGTCATGTCTTTTATGACTTCAGATATCAAATTTACCATATACCGGGTGTTTTGGAATATTCTGAAATAAGAAATCCCTCTCAGCCAGGAAATTATGACTAACTCCCTCCCCCCATCCTTGATCGAACGATTGACTGTAAAATTCCTAAAAATTGGGGAAATTAAACCCCCATCCTTGATCGAATGATTTTCATATCATGCAAATATTTATATATATAAAAATATTTTAGCTATAAAAAACTTGGGAAGATGTACCTAATGAAGTTGTTTTGAGAGTTTTGAGACAACAGAAAGCTGCGAAATCAACCATTCGAAGTGATTTAGCCATCGACCTAGGCTTAAAAATTCAATAATCTAAAAAATAGAGATTCTTTACTCCCCCCCTTTAAATTGGAACTAAAAATTTTGTTCCAATTTAAAGGGGGTTAATTTTTTTTTTTAAAAAAAAATATTATTATAAAATTTTTTATAAAAAATATATAAAAATTTAAAAAAAAAAACAATTCAAAAACTTATCGAATTAGATTAATAAATTTGTCTAATAAAATTCTATTTACTCTTTATCCTTTAAAAAAAAGCAAGATATAACTAAATTTTCATTATTAGTTAATACACCACTATTAGTCGGTATCAAAATTATTTACACAAAAAAATTATTATTTTTATTGATAAAAAAAATTAAAAAAAAAAAAAATTTTAGAAAATTTATCGATCAAAGTGCTAATTTTGTTTAAATAGATGTTATTTATACTATATTCTTTTAAATAAAGCAAGAAATATGTAAATTTCGAAATTTTATAAAGAATTCCTATTGAATTTATATCAAAACTATTTAAATAAAAAATATCATTTTTATCAAAAAAAACAAAAATTTTTTTGAAAATATTTAAAAAAAAAAAATTTTGTTTTTAAAATTTAGCAATTAAGGATAATAAATTTATTTAAATAAGATGCTCTTTATACTTTGTTCTTTAAAAAAGAGCAAGATATAACTAAATTTTTAATTTTAGTTAAGAAGAAACATTTTACTTATATCAAAACTTTTTAGATAAAAATTATATAAATTTTTTTATTATAAAATTAAATTTTGTTCCAATTTAAAGGGGGTTAATTTACCAAAAAAGTGGAAATTTTACCGATATTTTGTTCCAATTTAAAGGGGGGGAGTTAAAAAAAAAAAAAAATTTAATTCAATAAGAAACAAAATTAAAATTTATACAGTTTAAAAGGGTAACTACTAAATCAAAATATTAAAAAATTGGTATTTTATGAAATTAATTCAATTTTTTGCTGTAAAAATAATTATTAAATACTCTTAACCCTCTTATTTAAAAGTAAATAAAAAAAATATATATATATATTTTTTTATTTTATATATAATTTTTTTTCCCAAAAAAATTTTTTTTTAACCCCCATCCTTGATCGAACGATGGCAAGTCGTTCGATCAAGGATTGGGGGGGAGTAAGAAGACAAGGATGTCATGGTTTATTTCTCAGTCTTGAGGGTTAAGGCTAATAGCGAAATATAGAATTGAAGATAAAGTTCTTGCTGTGTCAATATAATTTCATAAATCTTTAGCATAGCTCATTGGAGAAGCCCACAGCTGGTATGCTTCATATACTGATAAAAGCATGCTAATTGCAAATAAAATCGACAACACAGTTTTTTCTTCAATAAAATAAAGGACATATATAGAAAGAATTAGCATATAGACAGCATAAAGGATCGCTTGAGCATGCATAACCCAGCTGAGCTTGTTTCATTAATACTGAATTATTTCTTGAATTAATGGCGTCATCATTATATTGGGATTCGGAGAGTCGTAAATGCTGAACAAAAAATCAATCGATGCTTGGGAGCCTACTGTTAAATCCAGCCTGACATAAGAAGACAAAAACGTTATTGGCCTTTCTTGCTCTTTTAGATTCTTGCTGTCAAGAAAATTAGAATTTTCAATGAAAATATTGTCTGATAAGAAATGAATTGGAATTTCTGCTGAGCTGCTGCAGAATTTGGCAGCGTGCTCGCTTGTGTCTTTCCTGAATATTGCATCATAAAATTTCAATAAAGAGCTGCAGCTTGATGAATTTAGCCTAACTAAGGTTTCATTGCTTAAACTTTTTAATGAATAAGGATGAATTGGCAAGTACTTGTCAAGCGCGAAAATAATAGTGCTGATGCAATTGGAGTATCCTTTTCTGATAGCGATGCATAGTGGATTTTGATTAAGAACGGTATTTATCATTGAAGAGCCATTCTTTAAAGCCAATTTTAAGTGATTTGGGCGATTAAAATAAGCGTACAGATGGAAAGTGTTAATCCTATATGGGAAAATAGTTCAGTTGTCCATCTCTGGATTATACTCAACCTCTTGATTGTTTAGAAGTTTTGATATATATTTCATATACTCATATTTATTTCCAGGACCAGCACAAGTGATATTCCTCATCTTTAGCGGATTTTCTCTAACCACTGCCATGCATTTTTCAGAAATTTCTCCGAAATGCTCTTTTTTAACCTTGGCTCTGAAAAAAATGTAATTTCCATCACCACATAAATTCATGTTATACATTGCCTCATATTTATATGAAAATAATTGGTTAAACATCTCCAGGCTAATAAATAGAACTCTTCCGTCACTAGAGTAGCCTATCATGAACTTATCATCTTTTGTTATAACAACTCGCCCTATAGCTGGAGTACTACTTTTTAAAGAGTGAAGCTTGATGCTCTTTCTTCAGTCCCAGAAATTTATTGAGCCATTCATAGTGATTATTATGATAATTTCTTCATTATGAGTTACTTTCATCGTATAAGTTTCATCATTTTCATAAATAACTGCTATTTCTTTTGTGGTGTCCAAGTCCCAAATTCTTGGAGTTTTATTTTCAGCGATCCCTGCCAATGCGTTTGATTTTGATAAGTAGCATATATTTCTCGTCATAGAATCGTGGCCTTTAAATTCTTTTATTATAGTCATGGATTCTAAATCCCATAAAAACAGCCTTTTTGCGCTGCCAGTCACAATAAATTTCCCATCAGGGCTGAAGCATCAGTCATACATGGGTTCATATAAATTTTTATCTAAAAACACTGTAGAAATGCTTTTGGTTGGGATATGGACTTTTGACATTGTTTCCCCTGATTTAACAAAGAAATTTTCATTATTTTGGACGTCGAAATAGTCTACTTTCATCGTGACAACATCAGTGATTTCATCGGTTATGAAATTTCATGTCTGAAAATGCTCACCATTTCGAATTAAGACTGTAGATTCGTCTAAAGGCTCAGCACGCTCTGCTTCGATGGCTTTCTGGAAGTCAAAGATAGGAAAAGACAGTGTGTAAAATTTGCTATTGGATCCGCTTACATATATATGCTTGTTATTTATGCTGAGACCAATGAATAATATTGGAAAATCGTCAATATACTGAATCTGAAGAGTTCGACGCCTTTGGAGCCATCAGCTTAACGAAGAAGATGTTAATTTTTAAAAATTAACAAATGCAATTGAAGGAAAATTTGTTTGATTTAGGCAAAAGACCTTCCTTGGATCGAATGGCTAATTTCAAAGCATTATTTTGGTCTGACTAGAACTTTTTCATCTACCACATTTTACCAAGGACAAAAATGCATTTTGTTTTATCAAATATATTTCGAAAAGATTAATTCAGCGATGTGACTCTCCATTTAATTATAAAATTAGAATCCTATTCTATTAAATGATTTAATTTTTTTATTAAATTTTTTTAACTCTTTTAAGAACTTCTTCCATCAAAAATTCTTTCTTTTCTTACTTTATCTCTCACACCAACTTTGAATTTTGACCTCTCTTAATTATTTTTTGATAATTCTTTTGGCATCAGCATCAACATTTTCATGCTTTATTTCTTTATTTGTTTTTCTAGTCAATTCATCTTATAATTTATTTGAGAGTTTTCTTCATGTTCGTAAAAAATCCATTTCCAAAATCCTTTCAATCTTGCGTTGCATTCTTTGGATAAACAAAGAAGTTTTCATACATTCTACCAGTCTATCTTCAGGTTGCCACATTTCAGCAATTGGACTGGGGAAAAAAGGAAAACTTGGAACATTTATTTCAGTATCTCTCTAATAGGTCTCAGGCAAAATTAAATCTGTTTTAACTGCTATGATAGAATCGATTATGTGTAAATTCGCTATTTAGTTAGATATCCCTTTCAAAAAATTAAAATGTCATTTAATTAGCTAAAAAAATGTCCTCGTCAGACTAAAATAATATAATACTTTTGAAAGTTTTGGCATTCAATCTAAGCAGAGCTTTTGCCTAAATTAAACAAATTTTCCTTCAATTTGTATTTTCATATTTTTAAAATCAACACCTTCTTGATCCTGATGGCCCCAAGGCTGTCAAACTCTTCAAATTCAGTATATTTATTGTTTCCGTAATTTGAAAGCTTTGTAAGTCGTAGAACTGCAAATTTTCCCTGTCTGGAAATAAGATATAATTTTCGTTATTAGTAATAGTGAAAGTTCCCGATTTGTTTTGAGTAAGATTAATGATTTGAATTTTTTCTAAATTACTAGCCTTGAAAATGAGTATTTTAGACTCATAACCAACTAGAATCATGGTACCTTTAGGAGAATACTCAAGTTTTAAGCTTTCTATGTCGATTGATGCTTCACCAATCTTCTCATTATCGCTCGATAGAGCTATTAACTGGCCTCTTGAAGAAATAAGAGCAATTTGATCTTTGCTTGATATAGAAAAATTCGAAAATTCTCCTATGAATAATGATTTAGTCTGATTGGGATCAGATAAATTTAATAATAAAATTTCATCCATAAAATGGAGTAATAAGGTGTTTTGGTCAAAATACTTTTTTAAGCTAATCAGATGCTTCCCTTATTTATTAATATTCATTCAACTTATCCATACGAAGGTCCATCTTGATGAACCTTTTACAGCATCGCGCTCCGTTTTCCCATGAACAAAAAAAGCCAGGATTGAACTTGAGGTGATCAGCTCAGCATCGCAGCCTACTTGTGCTCGTAAAATCTAGCTAATCCGCACATCAGGCACCTCCTCTCTTCCTCAAGATTCCAGTCCTTAAGAGGTCGAATCGGTTCGCCGCACCGTTTAAATGTATATGCTTCCCTTCCTTAAAAGACAAGAATTTTATTATTTCGAGTGAAGGGATTTTAATAGTTAGTAATTCATTTCCCCTAGAAAAGTATGCAATATTTTCACTTTCTAGAAACACTAATGGAAATGCACCAGCTGAGATTTTTTTGTCATCAAAAGTTTGAGCTGAGGGGTTCAAGTAAAGAATTGTGCCTTCTTTGGTAGATGCTAAATAATGGATTCCATCTAAAAGAGGTATTATTTCTTGGATAGTGAAAGGAAGATTAATAGAAAGAGGCAGCTTTTTCTGAAACTGAACCGAAATGTCTATAATGGCTTGCTTTAGCGATGAATACCCAAGTTCTGTCTTATTTTCTTGATTTGCTTGAGATGGAAGCGTAACTATCTGATTTTGGAGCTTAATTAGCTTTGAATAATCTCGCTCTTCATTAAGGAGTGGCTCTAAAAGGGCTGGGCTATGCATTTATATGGAATAAAATATCCTTAAAATTTTCTTAATATTCTTCCTCATTTCTATTTAATAAAATAGTAAGATTTTAATATCTTTTCACAAAAAATATTTTGATATTTAAGTTATAATTATTATATTGAATTCTTTAACTAATTTTTTAAATTTTTAATAGATTTCATTCTAAAACATATAAAATTTATATAATATAATTTTTTAAAAAAACAATAACCCCACAGAAGTGAACAAAATTTTTAGTTCGTTCAAGGAGGAGGAGTTAGCAAATTTAATTTAATAAGACAGCAAGCTTTATGATATTCACCTGCATATTCTTTGTAGATTTATTCATTCTACTTCGAGATGATTATATTTTCTGATACCATTTTATTATTTTTGTATAATTTTGCCTATTTTATTTAAAATAATCACAATATCATTGAGGCAAGAAAAGTGCTCCTATATAAAGACTTGATTTTCAATTTTCTTAATTAATCAGAAATGATTCTGTTTTGGTGGATTGAGAATAAGTAATTGATCTTTTTAATATATGCTATAATATTTAAAGATGGATTTAGCATATAAATTTCTGAGCATTGCTGCGAAAAAGCAAATTAAATTTTCTTCTAGGAAGTCAACTAACTTAAGGAGGTTGAATTAGTTTGCTTCCACTTCGTTAGGTCTTATTTTTGTGAAAAATTATAAGATTTTCAAACAATAAAAATATTTCACTATTATCCAAATAATTTGTGAATGGAAAAAGAAGTATTTCTTGGATTGATGATTCCAGTTGGGGTTTACTCCATCATTTAATAATGTAATGAATTCTAGTGCCTTCGAGATGGGAATTTGAGAAAAAAACATTTTAACACCGGAGGTCACTAGTGCCGACGATGAAAGGATAATTGGTATCAGACTTCCAAAAGCTTTGGAGATGTGGAGGATGGAAGATAGCATACAAGCAGCAAGGAACTTTTAGTGGCCGATTTTGACTGATAAATGTGCAAGTCAGCATTAAATTTCCGCTACTGTTATTGCTATGAACAGATGTCGGGGTTGGGGTTGGATGATTGCTATTAGAGTCTAGGATGCTTTTAATTTTGGGATTGGAAAGCTGCCACTGGATTTTTGAAGTGATGTTGCAGTGTGTGTACTTTTTTAAGTTTTAAGAGTAAAGCAAGAGAAATTATAACTACTTTTTAAATTACCCCATATTTTTCATATTTCTATATTTCCTAGAGTAAATTGTTCAAAGCATTTTGATATTGAGACACTTGACAGAAAATCTTAAATTTCGGCTAAATGGTACACTTTTTAAATTTTTTTTGACCAAATTTTCTTCAATGAAATGCACACTATTAAAAGCAAATGCACCCTGAAATTATGCATCCATAGTGGTAAAGCTAAGCTGTAAGTCATTCCTGCCTGAAATATTTTACTTTTTAATTGCGGCTCATTTCGCGCCAAAAAAAGGGAAGCACCAAGTCAAAGTGAAGGGTAACGGGAGCTATGGGAATTTTTGTGAGAAAAAGAAAGTGAAATTTAAATAGAGAAATGTTGATCAATCAGCGATAAAATATTAGCAGAATTCGTCACGTCCCTAAGCTGTGCACTCTAAGGCTCTGAGGCAGCATCAAGACCCAGGCAAAATCTGGAGCAGAGCTATGCTTATTAACTGTGTCTTAGCATACCTTCTGCGAAGGCATGCTCTTATTCATAACGTTATTCAAGGAAATTCTAATCTTTAATATTATCCTAATTATTTTTATTGATGATAATACTTCAAAGCAAAAAGTGTTTTTATTTTAAATCTTTGGAAATTTAGAAAATAATTTTAGAAGGCTTGCAAAATTGCAACCTTTTATTAATAGTAAAAAGTTGATTTCAAAGGTAAACTGCCAGAGATTTTTGTTTGATTGAACCTGCATTTGAGAGCATATTTATGCTGATTTCAAATTATTATGCGAAACCTATCAAGGATATTTAAATAGAATCTATGAATTGGCATGAATCTAATTTTAAAATCAGCTCTATATGCATTACTATGCCAATGAACATTTAAACAAATAATACGATGTATAATCAATCTACCTCTCTTTATCTCACTGAAAACATTAATAAAAAAACGAATTTGTTTATTTATGACACTGAAAGAGAAGCACAAAATGTGGAAATTTTGGATACTCCAGAGCCATTAGATGCTGACACATGCATAGCTAGACTGCCATATAACAGCTTATTCTTTTATGGCAAGCAGTTTCGACTTTCTGGCATTACATTGGTATTAGATGAGTTTAAAAGAGTTCAATTAATGCCTTCAGGAACACCTTGTTATTATTCTTCAGCTCTTTATTTTGACAGAAGTGTCTTTTGTTTCGGAGGATCAAATGGTAACCATTTGGCTTTATCAGAGAGATTTGACTTTAATCAAAATTGCTGAATTAAATTAGCTGCCCTGCCAAAAGCTGATTTTAAATGCCACTGCATTATACTTAATGGCAACATTTTAATTGCTGGGTACATTAGCAGCTATATTTTGCGGTATTCCATTGAAGATAACGATTTTACGAGAATTAATTATAGATTTTCAGATAGTGAAGAAAGTAATAAGAGAAAGATTTTGATATATGAAGAGAGATTGTATTTAATTGAATTTGATGGCTGGATATATGAAAGCAATCCTAGAGACGAAAATAGTTGGAGAAAAATATGTAATACAGTTACCAGAGATAATCCAAGCCGGGTCTATTGGTCATACAATAAAGGAGCAATATATATAGGATGCAGGCTTAAAAATGACTATTACAAGTTTAAATTAAGTGAAAAAGTGATGATTCAGCTTGATAAAAAATAATATCAATTTAAATCTTATATCAATTTTATAGGGGTATATATAATTATTATAATGATGGCTTATTATAATCAAATTTTATTTAAATCTGCATTTTTTGGAGTAGTTCAATACGGTCGTTAGGGGTGTTAGGGTGTTAGGGTGTTAGGGTGTTTAGGGTGTTAGGGTTGTTAGGGTGTTAGGGGTGGGTGTTAGGGGGTGTTAGGGTGTTAGGGTGTTAGGGTGTTAGGGTGTTAGGGTGTTAGGGTGTTAGGGTGTTAGGGTGTTAGGGTGTTAGGGTGTTAGGGTGTTAGGGTGTTAGGGGGTGTTAGGGTGTTAGGGTGTTAGGGTGTTAGGGTGTTAGGGTGTTAGGGTGTTAGGGTGTTAGGGTGTTAGGGTGTTAGGGTGTTAGGGTGTTAGGGTGTTAGGGTGTTAGGGTGTTAGGGTGTTAGGGTGTTAGGGTGTTAGGGTGTTAGGGTGTTAGGGTGTTAGGGTGTTAGGGTGTTAGGGTGTTAGGGTGTTAGGGTGTTAGGGTGTTAGGGTGTTAGGGTGTTAGGGTGTTAGGGTGTTAGGGTTTTAGGGTGTTAGGGTGTTAGGGTGTTAGGGTGTTAGGGTGTTAGGGTGTTAGGGTGTTAGGGTGTTAGGGTGTTAGGGTGTTAGGGTGTTAGGGTGTTAGGGTGTTAGGGTGTTAGGGTGTTAGGGTGTTAGGGTGTTAGGGTGTTAGGGTGTTAGGGTGTTAGGGTGTTAGGGTGTTAGGGTGTTTAGGGTGTTAGGGTGTTAGGGTGTTAGGGTGTTAGGGTGTTAGGGTGTTAGGGTGTTAGGGTGTTAGGGTGTTAGGGTGTTAGGGTGTTAGGGTGTTAGGGTGTTAGGGTGTTAGGGTGTTAGGGTGTTAGGGTGTTAGGGAGTTAGGGTGTTAGGTGTTA